TTCCCGACACGTTTGGCGATTCCAGTCTCGCTGCGTCGTTGAGCGGACCAATTCCCTTGCAAATTAATATTATGTGTTTTCACAGGATCTTATAGCCGTGGAGGACGTGGGCGCTCAATCGTCAAAATCGAGCGATCGGTGAGAAGTGGGCAAGAATCCCGCACCAATGGTGGTCTAAATCATGGTCTTCGTTGTGCCAGCACGATTGGCGAGCGCGCCCAACAACTCATTTCAGTGTTTTTAAGCCAAATTGCATTTTCTGCCTGCAGCACTGCAGTCAACCCGACAGTTCATTGTAGTTGGTTGATACTAGTATACATCATCGACCCAACGTTCTCGAGAGGGCAATAGCAAAACATTTTAGCAAAACATTTTGTTTCATTGTTTCACTTATGCCGATTCGAGCTCCTTTGTCATCATTTTGACGCGAAGCATGACGCGGGCGGCATCACCCTTTAGCCCTACAAAGCCCATCAAAGTGCAAGTCGATGGCGTCGACTGTACCTTGCTTGTAGAGGGACCGCGCCAATTGATTGTCGAGCGCAATGCGGTCTTGGAGACGTGCCACGTACATCTCGAAGCTGAGCTTGCCCGACTGAATCTCAATCTCAAAGAGCTAGTCGCGGTGAGATTCGAGCTGTACACAAAGACGGGTACAACCTGGCGCTTGAGTTGGAGACTCTCGAGGCGATCAACGAGCTCGGGGACCGCACCTGCCTCGAGCCGCTTGGTGATGCGCTCCACCTGCATTCCCCACGTTCATTTCCCATCGACAATTCAAAGCGGCTACCTCGTCGGTCATGACCTCGTAGCTCACGATATTGTCAAGGCTGTGCGGGTCGGCTTCGTCGATGGGTAGCGCTACGTCGGTCGTCGGCGCCTCAACTGGTGCGACGGCTGTGACCACAGGAGCGACCGTCGGGACGACCACCGGCACCTCACGAGGAGGGTATGGACCCACCACAAGTTTCTCGCTGTGCACGGGTCGCATCTCGGGGCCGCCCAACGGTGTCCGCAGGCGCAAGATCACCTAAGCAGCAGTCGCCATCGCGATCGTCATCAACAAGCAACTTCAATACGTGAACGTCAATGCCGCATGGTCGCCGGTTGGCCATGAGCGGTACCCAACAGTTGATTTCGGACGTCTTGAGGAGCGGCGCGAGGCTGAGCGAGCCACGACCGAGCGACTCGGACGCCTTCCAAAACCCCGCGGTCGTGAGCACCTCAAACTGCGCCTTGCGCAGCTCGACGAGCTTCTGGAGGCCGCGACTGCGCGCGATCGGAAAGGTAAACTCAGCGCCCAACGTCAAGCTCGAGGTGCCGTGGGCGCTCGGTGTCGCGCCTTCGTGCGGGTTTGTCGACGGCACGTTGAGCGAAAACTTGACAAAAGCGTCCAACGGACTCGTCGACCGGAGCTCGGGAATCGCCACAAAAATTGCATCTGGTCGCACCGCACTGTTAACATGCTCGACCAGCCGCGTTTCGCGGACGACCTCGATTGTCGGCGACGGCTGCAGTGGGTCGCGCCGCGCTCCCCGCAGCGTCTCGAGCGCGGATGTATAGTACTTGCGCTACAGATATATAGCATTGATGCCTGCTTTGTGTTGTGAACGACCGACCTGTTCGACATGGGCCATGGCCTGGGCGCGGTCGGTCGCGAGGAGGTCCTTGGCCGCGTGCATGCTCGTGTTGGCCGCATCGACGAGCGCCTTTTCGACGGCTTCGTATTGCTGCAGCCGCGCAACCTCGGTGGGCGATGGGCCAGGTGCCATCTCCGGAACAAGCGTCGCTTCGAGCGCCTTGGCGCGTCGGAGCTGCTCGAGGGCTTCGGGAATGCGCCCGTCCCGCTTGAGCTGCACGGCGAGGGCCTTGGCCGCTGCAATCTGGTCGGGCAGCGACGTTTCCATAACCTGGGGCGCGTACGAAGATGTCTGTGCACTGACGTCGTCGTGATCGTCGTCGTGGTCGTCGTCGTGATCGTCGTCGTGGTCGTCGTCGCTGTCTTCGAACGCATCGATGAGATCGTCAGCGGCGTCACGCTGGATCGGTACCGACGCCGGGGCCGGTTTGTGCAAGCTGGCCAGCTCCGCGTCAAAGGACGGATCGTCCAAGTCTTCGTCCGTGACGTGGACGTCTTCACTGTCGTCGACCATGGGCGGCAGTTGGACCTCTTCCAGGAGAATCGTTGGCGCCTCTTCGGGCAACGCAGCGATGGAGGCGTCGAGCTCGGCGAGCGACGCCTCGAGCACCTTGACGTTGCGAAACACCGCGAGCGCCTCGGGCACGCGGTTCTCGCGCTTGAGTGCGAGCGCCTGAAGCTTCTGTCCGTGGATGTCGGCGCGTAGCTTCTCGGCTTGCTGCAGGAGGCTGTCTCGAGGCGTCGAGACGGCTGTTCCATGCAGCATAGAGACGTCATCGGGATTGTTCGTGTCGGCACCCGTAGCTTGAAGGCTGCTGTCGTCATCGACGACGACACTCACCTCGGGCGCGGAAGGAGCTGCTTCGGGTGGCGGCAGGTTGTCGAGTTGCGCTTGGTACGCCTTCATCTCGCGCATGGCGGCGAGGGCCTCGGGAACCATCCCTTGGCGCTTGAGCTCGAGCGCTTTTGTCCGCTCCATGTCGACGAGGGCTTGCAATCGCTGCCGCTCGCTCTCAACGCTCGGTGGTTTTGTCCCGAGAAGGCCATGGAGCTCTGCGTTCAAGAGCGGGTCGTCCTCGTCGACGTCGCTGTCGCCCAAGTCGTCCGAGACGTTGCTCCCGAGCGAGAAAGCGTGCTGCAGGTTTGCCGACGGCGCCATCTTTTGGATCTCGCGCATGATCGCAGCCTCTTCATCGTCCGAGTCGCCGAGGTTGATACCGTCCATGCTCGTGTCGCTTTGAATCTCGGCCATGAGCTTGGCTAGATCCGCCTGGACGTCCTTGTCGGACACGGTCTTGATCCCAAACTGCGCGAGGTCATAGTCTACAGGCATTCAATGATTCCATGACGAAGACGCCCATGAAGCACTTGCCGTCGTCGGCTTTGGCGGTCGGTCGACCGGCGGCCCGCTTCGCCGTCGGCGCTGCGTCCTTCTTTTTCCAAAACATATTTGCCGATTGACAAACACACCACATATCCGGATAGCAAGCCAGAGTGTAGGTCGTCCGGAAATGGCATTTTAATTGACAAAGTACTTCTGCATACAAATAGAGAGGTAGAATAAAACATCTTATTGTATTATAGCGTCCCACGCTCCAACGACACGGCTTGCCACGCTGCCAACGAGCCCACACCCGCGACTTGATGCCCCTATCAACTAAGCTTACTATCAACTAACTAGACTATGTACTAGGGCACGATTGGTAGGTGTGTACCGGTACTACTAGGTACGCAGCACTACATTTTTCGACTGCCACATTCGTAATTCCGGACGAGTTCTTGGAGCTGTTCTTAGTAGATCAAGGCCTTGTACTTAGTTTATGGCCTTGGTAGGATGCTGCTACTTCCGACACAGGTGGGTACTTGAAGAGCCTTGATCTCCCTGCCCCTTTCTTCATTGAGCTGCACACGCGGTGCAGTGCTGGTGCTGTGGGGGAGATCCTTCGTATTATCCGGTTGCAACGGTGGCGTCCGGATGCCAGATCTTTTCGTGATGCCGCTGAGCGCCACCGTGGAGGCTAGCCTCCAACAAGCGGCCGCGCAACTGCCCGCGACGACACTCCGGAAGCTCTTCCATGTCGCTGGCACGCAGATTGGCAGCCATGATGCAGCTACTTTGGACCTCGGCGATCTGCTGCCTCTACCGGCAAGCGCGGGTACCGACGTCGGGATCCAGTGCTGGGGCATTCACGTTGCTCGATGTAGGCCAAGCCCGCGCGCTCAAAGAGGCGTATGCCGCCACTTGCATTCTTGTGGCAGACATGGCCAAGCAGAACTTGTCCAAGGACAACAACAGGTACAGATGATGACTCGCCGTATAGGTTCTGAAGGTAGCCGCTAGTCGCTGGCTCCTCGAGCTTGGCTTCCAGAAGAACGTCGTCGAAGACATTTGCGGCATCCTGTCGGAGACGATCCCGGTAGTGCAGTCCTTGGCGTCCGTTTCGGGTACACGCCGTATACACTGCGAGCACCGCCATAGGTACTCTGTTGTAGGCTTGCGATTGGACCGCGTGGTAGACGTCTCGTGGCGGCTGGACTACTGCATTCGGTCCAGCACCTTTGGCACGATCCACGAGCCGTTGTACTTCGTCGTGCTGACGGTCCAAGAGGCGTTGACAGGCTCGTTGACGTACGAGCGATTCACGTGCTCCGTAGCGCAGCTCGAAGAGCTCGTGTTCAAGCTTCAAGAAGCCATGGATCAGATTGACATGGTTCTTCGCGCACTCAAGGACGACAATAAACTCTAATCATCGATGCGTCGTGCATGCCTTTGGCATATGCACACCTCGTCGTTGTGTCGATGCAGCAGCTTGGCAGGAGGTAGGAGCGTTACACGAGTTATTGGCGCATACTAGTACATGGTAGCGCTTGTCGCCATAGCCTTGCACCGCGAGCTTCTTATCGTCACCAAGGCTGTGCAACTGTGCTTGCCATTGCAGAAGGTCATTGCAGATGACCGACGCAGCGCTTTCATGCTGTCGGTCACAAGACGTGGCTCCAGAGAGGTCGCACCGATGCCGGGTGCGTGAGCTCCATACAAGCAGCACACGCCATGCTGGGCCTTTGGCGGTCGTCATGATACCGCGTCCTCGAGATCTCCTTTGCGGTCGCCATGCTATTCCGGCCTCAAGACCTCGTTTTGTGTTTGCAACGACTTGTCGTGACGGTGCTGGCGGTGGCCCCGCCTCGCCACGCTCGCCAGTCGACCCCGCCGGATGAGGAACACGAATACATACATCAAAGCATGCGCTATGCGATGGTGCTGTACATGCCAGCGCGCACCGTGGCTACCGGTCGGGCGCATGATCTTGGCGCGAGGGGCCGGCGAATGTGTGGTGCGCAAGTTGACCGCGCTTATCGAATCCGGATAAGTATCCGGAGAGCTTCTGTGAAGTTTCCCTCCAAACAAAACCCATTTCCGGTTCAGGAGCACAGGAGCAGCAGCATGTCGGGCGAGCCGCAGCTGGACAAGGACCTCTTCTTCCGGCGCCTCAAGAACGTCTATGCGTCTTGGCAGGTAGGTCGATCATGCTTCCTCCATGCGCCTCGGAGATGGCGCAGGGCCATGAAGCGAATAGGCGGCTCATGGACATGGTGGGTAGGATGCGAAGAACCCGGAGTGGGGCGAGCCGGCCGTCGACGCGTTCTGCGTGCTCGCCGGGAAGCCCAACGGCGATGACAGCGGGTACCGCAAGTCGGCCATCATGCAGTTCTACCTCTTGGGCTTCCTCGAGTTCCCCGAGACTCTCATGGTCTTTACCAAGTCGACGGTCTACGTTTTGACGAGCGGCCGCAAGTACGCGATGCTCGAAGCCATCCAGGACGGCAATGCGACGTCTGATATCAAGCTCGAGCTCCTCAAGCGCGAAAAGGCCGACGGAAACAAGGCCAACTACGAGACGCTCATCAAGGCGCTGCAAGGGTCCGGCGCCGGCAAGCGCCTCGGCGTTCTCGCGAAAGAGAACCCGGAAGGGGATCTCGTCCAGAACTTTCTCAAGGAAGTCGAGGCCGCCGCCTTTGAAAAAGTCGATGTCTCCAAGGGGATCGAAGCCGCGCTCCGCGTCAAGGCCTCGGAAGAGCTCGTACGTCCCATCATCGTACCGTTATACAGGCATCCTCACCAAATGCATGTGTTAGGAGAACATTCGCTGGGCAGCCGCGCTCACAAAGAAGGTCTTCCAGCTCAAGTTTATCGAAGACATGGAGAGCATCATTGACGAAGACAAGAAGGTCAAGCACGACGTGCTCAGTGCGCAGATCGAAGGCATCTACGAAGACCCGAGCAAGATCAAGGTCGCATTGAGCCCCGAAGACATTGAGTCGTGCTACTCGCCGATCATCCAGTCGGGCGGCACGTACGACTTGCGCCCGAGCGCGCAAAGCAGCTCGTCTTCGCTCAAGTTTGACGTCATCATTGCCTCGTTGGGCTCGCGCTACAAGGGTACGTGCATGCTCCGTATGCGCCCTCCTGCAAGTGCTCACATTCGTGTAGGCTACTGCTCGAACGTGGCGCGCACGTACTTTATTACGCCCATGAAGTCGATGGAGCGGTCGTACGAGCTGCTCTTGGACGCGCAAGAGCTCTGCATTGCGGAGCTTCGCCCCGGCAAGAAGATCTCGTCGGTCGTCGAGAAGGTGACCAAGTTTGTCGAGTCGAAGAACCCCAAGCTCGCGAAGCAGTTGACCAAGAACTTTGGCTTTGGCATTGGTCTCGACTTTCGCGAGTCGTCGATGCTGCTCGCGGCCAAGAACCACCACGTGGTGCAGGCGGGCCAAGCGTTCAACGTTGCGATTGGCTTTCAGAACATCCCGCTCGGCGACAACCGCCCCAAGCACCTCCCCGAGACGTACTCGATTTTGCTTGCGGACACGATCACGGTGTCCGCCGACGAGACCAAGGTGCTCACCAAGGTGCCCAAGGCGTGGGGCAAGATCCACTACGACATTGAGGACACGGACTCGTCGAGCAAGCCGTCGAAGGAGTCGAAGAAGAAGGTGCCGACCAAGGTCGAGGCGGCCGAGCTCGACGACGACGACAATGGCGGCGCTGTGAGCACGCGCAACAACGTGCTGCAGTCGCGCCTCCGCGACCAGCAGCGTGCGCTCGAAGGCAAGGAGACGGACCAAGAGCGCCGCGAACGCCACCAAGCCGAACTCATGAAGCGCAAGCGCGAAGAAGCCATGCGCCGGCTTGAGGAGCAGAGCAGCGACGCTGTCACGGGCAAGCGCTCGGACAAGCATGCGATCGTCGCGTACAAGCACCCGTCACAGTACCCGGAGCTGCGTCCGCGCCAAGTGTCGGTCGACATGCGCCACGAAGCGGTCATTGTGCCCATCAACGGCGTCGCCGTGCCGTTCCACATTTCGACGATCAAGAACGTGAGCAAGTCGGAGGAAGACAAGGCGACATACCTCCGCATCAACTTTCACTGCCCGGGCGTCGGCGGCACGCTCGGGAAGGACGCGTCGCCGGCGCTGCAGGCCATTGTCGCGCAGCATCCGTCGCTCATGTTTATCAAGGAGCTCGGTTTCCGCTCGACGGACGCGCACAACCTCAACAACCAGTTTCGGCTCATCAAGGAGCTCCAGAAGCGCGTCAAGCAACGCGAGCAGCAGGAGCAGGAAGAGTCGGACCTTGTCGTGCAAGAAGATTTGATTTTGACGCGCGACCGCCGCGTGCCGCGGCTGAGCGACCTGAGCGCGCGGCCGCATTTGAGTGGGCGCAAGACGACGGGGACGCTCGAGGCGCACCAGAACGGTCTCCGCTTTACGACCAACAAGAACCAGAAGCTCGACATTCTGTACTCGAACATCAAGCACGCGATTTTCCAGCCGTGCGACAATGAGCTCGTGGTGCTCATCCACTTTCACCTCAAGCACCACATTATGATTGGCAAGAAGAAGCACCGCGATGTGCAGTTTTACACGGAGGTCATCGAGTCGTCCCAAGCGCTCGACAACCGCCGCCGGTCCATGTACGACCCGGACGAGCTCGACGAAGAAGGCCGCGAGCGTGCGCTCCGCGAGAAGCTCAACACGACGTTCAAGGACTTTTGCCAAAAGGTCGAGAGCGTCAGCGAGCGCGTCGACAAGACGATCACGTTTGACATTCCGTACCGCGAGCTCGGCTTCTCGGGCACGCCGTTCAAGGAAATGGTGCTATTGCAGCCGACCGTGCACTGTCTCGTGTCGCTGACCGAGTTTCCGTTCTTCATCACGCTCCTCGACGACGTCGAGCACGTGCATTTCGAGCGCGTCTTTTTTGGCTCGAAGAACTTTGACATGGTCTTCATCCACAAGAACTTTGACGTGTTGCCGGTGCGCGTCTCGGCGATCTCGACGCAAGAGCTCGAGCGCATCAAGGAGTGGCTCGACGACATTGATATCTGCTTTACCGAAGGCACGGCCAACCTGAACTGGAAGCAGATCATGGCGACGATCAAGTCGGACGACCGGTTCTACCTCGACACGGACGAGGACGGCGTTCCGAAACCCGCGGGCTGGGAGTTTCTCAAGATGGACGGCAGCGATGACGACGAAGACGGCAGCGACGAGGAAGAGTCGGAGTTTGAAGCCGACGGCTCGGGCGACGACGACGATGACGACGACGACGACGATTCGGACGACTCGGACTCGGACGTGTCGCTGGTCGATGAAGACGAGTCGAGCGACGCGGGCTCGGGCGACGAGGACGACGACGAGGACGATGGACCGACGTGGGAAGAGCTCGAGAACGAGGCGCGCGCGTCGGACCTCATGCGCCACGAGAAGCAGGCGCGCGAGGAAGAAGAGAGCGACGACGAGCACCGAAAAAAGAACAAGAAGTCCAAGAGCAGCGGCAGCAAGCACGGCGGCCCGCCCCCCAAGCGTCGCAAGCACTAGGCACCACGTGTGGATTTGCATAAATAAGAATCGATGAATGAACAAAATGAACGGCAGTGTCCACCGGTCTACAATGAACCAGTTGACGTATCGCAAGAGGTGCTGATTGTGCCAAGCGTATAGACAATATATTAACAAAATCTAAATACAGCCATGCTACCTCTCAGACGCTTGCGTGCTCAGACGCACGTCGAGAGGATGGCCTGGGCCGCCGGGTCCATGGCACCGACAATGGACTTCATCTGTTCCGGGAAGGTCGCGACGAGCCACTGCACGCACGCGCGGATCTTGACTTGGACGTCGTCGTCGACGTCCGAGTCTTCCGAGAGCGACTGCGCAAAGATGGCCGCGATTTGGGGCATCGCGTTGAGGACGATCGGGTTCTGCGCCTGGAGGAGGCCGAGGAGGCACGTAAACACCGACTCGGTTTCGGTAAAGTCGGCCTTGAGCGGCAGCGCCTTGAGGAAGACAGGCAGGACGGCCTCGAGCGGGACGCTTTCCTGGTGCGTCATGATCATCTTGGCGACAGCCGACGCCGCATTGTCAACGACACCTTCCTCGTCGCTGCCAAAGAGCGGGTGGAGGGCCTGGAGCACCTGGAGGTACTGCGGCGCGAGCGACGCGCCCGACATCTTGACGAGCATGCCAAGCGCGAACGCCGCGTTGCGCTGCACCGACGTGTTCTCGCCCGCGCACGCCTTGAGCATGAGCGGGAGGACGGTCGGGACGTACGAGAGGTTCTGGATCTCGGGGAGGACCTCGCCAAAGCAGCCGAGGATCGACGCGCGGTCCTTGTCCGGGTGCGGGCCGTTGGCGTACTGCACCGCGAACGGGAAGAGCTGCGACCAGAGCTGGTCGAACACCGGGCCAAAGCACTTGGCCATCGAGCCGAGGAGCTCCGTGAGGTTGTCGAGGACGCTGCCGCCCTCGAGGTCCTCGTCGTCCTCGTCTTCGTCGTGCTCAGAGGCCTCGTCGTAGCCGTCCTGGCAAATGTGCGCGTGCGTCAGAATGGCCTGCGCGATCGTGAGCAGCTGCTCAAAGTACGGGGCCGTCACGATCGGGCCAATCGTCGCCGACAACGTCGTGAGCGCCGTGAGCGTGCGCTCGACGACAATCTTCTCCGGGTCTTCGAGGAACTCGAGGAACACGTCCTGCGTGAGCTTGTCGAGGAGCGCCTTGGTGCGCGGGTGCAACAAGCTCGCGTCGACCTGGCCCTGGACCCACACCTGGTTCTCTTCGGCCGCCGGCGTCGCCGCGTAGAACGAGCAGACGATGAGCGCGGCGCAGGCCTCGGCGACCGCACCACGCACGTCTTCGTGAATGTAGTCGACGAGGAGGCTCAGGCCCTCGAGGAGCTTGGGCACAAAGACGTCAAAGGCGCCACCAATGTTGGAGGCGAGCGCTTCGATGCACTCGACCGCGCGGCACTTCATCTCGAGCGTCGCCGTGCGGATGCTGAGCGTGCACTTGCCATCGTCGTCGTCTTCGTCGTCGTCCGACTCGAAGCCCTGGGCGACACCCTCGTCGTCGTCGCCAACGATCGTGATGCCGTCTTCGGGCTGGAGGCACGGCAGAATCGCCTGCACGCACGTCTCAACGTACGGCAGGAACTCCTTCTTGTAGATGTTGGACGTGTTGATGATGAAGCCGAGGCTGAGCTCCGTGAGCTCGACGTCGTTGAGCGCGATCGTCTGGAACACATACGGCATGATCGACTGGAGCGTCGCACCAAAGCGCTCGGCGCCCATGGCCACGACAAGGTACCCGAGGCATTCGATGGCCGTACCACGAAGCGAGTAAAACTTGGGGTCCGTGATGCCAAGGAACGGCTGGAGGAGCTCACACACGCCCTGGAAGTACGGGGCAAACTCGGCCTTGGCACCGACCGACGCCGACCCCAGCGCCGAAATCGCAAGCTTCTGGATCGACGGCTTTTGCGTGCGGATGAGGCCCACGAGCTTCTCAACGAGCGCCGCCAGGAACGGCTTGATTTCGCTCGGCTCCATCGACTCGGTGAAGACCTCGAGCACATAGCACGAGGTCGCCTTCACGGGCAGCGACGGGTCATCGAGGAGCGCAAGCGCCACCGGGACGATCTCGGCGTGGTGGTTCTGGATGACGGGCTGGAGGTACTCGCAAAACTGGCCGAGCGAGAAGCAAGCCGCTTCACGGACCGCTGCATGCGGCGACGCAGCCGCTTCGTAAATGAACGGGAGGATGCTCTTGACGTTCGTCGAGAGGAACCCCGAGCAGCCTTCCGAGACGACACCGAGCGCGAGGACGCCGGCCTTTTGCATGTTGGGGTCGGCCGACCGGACGCACTCCTGCGTGCACTGGAGCACGATCGGGTTGATCGTCTTGGGCGAGACATCGAGCGCGAGGTAGTCGAGCGTGCGCTGCGCGAGCTGCGTGATGGGCTCGTCCTCGTCGTCGTCGTCGTCGCCGTCTTCTTGAAGAAGCGTCGCAAACATGCCGCTGGCCGAGTGCGTGTCGGACGCAATGAGCTTGAGCATCGTCGTAAAGATCTGCGGCACAAGCGCGGCCTTGGCGAGCGCCTTGGGCTTGGCCTCGATGATCGCGTTGAGTGCGCTCGAAGCGGCCGCACGCGTGCTCGGCTCAAGACCGTCAGCGACAAAGATGTTGAGGAGCAGCGTCACGAGGTGCGGGAGGGCCTTTGTGAGCATCGGGAACGGCGACTTGGCGAGCTCCGAGAAGACGTCCATAAACTCGCATGCTTCAAGCTCAGCGTTCGAGGCAATGCACGCCTGGAGGACCTGCAGCATCGGCTCAATGAGCTGCTGGAACTACATGTGTCAAAGGGCAAAGTGAGAAAGGCCAGGGAAGGAAGACGAGGGTACCTCGATGGCCTGCTTCTTCTCAAGAAACTCGACGAGGCCGCACGCAGCGTGCATGGCCTCAATGCGGACCTTGATCTCGGCGTCCTGGAGCGCGCCGAGGAAGAGACGCTTGAGCGTCGAAAAGTGCTGCAAAAGGTGCTCGCCAATCGTCTCGTTGAGCTTGGAGAGCAAGAGCATCGCAAGCGCGCGGGCCGATGCGTTGGCGTTCGAGGCGCACGCTTCGATGCACGCAAAGAGGTCGGGCCACTCGTTGCGGGGCACAAGGTCCCGCGCGAGCTGCGCAATGAGGCGCGCGACCGCCGACTTGACGACCGACTCGGACTCTTCCATGATGCGCGTCAGAAGCGTCTGCTTGATGCCATTCTGGGTCGCATCATCGAGCTTGGCCCAGTGCTTGGAGACCTTGAGGCGCAGGAGGATCGCGGCCAACTGGCGCACGGCGACGTGGGCCGAGCCTTGGATTTGCAGCACGAGGCCAGTGACCGAGCCCGGCGTCTTGAGGTACGCCTTGATGATGGCCTCGGCTTCCTTGATCGTCGCCGTGTTGCTGGCCGTGAGCTGCAGCAGGCACGCTTCCAGTCGCTCCGGGGCAAAGTCGGCCATCGTGATGTCTTTGGAGAATGACCACCGGCTCGGCCGAGGTCGAGCCAGGTATAGTTACTTCAAGCCAAAAATGAATGGCCGGCTGGATCTGCCGCCAGATTCGACCAATCACGTGCATGGATCCATGGCGATCCCCTATCCCGACTTTGCCGCTTCTGCCCTTCACCTCTGCCGCCCGCCGCCGCCATCTCGACTCATACGTTCTCTGGCCACGCACATAGAGCGCGCACGAGGTGGTGACCGCAGGCGACCGCAGCGACTGCCATCGCTTGGCCGTGACGAAGGGTGGCGACGACGAAGTTCAAAGATCAGAGATGGCGCGATGTGATTGGACCGTGGGCCATTGACTGCCTCAGTCCAAACGGCAAATGCGTGGCAACAGCTACGTGATGGCGAGCGCTCGGACACCGCTATACTGCCGGTCGTCTAACAACTACAAGGACAATTAGTTGTAGCATCGCTTAGGTGGTCCACCTCGCCTCTTGCCTTGGGATACGAGTATACTGTGGACGCGTGAGCAATACGCTAGCCTAGTGCGCTACAGTACGATCTCGCCCGAGCGTGGTCGACTCCATCGTCCCTCGTGGTTTTAGCAGTTGAAATGGCGTGTGTCGAGCAAGAAGACATAGCTGGTAGACGCAAAAAGAGAGTCGAGGGATCAATTCGCCTTGCGCTCAAGTCCACGAAGCTCCGGCTGTGAGGGACAGGAGACCACGCGGACACCGGAGATGGCCGTACACAGGTCCTACCAACTCGGCGAAATGGGAGACCGCGAAACGACGTTACTTTGACATGCAGCTCCAATGGAAGAGTGATCAACGAATGACGGGCAACCGTCGCAGCGCGAGAGTGCAAGTGCTTATCTCACATTGCTCTCGGACAATGCAACTTGGTGCTGCGACAGGGCGAGGTATAGAATGATGGTCCGGCACGGGGATTTTGGCGATTGGTTGCACTCGGATCTATGGTGGTCGTGCTGGAGCGCTACGCCGACGCGCTGCGCTCGCTTCGCGCCTCGCTTGGCCCGAGCTGCGCGTATGCGTTGCCAGCGACCGACCCGCAGCTTGTCGTGCAGGGCGTTCCGCTCTCGTTGCCGCTCCAAGACGCCGCTGCCTTTCTCTCGACCACGTCCTGGCCGCGCCTGGCGCTAATAGCATCAGCGGACCTTGTCATCTCCAACGCCGAATGGCACCAGAAGCTCCAAGCCGATGTAAGCTCCGTTGTTACGAAGCGCCTCGCTCTCCACGAGCCGTTCCACATGGTCCTCTCGCACTTGGCGCTGGATGCGACGGGGTACGACGATGCGTTTGTGGTCGCGGCGCCGCCTCCTGGCGCGTTTGCCACCTTGCTAGTGCCGCTTGCAAGTGTTTATAATGGCGGCGACCTCTCGCTACTGACGGAATACGGCGCGTCACCCGCCACGGCACTGCCATCCGGCGCGTGGGTCGCGTTTGACGCCTCCCGCTACGTGAACGCCGCGACCATCTGCAGCGGTGTGCGCGCCACGCTGGTCTTCTCGCTCGTGTACACGTCGCCTTCGTCGCCAAGTCGGTTGACGAGCGCAGTCGCTGCGCTCGGTGCGCTGGCACAAATACCATTCCAGTACCACGCTCGCATTGGCATCCCGCTCTCACGAGCCTATCGCTTTGGTCACGTCTTTGCGCGTGCGCCGCTTGACGTCGCCAGCCTCCGCGGCGTCGACGCGGCCATCGTCGATGCGCTTGCAACCTCGGGCGCCTTTGACGTGGCTCTCGTGTCGGTCACGCCGCACGGTGCCCGGTGTGCTATGGGCATGGAGAGCTGGTACGTGGACGAGGCGGTGTTTCCATCCCATACGACGATGCCGACGCACATGCAAGGCGACGTGCTGTGGGCCACCGTGGACGGCTGGATCCATACGGCGTTTGCACATGGCACGTTTGCGCTCGTGTTTTGGCCCAAGACGCACCGACTGCGCTTCTATCGGCACCAAGTCGCGCTCTTTGACTTGGGCTGTGCGATCGCGGGCGAGCCAAGCGACATGAAAGGGTACGATGACGCGACGGCGATGGCCCACGCAGTCCTCGAGATGGTCAGCGCCGAGGCGGACGTCGGCCACGTAATCACGTGCCGCGTCTGCAGCGCTGAAAACGACGCCCATACACCGTACATGACGCGACTCCTCCGCCTCTTGCTGCAGCTCAACGCCAAGGACTTGGTGCTAACTTTTCTACGCCGCGCCGCGCAATGCGAAGTGCACGCGCGGATGACACCGGTGACGATGGGACCGCTGCTGTATCAGTGCGGCGAACGGTTCGGGTGGACCACGCTGGCATTGGCGTTGCAGGAGTTTTGCAGGCGACTTGCGTGGTCGGACATTCCATACATTTGGCTCGCCAGTCTTCTCGGGCGCAGCGACGACCCGGTCTGTCCCGTGCTCTCGGACCCATGCGCCAGCGACTTCGTCTTGCAGTGTTTTGTGGCGCTCGTCGACGTGGCCTACCCCCACGGCAACGACACCCACCGTGACGCAGACAGAAACGTGACGCTACTCCAGCACGCACTGCTCTTGCAATCGCAGCTGACTTCGCTCGACGTCGCCGAGCGCCACAGTCTGGCACAAAAGCTGCCAGCCTCGTTGGTAGTCTACGTCCACTCGTTTCTTCTGCCGCGAGACCTTGTGGCGTTTGTGCAGAGGGGACGCATGCCCAGTGCGTCCGTGCTCGCCCCTGCACTCGCCTTTGCCCGCCAAAGCGACCCGCGCGTACCTCTCGCGCCATACACCAAGCTGCTGCTTGACAAGACGCGCTGCAGTGGACGCCCCGCCTCACTTCGATCCATGACGGGCCGCTTGCTTCTGATTGTCACCGACTGTCCGGAGCGTCTTTGTGATATTGTGGACGATGCTGCGCTGTGGCTCGCGTCTGGTGACGTGATCATTGCCGCCATCTGCGCGGTGGCGGAGGTGGCAACACCCGACATATGGTGCCGCGATGTCCGCGCCGCGCTCACCGCCATGGTCCTGCGGGCACCCAGCGTGCTCTTGGACATGGCCCGCTACTCGTTTCCGCCAACAGCATCCGTCGCGTCGACGGGCGACGACGGCGACAATGGCAGCAACGGCCGGCGCGTGGCATTTGCTTGCAATGCATTGGAGTTTGCACTCAAGTGGGCACCGCACGAGAGCTTGTCACTGGCCAAAGCTATCGTGTCTGGCCTCCTCGCACGCCCCAAGAGCGTGCAACAAAAGCTGCTGGCGCCGCTGCTCGCAAGGCTCTCGAAACTCGATGTGCTCGATGATGCTATGCGCCAGCTGGTGGTGGCCTCGGCCCTGGCCATGCTTGGGCTGCCCAAGGCGCCGTTGCTCTCCGGCTCTGACCACCTCACCGCGCTCCGAGTGGCGCTAACGATAGCATGCCTCTGTGCCAAGTGCAGCACGCGCCCAAGCGACGAACTGTGCCCTGCGGTGCGACCCCGAACCATCGAGCTGCTCGGTGTCGTCGGCGCGATTCCCTCCACCACGCTGCAGCCCACCGGCAACGAAGACGACGAAGACTATCAAATCGAGACGTGGAAACGCCTCGTGCCCGACGAAGACTTGCTCACAATGCTCTGCGAAGTGCTGACACCCGCCAATGCCCGACTGCGGAAACGCCGCCGCGGAGCCGAGGACGACCCCACGAGTCCATCGACAAGCACAAAGTTGTGCATTCAGTAGAGTGAACATACGTGTACTACTAACTAATGCTACGAGTACCGACGCGTCCGCAAGGGATCCATCACGACATACTCAGCTCGTGCAACGGATTCGTGCTTGGGTACAGTCCATGTGCCCATATGGACTCGAGTACATGGTTCGATTGGTACACCACCTGTACATGTATCGTCGCACAGGAGCTCACACACCACCTGCTCACACACTTGGGCTTTAGTCACTAGCGCTCGAGTGTACGATCGAGACGGTATTGCATTACGAATGTACATATCCTCTCGTCCAGTCGACTTGCGTGCTGTCGTCATTGAGCTCAGCGCTTTATGCAATGTGGTCGCGCGTTGCGGCCTCTTTCGATGGGGTTTCGAGCACAGCTTCGTAGCCCGTTTCCGGTGCACGACCGCTCTCGATCGAGGTCGCGCTATCGTCCTTCTCAGTGCTCCGAGCGACTGCCTTTTTGGCTTCTTCGGGCCAATCCGACTTGTACGTAAAGTAGACGCCGAAGAAAGTCGTCGTCGCATAGCCGGCTGACATGCCGATCCAGATGCCGAGGAGACCGTAGCCCGCGTTGAAGTCGAGGACGTACGCCAACGGCACGCCAATGACCCAAGCGCCGACAAGGAACGACGTCATGATGGGCACCGTCCGGGCCTGGGCTTCGAGCGTCGCCTACGCGATGCCACGTCATTCTTATGTTTCCGGATACGACCGCAGGAATATCGCAAGGCGTACCATGGCGTAGTAGAAAAACGACATGAGAATGTAGCCCGCGGCGGCCAAGGTGGTGATGTTGGTCATGCTCTCGACGACGCTCGCGTCCGACGAGAAGAGGTGGCCGATCGCGGACCGGGCGCAAAGCCAGGGTACCACAATGACGGCGCAGACACTGAGAATGCTATAAAGAACGAGGTGACTCGTCGCTTTCGCCGCGTGCGCGTCGCCCGCGCCCAGATGCATGCCGATGCGCGTGGTTGCGGCGTCGAGGAGGCCGAGGAGCGGACTCGTGAGGAACATGATGAGCTCCAGCATCGAGTTGTTGGCGCCGAGTGCTACCTCGCTCGTCATGCCCGCAAAGATGGCCATCGTCTGCAGCTGCATGTCTTCGACGAGCATCCCAAGGGCGAGCGGGCCGCCGACGCGCACCATCGGCATCAAATAGAGCTTGGCGTCAAGGAACTTGGTCGACCACTGCCACGAGGTCGCGTGGTGCTTCTTGTAGCCAAACATGTAGATGACGTAGGCTGACGTGCGCGCGTACTGGCAAATCACGTACGCGATCGGGGCGCCGACGAGGCCGTAGCCTTGAAATCCGATCGACGGGGCGCCAAACACCAGCAGCGGCACGAGACCAACGTTGAGTATGGCAAATGTGACGGCAAGGACCGCGGCCGGAATTACGTTTTGCATCGACTTGAAGTAGATGCTTAGCACGTGGAAGAGGAGGCGCGGGAGGAGCCCTGGCATCGCGTAGTGGGCGTACGCGGTCGCATGCGCTGCGGTCGTCGCTGAGACGCCGCCCGCGAAAAGCAAGTCGCCCGTGAACCACCACAGCGCGCCAATGGGAACGCACGCGAGTGAGACGATGACGCAGGTCATTTGGCAGTAACGACCCACAAGCGGAAGATTGCCAGCACCGTAGGCTTGGGCCGAGAGCGCGGCTTGGCCCGCGACAAAGCCGTACGTAAAGACGAGGATCGTGATGTCAAAGAGCATTTGCGAGTACGCGACGGCGGTGAGCTGCGCCGACCCGAGATGCCCGGCCGATATGAGCACGGTGAGCGACATACCAAAGAGCGCCAAGTTGGAGCACAGAATCGGCGCGGCAAGACCTGCGAGCGACTTGAGTTCGTCCCGCGTCGAGAAAGGTGCCATGATTGGTGTTGTCGATATATGGCTGGAAATGGAAAAATGACTACAGGCGGCGCGATGGAATCAGTTAGTCGCCGCATATCCACGGTACATGGCCCTGTCTGTGATGGCGCATGCTGGCCGCGTGAACATTACACCAAGAGCGTTGGTCGTGCATCTGAGTCGTCCCGTTGAAGGGACACGTCCGGGCGTCGGCAGCCTTTGCATGAGATGTGCGAGGCGTGTCATGAGCGCAGTTCTTGGTGTGCTGTGTGACTGGAAACAATAAGAGCTGCGATGACCGTTAATAACGCGGTAGACAGAGCCACGGCCGGCAAGGAATGAGCCCACTAAGCGTGCGTGGGACGAATCGCCATCAAAATCGTTTGGCATCCTCATCATTGGACTCTAATGTTGCTTTCCCGACCCTTGGTAGAACCAAGGCCATGGTAGTGTACTTGCGCCATAGAGTTGAATTGTGTTCTTGTACGAACAAACTCAATCGAATTGTGAGATGCATGAAGCTCGTGTGTCCACGAGAATGGATGGGAGTCACGAGCACAACCTTAGGGTGTGGATTCACGTCCTCACTCATAAGAAGCGAAATGGAAATGGCCAATTCTATCGGCGGATGCAGCGTCACAGTTCATTTGGTCACACCAGCTACACTCGCCACCAGTCTTCGTCCTGTGGTAAATGTTGGAAAACGATGCGTGTACGAAAGGTTATTAAACTGGCGTCCAATGACGTCGAGATGCTGGATTGAGGTCGTCCCCGTGCATGGTCCCAGTGGGCGATCAGGCACAGCGGGCGTAAGAACGCAAGTCGTTGTCACCTCTGCTACATCACATAGCAGCCACGAGCTTCGGCTCACAAAAGAAAGGGACGTCCCTATTTTGGCAGTACGTACGTCGTGAAAGGGCCTCGGTGTTTGCACCGCATTTGGATGGACTCGTGAGTACAAAGGTAGCTTGCGTCAGCGATCAAGATCTGTTGCTGGAGCTTCTAGAAAGTGGGGTGTTTTTAGCCGCGTGCGGCGACAGGCCGTGCCCATTGGTCCAAATATCGAAATCCTGTGTATTTTGACCAATCGCATCCTGCGTCGTGGCTACGGTGCGAGCACGGGTTGCCGTGGACGGTATTTTGGAAAATGGCATCGAAGCTCCTGACCTTGGTCGTCCTCGCTGCCACGTGCGCGCTGAGCCTCGCGGGCTCGAGCTTCTACACGTCGGCCGGCGCCGTCAAGAACCTCGACCCCAAGTCGTTCCAGAAGGAAGTCATCGTACGTTGGCGCCTGCTACCATGACCTATGGACGACGATGCGTGAGCGTAGGAAGGCAAGGGCGTCTGGCTCGTCGAGTTTTACGCGCCGTGGTGTGGCCACTGCAAGAACCTCGCACCCGAGTGGAAGAAGGCAGCGAAGGCGCTCGATGGCATCGTCAACGTCGCCGCTGTTGACTGCGACGAGCACAAGAGCCTCGCTGGCCAGTTTGGCGTCCAGGGTTTTCCGACCATCAAGATCTTTGGCGACAACAAGCGCGCCCCGGTGGACTACCAAGGCGAGCGCTCGGCTAAGGCCATTGTCGATGCCGGTGTGCGTGAAGCGTCCAAGCTCGCCAAGGCCCGTCTCTCGGGCAAGGCCGAGAAGACCAAGACCGAAAAGAAGCCCAAGGCCGAAAAGGCCAAGGCCAAGCCTTCGTCGTCGTCGTCGTCCTCGGACGTTGTCACGCTCACGGACGATACGTTTGACGAGCTCGTCTTGAACAGCGGTGATGTGTGGCTTGTCGAGTTTTACGCGCCGTGGTGCGGGCACTGCAAGTCGCTTGCGCCCGAGTGGGAGCAGGCGGCGTCCGAGCTCCGCGGCTCGGTCAAGCTTGGTGCGCTTGACGCGACGGCCAACGAAGCCAAGGCGGCCGAGTACGGCATCAAGGGCTTCCCCACGATCAAGGTGTTTGGCCCGACCGCGGCGTCAGCTTCGGACGCGATCGACTACCAGGGCCCGCGCCAGGCCGCTGGCATCACTGCGTATGCGCTCCAGAAGCTCGAGGCGCTCGGCGGTGGCATGAAGCTCCCGGAAATCACGTCGGAAAAGGTGCTTTTGGATCACTGCGCGGGCAAGGCCATCTGCGTGCTTGCATTCCTTCCGCACATTATCGACGGCGGCAAGGCCGGGCGCGAGGCGTACTTGGCCCAAGTCGAAAGCGCGGCCAAGCTCGTGCGCGGCAAGCCGTTCCGCTTTGCGTGGGTCCAGGGCGGCGACCAAGCGGCGCTCGAAGACGCGTTTGGGCTCACGTTTGGGTACCCCGCGGTCCTCGCCATCAACTTGGACAAGCAACGCTACTCGGTCATGCGCGCGGCGTTTGACGCGACTTCGATTGCGTCGTATTTGGAAGGCATCTTCTCCGGTCGCCAGTCGACGTTCCCATACGAGGCGTTGCCCAAGGTCGCCAAGACGACCGGCTGGGACGGCCAAGACGCGACGTTGGAGCGCTTTGCGGATGATGACGATGACGACATCATGGCCGAACTGGGCCTTGGCAAGGACGAGTTGTAAGCGACAAATGCATTGGCAACTTCTTGCAACACGTCGATGTGTATCAATGTATCAACTCGCAGGAGCATTCGTCTGCACACGCTAAGCAATCCTGGCCTTCTCGAGCCACTTTGGACTCGACCTTCATGCTACTACACAGGACACGCAGCCATGTACGGATAGTCGCAGTGCACGGGTTCGCAAGTGTGGTGGACTCCTTCATTTGCGGCCAACTGCGTGTGCATCTTCATGGAGGCACAGGTTGTCGGTGCTGCAGCCATTCGAGACGCGATCAGCTGTCGAGATTTGGTTCCGCCAATCACAGTGCTTTGTTGATTCGACTGCACCAATCACGAGCCACCATTGCCATCGATCGACCCAACTGACCAGCATGGCGTCCTTCGCTTCGACGGTGCTCGGGCTGCCGCCGATCGCAGCGCTCGTCTTTAGCTACCAGCACGGCGTCTACGCGTGCGTACGCCATCGGTTTGTCGAGTTTGCAACGGCCGTCGGCTTTGACGCGGCCACTGACGGCCGGTACCACCTCTGCCGCCACGTCCAAAGCCGACTCGATCATCCCCTTCGCAGCGTCTCGACGCTGAGCGTGCGCGAGCTCTTTCTCTTCTCCGAGAACGACCGCGACATTCGCTTTGTCTTGCACTTGGCTATCTACGAAGGCGACGCGGCTGCGGTGGCGCGCATTCTCGCCTGCGCCGACGACCTCTTCTCGGAGAATGCGATCGACATGGCGATCTTCTATCACCTCTCGGAAATCGCCGCGCATCTCTTGTCGCACCGCGCGACCGTACTGCAACATGGACGCACGGTCCATCGACATGGCTGGCGCCACGAGCTGCCGGCGCTTGTGGCGAAGCGCAATGCGAGGGCAGCGCTAAAACTCCTCAGCGCCTACTATGCGACTCCATTCGGCGAGCACTGGGCCGTTGACGCAATCATCGCTGCCGTCAAGAACGTGTGCTTGGACAGTGTTCGCTACCTCTACGAGGCGCACCCCGAGACGAAATGCGCCCGTGTCCTCGCGGCTGTTGTCGGCACGCCAGCGGTGGTCGCGGCACTGGAACCTGACGGGTCGCCTTTAAGTGCCGTCGACGAAGCCGCTGCGAATGGCTATGACGATGACAACGTTCGAAGCCGTTTGCGCGGCGGCAGGACCGAGATCGACCACCTCGAGCACGTTGCTTTCGACCTCGACCGCTAACGCCTTGTGCGATAAACCGATGGGAATATACCCAAACATGTCGCGCACCCGATCGTTGCTTCTTCTTCTTCATGCTCTCTCAACGTGCGTGGGGCGCCACTTAGAGCTGCCAATTAGTGGAGTCCTCGCGCGCTAGTACCGGCTGACCGTCACGCTCGGCGATAGAGTCCACGAGCCATTTGTTTGAATACACCGTTTCTGATGATAGCAAGTTGTAGCACCTGCGGATTGCGCTTGGTGTGCAGCTCGCAAGTATACCCATCAGTACAATACCACAAGAGAACGCGCGAGCCGATCAGGCCATGGGAGCGACACCAAATCTGGTCCAAGGGCAGTTGGTCAAGTCGACAACAACCAACCGGGCTTTTAGGGTCTTGGCACATATCGACTTCGGCGGGTGCAAAGCCGCTTCAGCGCATGGGAGCGCACACCACCACCCATCCACGGGGCTCGAATTTGCACCGAGACGGAAGCTATGGCGTTATCTCTCCTGGGTCGCACCTAGAAACCCTTGCGCGGGTTGTGTCCTTATCGATAACGTGTCTATTGCCGAAGCAGTGCTCGCACCCGTGACTACCCGATGACACTCGATCGACAGCCGCTCGTTGTTGATTCTGGCAAGACGGAATCATACCCATGTCCCAGTCAGCTCCACTTGTTTCCATCTCGGTCCCTTGGAGCAGCAATACAGAGGCTTTCACAAGGCACAATACTGGGTCGGCGCGCTAGACCGACCGTCTTTTTGGTGGACCGGAAATGCCCCGAAATTTCAACTTGAAGTTGCCGTTTGGACGTTGCGGTGTCGCGAGATGGCATCTAGATACCACATGTTTTCACCACTCGATGTGCTGCACCTAAAAGTTGATGGGCGAGGCGTATCTTTTGGCTGTGATTGGTCTCTTTCTCAGCGAGTGACGTGATGGCGGCGCGCCACGCGTGAAGTGTTCTTGTAAGGACGATCACGGGCTTGCACTTGCGCTATAAAAGCGCGGCGACGCCTGTCTGCGCCTGTACACGCTGCACCTTTTTCCGAGCTTCGAGGTGGACACTCAGGTTAGTGCCGATTACTCTATTTCGGATTGCGTTGACTTCTTGCGCCGCACAGCGTGCACTCGTTCCTACGTTGAACTCGACCTTGCAGCCACCTAGTTGACCTGGGTGGCGACAACGCTCGCGTCCACACATTGAGCGTTGCAGATCAAGGATCTTTTCACTGAGCGCGCTTCTGTCAAACATCTAACGCGAGGCCGTCTTTTTGTCCTTTCTCTCTTTTTGGTTTCCTTGCAAGTTAAGGGAATCATTTTCCAATTCAATCCCTGGACCACACCATGGCCGATACGAAGACCGATTACGAAGTCGTGACGACGCCCAAGGACTTGAATGACGCCGAGAAGCAAGTCGACGAAGAGAACGCGGCTGCGCCCGTCGAAGGCTGCTCGATCCTCTTTATGGTGCTTCTTTGCGCGCCCAAGATGGCCATGAACATGGCGTGGGCGGCGCAGTGGGCGGCACTCAGCCCGCTCCTCGAAATTCTCCTCGACTCGTCGTGGGTCCAAGTCGTCCAGCTTGTGGGTCCGACCACCGGTCTCCTCGTCGCCCCCACGGTCGGCGTCCTCTGTGACAACTGCACGTCCAAGTACGGTCGTCGCCGCCCGTACCTCTTTTGGGGTGCGGTCACGAGCGCGCTTTGCTGGCTCATCATGATGCACACGGTCGACATTGGCGAGGCGCTCGGCGACACCAAGTCGACGCAGTTCACCGAGTACAACACCAAAGGGGTTCCAATCTCGCGCAAGTGGACGACGGTGTTTACCGTCCTCTGCTACATTTGGATGGACATTACGTGCAACGTGACCCAAGTCCCCGCCGGTCTCATTATCGCCGATTTTGCCGGCGACCGCCAAGTCACGGCCGCCTCGATCGGCGGCGCCTACTCGATTGCCGGCTCGTTCGCGGTCTCGGGCTACATCCTCTTCTTTGGCGCGGCCCACGAGTCGATCAAGTCGTTCATGACGATGCTCATCGTGATCATGCTCGTGACGACCATGTCGGTTTGCTTCTTTGTCAAGGAGACGCCGTATGTGCCGACGGTCGCCACCAACAAGAAGGAGGAAATCCGCGCAGCGTTTTCGGCCGTCTGGACCGGCATCAAGCTCCTCCCGAGCCTCCTCAAGGTCTACGCTGTTATGTTTGTGCTCATTCAGTACGGCTGGACTGCGTACACGGGGGCGAAGGGCCAGTTCTTTGGCATTGTCGTCAAGGGCGGCTCGTCGGAAGGCGCCGACAAGTGCGGCCACGACGGCCTCGCGGCGTGCACGGAAGCGCAGCAGAACTTTAATGACGGTGTCCGCCTCGCGAGTGGCACGACCGACACGATTCTCAACTGCGTCTCGCTCCTCTTCCTCGCGATCTTGCCGTTCCTCGTCCGCAAGTTTGGCGCCAAGCGCGTGCTGACGTATGCGATCATTCCGCAGACGCTTCTCATTGCGATGGCGTTCTCCAAGATTGTGTGGCTCGACATGCTCATCATTGTCATGTGCTGCGCGACGCAGAGCGCGCTCTCGTCGCTTGTCATGCCGACGATCATCCACGTCATTGGCCTCGGTGCCAACAACAACCTCGGTTTGTTTGCCGGCGCCTTCAACTCGGCCAACTGCCTCGGCCAGTTCCTCAACTTTGCCCTCTCGTCGGTGCTTGTCAAGTCGTCGATGGGCTACGCGCTGCCCGTGCTTGTTGGCGGCATCTTGAGTGCGCTCGCGTTCTTCCTCGCCTTCTTCAAGCTCGAGCTCAAGATGCACTCGATGTAAAGCTCCTGCACTCGTGTCGCTGTGAAGAATACATTTCTTGTGTCGTTTCAACACATATGTTCTTTCCAGTTTGCAGTCTATCAAGGTGATGGACCGTGCTCGACGCACGCAACGTTACACCTGATCGAAGGACAACATTTCATCAGCATGGTGCAGCCCACGCACACACGACGCGCTTCTTGTGGAAGCTGCTTGTGGGCTAGGTGACCTGCCCTGGTCGGCGGTACATCTGTGGAGGAGTTGTGACTGCAGGGCTGAAATGGCCGCTGCGCGTTTTGAGCCGCCAACGGAAGACACGTCGTGTGATGTCGAGTAGGATGCTGCGGCTGGTTGTTCGCCACCGAAAGCAATGCGTTCTCACGAGCGACGAGGCTACGACTACGGCATAACTTGTGGGATACGACACCAAAAGTGCAGAATACAAGCGATGAAGAGAAGAAGAGCTGGCCGACTATGAGCATGCGTGTTGCCACTTTGCTTCTATTATATTGAGCAGCTAAGCAGCGTCGCGCCAGAGGTCGTGGAACCACATGTACTGCGCGGGGGCTTGCCGAACGTTCGCCGAGACGATATCGGCGTACGATTGCATGATCACATCGAGCTGCGTCACGTTGGCGCCGCGTCCAATAACCTATAGCAGTGGGCAGGGTCGCACGCAGAGAAGATATCCTGTATACGGGGACAGTGACGAGGCGAAATGGCTTGGCGGCGTCAGATGGGGCGTGCAAGAGCGCCGTGAACCACACTGGTCGATGGCTTCGCATGTGCAAAACGGCAACACCCGGCGCATAAAAAGTCGGTTGATCCAAGAAGCGCACCGGTACGTGGTTGTGGCTCGGGCGCTGGTCGCACACCAGTGCCACGATCGTGTGGGGATCCGGGGCCTTGAGAATCGAGTAGAGGCTCGGAAGACAGTGCTTGTCCTATTCTATCGCATGAGGCAATGCAAGCAAAGCGAGCCGCAACCGGCAAGAGGTGCATGCTCGTATCGTGCTGGCGAAGGTCCAAGACGACGCGGTCCAGCGCCACGTTGTGGAGTGGCCGGTAGAGCTAGTACGCTGTGAATCTACCAATGACCGAGCCGTTGAGCGCACGTACCGCATAGACGCTGCGTATCGACACATGCGGTGGCGCGTGCACAAATGGAAGCAGCTCCCAGCACCCTACGCCAGCGCATCAAGCACAAGAGGCGCCGTCGAGCGGCTACCGAGGTGCGCCGAGGTGACGAGCACAGGGCCTTTGGCGACATCGTCAAGGTACGCAGTGGGGAATGATATGTCGACGTAGCGCTCCATATGCTTCCATCGATCAAAGGCGCGAAGATGGAGGAACCAGAGCAGCGACTGTTCAAGGTTGTCGAGGCATGATGCACATGGGACCAACAGCGTACCGTGCACGTCGTCTGGTACGCTTCCTTGAGCAGCTGCTTGCGCTCCATCTCGGACTTGTCTGGAAAGGCCATGGCAAGGTTCTTCTTGGCAATGCGTTTCCGCCAGCCCGCTAGCACGACGACGTCGAGGTCGACAGCGATAGGCAGCGAGACGCACCGGCGTAGCAGGCGTGGCCCATGATCTTGCCCATGGGCACGAAGATGCATGGCGGAAGGAGGCCAAGGAGCAAGGCGAAGCCATGTGCAAAGGTCGCGATCGCAGTCGTCCAGATCTGGCGGCGGCAGCCCGCCACGAGGCTCGTCCGTGGCGGATCGGCCATGTGTGTTATTTTTCGTTTTTAAAAGTTGACTGGATGTTTGTATGAAGAGTAAACGAATGAATAAAGGACGGTGATTTTCGTTTGGAATACGTAGATGGCGGATGAAACACGCAACTATGTCGTGGTGAGTCTTTCTAGTCCTCGTCCTCGCGAGACTGATGCGCAACTACAAGCATGCAATGCGACCTTGTCGTTTCAAAGGTGAGGCGGGCGCCTGCTCTAGCGAGCCTCTTCACGCTGTTGTACCCACACTAGAGGTCTGCACGATAGTTTGATCCTCATTCCTGGGACGTGCATTCCCGTGCATCAACTCGATCCATGAGACGAGACGTCGACGTTAACGAGGCTTCCGACACCATTCTTTTTGTGTTAAAGGCTATAGGAGCATGGCCGCGTCACGTACGAGCTCGAGGGCATCGGCTCCAGGCGCACGGACGCGTTTCTTGTGTCGCAGTACGAAGATGCCGATCACCGTGCATACGCAACAGACAACGACAACAAGCGACTCGACGGCGCTGGCATGACGAGTGAGCATCGGCAGTGGGCGATGCTGCACTGCAACCAGCGTCGGTGCCACGTTGCTGGAGCCATAGGCGTCGGGCGTGCCAAAGTACTGGAGGGCCGCTTGGGTCGAGATATGAAACGAGATGCGACGCATACTCGCTTGGCACGAAGTATCGATCCCGTCGAGCGCACCGTCGTGGAGCAAGTAGGACGCCAGCACGTACACACCGCACTGTATGTCACCCTACACACGACGCATAAACGCTCTCCAACTAGAAGGTACTAACTAGAGTAGACGTACCGACAGCATGGGCGTCGCAAAGGCGGCGCAATGCGTGGCATCGGGGAACGTGATCATGCGCTTCTTGCTGCCGACGAGGTTGCGCATCTCCATGTTGGCGTACCGGCCTTCGGTCTGCGCGTCAAACTCGCCGGTGAGCAAGAGCACGGATGCATTCGCCGGTATCGTTGTCGTCGCATTCCAGTAGGCGTCACGACGGTACACGAACGGGTGTTTGAGAGCGTACTGCGGGGACACTGTACGACAGGCGTCGTCGTTGTACTGCGTCATGAGGCAGTAGAAGGGGACGAGAGCCGAGACACCGGTGCCGAAAAGGCCGCGCGCGTACTCGGCGTCCAGCGTCGACACGGATGGTGTTGGGTAAACCCACTCCTCCGAGAATACAATCAGATAGTAGAGCATCATGGAAAAGCCGTCCGACGGTGCCGCGACGTCGGCCATTTGCCATGAAGTACTGGACGCTTTGAACTGCTCGAGCGCGGCAATGTCGGTGCTGTCGGCGCGCCACATGCGATAGATGAGCGCCGGCAATAGCTGCCGGAGTTCCCAGTTGAGCAGCATCTTGGAAACGACACTCCGGACATGGTGCGACGGCGGCATGTCCAAGGACACATTGGTGCTTGCTGCGTCGAGTCGGGTGTAGACATCGTGGAGAAGCTGCGTGATATTGTGCTCCTGCACTTGGCCCTTGCAGAAGGGATCGGTCGTGCATCGATCGAGAAACCGAGTGCCTATCAGCAAGGGTGGACATATTGTCTACTGTTCGGAGGACGCACCAACACTGGCCACGTCATGGTCCCAGTTGGCAAACGAATGTCGAAACGCGTCACTGCCGCGCTGCGAAACGACGCCATCCAAGATGAACCCGTGGATACCAGTAGGGCCCAGCTGCATAAGGCGCTCGACGAGAAGCGTGCCATAGCTGGCGCCGTACACAAAGGCTGGACGGTTTTCCCCCGAGAAGGCGCGAAGCATTAGCTACATGCTTGGATGAGACGCACGCACAATGGTATGGCGTATGCACCACAAGGTCGAGCGCAGCACTTGTGACGGAGAAGGCACTCGTGTGCCCGTCTATTTGGCCGTAACATGCGCCTGTTGCAAAGCCAAAGAAGTAGTACCGATCTCGAACAGTATGTCTTGGATACAGTCGGGCATTTCAGCGAGTTCGATGACGTCGCCACCAGGACTGCCTGGTGTCGCGGCTTGGGTCGCGATGCATTGCAGTGGCGCGCTTCGCCCCGTGCCCCGATGGTCCATCGTGTACACGTTGACATGACCGTCCAGGACGTCGTAGAGATCGATCATCATGGTCTCCACTATCGACGTGACCTTGTGAGAGGCACCGAAGCAAGCACGTTCTCAGACTTGCGATCGACGATGCACCGGGGCCGCCCTGGAGAACCCAAATGTCTTGGACCGATGCTCCTTCTTCGAGGTCCGAGCGCGCCACCAAACGCTTCACGAAGACCTGAACCGTTCGGTTGGATCGGTCGTCGCAGACATGGGCATGGCAGAGTGGAAGGACGACGAGGGCACACTCGACGGTACGGTTTCGCGTGCTTCGCCGGGGATTCGTTGATGCAAGTGTGTTGGCGCTGCAGTTGAACCAGCCGTCGACGTCAAGGCCGAGCGCCACAGAACAGAGGCAGAGCCACAGCAACTTCCACGACCGCATCCTGCGACGAGAGGCTGCCACGAGGTCGAGATCGAAAATGCCAGCTGTTCGAACTTAGCAGTGTAGCCAATCGGGGGTGTCGAACATATTTTAACTTATATTTCTATTCAAGCTTGTCATTTGTATAGAATTAAATAAAGGCGGACCCCACTCCGGCGATTGCAGCCCGGAGAACGCGTGGACTTTGCCGATGGACATTACGGCCGACTTCCGCAAGCTAGCGCGATGGACGGACGCGCCGGCCGAGGCCAAGCCGGTCTCGGACTTCATGCAGGAGGCCATCGATGTGGTGCGTCTGCCTCGGTAGATGCAGCGAGGCTCATGCCATGCGCAGCTAGAGAGCCTCCGCAAGATCTCAACGCTTCTGCGCGGCCAGCGCAAATGCTACGTCGACCCCGCCCGCTTTTTGCCGAGCAAGGCCGCCGCCTTTAGCGACGTGGAGCGCGACGAGCTTGAGGAGGTACATACGCCGACTTGCACGTGTTGGATCTCATGGGCGCAGTCGGCGCTCGAGTCGTACCAAGCGTGTGAGCTGCAGATCGAGCAGCTCAAAGAGCGCCTTCAGATTGGCCGGTCCAAGAAGCCACAGACTACGCGCATGCAGATGGAGATGGTCACATACCTCTCGGACGTACGTTGCTGGTCGGTAGTCGCAAGGCTTGACGCTAAGGTCCTAGCGCGTCAAGCGGTCGGTGCAAAGCGTCCAAGCGGCGCGGAAGCAGCGTATTGCGCGACCCTTCTTTGCGTCGCAGCGGTATGCATGCAGCTCCCTTCCTATCAATCGAAGTGCATCAAATTACTAGCTTTCTGCCCGACTCGACCGAGCTCCACGCGCCCGAGCCAAGTGCCAAGCCCAAGCCCACGGCGGCACCTCGTCCAGCAACCACTGCGACGCATTTGCAAGAGCAGCCCCGTGCTCTACCCGCCGTAGGCGCTTGCCTGCGGAGCCCGTTGTCCTCACATGTGATGTAGATCCAGTCCAACGTGAACGACGAGACGTCGTCGTCGTGGGCGTTTACCGAGGAAGAAACCCAGCGCTTCCACGCCGAGAACATCCAGCTACACAAGCATTTGCATGAAGAGATCGAAGCCGCCAAGTAGATGCCTTGCAGGATATGGACAGCCTCTCACCATGGCGTAGGCGTCTCGAGGCAAGCATGAACGAGATCTCGCGCATCATGGGCCACTTCTCTGACAACATTGAGGCGCAGCATGGCGACCTCGAGAAGATTGCTGCGAATGCTGACACGACGTCAACCAACGTCGTCCAGGTACGATATGTGCAACTTGCCTATATAAGCAGCAGAGCTTATTCCATGGTCTTAGGGCAACAAGTCGCTCGCCAAGGCGTACGACTACGGTGAGAACCGCGGGTTCACCATCTTTTGCTTTTACGCGGCCGCGTCGGTGTTGCTCCTCGTGATGCACTATTATTAACACTAAATACGTTGTCCAAGCACACGATTTGGTCCCGTACCAACACCAATTGGGGTAGGCGTCGATGCTGGTGAATAGTGTCATGTGAAAAACCCAATCCAGGCCGTGGGAAATACCGTTGGTGTTGGCCGTGGGAAACTCTAGCGACGAAGATCGACCGAGCGAGGAGCATGAACGTCCCGACGCCGAGGAGCGGTGATGCATGGATGGCGGAAGATGAGTACGACTACTACTCGCCGCATGGAACTGTCTTCAAGGCCTTGGCCCAGAAGATGACGCTCGCGACCAAGGCCTCCAAGGTCGACACCGACGCCCGAGCACCGCTGCCCGAGCCGCCGACGTCGAGCCTCGACGAGGTCTTGCACTCCCACAAGACGAGTCTCCTTGCAGCAGAGCATGCGACGTACTTGGACCTCCAGCAGAAGAAGTCGGCTGCGATGCAGGTAGACTACATGTGGTCCTACCAACTTGTGGCTCATAATGCCCACGACAGCGCGGGTTCCCGGACCTCCTCGCGCTCTCGTCCGATGAGCACGACGTTTTCAACCGCATCCACCAGACCGTCAAGGCCGAGCAGGTAGTCGTCTCATGCTCGCTGTACAGCTGACGCTGCGTCGAATAGCGCAACTTTCACAAGAGCTTTGACAACCTCGCCAAGGCCGACCTCTTTGTCTTGACGGCGCTGCCTCATAGCATCGAGACGGCCGTCGATGCCTTCTTGCGCCAGCGCTGCAACGATGCTGCCGACATGTACCCCACCACGTACTCGCGCGTCAGCATCATCTCGTTCCCGTTGACGCCGTCGACGGACGCACCGCCAAAGTACATTGCCCGCGTCGCACGCGCCTCGGTCAAGCCGGCCCTCAAGCGCCCGTTGCCAAGCCCTCTGAGTGCGCTGGAAGCACCGATCACTTGGACGACGGGATATGTGCTCTCCAAGGACGCCAAGGCTGCCGAGCTCGTCGCGCAGGAGGACTGCGACGTCGCCATTGCGACCTCGACGCTCACAATGCTCTTTGACACGACCCCTGACCGGTTCCGCCAGGTATTCTGCCTTCCTCTTATCGCGTCCAGTTGGGTCTAGACTCGGATGTTGTAGGCATGGATGATCCCGGTCGTCGTACGGGCTGGTCCCAAGAAGAAACACGTAGCTATGACCACAAGGACAGAGGTGTAAGCACAGTCCATGTAGGTGGTCTTTGACAAGCCGCTCGTGAATGCTGTCTGGAGCGGGCGCAAGAAGCTCACGCTCTTCGCTCGCAAGCTTCTCAAGGCGTCCATGACCGAGACTTCAACCTCGCGCGCGTACCATTACCACACGTGGTCGATCGGGTCCAAGAAGATGCTGCTCCGAACGCAAACCCACGGCTATGATCCGGTATCTCTTTTCAAGTATACTGTCGACAGCCTGTCATACGATGATGTTTAGGTGAAGAACGTGGACGTGACGATCCAGGCCAAGATCGACTACGAATGGTGCTCGACGCCCGAGCAAATCACCGAGTCGGAGCGCGCTCGGTGGTGGCTGCAGTCGTGGATCCGTGGCAACGCTGGCATTGTCGTCGGTACATCATTGTTCGCCGATCGATGGCAGTCTGTGATGCAGATGTAGGCCGCATGCACGCCAACGGCGCCAAGGTCATCGATGTCTCGGACAAGACGATCACGTCCGTGGCCTCGTCCGTGGCAAAGTACGTTTGAACTGTCGCATTCCTGGATGATGATGCTGTCGCACTAGTCCGCTGACCAAGTTTGCCATGGTGCAAGAAGTCGTTGCTCACATGAGCGAGTTGCCACCGGGCGAGTACCTCCTCTCGTACGACCCGTCGTACAACGGCATTCACGTTTACGACGCCACGATCAAAGACACGGGCGACGATGCCAAGCTGCATCTTCCAGACTTCCTGGAGAAGGCGGGGCGCTGGGACCGAACACTCTTGGACTCGGTGCTGCCCGAGTGGCGCGAACCGGGTCAAATCCCGTACACGTTTGCGCTGCCAACCTACTGCAAGAGCTACTTTGAGACCAACGGGACGTGCGCGCGTCTCGCCAAAGGTACATTGCCCTATTGCATTGTTGACAGAGTGGACAAAACTGCTATGCAGGCTACCGCTGCGCCTTTGTTCATCTGCGCCGCGACCAACAGCGGCCGCAACTCTACATGATCCAGCCGGTGATCCACACACAGTTCAAGAGGGAGCTGCCGGCGCGCAAAATCAAGTTTCCCTACTGCTCGAAAGCGCTCGCGAACAAGTGCACGACGGCAAGTGTTTCATCGTGGCTCCATGTCAAGCTTTACTCAACAATTGCATGTAGAAAGGGTGTAGCGACCCGCATTTGTCGCAGCACGAAGTCCTCAAGCGTCTTGCGCGCGAGTACGTCGAGGTGGGCATGGCCCGCCACCGCGACCCGAAGAAGCGCAAACTTGCCACCGACGATACGCAAGATGTATGAGTGTATATTCACAAATTACGCTGCCTCTATCATATGTACGCCGAAGCTACTTTTCCGTCAAGGGCCGGAAGCCTTTCCACCACGCGGGGCACGCATACCCGTTGGGGTCGGCCGACTCTGTCCGTAGGATCGTCAGGAGCACGTTCGTGGGGCCATCCCGGTACGTTTCGTACGCTGTACTCAGCAGCGCATGGGCCTTGGCCCAATCGCCGTCGAGGTACGCTTGCATACCTTCCTTGAACGTCGAAAAGAACGCGCGCGGAATGCCTTCTTGGAGCCGCGGCAAAATATCGTTCTTCTCATAGTCGAGGGGCATCTGGACGCCGTTGGGGTCGACGATCGGGTCGCAGTCGATCGAGTAGTTGCCAATGTCAAAGGTCCAGAGATCCATGGGGATCTCACTGCCTTTGACCGTGACGCGGTCGATCTTGCGGCAGTGTGTCTTGGCAAACGGACTGAGCTCGTCCATGAACCACTCGCTGATGAGCATCGGGACTTGGAATTGACCGGTCGCGTTCTCGAGACGCGCGGCCATGTTGACGTTGGGCGAGAGGTACGACGCGTCGATTTTGTATTTCGAGCCAATCGCTCCTTCGATCGCCCACCCAATGTGGAGCCCAAAGCCCATGTGCACACCAAAGTGCTCGCCAAACTTTGCTTGGAGTTTCGGGTTTGAGAGGTACAGCTCGAATCTGCCACCGGGTTCGTTGGCCGCGTGAATGTCGATGCGCATTTTGAGCACGGCCATGAGCGCCGAGTCGACGAGCTCCTGCGGCGTGATTGCGCGCGGCGCAAACCCCGAGGCGCAGAGCTGGACAGCGATACCGGCGCGCTTCTCGGCCTTCTCGGACGCACTCATGATGGGCTTGGAGGCGGCGTCGCGCGGGTCCCGCATGCCGGGTAGGGACCCGTCACAGATTTTCCACGCGAGCAAGAACGCCGAGCCAATGTTCTTGTTGGCCGCGCCGTAGTAGATATTGGCGTCCGTATGCACGATATCGGCGAGCGTGTTGATGTACGTGATGACGCTCTCCTCAAGGATACTGCACGTTTCGGTGAAATGCTCGATGATGCCAAAGCCAAAGATGGACGAAATCTTCTTGCCTACGCGCCAGTTTCCATAGTAGACAATTTTTGTCCAATATATACCTGGAATCATGACGTTGAGTTCGCCGGTCCCGCCCATGTTTTTCGAAATGATCTCGGTACCCGCCGAGCCAAACCCGACTTGGAGGAGCCGGCCGATTTTACAAATGGTCTTTTCCAACATGCGCGTCTCGTACTCTTGTGACGCGTCTTCTTCAATGTCCGTGTTGCCGAGCGGGTTCTTGGCCAAGCGGTTCACGAGCTCCATCTACACACATTCTCGTTTGAGCGGGAAGAATGCATGTCCAAAGATCGCACCATGCGCTCGATGGGGCCAATCACGAGCATGTCGGCATCCCGCGTGAAGAAGAAGATGCTGCCGCCAAAGAGGAAGATGACGATCCACGTCTTGAGGATCGTGAGCTCCGAGTCGGACGCGTTCGACTTGGCAATGTAAAACACAACCGCGGAGAAGCACGTGGCGTTGGGCAGCGTCGTGCCAGTGTTGTCGACGCAGTCAAAGTACGAGATTGGGCTGACGTCCGCGGCGCGAAAGCCAGTAAAGTCGGTCGTGAGGTACGATGCCGACCAGCCCGAGATCGGGTTGACGGTAGCCGTGAAGGGCGACGACGCGACCCACGCCGTGCCCGAGTAGCTCTGGAACCGAACGGTTTGGAGCCAATGGTTGGTGATGCTCTTGTCAATGCCGTAGATCGCAATGTCCAAAATGATGCCGTTGCAGTTGCGCACGTAGCTGTGGAAGAGCGCTTGCATATCCGGAAGCGTGACCAGCCCCGTCGAGTTGTAGTCCTGGACCATGCGATGCATTTGGTACAAGGCGCTTGTTTGGTACTGGTCGGTCGTCGTGAGCGTTTGGTCAATCACCGGAAGGAGCACGATCATGACGAGCACGAGCACGATGAGGCGGCGCGTCGTGAGCTCCGTGAGGATCTTGCCGACCTTGCTCGGCTCGTTGAGCTTGATGACCTTGGCCGTGTCGGCGGTCTTGGTGCGAAAGATGCGCGAAATGCGTACGACGCGAATGAGTCGAATGAGCTTGACGAGACGACCGGCTTTGGTGCCGGCGCGCGACGCGCGGCTCGCTTGGAGCGACGCGACGCTGTTCGAGGTCGCGCCGCCCGTGAGTGCCTCCATGACCCAGCCCACGTCCGCGAGGATCGAAAGCGTCGCAATCAGATCCATCCAAAACGTAAAGCCGAGGCCCTTGTGCACATAGTCGGGGCGCGCGTAGACGTTGCCCATCCACTCGAAAGAAAAGCACACAAAGCAGATGAGCTCGAGGACGTAGAACGTCTCGTCCGCCGCCTTGGTGAAGCCCGCGACGCGCATGTCGTCGGCAAAGAGCGTAAACATGGTCATGATCCCGAGCACGATGTTGGCGTTGCGGCTGTCGAGGGCCGCGAGCACGCGCTCTTGGCGCGCGGCTGTCGGCTGCAGCATCTTGTGCAGCTCCGGGCTCACCTTGTTGGCGACCTTGCTCGACTTGGACACGACCAGCGCCATCGGTACGTTCTCGAGGTTTCGGCCACTGAGTAGCCGGCGGTTTGGCGCGTATTTTTAGAAAGGCGGCCGGTGCATAACGACTCTTGACGTCCCACCAGCATGAAGCAATTCGAGTCGCACTGGAGCGACTGGCCAACCTCGTAAAGTCGCTCGTGATAGTACTGTTCTAGTAGGTGCAGTCGTAGTCGTAACAATGCATCAACCTCTACACGTTATGGAGGTCGCACTGCGATGACCCAATCAAGTACATCATCATCGAACAGCAAACTCGCCTTCTGACAGCAACATGCCAGGCGCATACTGGCAGGCATCTCTCCGACGAGTACGTCGTCGTCGAGGGAGCTCCGAATGCTGGCCTGTGGCATCCCGCGGACGGGAAGCAGTGCCATTCCACCGCGTGTTCAGACATCCCAGAAGAAAGCAGCGGAACACGTAGACGACAGCATGCATGCAATGTGTATTGAGCGACTTCGCTGCCCATGTGATGTGAAGGAACTAGGTCATGACGCGGTGCTTGATGTGTGCGAAGAGGTGGGCCCAAAACTCGCGCGCCGCGACCTTGTCCAAGTGGCGCTTGTGCGGGTGGATCATGAGGATCTTGACGTCCCATTTCTTGATTTCTTCGTTGAGCGTCGTGCCGTGCGAGTAAATGTGAATGCCGCACGCTGTTCCAAAATATCGATATATCAATATATGTATATAGATGCTTGTGCGTACCTCGCTTGAAGACTTCCATGGGGAAGTTCCACTTCCAATCCTTAAACTGCCACGTTTGGCCCGACACGATGACACCAACAATGCTCTTCCTACACAACAAACAAAGGTATTACCGTGACAACGAGAGAGAGACGTACCATTCCTTGTCGTTGAGGCGCGCGACCGAGTCGACGATGCGGAACTGGTGCGTCTCTTCGTTGTCCGTGTAGTTGATGAGGATCGACGCCGACTTGCGGCAGCCCTCGGCCTTTTTCTGCGCCGTCGTAATGTACCTACACAAGATGCCATGGCACGTCGCAAGATGACGCCAGCGTACGCGCCATCTTCGAGAAAGTCCTTGGCGTTGAGGAGGTTGATCAAGTCCGAGACGCCGGCCGGAACGACAATGATGGGAATATCTACCACATCTCGCGTCACGCGTAATGCTGTGTGGATTTACCTGGGATCTTGTTCTTCATGGCGACCTTGAGCGGCAGCACTTGCTTGACTTGGTGCATGAGCAGTGACGGCTTGCCGCTCGACTTGTCCATCTTGTCTTTTTCTTCCTTGAGCAGCGTCTCGAAGATCGTGAGCACGTTCTCAAACGACTAGGATCCCTTGATACGGACGAGCGCTGCATGGAGAGGCTACCTTGGGCGTCGTCATCATGGTCGTCCGGTCGCGGTGGGTGTACTCTCTCGCCAGAATGCGCTTGAGCGCTTCGTCCTGGGCATTTTGGAGCGGCGTCTCCTTCGCCTTCTTCTTGGGCGAGCCCTGCATGACATCACTGGCCACCTTGACGTCGGGCGCGGACGGCGCGTCATCGACAGCCTTGCGCTTGGGCGCGGTCGTTGGCTCGTACACCTGCACGGAGCTGTCAATGTCACCCTTGAGGTACGCGATGAGCTCTTTCTTGTCGACGGTCGAGACGAGGCTGGCCGAGATGGCGCGGCACTTGGGCAGGTACTCGGCGAACGTCAGGTCGGCGTACTGCACGCACGTGACGACCGCGAGGAGGTCGTAGCTCTTCTTCGTCGCCTTGGAGTGGAACGCTGTCGGCGTGTCGCCGGGAAGCCGGCTCGTCACGGACTTGGCGCCCGACTCCGTGTCGATGGTGCAGAAGACCACGTCGCTGCCCTCGACCTCAATCGGCCGGTTCGCGATCACGGCTGCGCGGACTTGGTCCAGGGCGTCGGCCATGCTTGCTCCTTTCTGTGGTCTTTGGTTCCGCGCGTTTCGATTGGCGAAAATTCGCTCGCCTCCCGTGTCCGGATAGGTCGCACATATCCGGTTCTTTCAGCACTGTCCAGCCCTCCACACCCCAGCGCAGCCTCCCAGCGCTCACCATCGAGCGCCCCACGGACGACGTGCAGCGCCACGACGTGCAGCGCCACGACGCATGGCGCGTCCAGGTCCTCTGCAGCATGTACAACTTGTACACTCCAGCTCCCGTTCCCGGCTCTGCGTTACTGCCCACGACCCCTAACCCTCTCGTTCAACTCGCAGCCACCTCTGCCTACCCAATGGCTCCGCCACTGCAGAAGCGACACCACTGGCGGGCGTCCTCTTGCCTGCAAAGCAGATAGCTCCTGGCTTGACAATACGTGGTCGACTCAATCTGCATCCAGAGAACCGCCACTTTCAAGGTCATTCTTAGCGTATCGAGGCGAGATCGCCGCCTTGATGCGCGGCTGCTCAGGGGTGGAGAAGACTCGGGTCGAACACGCGGCTCTTGTGCGCATGGCGCTTGCAGGCCGCGACAGCTTGGGCGACGATGACGCTGGGCGCGTAACCCTCAGCGCAGAGCGCAGAGAGGTGCGCCACGTACTGGACGCTGTAGTCCGAGAACCGGCCGCAGTGCGCTTCAACAGCCGTGTTGACGTCGCGAAGGCACGTGTCGTCGCGCGTCATCGAAAAGGTTGGCGCCGACTGCATCGTCAAGCGGACAATGTCGCTGAAGACGCGGTCCGCGACCTCGCGCCCGTGCAGAGTCTCGAGCAACGCGGCTGCAAGCGGCCCACGCGCGCCGACGTCTGCGCGCAAGTACTGGTAAAACTTGGTGACGAGCTCAATGTCATGGGCGTCGACGCTCGAGCGCGGAACGTCAGCCGTCGTCTCGAGCGTCTCGACCAGCAACGGTCCGACGTCGTGGTCGTCGTTGGACTGAAAGTCGCCAACAGGCTCCTTGCGGATGGTGGGCGAGCCAAACTCGAGCACATGGCTCTTGTCCGTGAGCTTCTTGACGCGCGCATACTGCTCGCCCAGCGTCTCCTTGGCCAAGTCGCTCTTGTCGCTGTCCTCCATCCAGTTGACCGAGTAAAGGTCGCCAAGACACGTGCCGAGGAGCTTGGTACCAATGTGGTCCGACGTGGGCGGGCAGTATGTGCCCCACGACGACTCCTTCTCGTTGGCGGCCGTCGTCACGTACGCATTAATGTCGGTCGGAAGCAGGTCCTTGAACATGGACCCCGACTCGCACGCTACGAGACCCAGAGTAGGAGCATGCACGAGGATCGGAGCGAGGAAACACGCTACCTTCCATGTAGAAGACGAGCTCCTTGTAGAGCTTGCGGTCGTGCATCGTCTTGAGCGTCTCGACGAGGTCGCGGGCGTACAGGTTCGCATTCGGGAAGACGACCATGCCGGCCGCGCCGTGGTCGACAAAGTTGACAAACACGCGGTCGTTTCCTGTGCTCTTGAGCACCTTGCCGCCAGCCGACGCGTCGCCCAGGAGCACCTGCAAAAACTTCTTGGGTGTCACCTACGCGTGAGCATGCATTAGCTATGGACTACGGGGCATGTACGCACGTCGTCGCCGCGGTAGTCGACGTTGCAGCCCTTGTAGACGTCGACGGCATCGCTTTGGCGCAAGGTCGGCCGGTTGAAGAGCTGGCCCGGAAACGGGTTGCTCGAGCTGTTGGCCACGTCGTCGTACATCATGAGCACAATGTTGGACTCGGGAATGCCATGGCTCCGCACGACTTGGTACGCATGACCTACAGAGATGCGCGTCAGTCGGGCGAGGGATCACCGTCGGAGATGGTACAAGCATCGGCCTGGTGGCGGTAGTTCCAGTAGCCTGTAGAGCCGACGACGATGACGGCCCAGTGCTCGGCGGCGGCGCAGGCAGCGAGCAGCAGCGGGAGGCAGAGCTTGAGGAGCATGGCAGCCACAGGTGAAAACAGATTCTGGCGAAAGATACATCGTCGACGCGATTTCTTGCCACGGAAGGCCATTGGCCAAAAAACCATCCATTTCATAAAATGGGCCAATCACACATTTTATACCAGAATTAAGAGGGAACACGCCACATATACCTGATTTAAAACATACACTATTCAAGACCCGTTTGGCGTGGGGCACGGGACATTGCAGGCGAAGCGGCCGAGCACGACGCTTAGAACGACGTATCGATGTACGTACATACATACAACACGTGGAAGGCAAAGCGTCGATTCGATTTGTGCAAGCAAAGCATGCTGCGTGCTGGAATATCGCGAAACCTCGACACTATTTCATTTGTGTGTACACCATTTGGGAGCCATTCTCACAATGGCGACCGTCCGGCAAGTGCGGCAGACCGACTTCACGGCGGCGAAGGGCAACTCCCTCCAAGCGTGCATCGCGTCTCTCCAAGGCGTCGAGCTTGACACGGTGCCGAACTTCATTCTGGATCCCGCCGGCTACATGGCAGCCATCAACCGCTATCTGGCGCCACAGGGTTTGACCTTTGAGAAGATCACGTTGACCGCCAATGGCTCCGTGCCCGCTGACGCGAGCCGCCTACCGCCGGGTAGCGCGGTGGTCCTGCGCGGCAAGTCGCCACGTGGCGACTTTGGGCATGTGGTCGTGGCGCGCGTCGAAGCGTCTGGCGAAGCCTTCGAGCCGATCATGGATCCACACCCGGACGATACGTTCCTCGATGGCCCGGGCCAATGGGCTGGTGTCCTCGTCCCGACAACAAAGACGCGTGCATAGAATACAACGCAGTGAAATCTGGTCACATTACTCCTTCCAGCGATGTTGCAACCACGAGCAATGCACCATACACGTAGTAGGCTCATGGGCGTCGAGAGCTAAAGCCGCATCGACAAGCACGTTCTATTGCATCTCTCCACGAACTCGCTGCTTTTCCTTTGAGATACGCGCAAGTGCAGTCGATGCAACATGCGCAACGACCGGCTGGGAACGGCAACGGAAGGATTATCTGCAGTGAAGGGACGCTTCGTTTGGCAAATGACGTTTCAGCGTGAAGAAGCGCTTGAGTCTTACAAGCAGTGATGCGGCGGATGGATAGCCTTCGCAGTCGACTATTTCTGCTGCCAGTTGTCGTGGCCGCTCGCACCCAGACGACGATGAAGGAGGCCAAGGATCCAACCTTTGTCGACGACATGATTGCGATGCTGGCGTGGCTTCAACTGGGTTTGTACCTACCGATGCTTTTGTATTTTCTCTGGGCCCTTGTGCGCGACCCCGCGTTCGTAAACGTGCTGCAAGGTATCGGGACGCACGTGCGCACCCGGCTCTCCAAGCACCTCAGCGCCACCAAGTAAACTGTACTCGATTCATTCAAAGTGCAATGCTCTCACTTCAGACTCTGGATCAAAGCCGAGACATGCGGGTTGGTGGCGACATGGGGAAATAAGAACTATGTCTTGGTACCTTTGTGGCGAGCGCCGACGAAATAACGCAAGATGCGCATCGCTACTACAAGAGCACGCGCTGCGTTTGTGTCGGTACGCGCAGTGTGCGCAGCCACGTCGGTCGGCCTCTTGGAAGCGGTTTCCTGCTTCTACCTCGATCCCGGCCTCATTTCGTAGCCTCAAGACACATTGCGTCCAAGTAAACAGACGGGTGCGGTGCTACATGCCTACGTTGTACACGTGAGAAGGTAAACGCGTGTCGCTGTCCATAGCCGCCCGCTTGCGACCGCCCTGCCGTGCAACTAACGGGCCGGGCAGATGCTCAAGTGCTCAACACTACGCTCTTAGCCACTCGGTTTCGCTTCGTCGACACGTTGTAGCATCTACTAGAGTCGTTTTGACACGATGGCAGAACCTTTGCCGCTGCAAAGAATCGGAGCTCGAATCGGCAGGAATGCCTGTGTTTCGACGTCTCGGAGCTCGAAGCTGGTGCCACGTCATGGTGCACGTCGTGTGTCGTTCGTGTCGCCAAAGAAGAGGGCGATACGTTGTGAAAGAGTCTGTTTCTGCTCCGTCTGTTCAACTTACTCAACAATGTCTACCTCGATAAATCCGACTTCACTAGCGTCGACCATTTTTGCGGGGACGCGGTAGGGTTGTGTTTGGCGTTTTTGGATTAGTTTGTGATGTTTCATGTGTATATATATATCAACGTAACCTAGTACGCGCGAAGAGAGCGTCGTATCTTACATGAAGCCGGACCCGCGGATGTTCTGCTTCAAAATAATGTCTTTGCACGCGTTGAAGACGACTTGGACGTTTTGCGAGTCGGTCGCGCACGTCACGTGGTGGTAAATCTCCTTCTCGGGCTGGCGGTTCATCTCGAGAAACTTGGAGAGGAAGTACGTGACGCCTTTCTCAAAGTCGCCGAGACCGCCCTGAAAGTCCTTGAAGACTTCGACCGACTTGATGTCGATCTTGCGGATCTTTTCCTCAAAGAGGTCCTTCTTGTTGAGGAAGAGGATCATGGCCGAGTTGCCAAAGAAGCGGTTGTTGACGATCTCGTCAAAGAGCGTAATCGCCTCGATCATGCGGTTCGTACTCGAGTCTTCGTAGAGCGACTGGTCGTACTCGGAGAGCGCAGCGACAAAGATGACACTGGTCACGTCTTCAAAGCAGTGGATCCACTTCTTGCGCTCGTTACGCTGCCCGCCGACGTCGTACATGACAAAGGTCGCGCCGTCGATCTGGTACTTTTCTTCGACAATGCCGGACGTTCGGACGCGCGCGTACAGCATGTCTTGCTGCGTCGCCGTGTACTCGTCGGCCATGATGCGGTCAATGTCTTGAAAGTAGAATTTCACCGACTCGACGATCTGGAACTCGGCGCGGCGCGCCCACACCAGCTGGATGCCCGGGTCGTTCCAGAGGTTCTTGATCTTCATGCCCACCTTGGGCGTGACCTCGGCTTCGTCCGAAATGCCCTTGATGTCGTCAAAGTCGGACGTCGCCTTGACCTCGCCCTTGAGCTGGAGCTCGATGCACTGGTCGCAGAGGATCTTGATGCTTGTGACGAGGTTGTTGTATACGATCGGTGTGCAATGGCGCTTCTCTTCGTCCGTGAGCGGCATGCCGTATAGGAGCTTCATCTGCTTGAAGATCGTGCTCTTGCCCGACTCGCCGGCGCCGAGGAGGAGCAGCTTGACCTTCTCCTGCTCTTGCCGATGCGCCTCCTCGTTGGCCATGTCGAGCTCGCGCGACTTCGCCATGTCCTTGTCGTTGCCCGCGCCCGTGGATGCGCAGCCGCCCATGGTACCCGACTCGGCGAAAACGAGAAACAATGAATATGAAACCTGTAACCACCACGCTTTGGCTTGCGAGTATTTTTACTTAACCGGCGAAACCCACGATCCGGATACGAGCCACCAATCGCCGTCGCGAGGAATCGGCAGCGCGCATGTGATTGGACGCCGCTTCAGAGCCATCTTGAGGGGGCCATCTTCAACCGGTGAACACCCACGCGGCGGTTGTGTAGAAAGGGTGCCTATTTTCGGAAAACCGGAGCGTCTTTTCGTGGAAAATGCCGCGACAGTATCGTGACCGACGAGCACACACGGACCAAGAGCTACGACCTCTACCTTCCCGCGCCGTACAGGAGGCGGCCATACGCTTGAGACGCTTATTTTCGAGCCGAGTCCTCGACTAAGATCTTAAACACCTATGGCTTTGGCTGCCGAGAGGAACACTTGGAGAGATCGACTTCCTCGTGGGGAAGGGTCCTGTTGCATGGCGTCCATTGGCCCATTTGTGCGATCTTTCGTGACGATCTTATGTGTCATCCGGATACAACTCGTGTATCCGGTGGAATGCACATTGCACTTCGATGGCGACGCCAGACAAGCGCAACAATGGCGAGCTCACGTTCGAGTACGTGGCCGAGACAGGCGAGACGCTGGCGACGCACGAGTATGCAGCGTACCCGCTCAAGTTTCTTCGGCCCACGAGCGCGATATCGCTCGGCTTTCACACGAACGTCATCGTACGCTGACTCGCCTCGATGTGCGCTCACCAATGCACCTTTTCTAGTGCATCTTGGGCTACGGCGGCGGCCTCGTCTCGCGCGACCACACCAAGATCCACGTAGTCGCGAACGCATCGACCTCCGGTAGCATCGTTCTCTACTGTGCGAAGTGACCACACTCATGCATGCATCCTTTGCTCTAGCCGTGCTCTGTACGCAGGCTACAACCAAAGTCTTCAAGTGCATTCCAGACCCGGCGCGGGCCAACGACCGTACGAAGCAAGAGTTGCACGTGTCGCTGCACGCGCACGCGACATTCCTCCTCTTGCCCGACCCCGTCACGTGCTATGAAAATGCCAAGTACGTACAGCGCCAGGTCTTTGAGGTCGACGCCACCGCGACGCTCGTCGTCTTGGACTGGCTCACGAGCGGCCGCGTCGCGCGTGGCGAGCACTGGGCCTTCGACACCTACGAGAGCTGCAACGAGATTTACATGACGCATGCTGACAACGCGCCGTCTACGCCGCTTGTGATCGACCGCGTGCGGCTCCGGCAAGACGAGACGATCCCGCTCCGGACTCGCATGGGTGGTATGCATGTCATGGGCACCCTCGTGCTCTGCGGGCCGCGCGTCATGGCGCTTGTCGCGCAGCTTCTCGCCGACGGCGCGCGCAAGCAGCTCGCGCCGCACCAGTCGCCCGTGCCGTCGGGCCGCTTGGCGCAAAGCGACGTGTCGGACGTGCGGTCGGCCATTAGCCCCTTGGGCCACCACGGAGCGATAATTCGGTTTTGCGCCCACTCGACCGACGCTGCGTACGCATACATCAAGGACATCTTGGCGCCGCTCCACGACCTCGTCGGCTATACTTGTTTTCAGGAAAATCGCTAAGTTTAAACGATCTCATTGTCATTCGGATCATTTATCAAAATGGACTTTGGTTGGTCACATTCTCAGACGTCGTAGGAACGGACCGTGTCGTTCGTGAGAGCAGTGACCGTGCGTGCGTCTACAGTCACGATGGAGATACACGGTCGAGACAGGTGGTGAGTACATACGTGCTTGGTCATTGGGAGGCTCGGACGTCGGGTGCACCGAGACCGTTCGGACGGGAACGTTGTCATCGACTAGACAGACCAGCGTTACATGTCACATGTCGTCGTCTCCAGCGTACTACTACCTCGGGGCTCGTTGTACGGCCGCGCGATTTGGACGCGGAGCGGATGCTGGCGGAGGTTGTTGCCGTTGAGCGCCAAGGCCGCTGTGACGCTCTCGGCGTCCTGGTACGTGATGAAGGCGTGTCGACGCCCCGTGTCGAGCTCAATGCCTTCGATCGTGCCAAAGCGCAGGAAGAGTGAGCGGAGGTCGTTCTGGCTCGCCGCCGGTGCCAGGCCGCCAACGTAGACGCGGCGAGACCGCTGCTGGCGCTTGCGCGGCGCGTCGAGGCCGTCCGGTTGCTTGCGCTTGAGATTGGGCACAACGTCGCGCGTCTTCTCGGGCTGCACGAGAATGCGCCGGCCGCCAACGAGCGAGTTGTTGAGCTCACAGGCGCGAAACACTTCGGCCGACGACCCAAACGAGATGAACGCAAAGCCTTCGTGGATGCGAATCGAGAGGATGCGCCCGCTCGACTTGAAGAGGTCGCGGAGGACGCGGTCGGTCACGTTGGGTTCGAGGCGACCGACGTACGCGCGGCGAGGGTCGGCCGCTGTGTTGGCCGGTAACTTTGGCGGACGCGACGTCGGCGCGTGGCGAGGCGTCTCGAGCGGACCGGCCGGCAAAGCCTGCCGCGGCGACTCGAGTGGCCCGGCGAGCAACGACTGCCGCGACGTAGGGGGGAGGTCGGAGGACGAGGACCGGGGGGTGGGGGGCATGCTCGTTGATGTGATCTGCCGGGGCGTTTCCAAGAGACCCGACGGCGACGAAGAAGACGAGGCCGTGCGGGGTGTCTCGAGGAGGCCCGTCGAGATGGCGTAGCGAGGGGTGCTCAGGAGGCCCGGAGTAGTGGACGAGGCAGCGCGAGGCGCTTCATGTGGCGAGGTGGAGCGCCGGGGGACAAGGTCCGAGGAAGGCGGAGCCGGAGGGCGTCCCAGTGGTGCGGCGTCGCGCCGCGTGCTGGGCAGCGACTGCTGCGGAGGCGAGTGAGGCGCGGGTGGTCCGCTTTGGGACGGAGGCACGATTCGCAGAGGGGGTAGTGGCTCGTTGGGGACGGGGGTAGGGTGGGGCACGGTGTTCGTGGTGGTGGTGGGGGTGGGTGGACTGATCTTGCTCTCATCGACAGACTGGGGCAAAAGGTCTTCCATCCAAATGACCTTGGACGCGAACTGCTGGATGTCGGGAACGACCGACGCGCGGTAGCCTACGTCGTCGCGTCAGCGCTGTAAGTCGTCGACTGAAGACGCACCGACGATCCAAAGCTCTTTTCGGCGAATGTTGCGCACATGGTCCAGCGTATCGTAGAAGTCGCCGTCCCCTAACGCCAAACATTCTAGTCGACTAAAGTCACTTGCAGTCGCACCAGCAAAGAGCACGACGCGGTCCGCCATCTACACATTGCTTTACCACCTGCCTACGAGGAGTCAGACGTACGTCTTCGTACGTGAGCGAGAGCATCTTGGTCGCCAGTCTAGATGGATCTTGCATGTGTCCTTGCCTCTCTGCGTACGAGCGTACCCGTTCCCGACGCCTTTCTCGACTTGGTGGGAAACGCCATTGCCGCAGCTCGGGCAAAAGCACTTGCACGCCTTCATTGGGTACAACCGGACTTGAAACTAGCCAAGTCGTTGGCATGAGAGACGTGTGCGGTAGTGAAGCAGGCGACGACCTGCGGGCCAAGCGGCGGCGCGAGCTTGAGCGACGAGACAAAGGCGCTCTGGCTCGGAAGCGGGCTCTTCGGGTTGTCCATGCGCTCGTTGTCATAGTACCAGCACTCTACAAGACGCTGTCATTCGCACGAAGCAGCGACGAGAGGCGTACCGCTAAACTCGCCGCCAACAAGAGTCTCTAGCGCGGCTCGCAGCTGCTTAAAGTCCAACGGACCGCCAACCTAATGGTGCTCATGTGAAGGCCATTGGTGGTGGTGTCGTCGTCGGCCTACGAGGGCGCGGGCGCCGCTGGCGGCGTAGCTTCCATCTACCAGATGGCAAGGATGAAGCATGGTCCATGCGACGGCGGCTACCGATGAAGAGCACGTTGCGGAAGGGCTTGGCCATTGTCGGTCGCGCTGACTTGGGCTTTGTGCCAGACGCAGCCAATGAAACGACGTCCGAAGCGTTGATTGGTCAAAATGATGGTGCAATTGACAACAACCATGCTGTGGATTGGTTGGCATGTACGATTTCAGCCAATCACTACATCGCAACGGTTGATGACAGTTTTGTCCACTGGTAGCAACCAACGCGTCCAACCGTAAAACTGCCGACAAAAGCGTCGAGCACTTTTGTCGTATCTGCTCTACATACCAAGTGTTTGCGGCTCAGAACACGTGTCCACCCAGTGTTTCTACGTCATTTAGCAGCTCAACTTTCCCACACATACGGTCTAGGGCTAGGGTAGCTTCGCAACGCAATATGTCCCTTGCATCGAACACTCGAAAGCAAAGGTCCTAAAAATCGCTATCGTCGTCCGTGTCTTGGTCGTCCGCAGCGTCATCGTCGCTGTTGTCGTCGTCCGAGAAGCAGAGGTCAATGACTTCATGGTTCCGCGCCGCAGCGGTTTCTCGCACATTTCTTGGTCGTGCAGCTACGTACCCCATATAGCAACCTCGCGCAATCCTTTGGCGCCACGTACCGGGCCACGCATCCGAGTCGCAGTCTGCTTCGACCAAGTCAACCATGCGATTTGCTGTCTTGATCTCGCCTACACACATGAGTGTCTTGCCATCTTGCTACCCAATGCAAGCGCACCTGGTTGATTCTTCTTTGGGCCTTCGGTCGGCGTTTCGACGCGGAGCACGACGTCTTGGCGGCGGGACCCGTCGAGGCGCTTGGCCAGGGCTACGCTCGCTTCGTCGCGGAATGTGATGTAGCACGACCGCACCGGGAGCTGGCCGCTATCCAGCACCACATGCTCGATCGCGCCAAATGGGCCAAAGAGCGCGCGCACGTCACGTTCGGTAGTCCCTGGCACGAGACCATTCACGAGCACGCGGCATGGTGCTTTTGCCGATTTCGATTTTGATTTCGATTTCTTTGGTTTCTTGCTGGTCGGTGCCTCGGGCGCCACTGGCTGCTGCTTGCGCTTGGACAATGCGCGCGGCGCTGCTGCGGGCAACGTTGTTGTCGTCGTCTCGGGCGATGGCGATGGCCGCTGCTTTCCATTGGGTCGCTCGTGATTGACCACGATGCGTCGGTCGAGTAGCTTGGTGTCGTTGAGCTCGCACGCGAGGTCGGCAGCATCGTCTGTGGGAAAATCGATAAAGCAAAAGCCGCGGGCCGCGTGCAGCCGCATCGAGAGCATCGGGCCGCAGTGCTCAAACGCCTCGTGCAAAAGGGCTTCGGTCGTTGCACTCGGTAGTCGACCCACGTACACACTGTGCCGCGTCGTGGAAGGCACCGGGGCGCCGCGGCCTGGCGCCAATGCTGCGGATGGCTGTTGCGTGATGTTACGGAGGTCGTTCATCCAAATGACCTTGGACGCCAGCTGTTGGAGGTCGGCCGAGACCGAGTCGCGGTAGCCTATTGCGGCATGACGCACCAATGAAGAGAGGGTCACACGCACCGACGACCCAAAGGTCTTTTCGGCGAACGTTCCGGACCAAGTCGAGCGTGTCATAAAAGTCCCCGTCCCCTAATACGGGCTCCGGCCAAGCGCTCGTAGATGGCGTCTACCTGCAAAGAGAACGATGCGATCGGCCATCTACGCAGCTGTCAAGCCTCCGAGATCGCAATAGCATGGCGTACGTCTTCGTAGGCCAGCGAGAGCATCTTGGTCGCGAGGCTACGGCCATGTGAGATTACACGCGCGGACGTACGCGAGGTATACCCGTTGTCGACGCCCTTCTGCACGTGCTGCGTAAAGCTGTGGCCGCAGCTCGGGCAGTGGCATTTGTACTTTTTCATCGCGTACATTTTTACTTGAAACTAACGCACTGTGATGCAGCGTCGTCAGCATCGTCGTCGTACCTGCGGGCCGAGAGGCGGCGCGAGCTTGAGCGCCGAGATGAACGGATTCTGGCTCTGGTACGCGCTCTTGGCGCTAATGGGCTCGTGGTCAAAGTACCAGCACTCTACCAGAGAGCAGTGGTCAGCACGGGTTGCAGCATCGTCGCGGAGGCACCGCTAAACTCGGCGCCGACTAACGTCTCGAGCGTGCTTCGCAGGAGCTTAAAATCGATCTTGCCGCCGGCCTAAAGCGCGTGGCATAAGGCCAACGCGATGCTTGCAATGCCGTTGCCGTACGAGCCCACGGGCGCCGATCGAAGCGTACTGTCCGTCTAATGAGATGTAGCTGCATCGTGCCAAGCTCCAAGCTACGCCGTGGCGTACCGATGATGAGCACGTTGCGGGAGGCGCCAGTCGTAAGGGCTGCCGGCCGCACGCCGGGCGTCGAGTCGGTCATGGCCCGATCGTTGGTACTTGTGTGCGCAAAGTATTTGGATTGGACAAAAAAGCGCACTTTAATCCAATGACATGGCGCTCATTGGGCTGCTTTTACTTTATTTAGCCAATCCACGTCCAACCAGCATAGCACAGTTCCGTTGGCGCTTCATCACGAGAGCATCATGCGAGCACGGTGACGCTTTGTAGTGACTTGAAGTCTCCTTGTTTCTCCTAAACTCTCGAAAATCGACTGATTAAAAAACATGACGGACGTGTATTCTAGTAGGTAGACTCCAACTACAATCGTGGCAGCAACCACCAAGTCCTATGTTAATAGGAGCAGTGCTCACACCGATGCGAGGACAAGATTTGCATGCCGTTGGACCAGCTCCGAGATCTGAGATCTGAGCTCCTAGATCTGAGACGTCAACACCCGGGGCGTTGCTGCAGGAATGCATCGTCGATCGATTCTTTGCAGTGGAGAAGGTTTAGTCCTTGAACTACAAGCGACTAGAAGGGTATTGTGTCAAAATTGAGTCGCAAAGAGCGTCCACACTTTGAAATTGGCTCGTCCCAGTCGCACCGCGTCCTACGGAGGGTGGTTCGACCACCCAGTTGACGATGGTCCCGTGAAACGCATAGCATCTTTAGTTAGTCGCGACGACGAATCGACTAATCCGCGTTGTGAAACGAACAACACCAACCGTCGTACAAGAAAGCAGCATGCCCAAGGTGACGCTGGTCGGCGCGACGTGCGTCGTCTCGGTCGCGGCCGTCGCCGCCAACGCCGTGACACTGCCGCTGCGCGCGCTCGTCATCAGTTCCCGCGCGCTCCTCGATACGCCGCCCGCGCTTCTTGTGCTGGACTACGCCTTTGATGCAATCATGCTGCTTATCTCTCTCGTGCAGCTGCTGCGCCGGTCGCCGCACCGCCACCGGTGGCTCGAGCTGCTCGCGTTCGTGCCCTTTGACGTGGCTGTGGCGCTCGCGGGATACGAAGGCAATTTTGGCTTCTTTCGGCTCAACCATGTGCTCGCGATCGTCCCGCTCTGGCGCAACTTGCGCATCGCCGAGGGGTACTTCTGGCGGCTCTCGGTGCAGAAGCGGCGAACGCTCTACATCCTCCTCATCTTGCCGATGGCGTCGCACTGGTGCGGCTGCTTTTGGTTCTACGTCGCGTACCTCGAGCGGCATCACGACCACATGTGGATCAATGCGTCGTTGCACAAGCAATTTTACAACGACTCGACGACGCGCATGTACCTCCGGTCGGTCTACTGGGGCGCGACGATGCTCACGACCGTCGGGTTTGGCGACGTGACGGCCGTGACCTTCCCCGAGACCATCTATGCGATTATGGTACGTGGCAAAATTTTGAATTTTTTAATTTGATATGTTGAAACATTGATATACATGGCGATGTAGGTCATTTACATCGGCATCTTTGTGTCGTGCGCCTCGATCGCGTCGGTGGTCAAGCTCATGGAGCACGCAGATCGGAACGAAATGGCGCTGCAAGAGATGCTCGACGATGTCTGCGGCTACCTCGAATGGCGCGGCGCGTCCATCGAGCTCCAAGACCGCGCGCTCGTGGCGGCAAAGGCCGCGTTTGTGCCCGAGCTCAACGCGACCGGGGCCGAGCTCGAGACGACGCTGCCGTACGCGCTCCGGTCGCGTCTCCAGATCGAACGAGAGGAGGCGATTCTGCACGGCGTCCCGCGCTTTCACCACTTTAGCAAAAGTTTGCGGCAAGCCATCTCCGAGCAAGTGGTCTACGTCAACAAGGCGCCCGGCGACGTTCTCCTACTGGCCGACGCGCCGCTCGACGGCCTCTACTTCTTGCGCATGGGCGCGGCCGAGTTTCGATCGTCGGACGACGCGGTCTTGCGCACGCTGCGCGCCGGCGATTTTTTCGGCGACCAATCGCTCTTCCAGAAGGGCGACTGCGTCCCGTTCACGGTCGTCTGCACCGCGCCAAGCGAGTTTGTGTTCTTATCAGCGCGCAAATTCCGGGAAGTCGTCGCCACCGAGCACGCTGTGCAAGGTCTCGACGACGATGACGAGATGTGGACGAAAGAGGGCGACATCCTCATGCAGCACGAGAGCAGCAGCTCGAGCGCCCGGAATGGTCGTCGCCGCCGGTGCCGCCTCAACGCGTCCGACTACTTGCCCAACTCGATGTTTCGGCGTGTCTGGACGCTTCTCTCGCTTCTCGGACTGCTCTACAATGTGTATGCTGTGCCCCGAGACTGTGCGTTCTTCCAGTCCCACAACCGGTTTGAGAACCTCGACCACGAAGCCATGGCCAACCTCCTCATCTTCTGGTGCTTTGACATCTTCTTTGCGACCGACTTCTACCTCCATTGCACGCGCTTTGCCGTCGAACACGATGGAACGATCGTCACGGAGCGCCGCAAGATCCGCAACCTCTTCCTGCGCTCTGGGTGGTTTTGGGTCGACGCCGTCTCGATCTTACCCCTCGACGCGCTCGGGCTCGTGAGCGGCATGCGGGATCTCCCCTTCTACCGCCTCAACAAGGTACGCCCATCTATCAATCAATCTATCAATCTATCTATCAATCTATCACGTGCCTCACGACGACGCGCTAGATTCTGCGCTTCTTGCACTTGATCGAGTACTTTCAGGTCGCCGAGGCCATGCTGCTCTCGCGCTTCCACATCCACGTGTTTGCCCGCCGCATCCTTCGTATTCTCTCCATTCTTGTGCTCTCGGGGTACATTGTCGGGTGTTTCTGGTACTATGTCGCCCAAGTCACGAGCGACGCGTACGGTGGCGCGACGTGGGTCGCGATGGACCAAGGCAACGACGACTACTACTTCCAAACGTACGCGCACAACCGGTTGTACATCATCCGGTCCATGTACTTTGGGTACATTGGCGGCTCGACGCTTGGGTTTGGCGATATTGTGCCCGTCAACCCGTACGAAACCTTGGTGGCGACCATCATGCTGCTCTACGGTGCGATCATCAAGCCAGCGCTCGTCGGGTCGGTCGCGTCGCTGCTCTTGACGCGCAACAAGGCCAAGCTCTCGCAGCAAAAGACACTGATTGGGTACAACCCCAAGTGCAAACTCAAATGTGCAAACTCAATATGGTAGGTTCAAGTGGCTCGTCACTGCACACAAGCTCCCAAAGGTGCTCAAAGAGCGCGTCCTCATGTATTTTGAGTTTATGTGGGACCACGAGTATTATGAGAAGGAGACTGCCATTCTGAGCGTCCTCTCACCTCTGCGTTGGGAGATCATGCGCAGTATGTGCCGCAACGGCCACCCCAAAGCGTGGTTCTTTGGCCACATCAACGACGACGGCATGCGCCAGATCTACGCTCTCTTGGAGCCGCAGCTGTACATGCCCCACGCCACCGTGAGTTTGCCGGAAGGGGCGCTCGGCATCCTCAACACGGGCACGCTCTTCCGCGCGTCGTCGAACGAGCGCCACGAGATATTTGAAGAAGGCTCGCTGCGCCTCCGCACCTTTGGCATCGAGTGCTTTGTGCAGCATGGCATGCCAGAGGCGGACGCGCAGGCACTCCGGGAGACGCACGCGTTCTCGTACGAGACGGACGACCTCTTTTGCGAGGTGCTCCTGCTGCGTGCGCCGGGCGTCGAGGCGATTCTGGCACCGGCCGGGCAGTGGGCCCCGCTGCTGCGCGACATGCTGCTGCACTTACACGGTGACGACGCCGAGGCCATCGCACTGAGTATTCAAACCGCACCTATGCCCGAGGACGCTACGAACGACGACGGTGAAGCGCCGGTGCCCGCCAAGTACAAGCCATCCCATGTAGTGCCCAGTGGGAGTCCAAAGCGCAACTCGCCAACGCGCCGGAAACGCGCCGCGCTCAAGCTCATGATCAAGTCGGCGGCGGCCAAAGAAAAGGACTTGCTGCGGTCGAGCCGATTCCACCCAAAATCGCGCTTCCGGAAGGTGCTCTCGGTGCTCGTTGTCCTCGCGCTTCTCTACAATGCGTTCCTTGTACCATTCCGGCTCGCGTTCTTCTCGTCCTTGCAGCCGCCGTCGTACCTCTACGGCTTTATCGTCGACTACGTACTCGACGTGCTCTTTGTACTCGATGTGATTGCCAAGTACAAGTTCAAGCTCATGAGTCTCCGCCTCGAAGGAGCGACGCGCCGACTGCACTGGACCGTCTTTGCAGCCCTGAAATGGGACATTGTGTGTGCGCTGCCCATGGAGCTCTGCTTTCTCGGGCTCCTCGCCAACCGCCCGGACCTCGTTGTCGCGATTCTCACGATTTGCCGGCTTCCCAAGGTCGTTCGGCTCCGGTACTTTGTCGTCCGCATTCGGGAGCTCGCCAATACGGCCGTCCGCGCCCGTCCGCAGCTCAACGACCTCGTGGTCGCGTGCCGGTACTTTCTCTTCATTCTCTTCTTCTCGCACTTGCTGGCGTGTGCGTGGCACTACCTGGCGTTTGCCGACAAGGGCATTCTGCCGTGGTCCGAAAATTGCAACTTGCTTGACAACACCCACGTCAACGACGGCTTGAATCCTGGCAACGTCACGCTGCGGGCCCGTTGCCTCTTTGACGGCACGTGGATCGAGTACCAAATGAAAGGCGGGTACCTCCCGCCCGACGGCGGCACGATCTGGGAGCGCTACTCGCGCTGCTTCAACTTTGGCATCCAGATGCTCCTCGTCGTCTCGAGCGGCATCATTGTGCCCGTCAACATGGTCGAGACGTTCTTTTGCATCATTGCGATCTTCGCCGGCATCTTCTTTAGCGCCGGCAAGATTGGCGTCATTGGTGAAATCGCGCTCAAGGTGGACTCGCTCTCGGCGTCGATCCGCCAAAGCACAGACGCGCTCAGCAAGTACATGGAGTTCCATGAGACGCCACGAGAGCTCAAGGACCGAGCACTTGGCTTCATGGAGTACCTTTATCGGAAGCGCAACAAAATCCTCTTTCAAGAAGAAGAGGTTGTCACCATGTTGCCGCAGCAGCTCCAAGACGACATCCTCGCCCACTGCAAGCGCGACCGGCTCTCGCTCTCGCCGCTCTTTGCGTCGGTGCCGGACGATGCGCGCAGCGCGGTGGCTGCCGCCATGCGCCACAAGTACTATGCACCGAGTGACGTCGTCGCGACCGCCGGCCGCCATACAGGCGCCATGTTCTTCGTCAAGCCCGGTAGCTGCCAGTACCTCGACCCGACGATTCCGTCGAGCGAGAGCAAGCGGCTGAGCGCGTTTGGCGCGCGGAGCCTCCTCTTTGACGAGCCGCAAGAGCACTCGATCTGCGCGTGCACGTTTACCGAAGTGTACGTCCTTCGGCAAGCAGGTCTTGAGTCGCTCGATGCTTTGTTTCCTTATCTGCGCGGGTTTTTGGAGTCGGCGCTCGCGACCGAGGTCGACGTGGCGGTCGACGCCACCGACGCGCTCTCCAACCACGTTCCGGACGACGACCCGGACGAGCCGACGCTTCCGACCGCGCCGCAGAGTTGGCGCGTGCCCGACTCGCATTTTCGCCGGTTCTGGGATGCGCTCTTGTTTTGGACAACGCTGTACGTGCTCGTGATGCTGCCGCTGCGTGCGAGCTACCTCGTCGAGACGCGCTTCACCGGGTTGTATGAGCTCACGGCCTGGTACCTCGGTGACGTGCTTGCGATCTTGCTATATGCACTCGATACGTACTTGAGCTTTGACCACTTTGTCTTCATGGACCACTCGAAAATGATCTTCAACCGCATGCGGATCCGCGAGAATTACCGACCGTACCTTGCGCTGGACTTTGTCACGATCGGTCCATACTACCTGCTCGCGCTGCATCTTGGTGTCCCAAGCCTCAAGTTTCTCATGATGCCGCTCTTGCTGCGGGCGAAGCGCTTTCCGCGCTACCTGCGCCGCTTCTCGCGCAACTTTCAATACTACTTTTGCCGGCTCAGCGGCAGCGTGATCCACATTCTGCACTGCATCCTCTACTACGTCGTCATGGTGCACTGGTGGGCGTGCATCTGGATGTTCCTCCATCGCTACGTCGAGGTCCACTCGCCGCTCACATGGGCCGTCCGGGACCCGTACATGGGCGGCGGCGCGCTCTCGAAATGGAACGCCACGTCCCAGACACACGACATTTGCCGGAGCATGGTTGCCTGCTATGCGCGTACGTCTTCATTTTCCGGAATTGTTATGATTTTACTGCTTTTTGTCGCATTTTCTGTCGACAGTGCGCTTATCAAACTATTGCTTAGGGGCGTACTACTTTGTGATCTCGTTTGTGGGCACGATTGGCCTCGGCGACGTGGTTACGGGCGGCCACCTCGAGTACTTGTTCGAGGACATTGAAGCGCTCTTTGGGTCCTTCTTCTTTGCCGCGCTCACGTCGTGCTTTGCCACGTATTTTCAATTTGCCGATACGTATGGAAAAGGCGCGACGCAGGCCAAGCTCAGCGGCCTCGCCAGCTACTTTCGCGCGGCGCACACCACCAAGCCCACAGCACGCGCGATCGTCGCCAACACCAAGCTCTGGTGTCTCCGCAGCGGCAGCCTCGTCGAAAAGTCGGTCGCGACCTTGCTGCCCATCCCGCTACGCATCGAGCTCGCGAACCATGTGCAGCGCGCGCTCCTCGAGACGTCGCCGTTCCTCCAGGCGTCCGACGTCTACGTGCGCCACAAGCTCGTGCTTGCCCTCCATTTTCAAGTCGTGTGCGCCTCCGCGACGCTCTATGGGCTTGGCGGCCCGCTCGACGAAGTCGCCTTCGTGCACAGCGGTGAGCTCAAGCTAGCGGAAGCGCCGTCTGTGCGAGGCACCGTCGGCTGCCACGTCGGGGCAGGTGTGGCCGGCGCCTGCCTCCACACGGTCGTCGCCGTCTCGCACCTCGAGCTGTACGTGCTCGACGCCAACGGCAAAGCCGACGTCTTGGAGGCGATTGCGGCGCCGCACCGCGAGAGCTTCCTCGCGTCGCTCGACGCTGCGTCCTTGCACCATACACTCGCCCATGCGCACGGCGGCCTCTCGCGCCAGCATGCGCGGGTCGGCGCCTCGGACGACGAAGAGGACGAGGATGAGGACGAGGATGCAGAGAACCCGGACGAGCTCCCAGCGTGGCTCGCGCTGCCGCAATCGTTCTTTAAGTGATGCGAACGTTGTTACTTCGGCATTACGCAGAGTTGCCGGCCACTGACGACGCTCCAGCGCCGTCTTTGGCCGCGGATTACTCACCCTTCTCGGCCCCGCGTTGTCGCACGCAGAGAATGATGGCCACCCAATGCATACATTGTCAATGACACGCGCCGCCTCTCGCCCGTCGACGGGGCGTCGGCCATGGCTGGTTGTACCGAGGAGGAAGCTATGGGCGTGTTCTTCTTGCTTCTGTGCACTGCGCCTGGAGCGACTAGGAGACTTCAACAAAAACGGCAACCTCAAGAAAGGCCAACAAGGTGTAGGTATTGGGAAGGTTCAGTTAGGTACGGCACACATCGCATTATGATTGGCGGATAATGCGTGCCATGCTGCGATGCCATTGGTGCTCGCTCGGATATTCCTTGGACTTGCGCGAGACAGACACGGCCAGCTGTTGCACTCTGCCACTTGCGCCATCATGGTCGAGACGCGCGTCCGAGCGGCGTCGAGCAGCTCGGCCGACGCGCCCACGGCGGCGCAGCACGAGGCCAAGCGCCGACTTAGCAAGACCGAGATCGAGTCGCACCAAGATCGCCCCGAGTCGGACGACTTTGACGATGAGGCCGATACCTTTGGCAGCCCGTCGCTCAAGAGCATCTACTCGGTCGCCGCCACGTCGTCGACACGCCCCACGCGCACGTCTTCCTTTACGGTACAGGTCATCCATGTCATGCTAGATGCCCACGCGATGTGCTAGGACGTCGAGACGGTCTCGCTCAACTGCTCGGCCTTTGGCAAGTTTCGCGACCAGCGCTTCCAGACGCGACCGGCGTCCAAGATGGCCAACTTTTTCCGCCGTCGGTCGCTCTCAAAAGCGAGCAGCTCGGTCGCGCAGCCAACGACGTTCACTGAGAACGACATCCACATGGCCGGGTACCTCTCGAAGCGCGGGTCATGGCGCAAGAACTGGAAGCAGGTACGCCTCTTGCGGATGACCATAGCGACAGATTGTGCACTTAGCGGTACTTTATCTTGCGCATTGACCACCCGAGTTTGTGCTACTGCGACTCGGAGCAAACGCTCGAGCTCGTGGGCCAAGTACCGATCACCCCCAACACGCGCGTCATTGACAACTCGATTGGGTGCCAGAAGGCGCCGTTCTACTTTGAAGTGCACACGCCCCGCCGTGTCCTGTACCTAGGTGCGGGCACCGTGCAGGAGCACCGCAAGTGGATCCGGTCGATTCGCGAGACGGTCGAGCTCGTCCGGTCGCGCGAGATTGGTGAAAACTATGTGACGCAGTCGTGCGTTGTACGGCCGTCGCCGACGGACACCAACCGCCCGACCGCGTCGTCGATCGTCTCGTCGTCGCTGCACCGCGCACCCTCGTCGCTCGACGACGACGCGGTGCTCGTCGCTATGAACAGCAACGACGCGCTCGACGGACGCTACGACCTCCGGATCGAGCTCATCGTCGACGAAGAGAACGAGACCGCGGCCTTCTATGTGCTGCTCGAAGGGCTCGTGGCGGGCGACTGGAAACCGATTGGGCAAACCGACGTCTTCCGGTGCTCGGACGACGACGCGGTTGACCGCGTGAGCTACCGACACCCGTTCGCAGTGCTCTTTGAGCTCAAAACCGACAAGGTGGCCGAGTTGCGCTTCTCGCTCTTTCGAGCGACGAGCGCGGCCGACGACGTCTCGTTCGGGAAGACCCCAATCGCGATGGCGCAGTCGGAGCTCGCGCTGCTGCTGCCGTATGCCCTCGTGTCGTCTGGCGGCATTGACTTGGACCTTGTCTCACCCAAGTCGCTGCGGTCGTCGCTGAGCCAGTCCCGTCGCAACCTCCTTTCTCAAGTACGTTCTCTAGACAACAGCGCCGATCGCTGAACCCTGATTCAAATGAGTAGGGTCTCTCGTCGCTGCGCGGATCGGTGCAGCGCTCGATCGCGGCGGACGACGAGCTGCAAATGTACCTGCATGTGACAGCGTACGCGCAAGAGCCGAGCGTCACGGTCGGGCTGCCCCAGACGTCGCACGTCGTCGCGCATCAAAAGTACGTCGTGCCGACAGCCACGTCGGCATTTGGCCTCGTGATCGACGAGACGCTAAGCGTGCCGGACGCGACGTTTGCCGTCCCAACCGCATTCATCCAATACCTGCAGCGGGAGCTGTCGCGGCGCCTTGCGACGCTACCAAGTGACAAGGCCCTCTTGCGTGACGCTTATGCGTCAATGACCTCCGACTATGACGAGCTGCTGACGTTTCTTCGTGGACCGGCCAAGACCCACGGCTTTCGCAAGAGCACGCTCAAGAAGCACCACGAGTGGCAGTGGGTCGCAACGAACCTGCACCTCCAGGCCATGCACGTCCACAACGGCTTGGAGCGCGTCGGTGTTTACACGACGCTGACCATGGGGGCGCCGGCTGCCCACAGCCGCGGCTTCACCAACGGCGGTGGCTCCCGGCTCCTTCGAGCGCTCCACGACGGCCTCCGTGACGCCAACGCGACGCAGAAGCGCAAGATGCGCAGCCACGTCCCGATCACGAGCTTTGACTTGCTCTCGATGCCGGCGTCCTTGTGCCCGCCGCCCGAGACCTCGGTGAAGGCCTACTGCCCGCTCACGACCACGTGCAAGGCGTGGGTCGACGTCGAGATGCGCATGCACGCCGTATGCGCGCAGATCCTCTCGGCGGTCGTCGCCCATGTTGAAGCGCTCTTGGAGCTTGCGGCCAACGGGTCGGCGTACCACCGTCGTGCGCTCTTGACGGTCGAAGACGTCGGGCTCCTGCTGAATTTCGAGTCGCTCCTCTCGACGCATGGCAATGAAGCTGGGATGCTCGAGGACTTTCAAGCTGCGTGCATGTGGCTGGACCGCGTCTCGTTTGTGTTTGATCCGGCTGTGCAAACCGTAGCGTTTGAGACGGCGGCCAACGGCGACGTCGGCGTCCGTCTCCGCTTGCCGATGCACTTGTCGTCGGCGCTGCCGCCGCGGCTGCTCGCGGGCCAAGCCTTCCGCGTCATTGCTGTCCTCTTCACCCAAGGCATCAACGAAATGCAGTCGCTCGCGCATGCGATGCGGAGTGCGACGACGCAGACGCAAGACGAGATCAACCACGAGAGCTACCTCCGGCTCAAGCGGCACTACGTGGCGTTCAAGACGGCGGGGCTCGGCGGCGACGTGGCGGCGCTCGAGAGTCTCTGGCGCACGATCGAGACCAGTGTGCTCCACCCGATGGCGCACAAGAAGAACGTCGGGCTGCTTGTCGCGACGTCCGAGTTTTGCCGATCGATTGGTGGCGGCCGCACCACGTGCTGCAAGAGCGGGAAGGACCGCACCGCCATGTCGGTGACGCTGGAGCAAGCTCGGATTCTGACCAACGAGTGGAAGGTATAGACTTTCGACTCTCGGGGAATAGGGTCCGCAAGAGGAATATGCTGTGTAGGCGATCAACGGCCGCCTCGTGTGTGAGACGATGCGGCTCTGCGGCGTGCGGCGCACCAATGTCTTTATGAACATTCAGTCGGAAAAGTTTGCGTTCAACGAGCTCCAGCGCAAACTGCTCCCCGATTGCTACAAACCGCCCATGGGCACGTACAAGTCGGGGCGCACCTAGTCGTGTCCGTCGACACGCCGACGACGCTTCCACCTCGTTTTGCTCCTATTAATCGTCCAACGTGTCAGTCTCTCCGTGCTTTGGTTTAATGGGGTTCCCGGGTTCTGATCAACGAGGAGCGCAGCAGAGCAATAGGGAGCACACGTTCAACATCAGAAGCCAGTAGGACCGGCAACCATCCTCGATCAACGCACATCGAGAGGCGGTTCGACACACAAATGCAATGGGCTTACCGTATGTTCGAAGTCAACCCTAACCACCTCTTCGAGTCGCCCTTCATATCGGTCTGCGCAGGTCACGCTATCTGTAGCTTGTCTACGTATCGCATACGCGCCATGAACAGAGTCCGAAGCAACCAACATGCAGTCGAGTTTCGCGAGGGTGCCCTTCCGCTCGGTTGGCGAGTTTGCTGGCGAGAGTTGATGCGCATAAATGGATTCGGTCACACACACCGTCTTTGCGGCGTCTTCTTGCATTTACTGTGTACACATTGTCTGCTACTTGGTTGTCGATGAACCCTAGATAGCTCGGCTAATGAAGCTAAGGAGCCAACGGAGTGCAAGTGTCCAGCCGCCCCGTGCCCTCGCCATATCTCGAGATTACGGTACTAGACTACCTGTCCGATGGTCACTGACATAGCCTCCTGGCCTATTCTTCCAGTTACGAGTGGCCAACGTGCGCGAGCTGGCCGTCGCGCGTCCAGGCCACTTGCGAGCGCGGCTTCGTGACAAACATGCCCGAGTTGCGCAGCCATTGGACCATCTCGGGCGTGAGCACTGTCGGCACGTGCAGCAACTTGGATGGTGGCGACACGACGTCGTCTTCCGCGTTGTTTCCAACCACAGTCGTTGCCTCGACCACCTTGACCTTGGGTGGATGCGAGACGAATGGCTTGGGCAGCGGTGTAGGTCGTGGTGCACTTGGTGCGATAGCAGGCTCGGATGGCTCGTCGCTGCTCGTGCTGCTGCTACTACTCGAGTGGTTGCTGTGGGCGCGGTGATGGGACGCGACCATTGCCCGCGCTGGCAACTTGGCGCGTGACACGGGCCGGAGCTTGTCGAGCTCGGCGAGGCTTGAAGCCCGCTCGATGGCCGAGTCGTATTGCAGAACAAAGAACGGATCGACACTGGGCGTGCCCGTCCACGTAGCGTGTGACGTCTCCCTATACCATAGCGTCGTTCTTGTCGGCAAGCGTACGCACACAGCCTACCACGTGCGCTTGGGGCGCCGCCGCTTGCGTCGCTTGAGCTGCTTGGGACCAGGAATTTTGATGCGCGGATACAGGATCGTCTCATGCGGCGCTGCTGCGTCGGGCTCCTCGGCGGGCGGCAGCGATGCCGGCGGCGGTGCCTCTGTCGCTTCGTTGTCGCTCAAGTTAAGGTGTGCGAGCTCTGTCATGGCCCTGACCATGGCCACAAAGCGCTGGCCATGGGTCGAGGCAAGGAGTGTGGGCGGAGGAGGCGGCGCACGCGTCGGTTCTGGCACCCGCGCCCGCGCCGCGTCGCCTACAAGCCCAAAGGACGGCGGCGGCGCCTCAACAAACCGAACCTTGGGCATGGGATGGATCTTCCGAAATAGAAACGGCAATGTCGCTGCAAGCGTCGTGCCTTCTGGCACTGGCCGACGCGTTGACCAGCAGCACGACCGACGTCGACACCTTTGCAGCCGCCACGTCATCCTTGTACGCAATCCCGTGGCGCAGTATCCTTGAAAGCTAAGTAGACCCGTGCACTTGCGCCATGGGCTCTGGTGCTTCCTCAAGGTCAAGGACACGTGTTCGCGCGCCGTGCTAACCGCCGTCTTGAGCGATGAATTCGAAGACGTGCATGTGACTGGCTACAAAGGCGACCTCGCTGCGTTTGTCGACGCGTGGCGAGACACGAACGTCGGCTGCAGCGTGGCGACGCTGACGCTCTCGAGCCTTCCGTGGACGGCCGCCGACTTGTTTGTGATTCTCGACGCACTCCCGCAGCTTCGTCTTTTGGACGCTGCCTATGTCAACGCCCTCCACGACGAGCACGTGCGCAGTGTCGTGGCGTCGGCGCCAATGTTGTGCGAGCTGCGCTTGAGCTGGTGTTCTCTTGTGACCGACGCCGCCATAAGGCACATCGTCGCCCACGTATCTGAGACGCTTCAAGTGCTCTTCATTCCCGGCTCCGCCGTCACGACGCACGGTGCGTCCTAAGGTCTCTTGGGCACGACATACACTAGTAGCGTAGGTGTTTTGCAGCTGGCGGCGTGCAAGCAACTGCGGCAGCTCAACCTCCAAGGTACCTCGTCGTGACAGCAGTCGAGGTCATGACATTGACTGGTAGCTTGCGACCGCGTGGACGGCTTGCCGCTAGGGCTTGATCATCTCACGCATATCGACGTGCGAGGACTGAGCTGCGTGCCCAACGACACGTTGATGGCGGTCTTGGAACGTACGTCAGCCTTTATAAGTGTGCTTCAACAAGGTAGATACGAACTAGCGGTGTGGCCGCAGCTGTGCCACGTGAGTCTCGGTGAGAGCAGTCTGAGTGGATCTGCGTGGGTGCAACTCGTCGCCACGACGCACACTCGTCATGACCATCTCACGGTGCGAACCGAGTACGTCACTGCCCACGCCTTCTCACGGCGAAGTGAATAGCACCTCGATCTATCGTGGTGCTTCCAGCTCGAGGCCAAAGCACTTGCACGGAGTCTCCCGGCGTTTTCTCGACTACAAGTGCTCAAATTACGTTGCTTGGACCTCAACGACGACGTCCTCTTCGTCATGGGTAAGTCGCCTCATACTATGTGTGAGAGACTCCGCCACACGCAGCAACGACGTGTCCGGACCTGCGCAAGCTCAACCTCGCGCGGTGTCGCTACGTGACAGACGACGGACTCTGCCACATAGCAAAGCACTGCACGCGGCTCGAAGTTGTCGACTTGTCGTGGTCGATCGCGTCGGACAGGACCGTGCGCACGTTGCTTTCTCATGCGATATCCTTGCAGCGCCTCAGTCTCCAAGGCTGCAAAGCGCTGCATGGCGCCTTCCTCGACGCGATGCGCATCGACAAGATTGCTACGCGCTTGACGCATCTCGATCTCTCGTGGGTCGATGGCGTGGCCACCGAAACGGTGCAGGCCCTCGTGGCACAGCTGCCAACACTCGAAGTCCTCGGGTACTATGGCGAGCGTATTTTGCACTAAGACGCACAAAGCTTTCATCTTTCAAGAGAATGAAGGCCGGAGAAACTCAAAAATGGCTCGTCGAATGGCTGCGTGCTGCACATCACCAAAGTGAGGTTTCTTGAGTTGCCCCAGGGACCGACCGTTTATTGATGGACGTGTTACTTCCCCTTTGTACCTATTCCTTTATCGCTGTCTCACTCGTCGTCGACGACTCCCCAAGAACGGTCGCCGACGGTATACACGAGACAGATACGCGTCGCCGTCGTGTTCTTCATCTATACTACGAGTAGGACGACTATCTCTATAGCGTCCGCTTGGCGAGGTCGCTGAGCGTCTCGAACGACTTGGAGTCGGCGAGCTTGCCGTCCATGGCGGCGAGGCAAATCGCGAAAGCTTGAGCGGCCGAGAGAGGGTGCTTGAAGTCGAGCGTGAAGATGTTCTTGTGACAAGAACATTGGTCGTTCGGGCCGGGGGGCTGGCACGAGACGCGGCCAAACTGCAACGTCACGTCGTCGTCGCCATGGCCCTGCACCGTGTAAATCAATTTCTTTTGACAAAATACATCAAGACCATACGTCACATTGGAGCTGAAAGTTCTTGACCGACGACATGGTGACGCGGCCGTTAAAGTTGAGCACGTGCCCGCGCGCCTTCTCGTCGTACTTGGGCCGCTAGTCTCATTGTCTAGTGGCTGATCACCAATTTTGAGATTGGTGCACCTTGTTGTGCAGCTGAATATGGTTGCCATCGCGATAAAACTCGGTGTTGTGGAACGGACCCGCCTTTTTCTCGTCGGTCGACTTGTCCCGCACGACGACGGGCACGCCAGCGTCGTTGACAGTTGGAATCGCAATCTAAAGTTGCGTGTGGATAGATGTACACAAGGCGACGAACCGACCGCCATTTTCCCAGGACCCATCTTGTCGTACTGAAAATCCAAGACGCCGAGCACCGTGCGCACATTCGACTCGACCGCGGTGGCACCGGGCTTCATGCCTTGGTTGAACACAATGTACTGCGACCCGCTCTACAAACAAAAGGATAATGGTCTCACGTCGACCACCTGTGGTCGCCAAACCCAGTTGGAGCGCAACTTGCCGACGATGAGCCCGCTGCGCCGGTTGGTGGGCGACCGATCCATCGAGAGGAGGTAGTTGGAGGTTGTGTTCTTGACTCGTTTCTAACACAAAAGGACTCACTCAACTGCGACTTTGGACCGACGTACTTGGGCGCCGAGTAAAAACTGCTTGCTCTCTTCGAGAAACAAGCGGTACACGGGCCGAAGCAGATTGGTGCCGGTCCTGTCCCGCTCCACGTAGCACTACGCACGTTCTCGGCTTCGAGCACTTGAAACACGTTTCGGACGAACGTACTTGAACGCTGGCCGAGCCTTTGGTCGGTGCGCGCATCACAAACTGGCGCAGCGCGTTGAGGTCCATGCTGATCGCCGGCACCGACAAGGGCGGCGACGCATGGCCAAATCTACACACCAATATGTCTCCGTACGATCAGGAGTATGTCTCGAGCGTACTGTTCCTTGGCATCTGCGGCGTGCCGAACGCGGGCTACACATCGCATTTGCGCTGGCCAACGAAATGAGAAAAGACACGCGTACCCATCGTATCGTCGTCCGAGTCATCGTCGTCGTCGTCGTCGTTGTCACTGTCTGCTTTTTTGCGACAGCCTTTGCGCACATAGAGGGCCGAGCCCTTGGCTTGGGCTACCTCGTTGCCGTCATTGTCCGAACCGTCACCAATCTCGTCCATCATGGCGTCAAATTTGGACTTGGTGGTTGGCGTCGTCTCGTCGCCCCAGCCTCGGCGGGTGCCATACTTTTCTTCGGCCATCGCACTGCGCTGGTTCATGGGCACGCGTATCGGGGCGTTATCGACCCGGTTTTAGCGCAGGACACTTTTTTATAGTCTCGGAACCCTACCCCTAATCTGCATAATGCAACCTTCTGATCGGGCACATACACGTTCACAGCTGCGTGTGGGTCCAGCCAGCCTCGATGCGCAATCCAATATCTGATTCTCCATAACTACACTTTTGACACGTGTTATATTCCTACTCGACGAGCGACGTCTTGGACTTGGTCTTTCGCGGTTTGTGGGACGACGGCGTGCTCGGTGGCGACTGCACGGCGGGCGGTAGACGCACGACCTCCTTCCGCGGCGGCATGGGCTTGACGGGCGACTTGTTGGCGCTGCGCTGACAGAACGGGTGTTTCCTCGGGTCGAGGTACGATATGCCGTTGTTGATGCTCTTGTCGTAGCTGTAGGTCGACTCGGGGTGCACGACCTACATGGTCTGAGCCAATCTTCCCAACTAGTTACGTACGGGCACAAATTTGTCTTGTGTAAAGTTCATGGCCTTTTGGTATCGCTTGTCGCGCTCGTCGTAGACGCGGTCAATGTTGTAGACGGACGAGGCTTGGATCGACGTGCGCACGGCCGGCGGTTTTGGCTTGAGCTGCTGCTTCGTGAGCAGCTTCTTGGGTACGGACGAGAGCAAGTTGAGTGTGTTGGTTCGAATGTGCGTCTCGACGGGGACCCCAAACGCCGTTGGCTAGAAACACTCCATGTCCGGTCACGATGAAGCACAACGATGTACCCGTGCTTGGGCAAACGGTGAGCTATAGACACCGGGCGTCACGGTCGTGCCCACAAGGTGGTGTAGATTCTGAGTGATCTTGACAAGCTCGTCACGCGACTCTTCCTCGACGCGTAGCAGCTCCAACTACGCCAGATAGTGAGCCATTTTCGCTGTCAACCGAGCCCGCACCGCACGCTGCTCTTCCAGTCGCTTCTGCACGGTCGCGCGGAGTGCATTGCCTTTGGCTTCGAGTTCGCGGAGGTACGTCTTGCGCGTGGCAAAGTTGTGCACATACTGACGCGAGTAGTACCCTACGCTAAGCGTTCATCGTCGAGAACGCAAGGAGAAGCGACCTCGGTAGCGTGTCTGGATGATGCGCGCGAGGTGGTGGAAGCGCACTTGCTTCTCGAGGTGTCTCCTTCGCCGACGTGCTTTGTGCGCCTTGTGCCGGCCCAAGTGCCCGCGAAAAACCCGGGCGATGAGAATCTCGGCCGTCCTACGCTCCGTTTGATTCGTCATCGGGTGACGGGGTCAAGCTACCGCATGCGGCTGATGTTGGCGCGGACGCGCTGCCCGCGGAAGATGCGTTGTATGCAGATGGCGGCCGCGACCTCCTTGGCCGCGTTGGCTGCCGCGTCTCTATTGGACGGATCGATAGAGAATGAGGCAACGAGGCGGTACCGCTGGGCGTCTTCCAGGAGCGCGAGCGTCGTCGCCCGCGCCGCCCAGCACGCGAAGAAGTCGGCCATCGGGCGTTGGGAAACGACCTCGTCGGTCGCGCACCGTTGTATTTTTAGGCTTCACCCGCGTAAAAAGGCGAAAATTTCACAAGTTGAAGACGCCAAAAGAGCCGAATGCAGGCTTCCAGCCATACACTCTAAGCTTCCCATTCAATGTGGACGATGCTTCCGTACGGTATCGTCCTTGGCGCTATCGAGACCATATCACAAGTTTTCCGAACAGAAAAGCCTCGCGCATCAGGCGGCACTGCTCGACCGATGTTGCTGGTTGGTATACAGCGTCAAGTGCAATTACTGCAACTCTGGCTCCACGCCAGAGATATCCCTTGCGTCCTCTCCGTACCGAAACAAGAGCTTATGGCACGGGCTATCGTCGCTGGACAAATAGTGCGACGTTTGTGGCGTCCAGTGCCTGCCGCACCGTGGATCATGAGTAAGGATCGTCCAGCGAGCGTTGGTTTGGCGAGGGCTTTGTGTTAGATACAACTCGAAAGCACAAGGGTACAATAGAGTATGCTTAAACCACTTATGGGGACTGCACGCAGCCCCAGGCGCCGGTGGCGATCTTTTTGCACGTGGCAGATTTCGAGAGAACGCAGCTGTTGCTGGCCGCGACGAAGCTACCCAAATGCGGTTGGCAGTCGGCCGACGCGACGGCGCCCGCGCTCGGGCAGCTGACGCCGGCGGGCAAAAGGCCAGCGCCACTGCAAATCGGGCCATCGATGCAGTACGTTGCATCACCTTGCACAGACACCGACTTGCACGACTGGTGAGGTCGCTCGGTCGGACAAGGGGCATCGGTCGGGCGAGGACGCTCCGTCGGGCATGGCTCGTCGGTCCGGCGAGGGCGTTCGGTCGGACAAGGCTCGTCGGTCGGGTGGGGGCGCTCGGTGGGACACGGTACATCAGTCGGACGAGGTCGCTCGGTTGGGCAAGGCTCGTCCGTAGGGCGGGGACGCTCGGTGGGGCAAGGCTTATCCGTGGGGAGAGCACATCCCCAGGCACCTGTGGCTAGCTTTTGGCACACTGCGTCATGGATAAGGACGCACTTTGTTCCAGTGACGAAGCTCGGTAAGTTGGAGTCGCAGTGTGCCGAGGCCACGGCTCCCTTGAGCGGACACGCGACGCCTGAGGGCGCGATGCCGGCGCCGACGCAGACCGGTCCCGCGATGCAGTACGTAGCGTCGCCTTCGACGGAGACCGACGTACAGGCGGACGCCACCGAAATGAGAGGTAGCAGGAAACCGAGACGCATCGCAACAAGAGAAATCCGAAGTGAGTTGCGAGAGCTGAGGTGCGCCGCAGCTTATCGAGTGCCTCGTGGCTGCTGACTACTGGCGACTTCAAGTCGGTTGCTCACGCTGCAGCGTAGCAATCTCCCTCCTCGAGCAAAATTTCCAGCGCCTCAGTGCTACAGGTCTTGCGAGTTCCTGGAGCCAACTTGCTATGAGAAACCGGGCACGCCAACATGCTATCAATGTGCCATGGACCCCACAGTCGTGTCACGAAAGCAACCAACGGTTCGCCTTGGCTAGCAACAAAATCTACTTGCTATTACGAGCGAGAAGATGGGTTCGGTGTTGCCCCTGGCAAATCGCCGCCATGCTGAACCCACGACAGAGCGATCGAGCGAGCCAGGCGCGTATTTGCTCTCGACATGGGAACGTTATATTCGGGTTGGCGTGTGCCCAAGATAATCCCTTGGTCAAAGTCGACCGTCGTGTGCGGCGATATCGCGCTCGATGGTACCAGTCGGAACGATTTCGCAGACGTTTGCGAAGACAAGAGGCGATACGGCGACATCGCGCGGGCAAAAAATCGCACCGATCGTAGAGCACGCGGGTGCGTACCGGTATCACCACACACCGCAGAGGAGACCGATGAGTATTCAGCTTGGATATTACGTGCACCAGGCGAGAGCTGCCCCCACGAAGAAGGAGCCAAGTGCAAAGTGCGAAGTGCAAAGTGCGAAGTGCAAAGTGCACAGTCTGGACACAAGTGAGAGCTCATTACGATGCTTTATGATTGTGGCGCTGTCCAATTGAGCGAATTTCGTCCAAGTTCTCGTGAAGCGTTTGTGCGATGGATCATCTGCGTTGGTGGTATATTGGCACTGTTGCCATTTCGTCGCAGGCACTCGAGAAAGAACACTAGCAGTGGCGTCGAGGCAAATTTGAAAGATACATCCGCATGAAAGTCCTTCTATTGGATGGCGAACGTTAGTTGTCGCAACCCCACGACACGGCGTGCTTGCACCTCGTCGTGCCACGTATTCTCCGACCACCGCCTTCGTTCGTGTATTCTTTTGGGTGGTCCACAGATCTTGCACCACAGATACTCCAGTGCTCGGGTTCGTCGGAATCACCATTCCTGTGCGTTGGAAATTGCTGCGAATATTATGGGGGTCTTCTCCGTCGCAGTGCAAGTACAGTAGCCGACGAAAAGGCAAAGTGACACGGTGCTAATGCAAGGACCAAACATGAATAACCTGCTCGCATCTTTGACGCCATACACTTCTGCGACGCTGGCAGGATTCGTTGGGTTCGATTTATCTCGCTGACGACGTGGCTGCATTTCATATAACATTATTTTTCTGTGCAGCGTCGGCAGGCACTGGGCGACAGGTGTGATCGAACCGTCAACTGGACCTCGAGCGGTGTCCAAGTCTCTGGTTGCTATGCCGTGCAAACGATGGGGTCTGGTCACGACGTCGCGAGCCGGGCGGTTGGAGCACATGTGAAGCGGCAGAGCGTGCAGCAAGACCACATGGCCATTCGCTGGCCGCCCAAGAGGCGACGACCCTATTTTATTGCAAATATACTCGATCTTTGTATGCTTTATAAACAACATTTATTACAATTTGCCCTCGGCGCGTCGTCGCGCTTAAACAGGGTGGTTTGAGCTCCGCTGTCAGATTGGGTTAAAATATGCAATTGCCATACAAACAATAAGAAGTCATGAGATACATAGTGAGTACTTATTCGTGTGTATGCATTTTGGCGATACAGCGTACAGTGACACACATGCTTGTCAATTAGGACTGCGCCGGAATCGAACCCGCCAGATCCAGCGCGACGTCGTATGTCACCGCAGCAGAAATCATTTTTGAAAATCGCTCGGTATGGTCAAGGGATTGCTGTGGTTCGTGGGCGCCATCCTCGTCACGGCCTCGTCGGCCAAGGACGAGCCGTCGCGCATGCTCCGTGTGGCGGCGCACACCACCAAGGGTCCGTCGCACTTGGGCTACCCGATCAACCTTGACGGACCAGTGGGCACAAAGTCGGCGCCTCTCGTGACCACCATTCTCGACGAGCCCAGCGACGATGGCTCCTGGGATGCCCCCGACGATGACGCGTCGAAGGACGACGATGAGGAGCCCACAGATGAGCCTATCGATGACGACACCACCGACGAGCCGACGGACGATGACAGCGCGGACGAGCCAAACGACGACGACGATGACATGGAAGTGCTGGCAGAGAGCGAGGACGATCCGATGGTGGAGGACTCGGCGAGCACGAACAAGAACGATACGACGCTTGATCCGAGTCTCTTCGAGGACGACGACATCCTCACGACGGCGCCGCCATCGAGCAAGAGCCCCGAAGACTCGGCCAGCACAAACAAGAACGATACGACGCTCGACCCGAGCCTTTTGGAAGATGAGACTCTAGAAGACGAGGACAACACTTCGGCGCCCAAGGAGCCAGAAGACTCGGCGAGCACGAACAAGAACGATACGACGCTGGACCCGAGTCTCTTCGAAGATGAGACTCTGGAAGAAGACACTGTGGACGACGAGGACAGCACTTCGGCGCCCAAGGAGCCGGAAGACTCGGCGAGCACGAACAAGAACGATACGACGCTTGACCCGAGCCTCTTTGAAGATGACGATATCCTCACGACGGCGCCGCCATCGAGCAAGAGCCCGGAAGACTCGGCGAGCACAAACAAGAACGACACGACCCTCGACCCGAGTCTGTTCGAAGACGGCACGCTCAACACGACGGCGCCCGTCAAGGCCATGAACTTGCAGTCGGAAAACACCGGTACGGCAAACGACAAGACCGGCGACAGCACGACGCCGTTCATTGTTGCTGGTGGTGTCGTCGGCTGCGTGGCCATCTTGGCCGTGACGGCGTACGTCCGCCGCCGCCCGGCCAAGCCCGAAGACCCGCACAAGTCGCGCATGCGCTCGGTCTACGTGATTGACGCGCACACGCTGTAAATACCCCACTCTTCGTGTTGTAATACAAAGTTTCCATGTCCTTCCACAAAGGTCAAGTGCAACGTCGTCTAAGTGCAAAGTTGCAACGTCGTTCAAGTGCAAAGTGCAAAGTCGTGAAAGGCAAAATGGGTCCTCGCTTCTGATTCGCTGCGTGGCGATCTTAAGCAGTTGTGCCCGTACTTGGCCACACTTGGATACCGATATGGCGCTGACCGGGATGACTCTAAGCTCTGTACTAACACGAGTAGAGCTATCCAGACGCGTTGAAGTCGACTACGTGTACATCGTTGCCGCATCTCAAGAAGTGTCGTCGCGGGAAAGGACTCCCCGACCTCAGGGACGCACAAGCCACGCACGTCCAGTTCATGAGTTACGCCGGGTTCAGAATCGAATGGGGATATCAATTAATGCACAAAAGAGGCGCGTACTTTATGCCTCCGTAGTTGGCGCCGTCACAGGGACAGCGGTCGTCGGCGCCGCCGGGGCAGCGGACGTCACCGCCTCGGCCTCGGTGAGCGGAACGTGCACGATCTGCACACCGATCGGCCGCTTGAGGTCCACACGGCTCTTGGTAATCTGAATCGAAGGCGTGACCCACGTGCCGCACGAGCACTGCGACCCGCTCCACTCGAATGATCCGAGACGCGCGTTGCATTTCTTGACCGGGCAATGGAGCTTGCCTTCCTCGAGAAGGGCTTCGTCCATCCAGGGCATCGTGTCGGCCATGAAGAACGAGCTGCAGTCCACGACGCCGTTCGGGTTGCGCTCCTTGATCATCTACCCACCATCTTGGTCACACCAGTCCATGCAGCAGGTCAATGGAGGTTCTACCTTGCGCAGCGCGATGCGGTGCTGGTGGGGCTCGTGCTCGAGGAGGTCCTCGGACGTGAAGAGCTTGACTCTGCACATGCGGCAGACGTACTCGTCGACTTCCTGCGTCATGCTGCTTGCGTCCATGCGTCTCGTACCGTGGAATGGTCAACGCAAAGCGACCGGGCGCGTACCCCGGGGCAGCCAATCCCATTCGCTGGCCGCCAGCCAATGTAAACCCAACACCGTGCCTGGCGTGAGCCGGGGCACGATGACTCGGCACGTGCTTCGAACTTCGGTCCAGATGGAGACAATGTTCCAGCAAATCCAACATCAGCGTGGATCGGCAAGGCCAACATGAGAACGGCGCCAGCGCTGTCGTCAACCGCGGGGATAAGCCTGCACGATGGTATTCACCAAAAGGAAACTTGGCTGCGCAAACGCATGTCGTGCTGTGCACATCGGAATGACGCGTCGGCAGGGCATGGACCCTGTGGACTGAAGGGCAACATTCGCGCATAAGTTGCCAAGCCATCTTTACCCGGTAGCCAAGTGCAATAGGAAGGACAGCCAAAAGCTTAGGTGTATGTATCGAACATCGAGGCGCGCCTCGTTGTCGTCCGTTCTCTCGGCACAACAACAAACGCTGCGAATCGCAGCGAGATATGCGTCGCAGGCTGCGACGCAGCGCTCCGTGGGATGATCGCACCACGTTTCTCGCCAAACCCATCCAAATCCAAACGCACGGAGGAGCTCTCGCCTTGCGATCACTTGCTCATTCTGTGGGCGACGAGATATCGGCGTTTGGAGCTCGCGCCCGAAGTCCAACTGCCCCCAAGAGTCGATGCCACGAGGAACAGCCAGCGTAGTACGCATCGCTAAACCGGTGGGTAGTACCAAGGTGGCCTTGGTTGAATATACCATTGCTTTGGGTGCTTCCTCTTCGCCGAGAAGCTTTGTACACAGATTTCGCGTGCCTGGAGATGCCCCAAACGTCCCCGGAAAAAGGTCCTGCGAGACTTGATGTTGAACTTCGAACTTCGGACGGTGTCGAGATGCAACGCGGATCCCACGCTCGCGAATCGCGAAAACGAACGGACTTCCCCACTTTCGAATTTGATCGACCGACCGCAGCCATGGCCCGCGTCGACAAGCACACGCTCGCGAACCTCGAGGCCATCTCGGTGCTCAGCCTCGACTTGCATCTCACGGCCGACTTTGGCCGCAGCGCGCTCGACGGCTACGTCGACATTGAAGCCGAAGTGCTTGCGCCGACGACGTCGTTTGTCCTTGACACGCGCGCACTGTACATCAAGAGCGCGACCATCGACGGCACGCCCGTGCTCAAGCAGCAGATCGACGACGAGGTCTTTGGCACGGCCTTGCATTTGGCGCTGCCCGCAGCGGTCCAGGCTGTCGGCACCAAGTTCACGGCGCGCATCTACTACGAGACGACGCCGGAGAGCTCGGCGATCCAGTGGCTGCCGAAAGAGCAGACGGCCGACAAGGAGTACCCGTACCTCTTTACGCAGTGCCAGGCGATCCACGCGCGGTCGCTCTTGCCGTGCCAGGACTGCCCGATGGCCAAGTCGATCTACAAGGCCACGATCACGGTGCCGTCGTGGGCCAAGTGCTTGATGAGCGCGGTCGCGTGCGCCGACCCCGAGACGAACGGCGAGACGACCCAATTTTTCTACGAGCAAAACGTCGCCGTGCCGTCGTACTTGATTGCGATGGTGATTGGCCACCTCGAGAGCCGCGAGGTCGGGCCGCGCAGCCGCGTGTGGAGCGAGCCGAGCATGGTCGACGCGGTCGCGTACGAGTTTGCGCAGACCGAGGACTTTCTTCGCAACGCCGAGGAGATCATGGACCAAGAGTACGTCTGGGGCCGCTACGACATGGTGTCGCTCCCGCCCTCGTTCCCGTTCGGCGGCATGGAGAACCCGTGCTTGACGTTTGCGACGCCGACGCTCCTCGCGGGCGACCGGTCGCTCGCCGACGTCATTGCGCACGAGATTGCGCACTCGTGGACTGGCAACCTCATCACGAACCACACGTGGGAGCACTTTTGGCTCAACGAAGGCTGGACCATGTGGCTCCAGCGCAAGATCATGGCCAAGATCTACACGGATTTGCACTTTGATTTCGATGCGATCATTGGCTGGAACGCGCTCCTCGACTCGGTCGACCACTACGGCCACGACCACGAGTTTACTAAGCTCGTGCCCGTCCTCGACGGCGCCGATCCGGACGACTCGTTCTCGAGCGTGCCGTACGAGAAGGGCTTCAACCTCCTCTACTACCTCTCCAAGCTCGTCGGCGACGCCGCCTTTGAGACGTTTGCCAAGGCGTACGTGCGCGCGTTCCGCTACAAGACGGTCACCTCCAACGAGTTTCGGGACTTTTTTGTCGCGTTCTTTGCCGAGACCAAGAGTGCCGAGCTCGCGACGATCGACTGGGCCGCGTGGTTCTACGCGCCTGGCATGCCGGCCCGCCCCGATTTTGACACGACGATTTCAACTGCGTCGGCCGAGCTCGCAGACCGCTGGCTCCAGAACGCAGGGCCGTTTGCGGCCGACGACATTGCGCACTGGACGTCGTCGCAGATCATTGTGACGCTCGAGACGATTCTGGAAAAGTGCATTGCGCGCGGCGAGTTCCTCTCGCACGACGTGCTTGCGGACATGGGCGCCTTGTACAACTTGGTCGAAACCAAAAACTCGGAGGTCCGGTTCCGCTACCAGACGCTCTGCGTGCGCGCCGAGTACGCCGTCATTTTGCCCCAAGTCGAGGCGTTCCTCAAGGAGCAAGGCCGCATGAAGTTTGTGCGCCCGCTCTACCGCGATCTGTACAAGTCGGCGTTTGGCGCGGCCGACGCGCGCCGCATCTTTGCCGAGTGGAAGGACAACTACCACCCGATCGCGCGCAAGATGGTCGCCAAGGACCTCGGCTACTAGAGGCCGTACCGATTCGGTAGTCTAACTGCTATATACTCGTTCTCATGATCGTCAACTCTTCTTGCCACAAGTGCAATTTGCATTTCAAAATGAACTACGTAAGAATAGGAGTTGTATTCGCCATCGCGGGATAAAGACATCGATCAACAAGGTGTTCTTAGATGGAGAGCTGCGTCGTTGGGTCGTGGGGCAAGGCGTCGTCGTCGTCGTCGTCGTCCTCCATGGCTTGGACCATGAGATGGGCGTCGCTGCCATGCAGCGATTCCGGCATCAAGTGGTGGTTCTCGCTGCCGGCGGGCATCTCGTACTTGTGGTTGTCGGCGTCCGTGCCGTTGAGCGCCTGAATGAGCTGAGTCGCGGCCATCGCGTTGTTCTCGAGCAGTTGCTGGTCCACGAGCGCGTGCGCCGACGCTTGCTGTTGCGCGAGCTGCTGCTGGACGAGCTCGTTGCTGGCGGCTTGCAGCAGCTGCGCCTCGGTCATGCCGGCGTGCACCGACGACGGCATCGGAATCTCCATGTTCTCGGTCGATTCCGGGTTGGTCGCGTTCGCCGCGTTCGCCGCTTGCGTCAACGCGCTGAACCGGTTGTGGATGTCCTTCATCGTAAACACGCCCGGATGCTTCTTCTCAATGAGCTTGAAGAGCTCGGAGCGCGAGCCTTTGACCGCGTGCGTGATCTCCAAGAGGTACTACACAAGACAGATGAGCCGCGCACACGAGGTTGGCAATGGCCTACTTGGCACGACTCGTCCCAGAGCATGCGCTTCACGGACGGGTATCGTCGCCAGGCCTCGGCCGAGAGCTCGTGGTTGTGCACAAGGTTCTTCTGGACGATCTGGATCGAATATTCCTTGCGCTTCGCATCCCACTCGGTCTGCGCAATGAAGCGGAATGGGCACTTGTCGCCCGACGTCGCGTGTGACTTTTCGCCCTCGACGCACATGAACTCCTTCCGCCGGTACTCGGGCAGTGCGATCGTGGCGCTCTGGAAGAAGCGCCGGGACCGCGTCTTTTCGCGGCCATTGCGCTTCTTGTCCATCTGGTTGAGGTATGACTGCATCTTCTGCGTGCGCTTGGCCACAAAGCACGAGTTGGTCTTGTGCATGTAGCGCTCGAGCTCTTCGTCAAGGTGCTTCCAGTCCTTGCACTTGGTCGGGAACCCATCCGGCGACGCTGCACTGCCGTTGGCCATTGTTGCTGGAGCCGGGCGAACGAAAAATAAAAACACCCAACTTTTACCGGATAGAAACACCCAACCCTATTTGCCGAGCGCGTTGTTGACGCAGCCGACACGCGTCGCTGCGTGGCCGCTGGACGCAGAAGAGACGCTTCTCGCTGGCGCTGAAAGCAGAGACGATAGCAAAGCGCTTGCTGCTCGATGGCGACTTGGCCGAGCGTGGCCACCGGCGACGGCCACGCGAGCCTTGCGCCACCCAACTTTCGGCCGAATCTCCTGCGAGTATCCGGATATAGAAGGGACGGGCCGCGTCCGGAACAGCGTGCCCAGATCCGGAAGCGGAGGTATTACACCACGCGACCTTGATTCTGGTTAGTCGCGAGCGATGGTGGGCTGGTAGCAGCCTGGAGCCGAGCCTGACGACGCTTGGTGATGCGTACAACGCCCTGGGAAAGGTCCAACGGCAGCGTCCGGATAATGACCGGCCACATTTAAATTTGGAAGTCCGGTTGCGTGTATCTAATGCCCAAACGCACTGGCTTGGTTGGCCTTCCTTACCGGATAACAAGATATCATCCGGAAGGATTCGCTTCAGATCCGCGACCAACATGGAAGCGCTGCTCCTGCGGTGCCAATCCGCTGCCGACGTCGAGGCCATTCTCGAAGGCGCCTTCTCAAGCGTCCTCGAGGTAGGCAACATGGCGTCTCTCCATGAGGCCGACGCCCAAGTCGAGCTTCATGATGTGGTCTTGGCCGCACTCTCGCCGTCGACGACGTCCGACCTCGAGCAGACACTCAAGGCCGTTGGCAATGCGCAGCTTCGCCAGCTCGTAGCCGACCTTCTCCATGATCAGCGACGAGCCATGTGGCGAGAGATTGCCGCGCGATCGGGCGCGTGTCCGTCGCTGCCAAAGATGCTCGACGTCCAATGGCGCGTGCTGGTGACGTCGGACCCCACACTTGACGCCGGTCGTCCGGAGCCCATCGCGCTGCTCGAATGCGCGGGGCAGGAAGCGCACGTTCATGCTGCTCAGTTCCCGGCGCTGCGAGCGGTTCAATTTCAAATGACGAAAGGTACAAACACCACATGATCCATCACTATCTTCACCTGACCTACAAGGGGCGGTGGACAAGATGGTGTCCGAGCTGCATGGGATCCGCGACCAGATCCAGTTGCTGCAGAGTACATCTCGTCTTGCTTAGTTATCTCCTCTCTCTAATCGAACAGCCAGCGTCTACTCGTCCGAGTCGTAGCCCGAGTGATATGCGACTTGAATGCTCGACTTCGTCGCCTACACAGAGCTCGTTGGGTCAACTTCAGAGGGCCATGGACATACCGAGCTGGTCGGCTCGACCTCGTCGTCAGCGACGTCGATCGCGCCAATCTTGGCCAAGCGACGCGCCAGCTACGGGTGGGTGGTGAGGCGCCACAAAAGCAGCACCAACGTACGTTGACGGTCGGGAACTCGTCTTCCTTGCCGGCGCGGAGGCCGTCCGCGAGCCCCTCAAAGCCCACGACGCGGTCGTCCGACGCAATACCATCCTTAAAGTAAATGACCGTCGGAAGCACGCGCACGACGAGCTTTGTCACGAAGAACGGCGCCTTCTCCGCGTTCAGCTTGAGAAATTTGCACTCAATGTGGCGCTTGGCGATCTTGGCCATGTGCTACGCCGAGGTTATCTGCATACGGCGGCGCATGGAGGCGTACCATGTCGATGACCTTGCAGCGTTCAAAGTCGCGGTGGTAGAAATGGACAACGACGCGCGGGCTTGACGTGACTTCTTTGAGGAATTCGTCCTGGACGATCTCGCTAGCGCAACGTTCCACGTCTCGTCCTCGTATCGGCGAAGAGCGTTCTACCGGTAGTCGCCATGGCCCTTGGCGAGGTTTTCTTGCTTGACACGGTATTGCTCCTGCAGCTGCTTCATGCGGAGCTCGCGAAGTCTACAGGAGGATGAGCGTGGATATGGGCATATGCAGGGCACCGCAGAAAGTCGGGATCATCTTCAAAGTCATCTTCAAAGTCGTCGTCATCCTCTTCGGCGCTCGTCTTCTGGGCATGCTGGCTGTCGTTCTCGTAGTGCTCGGGCTTGACAGTCTCGCGGATGAATTGCGTCTCTTGGGCGTCGAGGTTCGAGAGCAGCTGCTGCTGCTCGGCGACCTTGGCCACCTGGCGCTGCTGCTTCTCATGCTCCTCGCGCACCTTGAGCTGCTCCATGGCAGCGCCCATGCGGTCCTGCGCCTCGAGGTGGTCCTCGGCGCCGAAGAGCCCGGAGCCCCCAACCATGCTAAACTTGCTCGCCATTGCACCCCTTCCAAAAGTTGACTGTCGGTTCGAAGTTGCTCGTTTCGGCATGCCCATAAACGCGTCACATGCCACGTTGTAAATGCCGAAAATAGGAACAGCCCGATCCCATTTCTTCTGCTTCAAGTAGCTTTGTGATCAGCGCGCCGTGCATCCATGGGCGCGCTCAAGTGACGTCGAGTATGTCAGCGAGATCGCACTCCTCCTGGCAAGATGCTGCACGGAAGCTCTGCACGGGGCTCGGTACACGGCGTTCCCCGATGCCGAAATTAATGAAGCATTTGGATTGGTCCAAACCACGGAAATTCTACATATTAGCCAATTGAAAGCTCTTGAGCCACTATGCCCATGCAGGATTGGCTTAAAATCGCTACCGTGACGGCTGCGGCATCCTGCGGCGGGCTTGCGGGCTGTCGACGAGACCCGTCTTCGCATGACATATCAACCTCCTCTTGCCGAGATTCGTTCTAAGCTTACTTGGTCTTTGCCGTGGCGCCTCGGCCGCGTCGAATCTCCTTCGTCCCATCGTCGCCGCACGTCCTCCAATGTGGCATATGCCACCTATAGAGTATACCCCGGTGTACGTGAATGATGGCCAATGACACAGTTCAACGCGCTTGATTGGTTTTTGAGATCGAGTATGAGGTACGAGGCGCCAACCTGCGAGCATGGCGCTAACGACGACTCGGCAGCGCGCAGACCTACGACGACGTGTGTGCCAAGGGCAAGGAAGAAGCGGAGCAGCGCCTCATTGACCATCTCGTACGTGGCATCTTCATCGGCGGCTTGGCTCATCGCGCCTGTAGCAAGAGTTTGGCGGCGAAGTCTGGAACATCAAGTCGGGCTGCATGGGCTGCAAGACGAACGCCAACAACGTTGCGCTCAAGGTAGTACTCGCGCTTACTTCACGAGGCGGCGACCAACGACGTCGACTCGGTAGACGTGCAGCAAGTGCAAAACCGCACTCTTCTGCGGCAAGGAGTGCCAAAAGAAGGCGTGGAACATGCACAAGTACGAGTGCATGATCATGAGCACGATGCAAGAGATGGCGGTGCCGATGCCCGAGGCGCCGGCAGTCTACGACCTGTACGTCGTCGTCGCTACATGTGACAACCTCGCTCGACAGTATGGATTGATGGACTAGGGTCCGGTCGTGCCTCGAGACGCTGACGTGGAGCCCGAACGCCAAGGAGATCACGGACGAATCGCTTTTGGCTGTCGCCAAAAGCATTGGGCTCACGGGCCCCGTGCTGCCGGGCTGGTTCACGAGCATCAACCTCGTGCAGGTTTGGCTGCTTCGGCGTCTCGTTGTTGGGCTAATGCTACTTATCGAGTAGCACCCCGCGAGCCAAACCGCGTACGTCAAGGCCATCATTGTGCTATTTGCGCTGCTTCGTGACGACGAATGCTGGTACGCACAGAGTCGAGAGAAGACGCCCACGGGTATCATGTGTAGGACGCGCGACTCGGACAGCTTTCCCCGCTCCTCGTACACCTATGCGACGGTACGCACTCGTAGAATCGTCGGGATCGTCGACAACCTGTGCACTCTAGACGATCCCCAAGACGGCGAGTGCGCGTGCGACGGCGCTGGCGCATTTCCTGGAGCTGCAAGGCCCGCTCGTGCTCTTCACCGCGTGGATGCAGGACCCGCAGCCGCCGGCGATCCAGTCCGTGCCCTTTGAGAAGCGCCTGATCCACGGCCTCATGGACACGCTTCTTCAGATCGAGTACGTTGCATGCTTCATGTATGTTGTTGCTCATGTGTGGCGAGCGTAGAGAGATTCGCAGCGCGATCGACGCCTTCATGGATGCGCGTGATGCGGCCCATTAATCACTACGTTATGCGTCTGCCTCTGCACCGAGGCGCTGCACCTTCCACGTGTCTGGGTGGTGGAGGACGCGACAGAGTCGTCGTGGCAGTTGCAGGCGTTGAGCGGGTGCTGTACACGGCATATTGGACTAATAAGGGTGAATTGGAGGTGGTAGTAGGCTCGTATCGAGTTTATGCGTGCTGGATGGACGACAGCTTGAGTCGCTGCTTGGGCTTGTCGACGAGCGGCGCGACTTCTTCGAGCGGGTCGTCCCAGTCGTGGTACGACATGGTCGTGCCAAAGAGCTCGGACGGCAGCGGCTCTTTCAGGCTCGCACATCGAAGGCGCGCGAGCTGCCGCCGCCACAGAACGATGCACACAATCCAGAGCACGCCATAGACGCCGGCTAGAGCCACAAACCAACGACAATGAGCCACCAACATCCTCGACACATCGCAATGGCCTACCCGAGATGAAGCACGAATCTGACGACGACTGCGGCGTCTTGACCTTTGGGATGAAGCGCGGCTGAAGGCGCAGGAGCGCGCCGAGGCAGAGCTACAAGATACACTAAGATCTCATCGCGCTCGCGTTGGAAGCGTACGAGGAAAATGGCGCCCGCGAAGGAGAAGATGCTGCAACAGAGGTAGCCTACGCATCATTGCGCATGAGCCTCCATCGCGCTCCATGGCGGCCGGTCGATGGTCGATGGTCGATGGCCGGTCGTACCCATCGCGCAGTCTCTTCTTCTTTCTTCTTCGTGCGAATATCGAACACTGAATTTGGCGACGACGGGCGCCTTGAATGGTGGTTTTGACTTGCGTTTTGTATGCCGTGGGCGCGGCCGACGCAATATGCAGCTGGTTCACAATCTTTTGCGTAGATTTTGGCCAATCAAACGCGCGTATTCGCCAGACGAAGCAGCACACGGAGCGTTGTCCAGCGTGGATCTTTTCGCCCACAAACGAGGAATTCTCACTCCGAAACTCTAGTCGAGTAGCTTGAATGATAAAATTTCATGTAGTACACTCAAACAAGGCCATTTTGTGTCTACTAGCGTTGCACGAGCTTGTTGCGCTAGAGAGTTGGACCAGCGGCCCGGTTTCTTCTTCTTTGCGGGGATCGGTCTTTTCGCTCCTCCAAGCGTCCGACAACGTGCATTGGGCTATGCAGTCGGTTGCACCGCGGTAACACCGTGGAGTTGAACGGTATTCCCGCTCGTTCGTCTCGGTGTTGGGACCGGTTTGGATGCATATGTGATCAGCGCTGGAACAGCAACGGGCAATGGTGGACTACGGTGGACTGGCAATGCGGTACCATACATACCCCCGTACATTCGCCGTCAGGTTGCAACAAGGCAGTTCGGTTCTCTCCTATTTGTGTTCAACTGGCTGTGTATGCGCAATTACTACATCATGATGCTCGCCCATCTTGCATTTCTTTCTTTTGTCCACATTCGTCTGCCGCTTGAAGCCAAGATTCGGCGGGACAAAGACGCGAAAGTGGCACCGAAAGACGGACTGGAACAGTACACGTAGCGCGCGAACGTCGCTCGTTCTCAACTGGAAGCGAGCTCTGGGCGTGTGGCGGCCGTGGCTGCTGTCGCTGTCTCAGTCGTGGGTTGTGACGGCTCCGAAAGAAAGTGAAGTCGCTTGCGGCTTGTAGGAAAGGGCAATTTCAAACGACCCAATCAGGGCGCGGCGACATGCGCGGTCGAGCCGTGGCAGGGACGTCCCTTGGACGCGGCGTGGGTGTCGAGCAGGCACACGTAGCATCCTACTCGTCGTTGCCCTTACAGGACCAGCAGCCACACTCGGTACGGCCAGCCAGCGGGCGGGTAATCCAGGGCGTCGCGCGAGGCGGCCAATCAAACGCGACCTCGGGTTGTCGCACCTTTGTGTTCCTATCGTATAGAGCGCCAGAAGCAGATTGGCCGAGAATGACAGACACGGACGTCGCGACGACTCTCCCGTCGCCCGAGGACCTTAAGATGATCAACGAGATCGCGGCGCTTCTCGACGACGCGGGCTTGGCGTCCACATCACCGACGCCGTCCGTCAAGAGCGACGACGCGCCGGCGGCCAAGATTGTCAAGACGCAGCACTACTACCGCAAGCGGCAAAAGGACGAGCGCAAGTACCTCCACGACCAAGTCCAGGAGCTGAGCTCCAAGCTGTCGGTGATCACGACCATGAAGACGCTCGAGGCCGACCAGTGCTCGCACTGGGAAAAGGTCGCCCGCACGCAAAAGCTCGGGTCGCAAAAGGCGGCGCTCGAGAACGCGCGGCTCAAACGCGCCCTTGAAGATCAGCTCAAGCTCGCTGAAGCGCTCGACCAGCTTCTCGTCAAGCGCCCTCGCCTTGCGGTACTTGCGGCGATGAGAGTATGCAGCTCATATGTATTTTGGTAGACGTTTCCGACCATGGACGTCATCGACTGGAAGCTGCGCAAGCTGCCGATGGAGCCGAGTGCGCGCGAGGCGAGCTTCCACGCGATGCTAAATGACGCGTACGACCACGTCGACACGAACTTTCTTCAAAAAGGGCTGTACGACTCGATGGACCACCTCCGGTCGCTCGACGTGTCGGCCAACGAGACGGACGACGCGATCGTGATTGACGTCCAGAGCGTCCGCCAGATCGCGAGCAACTATTTAACGTGCAGCCAAAACTTTTGGTCGCTCCTGAGCGAGCACGAATACCTCAACCTCCCCAACGCCCACCTCCAAGTACGTCCACATATACGTGGGCTATCTCGAGACTGTGGCTAGGTGCTCGAACACTTTGGCACTGACGGCATCTACTTTCGACACCGCGCCCTCATGCCGCAGAAGAACCCGTACTCGCAGCTGCTCTGGGGCGTCAAGCGCTATTACGAGAAGAACCGCGTCGTGCTTGTCTTCAAGACGGTGCTTGAGGACCAGCGGTACCCGCCGGTGCCAGGCCTGTACATTGGCAACCACACGGCCGCGTACGCATTTCATTCCGATTTGAAACGACGTGCTGAGCCTTCAAATGACTAGGATCATCATTGAAGCTGTCGATGAAATGTGGACCTGCCGACGCATGCACATGCTCGGGCAGCTACCTGTCGAGCCGCCCAAGCAAAGCCCGCTGTCGTCGAACCCGAGCCACTTGATCTGCGACTTTATCTTGCACCAAATATCTCCAACCTTTGACGCGATCGAGAGCTTGATCGTTTAAACATCGTCAAGCCTTTTTCAATCTCATTTTGTACACATTTCCAAGGACACATGAGTGAATTTTCGCCCGTCGAGCGCAAGACGTTGTTGGCCGACGCGTTGCGCTGTCGACTCGAACGCCTCGACCCGACGGCAACAAGAGGTCGTGGTCAAGACGAGAGGGTGGGCCCTGTCCCTTGCGCAAGAAGTCAAGTTGGTCGTCGAAAAAACGTCGGCGAGCTTCGTGCAAGGCTCCGAGGCAAACCGCTACCACACGCCTGTGAGTGCAGTGCGAGCTGATTTCGAGCTGGCTGCCTTCGAGCTGGCTGCCTTCTCAACGCCACTCGTGTCTTTCGCTGCGAACCTCAAAGTAGTCTAATACTTGCACGTGTACCATCGTGCGCAGCTTCCTTGCCCCGCGCCCACACGATGCCCATGTCTGATTTCTTCTTTCTGCTTCTCTCGACCTTTCTCTGTGCCCTCCGGCTGCCACGTTATACACGCATCCAGCGCCCGCATTGGCCAAAAGACTGGCTTTTCAGCCAATAATTCTCGACGACATGACCGACGACAGCAATGAAGATGAAGCCTCGCTCCTCGCACCCTTGACCGACGACGATGACGAGCCCTTGATCGACGCCGCCATCATGGACAGCCTCCTCGACGAGCCGTGTCCCAGGCGCGTGCGGAAGCGGCAGAAGGACGAGCTTGTCTACCTGCGCAAGCAAGTGGCCGAGCTCAGCGCACACCTCGCCGCCCTTACGAACGACAACGCATCCAAGCTCCAGAACTGCAGCACGCGCTGGGAGCGTGTTGCGCAAAACCAAAAGATGGCGGCGCAGCAAGCGACGATGGAGAACGCGCGGCTCAAGCGGTCGCTCGAAGATCAGCTGCATTTGGCCACCGCGCTCGACAAGCTGCTTGTCAAGCGCCCCCGCCTCGCGGTGCGTCGTATCACGTGCTACTACTGCATCATGAAGCGTTCATACGGGTGTATACATAGGTTATGGCGGTAGCCGACACGGCCGACTGGAAGCTACGGCGTCTGCCGTCCGAGCCTGCTGCGCGCGCCGCCGCCTTGGACGCGATCCTAACCGACGCTTACGAGAACGTCGAGTCGCTCTTTGTGCGGTCCCGAATTCTCGACGCTGCACCGGGGCACCGCTCGCTGAGCGTCACCGAAGTCGATGATACGCTTTGCGTGGCCGTCGAGAGCGTGGCGGCCTTGCCCCACACCTTTATGGACGCGAGCAACAACGTATGGTCGTTCTGGGCGACCAGCGACGGCCTCCAGCTCGCGTTTGCTCGCTACGAGGTAGTACAACTCGAGTGCCTACTATCGGCGACCACTCCCAACAACCGGTAGCGCCTGCAAATGGTTGGCGACGACACGGTGTACTGTCGCGTCACAGCCTCCATGGACGAAGGCATGCCATGCATTGGCATGCTCTACGCCATCAAGCGCTTCGTCCAGGACAACCGCGTCATCTTTGTCCTCAAGACCATTCTGGACGACGAAAGCTACCCGTGGCCACGTGGCTTGCTTATTGGCAACCACACGGCGAGGTACGACGTACCAACTCTTGCGATACCACCCGTGCGATATTCTAGCATCGTCGTCGAGGCGGCCGGTGACAACCACTCCATTCGCCGCATGGTGGTCGCGGGCAAGATCTCGACCCAGCTCCCAGACGAGAGCCCTCTTCGTGGCGTGCCCACCACCATTGGCGAAGTCGTGCTCAAGATCGTACGACCCGTCTTTGACACGCTCGAGTTTCTCTTGAGCTAAGCACTTAACCGACGTGTCCCTTGAGCGTTTGCAAAGACGCCGCCGACGCTTGGTACATCGAGTGCAAACCCCAAGACACACCGACCCAGCTCACCGACCCATATATGTGTACCGGTATGCGGTGACGGCACTAGGTGTCTGGCGTCTTTGACGTAAGATCTATATAAGTTACTGTACGTGGAATAAGATTCATAGTGTCAGCGACGACGTCTTGTCCTCGAGGGTCCGGAACCCGTTTTCGACGACGAACGCAATGGCATCGATCGCAGGAAGGTTCAAGGCGCAGAGTGCACTGGATGGCGGTAGCTCGAGCGGATAGCGACCTTCGACTGCGATATGTCGGAGTGCGCCTCCTTTGACCGGCTCGACGACGATGCTACCAAAGTTATATCCTGAGCGAACGCTGCGAGTCGCCGTCTCTACCTTTGCGTTTCGTTGACAAGGATGAGGTGCGGTGGGGTCGGGTGGCGCTCGTCGCTCAGCATCGTTTTCAGCACGATCGTGACGCGCCCAGGCTCCACATACCGCTTGAGACCTGCGAGCGCAAAGAGCGTCGGCGTCGCCTCGACAAAACCGGTTTCAAGGTGGCAGTAGACACTGTCGGGGCCGAAGTCTTCGCACGCAGTCTGGTCGGTCATCGTCAATGCACGCGCAGACGACATTTAGGGAAAAGACAGGCTACCTCGGCACTGGTACCGCATGACGCGTGGCACGCCACATTCCAATTCGACCAAATCGCTTCGCTGAGCGCTTCGTAGTCGGCAGCGACAAAGGTCGTGCTGACGTACGTCACGGCGGCCACGTCACTTGTCTCGCTCGTGATCGACAAGTGTCGGTGCCCGATCGGGTGCTCGAAGAGCTGCGTCCGAATGTCCATGGCCTCCCGGCTCCGAAAGGAATCGTCCAAGAGCGCGTGGAGGGTCTCGGCGCGCTTCTGCGTCTCACGGGGCATGCACCGTAGCTGCCAACTCTCGAGGGGAAGACGCTCCGGCGGCTACGCAAACAAAGGTCGCTAGAGGTACGCCGAGCTGACAATGTACCACTGCGCGACGGTGCTTGACAAGCAAGCGCTCGAGCGTCGCTATAAGTTGTCGCTGCTCGTGGACCGCGCGACGGAGCCGCGTGGAGTCGAACAATGCACTCTCGACCTCGAGCTTTTGGCGCCGGGCGACCTTTTCCCAGCCGTCGGTACTGCGCTGAACTTGCAGCCGCTTGGCCTCGACGAGCAACGCGAGGGTCGCGCTCAAGCTGGCGACTTGGGTGCGCAGCGCCGCCATCTCGACCTTCTGGCGCTTCTGGTAGTGCTCGGACGGGCGACCTTCGTCCATGAGGCTCTCCATGATCGCCGCATCCATCGCGTCCAGGCCAGCGCTCATGTCCATATGGCGGAGTGCCACTACTTTGACGCGCCCTGATTGGCTGCACGTTTCGATCCGCGAGCGTCTCGGCGTGGCAGATCGGCGCATGACGTGGCGCGAGGAGCGGCGTTCAGTTTACATGCCGTTTCAACTCGTCCAACCAAACCAAGAAACTTTGCCCAGACGCTGACAAAACACCTCGCTGTGGCTGCTGTGGTTCGACTGGATGCGACCACGTGCGCGTTGTCTTGGTTGCTGTCCGGACGAACGCCAGGCAGCGCTGGCCACTCATGCGCCTGTCACCTGTGAGTAAACGCAGGACCAAACGCGGAGAACAGTCGACTGCAATGCATCGCATTTATATGACGTGCAGGTACATGTATGTAGCTGTCATAAATCCGCGGCAAGCTCTGCGTTTTGCTCGTCGTGGGGCGATCTGGACGACTTTGACTGCGCACCGGAACTATTCCTCCTACAAAGTTAGATGCATCGTGTTGGTCGAGGGTTATTGACCCTTGGTGTTGTGTAGTAATTAATATAATCGGCGCGACGCAATACTATTGGACGCGACTTGAGCGTCAACAACGAACGCACAAGCAGACACGACCCCATCAACGCCTTCACTGCACTACACCCCTTCCAAATGCGTTCAGCCCAAATGTCAACACAACAGAGACGCACGCAGGGGTTATACGCTTAGCTAAAGAGTTGCTCGAGCGTGTCAAAGACAAGGCGGACCATCTTGAGGACGGCGTCGCTCACGTGGAGGTTTTGGTGGCGCAAAGGGTTCTCCATCGGGGGTTGGGCAGGCAATTTACCCTGGACGACGACGCGACGCGACGTTAAATCGGGTCCGATCGCTTGGGCAACCATACTACAAACACAAACCCGAGTATAGAATATACACTCGGTTGATAGGCTTCGTACCACGCCGAGTAGTTGCCGACGAGAACGCCGGGGGGCACAGGATGCGACTCGTCGTCGAGGATGGTTTTCTGGACGATAATGACGCGGTCGCCAAGCACGTAGCGCTTGATCGCGTACATGAGATACATGCACGGCATCGTCGCATCGAGGCTAACGCTCATGCGAACATAGACGCCGTTCTCACCAAACCGGTCCACAATCTACGAGGTATCAGAAATCACATTCTGAATGGACGACTCACCTCGAGGCGCAAGTGGTGTGACGTGGGTGCGCCAGACGCATTCCAGACGGACCAGAAGCGGTCGCCAACCTCCAAATACGGTCCAATGACGTTGACCACGCTTTTGATGGAGACGAGAATCATGTCATTGTCTTCCGAGATCCCCAGTGACCGGTGCCCCGGTGGGTCGTCCCAGATACCACTTCGCACATACATTGTTTCGAGGGCTTGGTACGCATCGTCCACGATCGCGTGAAAGGCCGTGGCGCGGCGCGTGGGATCTGTCGGGAGGCGGCGCAGCTTCCAGTCAGCCATGTCCATCGTCGGCGTTGCCTAGACAAAGAGCAAACATGCGACGGTTTGGGCGGTAGCTACAGCGAAAGGGTACCGCGAGCCGCGGGCGCTTGGCCAGCACTTTTTCGAGGGCTGATGCCAGCGTGATCTGGTCTTCCATGACCCGTTTGAGGCGGGCGTTCTCAAGTGTCGCCATTTCCGATGCCAGTTTTTGGTTGCGCGCGACTTTTTCCCAATGGTTGCCGCTACTCTCCACTTGCAGTGCCTTGGTGTTGGTAAGCGCGTCGAGCTGGAGCTTCAAGTCGGCGGCTTGTTGCCGGAGGTACGCGAGCTCGAGCTTTTGGCGCTGCTGGTAGTGCATTGGCTCACTCGACGGCGCGGGCGCGAGGATGCTGTTGACGATCGCCGCATCGAGGAGGTCGTTTGTCGCCAACGCGTCGCCCTCCATGTGTGGTCGCTGGCCGAAAGTGCGCACTCGGATTGGCTGGACGTTTCACTTTGCCCTTTGGCCGACCAATCACGGACCGCGGAGCCGAGTTTGGCCAAGCAAGCAATTTCGAACTCATTGCGAATCCAGAAACTGACTCCGCGCCAAGGCATCATAAGCTTTGCTGCATTTTGTGGTACGACGCGACCGTATCGTGAAAGTCCACTATACATGTACTACTACAATTGTAGTTCATACGACGAAACACAATTGCTAGCTCAAAATGGTTTCAAGTTCGTCGAAGACCGACCGGAGCAGCGTGAGGACGGTGTCGCTGATGCGAACGGGCGAGTGGTAGAGCGGGTTCTGCTGCGGCGCTTCCGCCGGCAATTTCCCTTCAACGACCATGCGCCGAATCGTGCGGTTGGCGCCTGCTGCCTGCACAAGGATACTACAGGCCATCGACATCATCAGTCGAGTGGTTCAGGCGTCGACATCGTACCACGCGTTGTGGTTGCCAATAAGTTGTCCGGGCGGCGGCGGGTGCATCTCGTCTTCAAGCACTGTCTTGAGAACAAAGACGATGCGATCTTGGAAGACAAAGCGCTTGATCGCATACATAATGTACACACAGGGTGCATGGTTCGTCGTGTCCAAGCTCGTCGACAGCTGCACGTAGACGCCACTCGCGCCAAAGTCCTCAATCCACTACACATCACTCTCCGTTTCGATCATGCTTGGACGCGAAATATACCTCCATGCGAACGTGCGGCAAGGACGCGGTGAGCTGGCCATGCCAGCGCGACCAGATCGCATCACTGCACGCAATGAAGTCCTTCTGGATGTCTGCGACACTCTGCATCGAGACGCGGATGCTGTCGTCGACCTCGTGGACGCTCAGGCGTCGGTGTCCGATCGGCGCGTCGAGGATGCTGGTGCGCACGAGGAGCGTCTCGAGGTGCGCATGCGCGTCGTCGAGCATCGCGTGGAAGGCGGCGGCGCGGCACGTCGGGTCCGACGGCAGTCGTCGGAGCTTCCAGTCGACAACGTCTTGGAGCGGCAGCGCCTACACCGCAATATCAAACACCACGTTGTCGACTTCTGTAGTCATTACGGCGAGGCGCGGCCGCTTCACGAGCAGCTTCTCGAGGGCGCCCGCGAGCTCGAGCTGGTCTTCGAGCCCGCGCTTGAGCCGCGTGTTTTCAATCGAAGCGCGCTGCGACGCGATCTTTAGGTTGCGCGCGGTGCGCTCCCAGTAGCCGACGTCCGGCGCCTGCCTCGCCGACGCTAGCGCGTCCAAGTGCGTCGAGAGCAATGCGACTTGACCGCGGAGGTACGCGAGCTCGGCGCGCTGCTTCTTCTGGTAGTGCGCCGGCGCCGGCGTGCTCAGGAGGCTGTCGACAATCGCAGCGTCGAGCTGCGCCTCGTCGTCGGACGACGACGTCGTCAGCGAGGTCGCATCCATCACGGCGAAATGACCCTTGTACGTGATTGGTCCGTTTTTTACCAAAATGGCCGCGGTGATCTGAGTGAGATGGCACGGGCGCGATGCGTACACTGACAAGATCGAAGTTCTAGTTGGGAGGTTGCCAGGTATTTGCATATTTATGAATGTGTTTCACGTTATCTTCATAATTACACAAAGATTTCCCATACATAGAGACTAGCAATCTCCTTCTTCTTCATTCGCTCGCCGGGCCGTGTGTATTTGCATATTGAACTAATGCCAATGAAACATGTATTACGAGGTAGATTGAGCGCACGTTGGACTTCAAATATAGACTATGCATACACGCGAATAGGGGTCTTCTCGTCGTGGATAAGATTCACATTGATCGGTGGCAGCCATTCAAAATCTTCCACGACGTCATCGATAGCATCCTCGGTGGCATTGGGGCCACCCACATACGGCGCTGCATCGTTCGGGATGGTTGCTGGCGCCGAAGGGGCCGTGGCTGGACGGCTCATGACGCCCGAGCTGGCAAAGTCCGCTTCACCGACGAGGGTTATGTCCATAGCTGGGATTGCTTGCGCCCGCCAGCTCGGGTCCATCGTGAGCTCGGTCACGTCCGAGAGTAAGCAGCTCATTTCGTCGTCATTGAAACGCGTGAGCTGAAATGACCACTCGGTCGCGGTCTCTGGCGGAGCGGCAGCCCATTCGGGAGGAGCATCGATAGCGCCATTAACCTCCAAACGCTTCCAGCAGCTTTGGCATTGACGCGAGCTACAACAGTGAAGTCAGTGGAGTCGTACTCGATCAGAGTAGTCTAGTCGCCCACGCACCATCGTGTTTGAACCAATTTGGCGACTTGGACCCACGGCCGTTGACGAGCCATCGCATCGCGCAGCCGCTGAATCTCATCTTCAGACCAAGGTCCAGTGTTCTTGCCGAGTGCTTCCGGGCTAAACGTGCTCAACCACTTCTGGCGGCACTCACAGGCAGGGCGGCCGGGAATGCGCTTTGCGGCCTCCTTCCATGTCTTCAAAGTGTCGAGTTTGAATGTTGCCAGCATTTCAAGCTACACGGATGGATGAGACGTGATGGAGATGATGCGATAGCGGAGCCCGTACCTCGTGCTCTTGCCACTTGTTTCTCGTAAGTTGGTGCACCGGCAGCATTGTTGTTGCTTGCGTCTTTTCTTCAAATGCGTACGCTAGGGCGGACCTCCGATGCACGATCCGGAGTATCAACTGAAGACCAGAACGAAATGTTTGATACAAACAAGGGAGCTATAGTAAATGCAAGATATTTTTCTGCACAAAACGCATGTCGCATAGTGTCAAGCTAATGTGCAAGACACGCAGGCAATACGATTGACTGGACACTATACACATGTCCAAGTAAGTTTTCATGCTCTAGGGCATTATTTGTCAACAATCAAGTTGGAGCCTACGCCTGTACGAGATGCCAACGAAGCGTTTAAACATCCAGAGTATCAAGCAACAGCTGGCCTATCACCTTCAGCTTTTGCAGGCGTGTACTCATCTCATTGGTTCATTTCACGATTAGTATCGTTATATCAGGTAACTTTCTTGAATTTACACTTGACACATGAAAAATAATAGGTGCGCCGATAATGCGCACACAACACAAGATCAATGTAAACCCAAAGCAGGAATCATACCTTCCATTTTACCATTGGGGCTTCATCTTGTACAAAACACTGGATTAGTAGTATATACCACAAGCATTTGATTGCATTTTGCGTGAATAGCCTCATGCCAGCAACATTTCTAGCGTTTGAAAAACCGACTGCATCATCTTGAAGACAGCGTCCGTGACGCTGAGCTCTTTCTGAAGCAGCGGGCTGTGCCGCGGTGGCTGGGCGGGCAAATTTCCTTCGACGCAGACGCGTCGGCACGTTCGATTCGCGCCGACAGCTTCCATGACAATACTACTGACACGTCGAATAAGATCATCCCATGTTGACGGCAAACATACCATGCTGTGTGGTTGCCCACGAGAAGGCCCGGAAGCACGGGCAACTTCTCGTCGTCGAGGACCGTTTTGAGCACAAAGACGACGCGCGAGTCACGAACGAAGCGCTTGATCGCGTAGTTGAGCTGCATACACGGGGTGGTCGCGTCGAGGCTAGTCGTGATCCGGACGTACACACCATCGACGCCAAAGCTCTGGAGGACCTACAAACACTGTAAATAAGCAACGCTTGACTTGGCGTATGCACCTCAAAACGCATGTGGGGCAGCGTCCCCGAGCATCCGCGCCACGTGGTCCACGTCTTCTCGCCGACCGAGAGGACGTTATCTGGTATTTCAATGACGTTTTTGACCGAAATCAAAATCGAGTCGCGGTCTTCAGTCACATTGAAAAGACGCTGCCCGATCGGCGCCTCCAGAATGCGCGACCGCAGGAAAAGTGACTCGAGGTTGGCAAACGCATCGTCGACGATCGCGTGAAAAGCTGCGCTCCGGCTCACTTCGTCCAGAGGCAGTCGCCGCAGTTTCCAGTCGGCCAAATCCAGCGACGGCGGCTCCTACCACCATAATCCGTTGAGATTGTGGAAATGGAGATGCGGGCGTGTACCGCAAGCCTCGGTCGCTTGACGAGCAAGCGTTCGAGCTCTTTGGCCACATGGAGCTGGTCTTCCAGCGCGCGCTTGAGGCGGCCGTTCTCTTGGCTTGCGCGGGTTGACGCCATCTTTTGGTCCCGCGCGATTTTCTCCCAAAACGTACATCCGGCGAGATCGTCAACCATGCGAGAACTCGTGAGCTCGACCAAGATGGCATTGAGCTGCTCGACTTGCTGGCGCAGGTACACGAGCTCTTCCTTTTGGCGGTCGACGCGCGGCGGGCGCGGCGGCAGCGATGGCTGATCCAGTTCAAAGTCGGCAAACACCGTCGCGATGACATCGGCGGTGGACGCCGGCTCCGGTGGCGCACAGGACAGCGGTGTTGTCATGGCGACAGCGGCTTCAATCCTATAGTGACGATCGCCGCGTCTTGGAATCTGTGCGTGCTCTTGTGTTGACGTGACCGGATGTGGACCAATGGCATCGCTGTATTTGCGTGAAATGCCTCCGTTGTCGCTGCCACGTCGTCGGCGACGAGTGTGGCCTGTTGAGTCATTCATCATCATGGACGCGAAAGGTACAGATTCTGTCAACTCGAATGACGGTGATCGTGGCCTCGAGGCTCTGTCGTGTGGGACGTGCACAGTGTACGACGGGACGCGGACTGACGTGAGCGCGCGTCGCTGTCGCATTGGCGTGTGGCCAGCACCAAGCATCTCAACGTGCACAGGAACGCTGCGTCTTCGCACAGGCTCTGCGCACTCGACAACCTCAAACGACCCTGCTCGCATTCGTGTCACGTGCTGTAGAAACGCGCGAGACGCAGCCGCCCGCATACACTTGCGTCAATTCATTCGCCTGGGTCGAATTGGATCATCACGATAGACATTTACTGCAGAATTCCCGACCGAAAAGTGCAATTTGGATGACTTGTTCGTTGGTGATCGGTCGTCCGTCACCTGCATCATGGCACAGCAAAATATTCAAAAGAGAGAAGCCCAGTGGGAAATGAGCGAGACCCAAAACCGCGGGAAATGAGCGCACGCGATGCGAATCGAGGGTCAACTTGACTCTCAAAGTGCAAACTTGTTGTTAGATTTAACCCGAGTCGGCACTCTGCGCCAAAGGCTCTCCCAAGGAATGGGAAGGGTAATTACGGGCAATTTGCATTGTTCCGCCGCTTGCAGCCTCTTTTAGGGCTCCGCTCATTTTTAACTCGCATTCCATAGCAAACACCATAGAGTCGCCAGCGTGCACCACTAAATCTTACCAGCGCGCCATTCATACGTCCCTCATCCGCAACGACAATCTAGAGTTGTCTAACACGCGCAAAGTCAAAGGTTCACCGCCCAAGACCCGTCTAACATATAACGCAAAGTAGACGGCTTGATCAACAATACTCGCGTTGCCCTATGGTATCCAGTGCGAGCACCTTGTCTCGAGACTGCTTATGTACATGAACCGTCCATGCCATGAGCAATGTGTGGTCCAGCACGAGGATGATACGTCGCGAATGCACTTGCTTCGCCCTGCGATCGGGTGGCTTGGGTTCCATTGGCTTTTAGATGACATGACATTCGGCAGGACCACGTATTTACCTCTCGACGATCCTTTAGTAGCGTGCGTGACGCGTCTCTACGTATCGACGGACAGCATATGCCAAACTACGCTACAGGACGGTGAAGTTGGAACGTCGTGCGGACACGGGAGGCTGCCACGTCAGGAGTGGCGCATCCGGATGATGAACATCTGCTGCATTGCCCAGGCTGTTGCGACGTTCACTTTCGGAAAACCAGAGAACACGGCGATGATGCTGTCCGAAGACGATGTGTTGGACGCGGCGATCATGGACAGCCTCTTGGACTCGGTCCTCGCTGCGCCGCCACGTCCCAACTACCAAGTGCGTCAGAGGCATGAGCTCGTGCACCTGCGCGACGAGGCCATGACGCTCACGGCACACCTCTCGGCGCTGCGCAGCATCAAGCGTGTCGAGGTCGAGGCGAGCACCGGCGCCTGGGAAAAGATTGCGCGCAACCAAAAGCTTGCGCTGGACACCGCGGTGCTTGAGAACACGCGCTTGAAGCGGGCGCTCGAAGACCATATCGAGTTTGCCGAGGCGCTCCAGCATGCTATGACCAAGCGGCCACGCCTCTCGGTACAAAATGCATCATACCAGCAGCAACTTATCAGTATGTCTCTAGTCGATGGCGGCCGCCGACTTTGTCGACTGGAAAGTCCGCCGTTTGCCGCTCGATCCCGTTGGGCGCCGCGCCGCCTTTGATGGCATGATGAACGACGCGTACAACGCCCTCGAGACGCTCTACGTGCGCTCCGGTATCCTCGACGCCGCGAGTGGCCATCACGTGGTGACGGTCCACGAAGCTGTCGATGCACTCTGCGTCAACATGAACAGCGTCGCCGAGGTCGCCAAAAACCATTATGCGTGCAGCGACTCAGTCTGGACGTTTATGAAGAGCAAGAGCAACGACATGTTGCCGCACGTCACATTCGAGGTCATCTACAATCTCTCATGGGCGACCATCTTAGCAGCGTGAGTAGGTCGTCGAGACCTTTGGCGACGACGGCATTTACATTCGCATCACGGCTGCGGCACAGGCGGGCACACCCTGCACGCACCTCATGTTCGCCATGAAGCGCTTTGTCGAAGACGATAAGATCACGCTGGTGCTCAAGACGTTCCTGGAAGACGCGAGCCACACGCCGCCTTCGGATGTCCTCGTTGGCAACCACACGGCCTGGTACGAATCATGGGAGTGAGAATGGACAGCAGCTTTACGGTGGCGTAGCGTCGTTTTCGAAGCGATGGGCAACCACCGAACCTGCCGGCGGTTCTGTGCCGAAGGCAAGTTCCCAACGACGGTGCCGGCGGCGAATCCGCTACTGCTCGAGCCGGTGCCGCCGTCGGACGCTCTGGCCAACCTCATGGAGCCCATCTTTACAGCCCTCGAAGAAAGCCTGCAATGAGATATCAGAGGTCGCGACCCATTTAATCTAGTCATGTGTATGTGTGCGAAGGCGGAACGGTGGGTTGTCGTCAGCGTGAAGACATACATGGAAATGACTGCCATTGTCTTGGCGATAGAGGCGCACAAGGTGAGATACGGCGTCGTGGCACATCCCTTATGACGAGGAAGCATCGGTAGCGCAATCGCCTGGATACGTCATCGGGCTGGATCAGGCATCCATCTTGCCGACCAAAGCTCATCCAGCATGTCGTCGGAAGGCAAAATAGTATGTTCCGGTGGCTTGCGTCTAGAATTCCTGGTTCAAAGTGCGATATGGCTGATTTTCTTATCTGAGCGTATGGGATGCCACGTCAGTCACTTGAAGTTGCCATAAAAATGAGCTACTTTTGATAAAAGAACCATTTAGACAGCGCATTTCTTGCAGCGATGGACCTGGCTTTCCTGGACGACGACGACGGATGGAGCGCGCCGCTGCTGATGGAGCCGTTCCTGGACTTTGCCGAGGAGCCTCTGCCTACGGACCTTTCTACACCCAGCACGGTCAAGGAGGAGACGCCGTTACCCGGCGAGACGCCTCAGAAGCGGTACCGCGAGCGCCAGAAGCGCGAGCTCGACTACCTTCGTAACCAAGTGACGCAGCTCACAGCGCACCTCTCGGTTGTGCAGAGCCTGCGTGGCCACAGTCACGACTCGCACTGGGAACAGGTCGCGCGCACCCAGCAGCGCGGCAGCCATCAGGCCCACAAGGAGAACACGCGTCTCAAGCGCGCGCTCGAGGAGCAGCTCGAGGTCGCCACCGTCTTGGAGCAGCTCCTCGTGAAGCGGCCCAAGCTCGCAGTACGCTTATCATCATCGTTGCTCTTGTTGGTGTTCACACATGACCATACAGGCTTTCCCGACACTGGACATGGTCGACGCCAAGCTCCGGCACCTCCCGATCGCCCCTGACGCCCGCCGCGCGAGCTTCCTCGCCATCATGGCCGACGCGTACGATCGCGTCGACACAACGCTACTTCGACGTGGCCTCCTTGACGCGCCCATTGGCCACCGGTCGTTCCGCGTGGAGCCGAGCACGAGCGGGTCGTCCATGTCGATCGATATTCAGTACGTGCACGCCCAAGGGCGCGACTACGTATCCGCCGCAGCTCACTTTTGGTCGATCTGGACGTCCGACCAAATGCTGCCCGGCACGTTTGACTCCAAGGTAACTACCTTCTTGGCTGTGCTTTGCGATGCTGAGGAGCGTTCTGGGTTAGGTCTTGGAGCGCTTTGGCGATGACACGGTGTACATGGAGCAGTTTGATACCTTTCATGGCACGGCGCCATACTTGCGGCGGCTCTGCGGCATGCAGCGCATCGTCGAAAAGCGGCGCATTGTGTTTGTCATGCGCACGATCCTCCACGACGCCAAGCACCCGCCCGTCGACGGTCTCTACATTGGGAACGACGCCGCCACGTACGCTCCATTTGTCTCTATCGTTTGGAAAATTCACAACTCGCTTTGGCCTAGGATCGTCTTTGAGCCCAAGGACACCAAATGGTGCATTCGCCGCATCAGTCTCGGCGGCGAGCTCCCGATTCAGCCGCCACCCGAGAACCCGCTCTTGCGAGAAAACCCGGCCGACCGCTTCATCTGCGACTTCGTGCTGCACGAAGTCACCCGCACGTGCGATGCCCTCGAGCGCATTCTAGCGTAAGCCGAGGATCGTAATCAGCATGATAACGTGTCGCACATGGCATTTGGGCACAGGACAAGAAACGCCAGTCGGATTGAGACACATGTGGTAATGTGGTCATAGTATCCGGATATGACCGGATACCATTTCTGCAAAGTGCCATGACCGACGACCTCGCGACCTGGAGCGCGCCCGTCCTGGACTCGTTCCTGGACCTTCTCATCGAGCCCGCGGCCGAGCCGACGCTGGCCATCACGGTCAAGAGAGCGACGCCGGTCGCCGAGATGACTATGACCCGACGGCTCTCGTACGACGAGGACGACGTTAACAGCTCGGCCTCGGATGCGACGTGCAGCAGCAAGAACTCGACCGCGCAGCAGCGGTATCGGAAGCGCCAGAAGCGCGAGCTCGAGTACCTTCGCGACCAAGTGGCCGAGATGAGCGCACACCTCACCGTCCTCAAGAGCATCCGCGGCTTGGAGACAAGCCAAAGCTCTTTCTGGGAGAAGAAGGCGCGCGTGCAAAAGCTAAGCAGCCAAAAGGCCGCGCAGGAGAACGCCCGACTGAAAGACGCTGTGGAAGAGCAGCTCAAGATCGCCGAGACTCTTAACCAGCTGCTCGTGAAGCGGCCCAAGCTGGCGGTACCGACCGTCCCCTCTCGATGGCCCGGCTGATTCTGAAGAGTTAGGCGTTCCCGACCATGGACACGGTCGACTGGCGGCTGCGGCGCTTGTCTACTGACAAAGCTAGTCGTGACGCCTGCCTCCGCGCTCTGCTTCAAGACGGCTACGACCACGTCGACACGATGCTATTGCGCCAGAACCTCTTTGATGTGCCCTCGGGCCACAAATCGGTGACGGTTCGGCTCAACGAAGCAGGTACCGCGCTCGCGACGTCCGTTCAAGGCGTGCACCGCATTGCGTCCAACTACTTGACGCTGGCCAGTCGCCTCTGGACGATCTGGAACGACCCGCACAACACTGAGTTTGAGCGCATCTTTCGCTCGCGCGTACGTTGTGCATGCGCTTTGCTCGACCAACGTCAATGTTTTGTAGGTGCTCGACAAGGTCGATGACAATATTGTCTACTGCGAGCACATTGAGCACTTCCGCGGCGCAGTCCCGTACCTCTACCGCCTCTGCGCGACGCAGCGCTACATTGAGAACGACCGTGTCGTTTTTGTTGTTCAAACCATCTTGGACGACCCGCTGCACCCGCCGCCGCCCGGCCTGTATGTGTCCAACGACCAGCTCACGTACGTGGTACGAGTCTCTCAAGCGGGCTCTTCACCATTGGCGTAGGGTCATTTTCGAGCGCGTGAGCGAAACCGAGACCATTAGACGACTCTGCGTGAGCGGCGAGCTGCCCATTGCGCCGCCGCCTGGCAGCCCCCTCACCGACAACCCCCAGCACTTGATCTGCGACTTCATTCTGCACGAGATGACGCAATGTTTCGATCAGTTGGAGGCCGTCTTTGGATGACACAACACGACTGCTATTTCTGTCGTGATGCGTCGTATCCTTGTCTCGTGGCGGCGTTGGGAGCAGCTCACGCACCAGAGAGCGGAAGACGCTTCTATCCCAGATAGACTAGAGCTGGTGGAGTGAGCTTCCGTTATCGCAGAGCAAATGCCATGTTGCCGTGTAGCGAGTGCTCTGGGGTTGTGCATCACTTTTCCGTTCCTTGACTGGGTAAATCTCGAATGCAGCTCGCTTGTGATTGGCCATGACGCACCCCGTGTCGTCCGAGGGCTTGATCATGCCGGCGCCGTGACGCGCAATCCGCCACCCCATTTTTCGGCCTTTTGTCTCATTTCAGAACGCTTTATCAAGTCTGTCTCAACTAAGCAACCAATAAGATGCAGCATGGCTTTCGCCGAAGGTTCCACATATATTTGGTGGCGCTTGTGTCATCATCGTCATGGAGCCGCTGGTCGACCTCGATGGCTACGAGGGCTGGAGCGCGGACGCGACGACGCTCTTTGAGCTCCTGCACGCGCCCATCGTAGACGCGCCACCGGCTCTGGTGCCCAGCGCCGGCGTGCGCAAGACCACCACCAACGACGACAACGAGACGAGCTCGGACGGCAGCAAGAACTCGACCGCGCAGCAGCGGTATCGGAAGCGCCAGAAGCGCGAGCTCGACTACCTCCGTGAGCAAGTGGCTGAGATGAGCGCGCACCTCTCGGTGCTCAAGAGCATTCGCAGCTTGGAGACGGACCAAAGCTCGTTCTGGGAGAAGAAGGCGCGCGTGCAAAAGCTGAGCAGCCAAAAGGCCGCACAGGAGAACGCCCGACTGAAGGAAGCCGTCGAAGAGCAGCTCAAGATTGCCGAGACGCTCGACCAGCTGCTCGTGAAGCGGCCGAAACTGGCTGTACGAACCCATGAGGGAGCGACCTATGCATGACACAATCTCTGCTATAGGCTTTTCCGACCATGGACACGGTCGAGTGGAAGATGCGCCGCATGCCACTCGATGATGCGGGCCGCCACGCGTGCTTTCACGCGCTCATGGCCGACGTCTATGACCGCGTCGACACGATGCTGCTCCAACGCGGCCTCTTTGACGTGCCGGACGGCCACAAGGCGTTCAACGTCTCGGCCAACGCGGCCGAAGACGCGATTTTGATCGACGTCCAGGCCGTGAGCCTCATTCCGTCGCACTTTATGAGTGCAGGCATGCACATCTGGTCCATTTGGTGCGACCCGAACCACTCGGCGCTCAAGGGCATCTTCGAATCCAAGGTCGTGCGCGCCACATTCTCTATCGATATGCACTCATTAGCCGACGTAGACGCTCGAGCATTTCGGCAACGACACGACGTACCTCGAGCAAATCGAGTCGCTGCGCGGCGGGCGGCCGTACCTGCGCCGACTCTCGGCCATGAAGCGGTTTGTCGAGGAAGACCGCATCGTCTTCGTCATGAACACGGTGCTGCATGACCCCAAGCACCCACCGATCGACGGGCTCTACAGTGGCAATGACGTGGTCACGTACGTCATCATGCTCTCATGGCCCGGACATCTCCTGACGATAGCAATGACTACTAGATTGGTGCTCGAGCGTGTGAGCGACACCGAGTCCCGGCGACGCCTCTGCTTCCACGGCCAACTTCCGATCGCGCCGCCGCCGGGCAGTCCGCTCGTTTCGAACCCGCGGGACCTCATCTGCGACTTTATCTTGCACGAAGTCACACACACGTTCGATGTGCTCGACCAAGTCATGCAGTGATGGCGTCCGATGCGTAGCCAACGTCACACTTCCCTAGCCCTACACCAATAACTTATCGAGCATTTTGCGTCCTTTCTCGCTGGCTTCTTTTGGCTGCGACGCCCGTGCGCAAGGCCGCCGGTTGGGAACCTGGCTTGCCGATCGCCTTTGGGTGTTTCCAGCTGTCATGTGAGACAGTGCTGGGAACGTCGTCTCGATGGCAGAGTCTCATTTTCAAGTTGCGTCGAAGGCAAGCGAAGGTCCAGCATGATCGAGTCGATGGTGGCATACGATGCGACGACGTGGGCGCTTGACGCGGACGAGATCCTTGGCTTTCTTCCTGCACTGGGTGCTGCGTGCTGCGCGACCGAGGACCCGCCCATCTCGGCGCAGAAGCGGTACCGGAAGCGGCAACAGGCCGAGGTGCAGCGCCTCCACGACGAAGCGGCGGAGCTCAGCGCCCACTTGACGATCCTCCAGAACATTCGCCGCATGGAAACTAGCCAAAGCTCGTTCTGGGAGAAGAAGGCGCGGCAGCAGCGGCTCAGCGTGCGCAAGGCGGCGCAAGAGAACGCCAAGCTCAAGGAAGCCATCGACACGCAGCAAAAGGCGCTCGAGGCGATTCAGCAGCTTCTGCACAAGCCGCTCAAGCTCACGGTAGTATGCAATTCTACCGTTGGCGTGCTCATCGTGGTCGCAGGGCGCAGCCAACGTCGAGCTCCTCAACACGAACCGGCGCTTCCTGCCGCAGGACGCGAATGCTCGACATGCATGCTTCCACGCCATGACCGACGACGTGTACGACCACGCCGACACGTTCCTGCTACGGCGCGGGCTATACGACGGCAGCCACGGCCACAACAGCATTTGCATCGACAGCGCCAAGCACCAGGACACCATCTCGATCGAAATGCAGTGGGTCAAAGACTCGAGCATGGGATTCCGCGAAGCCGGCGACCGCTTTTGGTCGCTCTGGTACCAGCCCGAAGGCAACGTGATCAACATCAAGGTACACGCCAACATAACGTATACGTACCAGCAGGATACATCCTTGCTAGAACCTCGCCACCTTTGGCATCGACACGGTGTACGTGCAGTTTATCGATGCGATCGACGGACTCGCGCCGTACGCGCAGCGACTCGCGTGCATCAAGCGGTTTGAGGAGCCCGACCGCGTCGTCTTTGTCATGCAGTCGGTGCTCGAGGACGCTGCGTACCCCGTGCCAAACGACCTCTACACGGCCAACGACACCTTTGTGTATGCGATGTAGACTGCACATTTGTTCTATTACCTCTTGACGGGTTAGGTTTGTCGCCGAGCGTGTGACCGACACGACGTGTCGCCGTCGGTTCTGCCTCGCTGGCGAGCTTCCGTTGGTTGCGCCGCCCGGAAACCCGCTCGCTGGTCTCTCCAAGCCCGCGATCTGTGACCGCCTCTTGGACGAAGCCAAGCGCGTGTGCGTACTCTTTGATCACATTCTTGGCGACGCTCCACTGTGATTGTCATCGACCGCCAAAGACACCAAGACACCACCTAACGTATATAAATAAGAACTAGACTTGTACCGACTAGAATTCAGAGACCATCCAACTAGATATAGACGCAGAATTAACAGCAACAGTCCGAGTGAGAGGACCAAAACGACGCGAACGACGGTGGCGACGGACGATCTTGCTTGGGGCATGGGACAGCGACGAGAGCGGCTTTTCTCACGCCACCATCGTAGCTTCGGTAGCCTTGCAAGCGAGTTGGCCACATCGACGAGTCGGCTGGTGCCACCAAAGCCCACGCAAGACACAAGGGTCCGTGGATCAAGCTGCTGATGGTGGGCTTGTGGTGGCAGAGGTGTGGTGACGCCGCGTCATTTTTTGGGCGGTTTTTGGGAGGGGGCGGCCCGGGTTCTAATTTCGGACGAGATTTGCCACCGATGGAGCGCGACGAAGCGTGGGGCATGGCGTCGCCGGACTTTCTCGACTTCCTCGACGCGTCGCCTCCGTGCGTCGCCAATCTCAGCGCCACCGATGAGTGCGACGACGCCGACGACGATGCCAACGCGACGGCGCAGCAGCGGTTCCGGAAGCGGCAGAAGCGCGAGCTCGACTTTCTACAGAGCCAAGTCGCGCAGCTCAGCTCGCACCTCGCGGTCCTTCAGAACATCCGCGGCCTTGAAGTGCGCCACAGCTCGTACTGGGAGAAGAAGGCGCGCATGCAGAAGCTCGGGCGGCAGCAAGCCACGTCCGAGAACACCCGCTTGAAGCGCGCGATCGAAGAGCAGCTCAAAGCCGCCGAGATCCTCAACCAGCTGCTCGTCAAGCGCCCCAAGCTCGTTGTACGTGCATCTTCCTCTCGAAGCACTCGCTTTAGACACATTTACGTAGGCTTTTCCGACCATGGACATGGTCGACTGGAAGCTGCGGCGGCTGCCGCGCGACCCCACAGCGCGCACAGTCGCCTACCACGCCTTTATGAACGACGCGTACGAGCGCGTCGACACCATTCTGCTTCGGACAGGCATTTTGGACGCGCCGGACGGTCTCCGGTCCGTCGAAGTCTCGACGTCCGATGACGTCATGACCGTCGACGTCCGTGGCGTCAAGACGGTGCCGTGTCACTTTCTCAGCGCCGCGCTGCGCTTTTGGTCGCTTTGGAATGACGCGTCCAACCACATTCTCGAAGGCACGATCCGCGTCAAGGTCCCATCGCCTTGGCTCTCGCGCGAGCTCAGAGTGTGTAGGTGCTCGAGACGTTTGGCGACGACGGCGTGTACATTGAGCAGACCGAGTCGCTCGGCGACGCCATGCCGTACCTCCGGCGTCTCGGTGCGCTCAAGCGCTACGTCGAGGAGGACCGCGTCATCTTTGTGTTTCGCACGGTCCTCGACGACGAAAAGTACCCGCCCGTCGACGGTCTCTACATTGGCAACGACATGATCGTGTACGCATTGATACCTTGATAGAATTGCGGTTTAGTCAATCCTGTACTAGGCTGGTGATTGAGCGCGCGGGCGACAACATGGCCGTGCGCCGCGTGTCCATGTCGGGCGAACTCCCAATTCAAGCGCCGGCGAACGGGCCGTTGGCGTCCAACCCGCAGCATTTGATCTGCGATTTCATTTTGCGCGAGGTCAAGCGCACGTTTGAGACGCTCGAGAAATTGTTTGGCGACTAGCTTCCTACCAGCTTTTAGCGTGACGTCGCGTGTAAAGTGAGAGTGGTTGGCAACGGCGTGTATCCTACGAACTCGTCTGCGGTTGCTTGACGAGTGAGGTGCAAAACGATGTGTTCATGAACAACAGCTAACAAGCGCAGATGCACAAAGTAGACAGTTAATAAAGGAGACTAGGTAGAGCCTGGACGCGGTGCTATATGCACGCGCGCAACAGCTGTTGTTTCGAAAATCTCGTCGCTCGATTGCGCTACGAGGTTACGATTGCGCTACGGTCCCAGACGGCGCGTGACTCATCGTTACCGCAGTTGGACAAACGAAAGAGCGCGCCTTTGTCGATTCCGTGCCCGCGCGGACTGGGCCTGTCGCCTTGTGATGCTAGAAAGTCGGCAGTGACAAGGTGAAGGGGATAAGGGTTAGGTATGTCGAGCGTCGATGCACAAACGCAAAAAGAACATTCCAGGACGCCGCGATCGGTGCGAAGCTCTGATATACCACCTCGTGCGCAAGCATAGCCAGTGCGCGCCTTTGTGCAGCGAGAGGCACGGGCGCAGGGTGTCCAAAGACGGCATTTCCACGGGGAGGGTTAGGTGCTCCACCGTGTACTTGCAACAAAAGCTGCTTGTGCCACGAGTGCGCGCAAGCTCTGCTCTTTGCTGTGTCCCAAAGAGCATCGACGCAGCATGAATCAAAGCATCCTCCCATCGGCGCTATGTGGCAAAAGCACGAACTCGATCAATCTGGGGCAATCGTCGCTGATTGGCTGATACGGCTGCCGGTATGACGTGGCACACTGGTGTGTCGAGGATTGTCGGCAATGACTTCAACAAGCAAGGCTACCGTTATTGGCAAAAATTTGGTGGGCCTGTGATTCGCGTAGCGCCTACTGCATTGTAGCTGCTGCACAAGACGGGTTTGCAAGGCTCTCGTCTCTGTGTATAGCGTAAAACCTATGTTTCGGCAGCGATTCCCTAAAGTCGGGTCGTATCCATGGATAACCTTGGATATCGCCCCGTCGATGCACTCTGTGAGATTCGAACAACTTTCGTCCACGAACGTTCTTGGCCAATGCCCACGTCACAGCCAGTCTTGGCGTCACGCTGAGGACCTGTCTTTTAATGATAACTTCGTCGGGTACATGCGATAACGCTACGCAGCGCCCCATCAACTCGTGCACGTCGCACTCGAGAGTGGCAGCCATCGACGCACCTTGTGCCGTATCAACTCATGGCCAACAGCCGTCGCTAACAACCGTACCGGCTGCAGCAGGAACCGCCGGCGTGCCAAAGCGTCGATCGTCGTGCCGACGGGCCGCGATTGGACAGTAATCTTGTTTAGACTGCGTCGCTGGCAGGTAATCGTGTCCAGCCACTGCATCGGCGCCACTCGGGGCTCACCAACGACGTGTGTGCACCAAACCCCAGCAGCCACAACGATGGCAGATCGCTGGGTGTCCAAAGGTGCGGCTCGAAGGTCGACACGGCCGCGTCAAAACAGCAGGACTTCGAGGCACCCCACCCGAAGGGTTGCGAAGACCACACTGAGGCGGGCCAATCAGAGCGTTTCATTTCCACATTGCCACAAAAGGTACCACGATGGCCAGCAACAACGAGCTCCTGCTGCGGACGTTCCCGCCGACGCCACCGCCCATGGCCCCGACCTCGACAGCGTCCACGCCATCGCCACTGCCGACCGCGATCGAGAGCACGGATGACTTCCTCCTCGACCTGCCCTCGATCAACAAGCTGCTGCTCTCTGAGACGTCGTCGACCGAGAGCGACAAGGAGACGCCGACAACCAAGGCGGCAACCGTCGTCACCGCCAACGAAGACCCGTACAGTCGCCAGCACCGGTACCGGAAGCGGCAGAAGGACGAGCGCCAATTCCTGCGCGACCAAGTGCAATCGCTCACCACGCAGCTCCGGCAACTACGCGACGTCAAGACGGTCGAGCTCGCGTCGAGTTCCGAGTGGCAAAAGATTGCGCGCACGCAGCGAGTCCACGCCCACCAAGCGACATTGGAAAACACGCGGCTCAAGCGCGCGCTCGAGGACCAGCTCAAGCTCGCCAACACGCTCGACCAGCTCCTCGTGAAGCGCCCGCGCCTGCTCGTACACCCTTCTTTCCGCAATGACAAGTCATCTGATGGCCATTGCACTAGAAGTTTCCGACGCTGGACGTGGTCGACTGGAAATTCCGCAAAATGCCAGCCGACCCGAGCGCCCGCGAAGCCTCGTTCCACGCGATGATCGACTACGCGCACAGCCAGGTCGAGTCGATCCTATTGCAGAAAGGTCTTCGCGACGCAACGGACGGGCACCACGCCATCAATATCACAACGTCGGACCGTGACGACTGCATCGTCATCGATGTACAGAGTGTCCGCGTTTTGGACGTCGACTTTCTCGAGAATGCCAACAAGTGCTGGAGTCTGTGGTGCGAGCCTGAAGTTACCACGACGGCCAAAATCCCCACCGTCAACATCAAGGTACACTTACGTGGTGGTCCATGTGTCTCTGACGACACTCGGTAGGTCCTCGATCGCTTTGGCCCGAACGCAGCGTACCTCCAAAACATTGGGTCGTTTGGGGACGAGAAGCCCTATCTCTTTATGCTCAGCGCCGTAAAGCGCTACGTCGAGAAGGACCGCGCGGTCATTGTCATGCGCACGGTGCTTGAAGACGCTCTGCACCCGCCGCCACCGGGCCTTTTCATCGGCAACCACACCTCCTTGTACGTAGTCCTGCTGACGACTGTTGCGTCTCATCTACATTTGTGCTAGCTGCCTCTTGGAGCGCCTCGAGAATGGCAAGTGTCGTCGCACAATGTGCATGCTTGGGCAGCTGCCGATCCAAGCACCTGGCAGCGGCCCGTTGGCTGACGAGCCGCCCATGATGGTTTGCGATTATGTATTGAGTCATACAACGCAAACATCCCACCTTATTGAGGATATTCTCGGCGAATAAGTCAAGCAAATGTGAACTTTCTACTGTGGACCACCAGGCGATCTCTGGAATATGCTGTAGTAGCCGATGCCGTGGACGTGCAGGCAAGACGCTAAAGATCGCATCATGCTGATGAAAGCCGCCGTCTGTGACACGTGATGGCACAACGCACGCAGCAGCTGTGACGTTATGCCTTTGGCATTCGCTGTGGCGCGTCTTCTACTATCTGTCGCGACTGTTGGGCTGATAAGAACGACACAAGGTCGATGCCGCGTCGTAGAGACACTCCGCCGCTATCGCGCCGTCGCTTCGAGACGAGGAGGACGCAGATGGTCAAGTAGAGCTTCTAGTGGTACGAGCACCAGCCGCTCGGACGCAGACGTCCGGTCCAACCGTCTGGTCAGCACCCAAGTTTACCACGGCCACGTCGACGAGCGGTGGGCTATGACGCGGCAAGAGATCCGACGTAATTTTAGCCAATTAGCCGAGTTTGCACTTTCTCGTTTCAGAGTAAACAGCGCCAAAACGCGAGTGAGATGGAGCCCAGTGTCGAACCTGCGGCCTATTGCACCGCCATGCGCACGCGGTCATCGTCGACGAAGGCGCCCCCCGCCTTGCCCCCCGCAATTGAAAACATGGACGACTTTCTCCTCGACTTGCCGAGCATCAACAAGATGCTTGTGTCGTCCGAGGCGTCGTCGTCGTCCGACGAAACGACGACCAAAACGGACGCGAGCGTCGGGCCGTACAGTCGCCAGCACCGGTACCGCCAGCGACAAAAGGACGAGCGCAAGTTCCTGCGCGACCAAGTCGAGTCGCTCACGACACAGCTCGAAGCACTGCGCAACGCCAAAACCACGGAAAACGAGTCGTCCGAGTGGGAGACCGTCGCGCGGTCTCAGAAAGCATACGCGCACCAAGCAGCGCAGGAGAATGCGCGGCTCAAGCGGGCACTGGAGGACCAACTGCGACTCGCGGGCTCGCTGCAGCAGATTCTTTCAAAGCGGCCACGCCTCATGGTACACGAAGCGATCGAAAATCCGTGTAGGGACTCACGGCACGTCGACTAGAGGTTCCCGACCATGGACTCGACCCGGCGCCGATTGCGAACGATGCCGATCGACCCAACGATGCGCGAAGCCGCCTTTCACACGCTGATGGACGACACGTACGCGCAAGTCGAGTTGATTATGCGGACAAAGGGCCTGGCGACGGCGCCAGACGGCCACCAGTCGATCACACTGGACACGACGACGTCGAATGAGACCATTGGCATCGACTGCATGGGCGTGCGCATTATGGCCTCCGACTACATTGCGAGTGCTCAGAAATGCTGGGCAATCTGGTGTGAACCCGAGACGCGCGCACCGCTGGACAACGTCCAGATCGACATCAAGGTATCTTAACTCCATTTATTCTCATAACTCGAGTTCTTCTCACACATTTCGTGTCGTGTCTCGAGTAGATCCTCGATCGCTTTGGGCCTGACGCCACGTATTTTCAGGACGTCGGATCCTGCGGCCACGACAAGCCGTATTTGGTCATGCTCAGCGGCATGAAGCGCTACTGCGAGAAGGACCGCGTCGTCATTGTCATGAAAACGTTCCTCGATGACGAGGCGTACCCGCCCCCCCAGGATATGTTTATTGGGGACCACACCGCGCTGTACGCCTTTCCGTCTTGCCGATATTGAGCTCATGCATTCACGACTAGATTCGTCTTGGAGCGGCTCGACGATGGGACGTGCCGCCGGCGCAGCTGCCTCCTCGGCTACTTGCCCATCCAGAGCGTTGAGATCGCCCCGTTTGCGGACCAACCGTCCATGATGGTGTGCGACTACGTCCTCCACCACACGCGCGAGGTCTCGAAAGCGCTCGAGAGCTTTATGAGCTAAGTACGACGAGCTCTTTATACCCATGTACTCTACGATTCAATTAACGTAAGCTTTCAATGCACTGCCTCACGTCTTGTTGCTTCATCTGAAGCGAAGTTCCGCATCTGCACCGCACGCACAAACGTTGAGCCCGTGGTAATCACAGGTGAGTCGGAAGGTTTCTTGACCAGCAGGTTTGCCTGAACGTTCGCCCTACACATGTGTCTGGACCCATCACTTTCTGTCTTCGGGTGCCTTTGCGCCGTGGCACTCGATGCAACTAATACACTCGCTTCTGTCGCATACCCTTGGGACTAGTGTTACAGCTGCGGTCCGGGTTCGTTCAAGATTTAGCGCGTAGGCACTCACTCTTTTCTGAGATGACGCTAGACACATCTACTGAGTTGTGATGCACCTCGCGCAACCGTAGACCCAGTACTTGGTGGTCCACCTGGGCTAGACAGTGCACGCAGTGTCTGGTGGTTTCGCACGCGTCGTGGGTGAGAACCACATGTAGAGTGCACGGTTGTCGGCGAAATGTGTCTATGGTATCTTGCCACGATTGACAGCAGCCGTCTCTGCACCCGAAGAGGACCGCATCAAGAGGCCTGGCTGCAGATGTCTGCACCAGAGGACATGCAGCCATGTCCAACGCCACGACCAGCTGCCGACCTCCGAGGTGTAGTGGCACACGCGTGGAGTCAGGTACTGTAGCGCGAGGCTGTGAAGCTAGTAGCGCGCAACGAGTAACTTTACGCCTCAACTTGAGGTCGCCTGCTGGCTCGAGTGCCGCTACTAGCTTACGCTGTTAGTTGTGGAACCGCGAACGGCTTGTTGCCGCCAACGGCGCGTTCACGTTTCTCTGCAAGGCCTTCTGTGGGATCTACACGGCGATCGAATCTTCGTCGGGCGTCCCGGGTGCTCGTTCGAGGACGCGGTTGACGCCGGTGACTACCAGTTCTATAGTGTCTCTACACGCGCTCACTACAGTCTACTGCCTACACGGCAGATGTGCTGAATACACAACTAACTGACTATCCACTGTACTAACTAACTATCCGCTGCAGAGGCTCCGATTCCTTACGGGCATGGGACATTGATACTCCGGACGACGCTCGAGCGTTCTCCGAGCTTTCGACCGGCTAAAAACCCCGCGAAAATGGACCAATCACAATTGCCTACAATTGAGCCAATCACGCGCCGCCTATTCACGGGCTATTTTTCAAGCGGGCCGACGATGGAAGCCGACGCGCTGGGCGAACTGACCTGCCTCCCCGACGACGCCTTCCCGCCGACGGTCGCCGAGGTGAGCCCTTCCTTGTCGCTATTGCCGCCGCCAGCAGCGGCGAGTCTGCCGCCGCGCATCGAGAATGCCGACGATATCCTCTCGGACTTGCCGTCGCTCGGGCGGCTGCTCGTGACCGATGACGACACGGCGACCGAGACACGGCAGAACCGGTACCGCAAGCGGCAAAAGGACGAACGCGACTACCTTCGCGAGCAAGTTGAGACGCTCACGTCGCAGCTACAGATCCTCCGCCAGGTCAAGTCGGTCGAGCTCGCGACGAGTTCGACGTGGAAAAAGGCGGCCCAGAGCCAGCGCACATTCGCGTGCGAAGCCACCATGGAAAACAAGCGCCTCAAGCGTGCGCTCGAGGACCAGCTCAAGCTCGCGACGGCCCTCGACCAGCTCCTCGTCAAGCGGCCCCGATTGCTCGTACGTCGCACGATGTTCACCATCCTGCGTCTCACTTTGTGCCATAGAGCTTTCCGACCATCGACGTTGTCGACTGGAAGCTGCGCAAGATGCCATCGGACCCGCGAGCGCGTGAAGCGACGTTCCACGCGATGATGGACCACGCGTACAGCCAAGTCGACTCAATCTTGCTCCAGAAAGGCCTTCTCGACGCACCTGACGGGCACAATTCCATTGCGCTCGAGACCAACGAGACGGACGATTCGATCGTTCTCGACGTGCAAAGCGTGAGCATTCTGAACATGGACTATGTGGCGAGTGCTGACAAGTACTGGTCGCTGTGGTGCGAAGCCAGTGACCGCGGCAGCATTCCGTTCATCAACATCCACGTACACGTGTCTACAATTGAGCGAACGATCCTGTGGTGACGCAAGTGCAACTAGATTCTCGACCGGTATGGCGACGACGCAGCGTATGTGCAAGACATTGGGTACCTCAGCCATGGATCGCCGTACCTCTTTATGCTCTGCGGCATGAAGCGGGTGGTTGAGAAAGACCGCGTCGTGATCGTGATGCGCACGTTTCTCGAAGACGCACTGCATTCGCCGCCGCCCGGGCTCTACATTGGCAACCACACGGCGATGTACGACGATCTCGTGCTACCTTCGTGAAGTTGATGGTTGATATGTCTAGATTTGTGGTCGAGCGACTGCCGGACGGAAAATGTTGTCGCCGCATGTGCATGCTCGGGCAGCTCCCGATCCAGCCACCCGGTGAGAGCCCGCTCTCGAAGCACCCGCCGCTCATGGTGTGCGACTACATTCTCAAGCACACGACGCAGACGTCGCATTTGATTCAAGATATTTTGGAGTGAATCACACAAGACATAAACAACAAATTATGGGTTTTCGTTGCTCTGACGAACGATGTCTCCAAGCGCGGGTAGTATGCCAGTCGACAGCATATGCAACATGTTTATCGATAAGTCATGTACTGTACTTGGTGTTTCAAAAGCTGCATTTTGTTCCACATGCTAAAATGTTGAGAATACCACAACCTAGTATACATGTACTTGTATTCAGCAACCCTAGATCACGATGCGTGGTGGTACATCTACAGCTAAATTGGTCGAGTTTACGAGTCCTATATTGGTCGTCGTTCGTCTCAAACGATGCACCGTATCTAGGAGTATGAAAAGTGGTTGTCAGAGCCACAAGCCACAGGATGTTGAATTTTGTGCGCGAGCGCGACACGCAAGATCGTTCGACGAGCAGAAGTTATGCAACCCACGACGCTAGACGGTGCACGGACCATCCCACCGTGTCGTTAGCGACAGTACCTCTCGTTTCCAAACCGAACGGAGCTCAGCGATGTGGCAAGTCAAACGCGCTGGTTCAACATCTCATCGTACCGCACGCACACCCGTGCCGCAAACTCGAGCCGTTCACCCGTTGATTGAACGCCCAAGACGGGGTCTCTCCGACGGTAGCGCAGCGAATAGACGTCGACAATGGCAATGCATCGTAGAGTGTCATGGCATCCTCCACGGCTCGGCAAATGACCCATACCCGTTGCCTCGGGAATCTTTCTGAAGCTTCGTTCGGAGCGCAGATTCCGCATGCTTTGGAGGGACATGTTGAAGTTGACGCAAGATACCCAACGCGCCTCTCGGATTGGCCAACATCAGACGCCATAAGCCAATCAGACGTGCAAGAACGCCATCGCCACGCGATCCGGAGCTTCAAATCTGCACCGCACAGAAAGGCGCGGTGGCGAGAACATCGGTCGCACAAAGGTCATTTATCAACTGGCTGTGGGGCGTTCGTACCAGGTAGGAACCAGCTGGGTAGGACCAGGGTGGTGCGTTGATCGCCTTCCTAGCGTGAGAGAGAATGCCCGGCGTCGACTACGCCCAAGGTTTGTCGAGCTGGCACTGCGCGCAACGATGAGCTCGCTCAAGAGCCCAAACAGCCCGATCTCCCTCCGCTTCTCCGACATCTCGCACAACACGAGTGGCCGCACCCACCTCAACAGCACCAAAGTGACGATATGCTGCACCTTCCGACCGCGCTGCCATAGTGCGACACCGTGCATCGGACACCTTGTCGTCGCGACATCGCCCGACCACATGACGCTGGATGGCGCGGCTGAGCTCATACCCACTCAAGTGTACACCATCCAGGCCATGTGTCTGCTATCGACGCGGCGCTGGACTGCGTACGCCTGGGCGGATGTGAGCGCGGCTGTGCCATCCCGCACCATGCGCCCGGGCAATGGTCTCGACGCTAAGGCGTTCGGTGCACAGTGACGCGCTCGAGTAGTTTGGTGGGGACTTGCGGCATATTGTCTCTTTGTTTCTTTTATGTACAGTACTAACATATAATAAACACGCAAAAGCTGGCGATGAAAAGAGCTGCGGACGCGTGAAAACCACTGAGTACCCTATAGTTTAGGCTAATAACTCGGCCCGACGAGCGCTCACCAGCGCGGGCTCTCCGCCCACACGCAAAGGCATGGACATGATTTGCAGGACGTACACTGCTGCAGAAACGAGTTGTCCGACTACCTGCAGCGGAAAAGGTTTCGCCATCGTATATAAACGGCTTTTTGCGGCCACCTGCCTCCTTTCCACGCGGCCCGCGGCGGTGGCCGCTGCCGCCGAGTACCGTCAGCCTGACCACATCCTGCCGCGCTACGCGGACTCCATGTACCGCATCGTGCTGGGCGCTGTCGCAGTCCGCACTCGGCTCTCCTTCCTGGGTGAAGACGCCCAAGGATGCCCGGTCTGTGGTGCTCCCGAGGCATCGAGCTATCGGGATGATGTGCATCGTACTATCCGGATGACGTGGCGGCGCCAGGTGATACACACACACGTTTGAATGGCGCTTTTGCTTGTGATTTTGACAAATCCCAGAGACGCGTTGGGTATCTTGCGTCAACTTCAACATGTCCCAGTCCCGAAGCTGCGTACGTGTGCTAACATTGCACTAAACGTATTGAGGTGTGGAAGGCTTGACGCAGGGCTGATGCATTATCGTAGCTACAAGATGGTGAAAGCTTGTTGCAGACAGTTCCGTGTTGACATCAGCAAACTCGTCGCGATCGACATAACATGGTACCGTGTACGAGTTGGCGTCGCCAAAACATGCGGAATCAGTCTCCAGATAATATCTGGTCCGAGCCACCAGATTCTGGAGGCTCATTCTAGCTCTGAGGCGACACGTCGACGTATATATTCATTTAGCCGAGCGTGGTGCCGTGTAAGATCTCATGGTACTTCGGATGCATTGCTATTAACAACGGTTCGCTGCCTTTTGGTAGATGCCTTCTTGGGCTGTCTTGAGCGCTCAAACTGCGGATGAAAAAGATACCACAGCACGTGCGTGCCTTGCTTTGAGATAGAGATATGGAACCACCCCGTTTGACTTGCTCCATCACTGAACTGCGTTCGGACGGCGCGAAGAGAGGTCGACAGTGACACAATGTCCCGTGCACCGCGACTCGTCCTGCGTCGTGGGCTTCAATATTTCTGCTTGTACAATGATCTTACACACCTGCGGGGCGCTAAATTCGGCTCCATGGAAAGTTTTGTGTACCCAAGCGCACGAATCCGAGGCGCTTTGGCGATCAGCCTTTTGATAAATGTGGGTGCTTCGTTGGTGCCGGCCAACGCATCTGCACAGATGGGTCGCGGCTACGCATTGCTCGCAGCTGCGAGTCGCAGTGTCTTCTCAACGCAGCTCAGTCCAAATTTATCCTCGCCTCGGCCATTGCCTCGGCCATTTCTTCGATCATTGCTTTGACGCGGGCGCTCCTTGCGCGCGCCACATCCCGACGTCGATGGCATGACACTTCCGGCCGCCCAAGAAGACTTTGAAGTCTCTGCCAACCTCGCTTCGTCTCGCCGAGCGTAGCGTCCGCGCGCCGCATCCGGCCCGTCCCGACGACAAAGCTTTGCGCACCACGACGTCGCTTCAAGAAGCTATCAACAACGCCACAGCGTTTCTTGAGAGCTCGGCTGCCGGCCGCCGAGGTGGCGAAAAAAGATTAAAAATGAGCGGAGCCCGGTAGAAAAATGAGCGAGGCTGGAAACGGCAGAAAAATGAGCGGACGCGACGTGTATAAAGGGTTAAATCGGCTGCGGGTTTGCACGAAGTGCAAATCCGTTGTCCAATTTAACCCGAGCCGGCACTCTTGGCCCGCCAAAGGCTCTGCCAGGGAAAGGGGAAGGGTGGTAATTGTGGGCAATTTCGCTCATTTTTCCGCCATTTTCGCTCATTTTGGGCCTCGCTCATTTTTCTACCGGGCTCCGCTCATTTTTAATCCGCACCCCCGAGGTGGCGCAGGGCGCCCGAATCAAGTCATTGCACGGCCGCCGGCTCGGTACCCGCGCAACGTCGAAGCCGCGTTGACAGCCCAGTACGGCCGCGTCGTGTGCTTGGGTTTTTTATCTCTCAACGGGTATCATCACATCCTTACACCGGACTTGCTTCCTCCCGACGCTCAAGCTTCTCTTACTTTTGTACAGCGTCACCGGAAGCAGCGTCCTGGTGCTCTAATCAATCAAACAACCATTTAATCAATCATTTCGTCGAAAATGTGTTTTGTGTTGGCATGAAACTGGCGTGGACGAACTCCAAGATTTTGCATATTAGTATTTAGCGCTTTGGCTCAAGGCGCGGGATTTAGCATCAGCTCGTGGTCGTGGGGAGTGAGCTGTGTACGCTCAATTGCAGAATTTCAGAATCTGGAATTGCATTGTGATGGTGTACCATTCTGCTTTTGTCCTTGTGATACGGCGTCCGAGCGACGTGCGAGCTTTGCCACTCACTTTTCCTTTTGCTCGCTCATGGTGTTCGGGTTTACATTCGCACAAGAGACTGCAGCGGCCGTCGCCGTCGGACTTGCTTGCTTGCTCATCGCCAAGGTCGTGGTAGTCTACCGCCGCAAAGCTCGGATTGCCAAAGGGCTCGCCCATCTACCGAGTCTTCCGGGCCACAAACTACTGGGCAACTTGGTGCAACAAGGCGAGCACATCCACGACCACTACTACTGGAAGCTGGAGCTTTTCGAGACGCTTGGGAGCACGTATGCGATGCGCGTGGACCTGCTTCTGGACGGCTCCGTGTGCACCTCGAGCGCTGCCAACGTCCGACATATCCTCGCGACCAACCACACGAACTACGTCAAGCCAGCGATGATGCAGCGCGCGCTCGGCGAGCTCATGGGCAGCGGCATCTTCAACGTCAATCCATCCGCCTCGTCGAGCTGGAAGGCCCAGCGCAAGATCCTCGCGTCGCTCTTCTCGACCAACGCCATCAAGACGCTTATGGACACCATCTTCCTCGAGCACACGTCAGCGCTCCTGTCGGAGATCGAAACACTAGGCGACGGTGCGCTCCTGGACGTCGAGGCCACTGCGCTGTCGCTGACGACCAAGTTCACTTATGCCATGGCGTTTGGGCTCGTCTTTGAGACCGAGAACGCCACCGAGTTTCGAGACCTTTTTCGGGAAGCGAGCAACCTCAGCGTCTCGCGCTTCACGCAGCCGTGGTACCATTGGCTCGGCTGGTTCATGCCGTCCGAGTACCGCCTCGCGCGTGTCATGCGGCGCATCAACGCGCTTTGCCGCGACACGATCCGCACCAAGCGGCTCAGCGCCACAAGGGGCGACGACCTTCTCTCGGAGCTCCTCCGGCGCCAGGAAGCCGGCAACGACATGATTTCCGACACCTTTATCCGCGACATGATGATGACCATGATGCTTGCGGGTCGGGAGACGGTCGGGAGCGGCCTCGCGTGGGTCATTTACACGGTGAGCAAGCACCCTATCGTCGAAGCGCGGCTCGTAAGCGAGCTGCAAGCCGGTGAGATTTCCTACGTGGGCGTCGGATGCATGTCGTACCTCGATGCGGTCGTGCGTGAGACCTTACGCCTCTTCCCGCCTGTGCCGTACGAGCTCAAGCGCGCTGTCACGGACGATGTATGGCCCGACGGCACGTTTGTCCCGGCGGGAACCAATGTCGAATTTTCGCCATTCGCAATGGGTCGCAACGAAACCCGGTGGCCACAGGCGACGACGTTCTCGCCCGAGCGTTGGCTAAATGACGCTCCACGACCAAGTGCGTTCGAGTACCCGGTCTTCAACGCTGGTCCGCGCAGCTGCGTCGGCCAAACCGTCGCGCTTCTCCAGCTCAAGGTTGTCGTCGCAAGCCTCTACCAGCGCTTTACGTTTGATCTTATTTCGCCGCTCAACGAGCCAGCGTTCGAGCTCGGTATCGGTCTCTTCTCCCAGGACAGCATTCAAGTCCGCGCCCGCAACCGGGATTCATTGTAGCGTGTACGTGCTGTGTCCATGGGCCGGAAGTTACAACTAGAGTTTGTAGAGCTCGCTTTGAAAGTGACGTGTTTTAATGCGATGTGTTTCTTGTTCCTGGGTTGTTGCGGGTTATGCAATTGTTGAAGGCATGCCTACTACGATCGCGCGATCGCGCGCAACATTAACTCGAAGCGAGATGAGCGACTGGATCGCCCAGGCGAGCTCGCTACAAGCGACCATCATGACCCACTCCTATGACTACAAGGAGATTGTACTTGCCCAAGCTCCAAGTCCATTCACGCAGCTGGTGGAAGCGCCATCGAGCGCTGCAAAGCTGGCGTCAAAGTGCGACGAACCGTTACCAGAAAGGCGCCTAGGACCAACACTCGGAACCAACATTCCCACTTTGCCCAACGTCTTGTGATGGCATTGTGCAATTGCCCTCGGAACGCGTTGCCGGTATGCAGCGGCTCATCAGTGCGTACGCGACTTTTCTCGGCATCCCGTTTGGACCCGAACTCGCATCCATGGTCGCGGGCCCGAGCTCGTCCCACGAAGCCAAAGTGACCGACGCCATCGCGTTTATTGAGGCCCAGCGCGAGCGCTTTAGCTACCCCGGCCTCGCGCTCGCTGTCGTGCAAGGCAACGAGGTGCGTTCGCTTCATCTCGTATTTTTCTTCGAACCATATTGCTGCAATAGACATTGATTGCCCGCGGCTTTGGCACCAAGCAGGTCGGTGTCGACACCGACCTCGTCGACGGTGACACACTCTTTGAGATTGGGTCGGTCAGTAAAACGCACGTCGCTGTCGCGCTCGCCAAGCTCGTTGATGACGGCAAGCTGCAGTGGCACGACACGGTCAAGCAGCACCTTCCGTGGTTCACGCTTCAAGACAAGTACGCCGAAGAAGTGACGACGATCGCTGACCTCGCGTCGCACAACTCGGTGTTTGGCAACCACGAAGGCGACGAGCCACAGATGATGGGCGCCATGCAGTCGGAGCGTGAGAGCATCGAGCGCCTTCGGTACATGAACACGACACGCAAGGTCCGACCGGGCTTTGCCTACTCGAACGTCGGCTTCAACGTGCTTGGCCAAGTCATCGAGGCTGTCTCGGGCAGCCACTGGAGCAAGTACTTGACGACCGAGATCTGGCAGCCGTGGGGCATGATGTCGACGTACGGCAGCGCCATGGACGCGCCCTCGTCGCGCTTAACGCAGGGGCACTTTGTCTGCAGCGGTGCTGTCATTGGTCCGTACGCGCTGCAGTCGTCGAGCTTGGCCAAGGTCAGCCCCAACGTCCCGATGCTCGCTGCGGGCTCGATCGTGTCGTCGATCAACGACATGGCGATCTTCCTCCAGCGTGTTTTGGCCAAAGGCGGGTCTAGCTTCAAGTCGCCGCAGTCGCTCGGGACCATCCTCTCGGGCCACAACCTCGTCGAGTTGCCGAATGCCGCGATGGTCATGACCATTTTCGGCCTCCAAGCCAGCCTTGACGGCGACGGTATCATGGTCGGCTACGGCATCGACTTTCTCGGAGACCTCCTCTTTGGCGAGCGCTACGCGATGAAGAACGGTGCGACCAAGGTGTGCACGAGCACGACCGCGTACGTGCCAGCGCGCGGTCTGGGGCTTGTCCTGCTCGCCAACAAGGCGTCTATCGGTGGAGAGGCGCACGATGCGGTCGTCCTCGAGCTCATGCGCTCGTACGTCCTCGGTCTCTTCCTCGATATCCCCAAGGAGACGCTCAACAAGGTCTTTGAAGCCGGGTTGGCAGCCACCAAAAGTGTGCCCGACGTACCCTGCGATGCGCACTACTTTGACAAGCAGCCGTTGCCGCCAACCAAGGGAACTGTGCCGAGCACGAGCGTTCTCCCGGGCACCTACTTGTTTGAAGTCTCGCCCGACTATTACGGGCCGGTGGTCCTCTCGCTCCGAAATGGTCAGTTGCATTTGACCTACGGCGCGATCGACGTCGACCTCGTGGCGAAGAGCGCGACCGAGTTTGTGCTGCCGTACGACTTTATGCCTCCGCAGCTCACGCTGTCGTTCGACGTCTCGGTAGCGACCAAGCCTTCGTTTGAGCTTCTCGGAAAGCGGGTCATCAAGGTCTAGTCGCTCCCTCTTGCGCTCTTCTACTGTCGACGCGCCCTGACACACATAGCGTGGCGCGATCTACGAGTAGAGACAACAATTAAGCGACTAATGCATTCAGCTACCAAGTAGAAGAGACAAACTTGTCGGTTGAATGAGATTTAGTTGAGCCCGAAATGTGTATTATAGTGTTAAGTCGATGAAACGTCATACTAATACGTTGAAGAAGGGTTAGGGAATGATGCTGAGATTCGAAACGCTCCAGTGCGAAAGGGTGGATCTCAAACGATCTTGCACCATGCCCCTCGTCGGGCGTGTGATTCCGTCACGTCACGCGTGCGCGTCAGCGACGGCGCGGTCCGACGCCTCGGCGTCTGAAGCGCTGCACCAAGCGCACGCTACAAGGTACACTGCTCGGCGCGTCAGCCTCGGTCTCATGCCGCTGTAGCGTCACGGGCATTCTCAAGCAGCTCGGTATACAGGCGCTCTGTAGCGAGAGCTCATGGCGACTGCTAGGGCTCCTTGCCACCTTCGCCAACGACGTCTTTACCGAAGTCACGGAAGAGGCCAAGAAGACGAGCGAGCGCATGCGCGCACTTGGCGTCCGCGTTGATGGCCTTCTTCAGCACCCCGACGCCGAGATTGAGGCCGACGCCAGCAACAACCAAACCGAAGCTCTCAAGGACGACGCAGTGCGCTTCTCCCAAAAGTACCGTCCTGTGCTGTCGAGCGATATGACTAAAGTGGTGGTTCTAGAACTATGCCGGCCGCGATGCAAGCGCTGTACGCAGCGTGCGAGACGCCGCCCCCGTTGGAGACGGTGCGTGGCTTGCACCAGCGCTCTTTGACCAAGCGCGTAGCTCGATGTCTTTGGCAAAAGCGACGGCGCGTGCCAAAAGAAGTTTAGCCACCCGGCTTTCTTCCTCGAAGAGTGGATGGCGCGGGAGACGGCGCGCCAAGACGCCGCCAAAGCTGAGAAAGCGGCCCAGCGCAAGCTCAAGCGAGAGCTCCGTGCCATTCGCGCGCGAGAGACGCCCGTGGGCCTCACGCACACCTTCCTCACGGTGCAGACGTGGAAGGAAAAGTATGGCAACGGCGAAGGCGCCGAGCTCCGCATCAGCAGCCGCAAGGCGCACGAGCTGCCCAGCATATGCATCGAAGAGCCGACAGCGACCGATACGGCGCTTCCAGAGCAGCTGCACGACGAAGCAATGGAGGCGTATGTGCCGCCTCCTCCACCGCCGCCACCAGCGAACGAGATCGAGGTCATGGACACCGCGGCTGCATCGCTCTCAAACGAAAAACCAACGACGCCTTTGTTCCAAGCGGCCATGAAGGAGCTTCTTATGGTAGCGTCAAAGCCTCCTCCGCCCCCACCGGCCAGCCCTCCCCCGATGCCACCGGCATCCTGCGAAGCAATGGACTTGGTGCCACCGCCACCACCGCCACCACGAGTGGTTGCTGGAGTGTCGCCAAAAAAACACAAGCCTGTGTCGCTTCTGCACGAGATCCAGGCAGGCGCCGTCTTGCGCAAGGCGGTACGACCATGGTTGAACGCGCTGATACAGCGTTTTGTTTTGGTAGGAGCTCGCCCCCGTCGGTCTTCCAGCCCGCGACGATCTGCTTCGTCAATTGCAGTTGGTACGGCTTCGCTCAGTAAGTAGAAAGACGCGTCACGGGGCGAGCGTAGAAGCAGAAGCTGCGACCGGTCGAACGCCACGTTGTCAAGCGGCGGGTCGAAGACACCGCGCCAAAGGTACCTGTGCCCTATATTGACCACAGAAACCAGCCACTGACTAGTTCACTGGCGCCATTGCACGCGTCCTCGCGCGTCGGGCAGCGATCGCCGGTGACAGTGACGACGACGACTCGGACAGTGACACCGAGTGGTAGCCTTCACGAGCCGGCTACGGAGAGCAAGTCACAGTCATTCCTTCGCATTCCGCTATGATACCAGTACCAGTTGCTTACGTTGGACAAAATTATGGACGATTCAAATAAATTCATAAGACTAGTAATATCTGTACAGCGTGGTCAACTATCAATGTGTCAAGTGTCGGCGCGTCTATTGGCTGTTGAACGAGATGCGGCGCGTGGGCGACGGCGAGAGGAGCTTGCGGCTCACGGTGGGTGTCTTGGCCGGCGACGCGTTGCTGTCGTGGACCTTGCCGTGGATCATGACCCAGTTGAAGACCGCCGACGGGTTCGAGAGCGCACGGGGCGCAAACACGTCGTGTTCGATCGCATATTGCTCGAGGTCTTCGCGCGCAATGGACTTGCCATGGAACGCCTTATGCATGTAAAAGTAGTTGCCTTTCCCGTTGATCGGCGGTGCCACTGACTGCCAGCCCGAGCTTAGAAACGTCGTCAGCACGCGCCGGCGAAAGACGAGGTTGACCGCCTTGGACGGCGGCGTGCACAGCGGCACCGCCTTGTGCGCTTCGACATCCGGCGTCGCAGCAAACTTGGTGTCAAGCTCGTTCCGGCGGCCGACGGTCGGGCTCTCGTGCGTCAAGTGCGAGTACGCGCCGTCGAGGAGGTCGTTCATCGCGTTCGACACGGACTCGAAATCGGCCTCGCGCTTGACGACCTTTTCGTGCTGGAAGCTCGCGAGGTTGAGGTTCCGCGCCACGAGATGGCTCGTCGACGGCGCCGTCTCGGACGACAAGATGTGCGAGATGGACATGGGCGACTGGCTTTCCTCGTCCACCGAGGTGGTTGTCGTCGGCGGCAGCGGCGGCCGGCGGCTCGGCGTGCTCGTCTTGATCGACGAGTTGCGACTAGAGGCAAACGAGGTCGTGTACGGGGACGACACGCTTCGGGGCTTCTTGTCAAAGATGGGCTGCCACTCCGAGTCCGAGTGTTTTGTCTCGGCCGGCGACCCGAAGATCGAGACCGACGGCGGCGTCGTCTGCTTCTTGGGCGTCGAGAACGACCGCATCGGGCTGTTGGGGAGAGCGTGCTTGGTCGGCGACGTGCGGGGCGGCGTCATGGGCACGTCACCAGCGTCCGGCATCTTTTGCTTCTTGGCCGGCGACGTCATGGAGGCGGCGGGGCTCAAAGCCTTGGACGCGCGGGCACGCTTGGTCGGAGTCGACGCCCCGACCGGCATCGGGCTCGTGGCGCGGGGCGGAAGGCCCATCTTGCTGGGGGTGGCAGGGGCGGGCGGCGGGACCGAGACGACGGCCACCGCGGGGCTTTGCGCGGCCTTGCTGGGCTGACCCCGTCGCTTTGGCGTCAAGAGAATGTCGCATGTCTCGTCGGCCACGGCGCCCATCGTGACGGCGGTCGACTTGGTTGGCGACCGCTTCTTTGGTGTCATGGCAACGCTCGTGGGCGCGACAGCAGCAATCGATATGGGCGACGGCGCCTTCTTGACGTACGTGGCCTTCATTGGCGTGTGTGACGCGACGTCCATGACCTCTTCGGTCTTGACTTCGGCCTCCAAGCTGCGCGGCGACCGGCGAGGCGGCGTTTGGGCACCGTCGGCCACGGTTGCTTTCTTCGGGGACCGCCGCTTGGGCGCTGTGTTGGGCGACGTCTCGCGCTTTTTGGCGGTCTTGGTCGGTGTCGCCATGACAAAGGGATTCGGGCCCTCGGGAAGCGCAATGGGCTCGACGACCGGCGGCGTCGCGCTCTTGACGCGCTTGGTCATTTCCGTTTCGAGTACTTCGACGCGCTTGCGCTTGAGGCCCAGCACGACCTGGAGGAACGCCATGATGGCCTGGATGCGCTTCTCGTAGAGGTTGACGCCAGGCTGGAGGCCGCCGAGCTTGAGGCCAGGCTGCGCAAACCAGCGGACGCCAGACTGCAGCTGGAGCACCTGCCACTTGAGGCGATACTGCATGTGGTCCCAGATCGGATCTTCCATGGCGGCGAGGCCCTCCGAGTAGGGTAGGTTGAGGAGCGCGTGCTTGACGCAGTCGTCGGTCGTGTTGAAGATGGTGGTGTTGGGGATGATGACGCCCTCGTCGGCGCCTTCCGGCGACATGCAGAACGAGTCCGTCTTCATCCAGCCATGGGCCTCGAGGCCATGCCACGCATCGTCCAGCCACGTCGTCAGTCCCTCGAGCTCCATATCGGAAATGAGCAACTTCCTGGCGGTGTACGCCCATTCAAATCGTCCCAGCCGTACATTCGCTCTTGGTTTCAGTATGCATGTACGTACTGTACGATGTACGTACCTTCCCAATGGACGCCGTTGCCGGTTTGGCGGGCTTTCGTGGACCCCAGTGGCGCGAAGCCGAGCCACCACATGGCAGATACCCGCCAAGATGGCGCTCAACCGCGGGTGGCGCCAGCAACATCCTAGCCCCATGCAGCCGGCCATGGTCAAACGAGGACGAGGCTACATGGCCCAGTGAGCCATGGCACCCTTGCTGGACGCGGCCAAGTGCTTTCGTCGGCCGCTGGCGCCCAAGACAGGCGCACGTTGGGTATGTAATGGCCACCATCGCCGCAACGCCAAAGACAGCGCAAGCGTCGGTAGAGAGCACAGGTTCGACGGGCCGCCTCTGTTACCGAGTCTATAGAGTATGGAGGCTACAAGGACTACAAGCGACTACGCGGCGGGGTGGGCGGTGAGCACGCGCGCGACGATCGCGAGGGCGTCCTGGACGAGCGCCTCGTGCGCCTGCGAGCCCATGTGGCCAATGCGAAACACATTGCCGTAGAGCGAGCCGTACGAGCCGCCGCAGATGAGGCCTTGGGCCTTGAGCGCCTTTTGCAAGTCGGGCCAGGAAATACGGTGCGTCGGGACCTTGAGCGCCGTCACGGTAGGCGACGCATGCTACAGTGAGCGCGATAAGCACGTGGTGGCCAATGCGATGAGTGCACCGTCTCGTCGGCGCAGTAGAGTTCGAGGCCCATGCGCGTGGCCTCGTCCCGGCAAAACTGCGCGACGCGCGCGTGGCGTTCGATGACCGCCGACGGCCCTTCGGTCTCGATCTCGTTGCAGGCAGCGATCGTGGCGCGGATGGCCGGCCAGTTGTGCGTGTACGGCAGAAGCAGCGGCGCCGCCGGCGAGAGCCCGTCGAACGGCAAGAGCGCGTCGTAGCCCTGGTACTTTTTGGCGCGGATCTACTCGTCGAGAGGAAGCTCCTGATGTCGTTTGCGTCTACTACGTACGCGGGTCCAGGCCTTGTCCGAGACGGTCGTGCACGCGAGCGCGGCGGGGCCCGAGAGGACCTTTTGCGGCGCAAAGAGGCCCAAATCGATCGCTTCGTCGTCGACCGCGAGCGGGACGCCAAACGCACTCGACACAAAGTCGACGAGGAAGAGACCGTCCGTCGTATGCTCGCGGATCGCGTGGCCAATGCCATGCAGCGGGTTGACGATCCCTGCATACTAACAATAAGCTCGGAGACGCAATCTCATGGACCCACCCGACGGCGTCTCGCAGTGCACGAGCGTCACAAGGCGCGGGTTGTGCGCTTGAATCGCAGCAATGACCTTGGCTGTGTCAATGCCCGTGGTCCAGTCGCATTCGACGGTCACGACGGTCGCCTGCATGTCACGCGCCATGGCCGCAAAGCCCTGCAAGGATCATCGTGGAGATGTGCATCGGGTCACAGCAAAAAGACTACCTCGCCAAAGATACCGTTGACGACGCAGAGCACCGTGTCGCCAGGCAAAAGCACGCTGTTGAGCGCGCCCCAGAGGCACGCCATGCCTTCGCCCGACCCGAGTACGATCGAACCAGAGAAGCCGAGGAGCTCCTTGAAGCGCGCCTCGAGCGCAAAGTAGTCGGCGAAGAACTCATCGACTTCGACGTCGGGCGAGCCAACCTCTTCCGCATACGCTTGGCGCACGGCGAGGGACATGGACGTCGGGCCTGGGATCATGCGCAGCATGGGCATCTCTTCGTTACGGTGATCCACTTGTTGACAACTGACATGCGTCGTCGTTGCTTTCCCAACACACTATTTAATGTGCATGATATACTGTTGTCAAGACGGTGCATGTAACGAGGGCGATACCAGTAGCACGCGATCGTATACCTGTGCCTTGCACACAATGCACAGGTGATCGTATGTGCGCGTCTTGTCCACAGTACTGTTCATTCGCGACGCAAGCACGTCGGCTCGAGGCGGCAATTCTAACACTATTCAAAAATCAACTGTACACCATTCAGGAAAAATGCTGGACCAATCGCAGACCAGGATGCCACCCCGATCCACGAAGCGTGTTGCGACCAAGGAGGCGCCGCGGGGCCTCAGCGATGACGACGGCGCGCTGGACGACGACGACAAGTGCATCATCATGGGCAACCAGCAGGCGAAGGACTACTTCTCGTCGCGCAAGTTCCGTACGGCCGTCATGGCGCAGCATGCGTTGGCGTCACGTCGCCATCCTAGGCAAGCGGTCGAAAGAGGACAAGAAGATCTCGGGCCTCCAGCTGCTCGGCGCCGCCGAAGTGCACCGCGAGCTCGTCAAGTGGGACAAGACCCACGACGAGGACGTGTCGGCCGCGATCCTCGCCGAGTACGAAGCGCAGCATTTTCCAACGTGGCGTAACCAGCTCGCGGCCGGCTTCAACCTCCTCTTCACGGGCTTTGGCTCCAAGGTCCAGCTTCTTCAGGTAGGCCGCCAACGTATGCACTGTCGAGCCCAGCTGTAGTATCCGCGTAGGCCTTTGGCTGCCTCGTTGGCGCAGACGAGCACGTCATGCATGTGCATGGGTACCTGCCGTCGGTCTCGATGCGCTTCGTCGTCGCCTTCCTCTTTGACAAGGTGCGACGCATCACTTACTCGTTGCCTCACTGCACATGTGGTAGCTCTTCAAGAAGAAGATCTCTGGCGGTCGATCTCTCGAAGAACAGGTTTTGCAACGAACTGGCCGAGGAATGCATACTACCGCTCTCATTCCTAGTGTGTCGAGCTCGCACGGCTCCTCGCCTTGCACCGGTCCAAGCAAATCTGCATCGTGGTGCACTCGATCGACGGGTCGGCGCTGCGCTCGAGCGACACGCAAAAGGCTTGGAGCCTCCTCGCACAGTGTTCGCAGATCCACTTGGTCGCAAGCGTCGACCACGTGAACGCTGCGTCGCTCTGGGACGAGTCTGAGGCCAAGCGGTTTGGGTGGCTCGAGCACACGGTCAACACGATGGCGCCGTACACGAGCGAGGTCCTCGTGACCGGCTGGAGCGGCGCGATGGGTCGGGACGACAAGCACGCCGTGAGCGGCATTCAGTACATCCTCGAGAGCCTCACGCCGTCCGACCTTGCGATGCTACGGTACCTCGGCACCGAGCAGCTCAAGGGCCAGAAGCTCTCGTACAAGCAGTGGGAGACGCACTGCTGCAAGCAACTGCTCGCGACGCCTGCGGCCATGCGCAACACGCGCAAGGTGCTCGAAGAGCACGGGTTGATCCAAGTGCTGCGCGGCGACTCGGTCGTTCGTATCCCGTTTGGCGATCACGTGATCCAGCAAGTCATTTTGGACGACGCCGCGCTCGACGACATCCCATAGCAAGACGCTGCGATCGCATTAGTGTCTCTTCACGGACAAGACAACTTGTCCTTGGCTACTTTACGATTCTTCAAGGCGATGTCGCGCATTGCGCGAGGCATGCGCTGTGAGCTGTGCGGTATAGCCAGCGTCGCACGACGTGCCAGCTGCCGTACCTCGCAGCATCTGCCTCTGTGACTCATGTCATCATTATGCAAACAGTGATCACAAGGCGTCGCCATCGCAGTCGAGGCCAGTCGCGTCGAGGCGCTCGCATGGTCCATGCAGCGAGGTAGTAATCCTGGCTCGCGCCTTCTTCGCCCTTCTCCGTAAAATGGAGGTTGCGAGATGGCACGTTACTAGCGAAGAAGGCGCTTGGTGCGCAGCAACCTTACCTGGTATCCTCGGTCGTTGAGGCGTCCAGTCCACGGACTGAAAGGACATCTTCTACATTCTGCGAGCTGAGAAGGACGTTGCTTCCTCGCCTGCTGGTGCTGACCACGTGAAGCCTCCGCTGGCCTCTTGCGTATAGAAAAGTAAACTTGCGATACTTTATATTTGAAATGCAATGAAGCGGCGCTCGAATGTACTTTGCGGAGAATGAAACGAAGGGACAACGTCGCGACTCTATGGTTCGCCGTCACCCAAGAATGTGCACTGCAAGTGGCAGGGGATGTGCTATACCTGTGGCGCGATCACCTCATGCCACGCGGTTTCTGTTTCCGAATTCGGCGTCCTCGATATATCAGGTGTGAGAGGTTGCAAACCATTTGCAGGTTTGTATGCTGTACAAAGACACGCGCGGCCGTGTTTCTTTGCTCGCGAGCAGGAGCGGCGAGTCGCATTTGGGTTGTCCACCAGTCGGGCAGCATGAACGACCAGCCAAACTACTACCTCCATGGAGCGCCGGCCGATGGCAGGATAGGCCGCGCCACGATGCCCCAGATCCAGCCGGCGGCGCGGAGGGTCCAGCCCAACAATGCGCTCTTCCGCGCGACCTTGCCGCGGCCGCTCACGTGGCAGCAACCGACGGACCTGCCTGGCCGCGTGCCCGTCATGGACAAGATTGCATCGCTCCTCGCCGCAACGAATGGCGCTGGCATCGTCGCGCCGGGTACGCCGCAGGGCGAGAACGCAGTCTGGATCCTCGCGCGCAAGCTCGAGACGTACCTGTACATCCAGTCGGCCACGTTCCTCGAGTACGCCAACTTGCAGAGCTTACCGCGGCGCGTCCAGGCGCTCACGACTGCGATTGTCAACCGCGGTATCCGCAAGCGTGGCCGCTCCGAGAGCCGCGAGGCCGAACTCGAGGAGTCGAAACCGATGCGGCCGTTCACGGCGACGTTTGTACCGCCGTCGACCCATCACCAGATGGCTTCGAGCTGCCTCCTCTTTGACGGCCATGAAGACATCAACAAGATCATTTGGCGCTTTGTGGGCGGGAAGGACACGCTGCGCTGCCGCGGTGTGTGCCGAAGCGCCGCGGTCCAAGCGCCCAAGTACGTCTACAGCCTCCACTTGAGCTGCAACGCGAGTCGCCTCGCGCTTCTATACGGCCGGCACGTACTTGAAAAGTGCACAGCTCTCGAAGAACTCGAGATTTACTCGCTCGCGGCCGGCGTAACCTTTGGCCGCCGGTCCATGTTTGCTAAAAACTGCCCGCAGCGCTTTGTTGTGACGCACGACGACCACGAGCAGATCGTGTCGCTGCTCGCAACGCTCCTCTCGACGCGGCAGTTTGCGTCGCTGTCCCGCCTCTCGCTTGTGTGTCTCTTTACAAACGAACAAGCCAACGGCGAGGCCGACGTGCTCCTCAACTGCCTCACCACCGGCGTCCTCCCGCGTCTCAAGGAGCTCTGCTTGCCCGGCAACAGCTTTGGCGACTATGGCGTCTTCAAGCTCGCCGAGCTGCTCACCTCCCGCGTGTGTCCAAACCTCACGCACCTGGATCTCCGGCGCAACTTTATCGGCGAGCGCGGCGTGCACCAGCTCTGCGCCGCGATCGAGACAGGGTGCGCCGGCCGGCTCATGGAGCTGTGCCTCGGCGGCAACACGCTCACCGACTCGAGCATTGTGCATCTGCTGCGGGCGATTGAGAGCCGAAAGATGCGCGAACTGCGCTTCCTCGGCCTCGAAATGAACTACCTCACGGGCCACGGCATCCAGCTCCTCGGCACGTCGATCGGCCGCCTCGGGTGCCCGCACTTGAACCAAATCTCGTACGGCGAGAACGCTGTCGACGACGCCGAGGCTAAGAAGATTCTGGCGAAAGCCATCATGGCCGAGCGCCTGCGACAGCGCCAAGAGGCCCGCGCCCAGGCACCGACGACGACCAATCAGCAAAGGGTGTACGCGCTATAACGACGCCCTTTCTTTATCTATCGCCTCTCGGTCCATACATTTCAATAGAGTGCTCTTCATCGGTGGCCGTGAGGACTGTGTTGTATGTCGTCGACTCAACTCAATGGTTTTGAGATTGACTCGCGCGGGCATGATCATCGTGAGCATAAGGTTGCGAGCGACAGGCATCGCAAAATGGTGCGCCGGAAAAGCCATGACCTGCACTAGAAGTATAGCGGGCTCACGGCAGCTGCTCTCCCTGCCATGGCTGGCTCACTGCTACCGACTGCAGTACATACTAACTATGAGACACGTCGTTTAGATTCCTCATTTGGTATCTTGCGCGATGTCACTGCAGTGTTTGTATCGAGTCACGGAAGGGTGTTGGAAGTACCTCAAGTCATCAAGGAGGAATACCGACTGTATAGAAACGACTAGGTCGATACAAGAGCACTACAGTCGCCACCGTCGCCACCGCACGCGCTTGGTTCGTTGCAGCCAACATGACACACATTGTCGCCCCACTGCAAAGTGGAGCATGTGGTAGCGCAGACGCTGGCGCAACCTGCAGCGCTTGTCGACGCGCAGTACGGTGTACCATCGAGAAGCACTCGGCGCGACGCTACGTCGGCTTGCAAACTCGGTGGTACGCTGTCGATGTGCGTGTTGCTCAGATCGACAAGCATCTCGGGCTTGGACTGCAGCAGGTTGGTCGGGAACTCGGTAATGTTGTTGTTGGCCATCTCGAGGCGGGTTAACGCCGGCAGTGCGGTCGCCCATGCTGTTGGGATAGTCGTAAATCGATTCGAGCCCAAGTCGAGTCGCTCCAAGCGGTCTAGCTGCAAAAAGGACTCTGGCACACTCGAGAGGTACGTCTCGGACAAGAGCAACATCGACACTGACTGCCAATGGGATACTAGAGTCTCGGGGAGGTGGCGCACGTGATTCCCGCGCAGCGTCAACACTTGCAGTCGCGGCGGCAGAGTATAAAATACCTCTGGAACGAGCGACAGATTCGAGTAGCGCGACTCGAGCAGCAAGAGCGATGCTGGCCAGAACGACCCGTTAAACAACCAATTTGTGAGGTGGGAGCTCTCAAGCACAAGGCCAAAAAGTGACGGAAACGGCGCCAACGTACCCACGTCAATACCGTTTGGCAGTGGGCACTGGACAAAGTGCAGCATAAAGAGGTCGGCGCCCCACGTGCGTGTCGAGAGGAGGGACGAGGCTTCGTGGTTATGGCCGTCCTTGCAGTTGATCACGAGGTACCGGCAGGTGCACTGGGCTTGAAACCATGGCGCTGTCTCGAGGGCGCAGCCGTGCGGGCAGCGAGGCCGCACAGCGTGAATGTACAGGACATTGCTCAAAATCGCTGCGCCCACGAGCTGCTGCGCGACAAAAAACACTTGCTGCGCGCGTTGCCGGCGAAAGCGGAGCGTCCGCTTGACTTGAACGAGGGCGACGAACGAGGTTTTGCGCATCGAGAGACCAGATAACGACATGACGGAGCCCCTGCGCAATGCCGTTGTACGACGGACGTGAGCGACAAGTCGGCGCAAGTTGACGAGGCTTGACGCCAATAGAATCGACTTGGCGACGAGCTCCATGGCCGAGATGGGAAACATAAAGCGCGTCAGTGACAAATACCGCGTCATCCAGAGAAGCGAGTACTCGGTGCGTTTGTCGTGGAAGTGCGCAGTGAGCAGCGGCGGCAGGAACCGAGTCAGTGCGAACCCGATTGTCAAGACAAAGCTCACAAAGCTGTTGAAGAAGAGGACCAACGTCGTTTTCACAAAGCTGTGGGTCGAGAAAAAGAGCCACGGGATCCCGAGGCAGGCGACGCTTATGACGAGCGCATACGCTGTCGCAATGGAAATGTCGACGCAGTAGAGGCTGAGACGGTACGCCTGGAGCACTTGGATCGTTGTCTCGATCGTTTGAAAGGCCATGAGCGTCACGTCGTGGGAAAAGAAGCGGCGGGTACGCGACCGGCGCAGGTGGGCGATCGTTGGCCCCGCGACTTTGGCCGACTTGCGAGGCTGGAGCATCGCGGCGAGCGCGAGTGCATTAAGAAGTGCAAATGTGCCAAAGACGAGCGGGCTCGCCGACTTGGCCATGTATATACCGGCGAGGATCTCTTCGCTGGGCGTGGCTTTGAGCATGATGGCCGTGCAGGCGACGAGGAAGACGATCGACAGGATGTGCTTGAGCACCGCGAGCCACAGGATCGGGTGGCGCGCGGCAGCAATGAGCCAGAGGTCACCGAGGTGTGACTTGTCCATCGGCGCCTTTCCGTGTCGAGTGTCGTAAAGTGAATGTTGGCACCAAAACGCACAACTCGTCGTTACGTTGTTTCGTATGGCGGTCTTCGCTGGACAAACAACTAGTTACGTGGCTGACGCTATAACCCTAAACACCGTACATCATCTACTACAAATTGTACATGCACACTTTCGCTACCCGTGCAACGCGAGCGCAGGTTTCGGGCATGACTTGTAGAGTCGTGACGTGGCAGCGCCCTTGCCGCGACCGCCGATTGCCGATTGGGCTGACGTGACGTCATGAAACGCACCGGCGTTTGATTGGCCACTTTTTCTCGCGTCTGATTGGCCTGTGGGTTAAAGCTGGTCAGCGTCGTGACACACCTCTACGACCCACAGCCACGAGCATGCAAGCAGGCTGCGAGCCAACCCTCCACGCAGAGCCCGCGCCGGCGCGCAAGACGCGCACGGTCGTCGTCATCACCCTAGGCTTCCTCGGCCTCGTCGTCGCCATCATCATCTACTGCACCCTGCCGCGGGCGTCGTGGCATGACACGGCCAGTTGGCTCCAGGTACAGCGCTCCTTGACGCAGTGTTCGCCTATCGCCGCTCTCTGTGTAGACGCACGAAGCCCTCGGTCGGTTTGCCTTTACGCTCGTCTATGCACTTTGCATCGTCATTTGGTACAGCAGCGGTCATCGCTGTTGGAGCGCTAATGTGCCTCTAGCTGCCCGTCGACGATCTTTGATTTGTTTGCTGGCTACACGTTTGGCGTCGGCTGGGGCGCCGTGGTCGCGATCGCTGGCAAGTTCCTTGGCTCGATCACGGCCTTTGGTATCGGGCGCTACCTCATCCAAGACCGCGTCCGCGCCCACCTCGATGGCGGTCGACCCATGTTTCGCGCTTGGGTACTTAGTGATTGTGCTGCAAATTCCACCGAGTTGTTCGATGCTGTTGTAGGCACTCCTTATCGAGCACCACGAAATCCAATTCGCCGTGCTCATCCAGCTCGCGTACCTTCCGATTGCACTCAAAAACTACGGGCTGAGCATTCTCAACGTGTCGTTTTGGACCTTTGCGCTCTCGACGCTTCTCATTGGCGGCGCCGAATCCTACCTCAGCGTCCTCCTCGGCCACTCGACGACCAAGATGTCGGCGATTCTCATTGCCGATCCCCAAGTGCACTCGCCCGAGTCGCACGCGGCGCAAACGACGCTCGTGCTCGTGGCCGCCGCCGCCAGCGTTGGGCTTGTCATCTTTGTGAGCTATCGCGTCCGGTCGTACATCGATGCCCTCGCCACCGACGACGAGACCACGTCGCTCTTGGCGCACCAAGTGGTGTAAACGTCGTCGATTCTATAAAGACTACGACTAGCATGCGGTTTGGAGGTTTTCCAAGTCGTCGAGAAACGCCACGGGCTCTGTCGCCGCGGGCGACGTCGTGTCGAGGCGAAACCCGAGCAAGAAGAGCTCCTTCCTAGATGCAACTAAATATGCCGATATGAACACAATGCTAGCGTACACGGAGAGGACGTTCTCGGGCCGCGGCGTGGGCAAAAATGTGTCGTGGTCGACCGTCCAGAGGCGAAACCCCATCTCCTTGGCTTGGGCGAAGAGCAAGTCCTAGTACATGCTATTTCGACCTTTGATTTTGCAGCGAGACGTACGCGCGTGCTCGTGGCGCGGCAGACAAACCCGCAGTAAAAGACGGTCGCAAACATGTCGGGCGTCTGGTGCATCAGGTACTACGTTCAAAATGAGGAATGCGAGCCGAGACAAGAGGTATCGATCGGTGTACCTTGATGGTACGGAGCAGCGGCAGCACGAGGTTGGGCCAGCACACCACGTCGGCGCCCAAGACAATGTCAATCGGGTGGGCAAAAGCCTGCGTGAAGGCGACAACGCTGTCTTCTTCGCCCCACAACAGCTTGTGGATGCTGCAGTTCTACACAGATGCACAGGTATTGGTCATTACCTATGTACGGGCGACGTAGTACCGCCTGCGTGTGCTCGACGTTGCGCGTGAGGAGCCGGAGGACAACGTCGTTGCCGTCCGTAATGGCCGTGTGCGCGCTAGGATCCCATGAGCGACATGCACTTGGACAGAGATCAACGTACGCAAATTGAGACGCTACAAAGCCCGCGAGGCCAGCGCCAGCGCCCACTTCAAGTACGTTCTTGCCGCGGAAAAGCTCGTTGTTGGCCGCCACAAACCTAGTGCGCTGTTTCGACAACGAGATCGCGCTGCAAGGCCATTGTACCAGGAGAGGAGAATCGAGACAGGCCACACAACTTGACCCGTGAGATCGTGGTCGGTCTACGTGCATACAATATGTAGCGAGTGTCGGAGTGATCGTCGGTCGCACCGACGCGGCCTTGGAGCTCAGGAGATTTTGCGCGATGCCGTCGTTGAAGACATACTCCGTGTTGGTGTAGCTATCATTCTGTTAGTATAGACCAGTCGGACAAAACGCGTGCTTTTCGTTGAGGAACAAGGCAGCGTTAAAGTAGTCGTCGTAGTCTTCCGAGTCGCTCATGATGCTGATGTTGGCCAATGCTTGTCAACAAGTCTGAGAGGATACTGCAATATGCATTTCAAACAGGTATGCATTTATAGAGGTACTCTTTGTTTGAATACCTGCTTGCTGAAGCAAGTCCGGCTTGTGCTCTGGGCAGCCAACAAGGCGGTGAGATGCAACAACACACTCAATACTATAAGCTTGAGCTTCCTAGTCTGCTGCTTTGTCCAGACGAGCAAGCCATTGCGTACGTTCTGTGTACACCAACGGCTGGACGCGTCCAGTGGACTTGCGAAGCCCTCTCTGCAAGCGAGCAGCGCTGCCTTCATTCACCGCAAGCCATGGTGAGTAAGGACCTTGCGACGCGCTTGGGCAGGCGCTCGCACGAACGACAAAGGCGAGATGGCGCCAAACTGCGATTTCTAATCTTCTTCTGTCGACTAGACAGCGTATCCGGACATCAACCAGGCGGCCAATCAGCATCCCGCGTGGCCTTATCTCGGCCGAATTTGGTTTGCGACCGCAAGATGATGATGCAAGCGGCCTTCCTCGTGCCCGCGTTGGTACCGGCCGCGTCCTGCTTTATTGCGCTGCCCGAGGCGTTCGTCCGGTCGCACCTGCATCACGCCAACGTACGCGCTTGCGATTGGCGGCATCGACTTACGTTTTGCGTAGCCCAATGCCGGCGCAACGGTGCTACAGCTCTCGTGGCACGACGGGCCGGAGCCCATGATGGCCCACGTTGGCTGGGTCGGCGAGTTCTCCCAGAGGTATGCTATGCATTTGGCGTCATCTATTGTACAATTCGTCGATCTAGCGAGGCGTTGGAAGTGCCAATGGAGTTTGGTCGATGCTTGGGCCTGGTACGAGCAACCTCGAACGCGATGCATGTATACCAAGGACGTGTAGGCCGATGCGATGGAGCGATCGCCAGGTCTGCGCATTAGCGTTGCTGTCGCTGCGTTCACGCCCACAGTGCCCATGGTGCACATGGAGCCGTGCACGGCGGACGACTGGGAAATCATCCAGCTGCACGCTGGGCACCTCGAAAGCGAAGTGCTGCGCCAGGTCCGTCTCGCCAATGGTCATCCAAACTAACTTCAATGCTGCACCAGATCTGCGTCGTCCAGAACGGTCAGGAGATCCCGGTGCGCATCCAGCAGCACATGGTTGTCCACCTGCTCGTGACCTTGCCACCGGACGTGTACGCTGGCGTTTGTACCCCAACCCTTGTCATAACGATGTCGCCAACTAGACCCTGTGCGCGGCTGTCGGCCAACTGCGAAATTGCAATCGCCCCAAAGACGCGCACCGTCTTGGACGACCCTACACCGGCTTACTACGACGCCTCGCCGCCGCTGGCGCGTCAAGTACGCACTCCATTTGCATCTGCTCGGTTCTCACAGTATATATGCCTAGCCCTTGGCAACCGCATTGTCGGATGGCACTGCCGTCGTGCTGCAGTTGGCGCCGGACGAGGTGCTCGTGCACCCGGCCACGTACGCGCAGCTCGACGGTCCTTCGTCGGGCCTCCGCTGCGTCTCCATTTGGCAAGACATTGGCGCTGACAAACCGTACGCTCCGTTGTCTCGTGTGTCGACTAACTTGATGGGGCGTAGGACAGTGGTGGTGGCGCGGCTGCGCGTGAGCACGTCGGTTGTGCCGCAGTACGTGGCCGTGTCGGACGCGCTTGCGGCCAACTTGGACCTCGCACCCGTCACGCGGCTTTGCCTTCGTGTACTCAAGTGCCCGCCTTTGACGCCGCTCAAGGTCGTTCTGACTGTGCCGTACGAAGCGAATGAGTGGCTCGATGCGCTCGTTGCGTGGTGGTCGGCGACCACCGACCTCGTGCTCGAGCCTGCGGGCACGGTACTTCAGCTTCTCGACACGCGGGTGTCGCTCGCACTGCGCCTGCGCAACGAGCCATTGGGTACGCTGCCGCGATCTTACTGATGCTGGTGGTGACGTAAGCGGCGTGGATGTAGAGAAGAACGCGCCGCTGGGTGCCGTGATGGACTATACGCTGATCGCTGCCATCAATGCGCCGCGCAACGAAGACGTTTTGATCCAAGTCGCGCCGATCCCGGTGCCTGTCGCCGCGACAGTAGAGAAACCTCTGCCGCTCGTGTGGCCGGCTCTCGAGGCGGTTCTGCGGGCCATTGAGACGCATACCAACCCGATCGTGTGCCGTCCCCACGCAGCGGCCCGGGTGCTTCTCGGTGCGCCAACACCACCAGGCTCGGTTCTCTTGTTTGGGGCGCGGGGCGCCGGCAAGTCGGCGCTGCTCAAGCTGCTTGCGCATCGCGCCTCCACGTCCCAAAACGTCTTGAGTACGACGATAACGATCGCATGTCGCGACCTCCGCGGGCTCAAGATGGAGTCGGTCAAAGCCAAGCTCCAAGAAGCGTTTGCGCGGGCCCTCCACTTTGCACCTTCTGTGCTTTTCCTCGACGACCTCGACGCCCTCGTGCCCCCCGAAGCCGACGACGGCTCGAGCGTCAATGACCAATCGCGTCGCATCGCAGAGCACCTCGCCGAGGTCTCTTCTTCCCTTGTCGAGAAGGTCTTGACCAGTGTACATAGCTGCTCAAACATGTCCGGTCGGTTCAAACCACGTTTGCAAATCAGCTGCGATTCGCGACACCGTCCTCGGCGCAGCTCGTGCACGCCAGTACGAAGAAGAGTGTTGCTGTCGTGGCGACAGCCCGCGATGCATCGGCCATCCACCCCTACTTGCGAACGTGCGGTCTCTTTGACCGACCCATCGAGCTCGCGCTGCCGGACGTCGGGGCGCGGGAGCGCATCTTGCTCGCTCTTTGGCGCCAAAAACGACCACACGGTAGCGAAGAGCCTCTTGACGCTCAGACCGCGGCCCATAAAACCGAGGGGTTTAGTCCGCGGGATCTGCACCACGTCGTTGAGCGCGCGTTGCACCAGCACGCGATTCAGCAGCGCACCGGGCCGCCCGGCGCACCGCTCGAGTTTTTCGCCGGCCTCACCGACTTTACGCCCGCGGCGCTCCGTGGCGTGGACCTTTTCAAGAGCTCGATTCACTGGGCCGACGTCGGCGGCCTCCACGATGTACGCACGATGCTCAAAGAGACGCTGGAGCTGCCCACCAAGTACGTTGTGGATTTGGGAGAGAGCTCATGCCTCTTGTTTTAGGTACATGAAGCTCTACAAGGCCGCGCCGCTCAAGCTTCCGTCCGGCGTTCTTCTGTACGGTCCGCCCGGTTGCGGCAAGACGATGCTCGCCAACGCCGTCGCAAGCGAGTGCGGTCTCAATTTCATTAGCGTCAAGGGCCCCGAAGTGCTCAACAAGTACATTGGTGCCAGCGAGCAAGCGGTGCGCGACCTCTTTGCGCGGGCCGCCGCGGCCGCGCCCAGCGTTCTCTTCCTCGATGAATTTGACGCGATCGCGCCCCGGCGGGGCGCCGACAACACGGGCGTCACGGACCGTGTCGTGAACCAGCTACTGACCTTTCTGGATGGTGTCGAATCCCGCTTGGTACAGCGTCTGCCCTATTGCATCCTGTAGGAACATGCCTAGGGCGTGTACGTGCTGGCTGCCACGAGCCGACCCGACATGATCGACCCGGCTCTGCTGCGTCCCGGTCGTCTTGACAAGAGCTTGTACTGCGGTAGATACATACATATGTGCAAGGGTCGTAGGCGAGCTGCCCTGTAGGTTTCCCGACCATGGCCGAACGACTCGACATTCTGAAAGCTGTGGCGCACAAGATGGACGTGACGGCCGAAGCGGCAGCGTACCTTGCTGTCGTGAGCCAGCACACGGAGCTCTACACGGGCGCCGACCTCCAAGCCGTATCACTGCTGGTGTCAAGAGGTTGTGAGGCCGTAACCTATGTGACTAGATTATGTATGCAGCGCAGCTCGAGGCCGTCCACGAGACGCTGCCGTCCACCACACACGACTGGGAAATGGACCTCAAGGACGAAAGGTATGTGCTCTAGACTAGGAAAGACACTGCAACGACGAGTGCTAGCGACCAAAGCGTGAGCTTTTCGCCCAAGAAGGACGACGTGGCAGCGGCCGTCGGTGGCGTCTCGCGCATTCTACAACGCCACGTGGAGAAGGCGTTCAAGGCGTCCCGACCGTCCGTCTCGGTTGACGCCAAGCGGCGCTACGACCACATGTATGGGTCGTTCAATAACACCAAGGCGCCGCGGGTCACGGACTTTTCGACGGCCAGCAGCGACGTGACTGTGGAAGCCCAGCGCTCAGCGCTCTACTAACTCGACTTGCAAAGTTGACGTAATGTACTGTTTGCATCCTCTTTACTGAGTCGTGTAGTTTCGATAAAGTGTAGATTTTGTTTGAAACACAAATTATGTAGTTGGGCGGTTGGCCATAGGATAAATATGCACATTGGAATCGCGGGGTTTAGAGCTAGGCCAAGCCCGCGACAAGTCGGGCCATGGGAAGAGTGGCTGCACTCTGGACGGTGTACGAGGCTGGGGTTGAAAGGCGAGCGGCCACGACTTCGAGCACACCTGTCGGCAGCTGGCGGAAGCTGAGGTTGGCCACATCAAAGACGTGACGCGGCCACTCGTGGGTAACGACGAACTTCCCAAAGCGCGGACGCGACGCCCACCGGTGCGTGTGCATGAACGCAATGTCACGCGGTGTCGGGAACTTGTACCCAGCGATCTGCAAGAGACCCTCGGGCGTGACCGAGACGTCAATCGAGTCGTCGTGGACACCGGCGAGGTCGACACGCAGCACGACGCTATCGCCTGCGTTGACAAAATGAGCGTTGGGCGTCCACAAGGGCAACGTATCGAGGAGGCGCTTCATGTTGTGGTCCTCGTTGTCGTGCTGCACAGGCTCGGATACCAAGGGAGCTGCAGTCGGCGCCTCGAGCAACACAGTGTTGGCAAGCGCCAGAAGGCGCTCGCTCTTGACCAAAAGCTCGTCGGCCGCTTTCAAAAGACCTTGGATTCGGTGCACGCTGCGCTTGCGCTCGGCGCGAATGGCCGCGTCGCCGTTGCTCTCGATGGTGTCAAGCTCCATGAGCAGCTGCGTGAGCCGCTCCGACTGCGCGAGCACCCGTGCACGGTACTGACCGAGTCGCTGCTTACACTGCTTTACGCGCTCCAAGTGGTCACCGCCCTTGTGTGTTGCCATGATCCATTTGGAAGCGGCCAGAGTGGCGGCCGCAATGCAGCGTTGGTGCTCAAGACGAGAGGTCACCATGTCGGTGGCGCGGTCAATGTGGCCGGCGATCGCGGCCAGCTGGCTTGTCGCGGAAGATGTGCTTGGGGTGGACATTGGGATTGGGAAAATGAGCAGCTACGTCCGTGTCTTGCCCATAGATCAGCAGCAGCCCTGCCGCAGCTTCGCGAAATCGGTCAGCACGCCTTTCTCGAAGCTCTCGAATCTGCAGTTTCGAATTCTTTTTTTCCAGCGATTTGATTGGGTTACGCGAAAATATTATCGTCCAATGGCATCGCGAGGGCACACGCCGTCCATTTCGACAGCCAAGAGCCCGACCGACGACGACGACGATGATCTACAACCTGTACATCTTCAACCGCGCTGGCGCCTGCCTCCTCTACGAGGAGTGGAACCGCAGCAGTGACGCTATGACGCTGAGCGACGCCGAGGAAGAGAAGCGGCTCATGTTCGGCCTCATTTTCTCGCTCAAGGAGTTTCTGCGCAAGATGGCGCCGACGGCCTCGACGACGTCGTCGCAGTCGCTCAAGACGTTCAAGACCGATACGTACACGTGTCATCATTTGGAGACCGCGTCGGGGCTGCGCTTCATCTTGACGAGCGACAACAACACGGGCGACCTCCAGGACGTCCTCCAGCACCTCTACGGCAACCTCTATGTCGAGCTCGTGACCAAGAACCCGGTGCACGACGCCAAGAGCACCAAACCCATCAAGTGCAAGCTCTTCCGCCACAGCGTGCGCCAATACATGGAGTCGCTGCCATGCTTTCGATAAGAATACCAACACACTACCTACTACTGCGTCCTCGACCACTGCACGCCGACGCCTTCGACCTCTTCTGCCACATTGGAGCACCAACTTGTACAAGAGCGAGCAAGGAGGAGTGCACACAGCCATCGCTTCATGTGCTATATGTGGCGAAGTGCTCAAAGAGCCACTTTTTTGGCAATACGGTACAGCGAGTCGAGCATCTCTTCAACGTCCTTGTCGGCCTCGTACGCGGTCATGGCCTTGAGGACGCGCGGGTCGTCCGCGAGGATGCAGTCCTTCAGACAGCCTTTTTCTGCTGGCGAAATGAGCTTGTCCGCAGCGATGCGAGACGCAGCTTTGAGCGCAAGCGTGTAGCGCGACCGACGGGCAGCATTCTCTTGCACCGACGAGCTGCGCGGCTTGGTCGCTTCTACATGACGCTTAGCGCCTGCACGCAAGCTCACGCGAGGATCGTACGTCCGGCCGAGAGGTCTTCAAACGACCGACGCGTGCGCAGCTTGCGCGAGAGCTGGTCCGCCTTGAGGTTGCGTTCGAGGGAGTGCATGACGCCTTGGATGGCATTCGCGACCTGCGGCGGCTCTAGACAATCGACATTACATTGGCGGTGTCGCGTCGAAGGATGGTACGAACCCGAGCAAATGTTTTGAGACAACATGTCCTGCATACCCGGACGGGTCTCGAGGAGGTGGCCGACTTGGTTCTCGATCATCGCGCGCTCGAGCTTCTTGGCGGTCGCAAGCAAGCTTGGAGCCACTTGACCTACACATTTAATGAGAAGAGACGTCGTGGTAAAGCGGCATGGATGCAGCGTACCGTCGTCTAGCACGCCTTGTTCCGTGAGCTCCTTCTGGGACGGCCGGCGGTTGATTTGCTTGTGCAGCTTGTCGGCCGTGAGCTGCCGCTTGAGCTGATCACTCTTGGCCTGAAGCGTCGGCGCCACCTTGGAGCTGTTCGTGACAAGGCCTTGATCCGCAAGCTCGTGGAGTGACCGACGCTTCTCGAGCAAGTGGCTGACCGAGTTGGCACTTAGATTGCGCTCGAGCAACTTGGCCGACGCTTGGAGCTGCGGCGCCATGCTCAGCGTATGGATGATATTCTGCTGATCCAAGTCCGCGGCGCCTGGGCGCGCCGAGAGTCGGCGCTCAATCTTGGGCGCGACTGTCTCCATGCTCAAGTCGTCGACCGGGTGCACCTCGTCGGGAATGTCCGAGGCCAAGGGTGAAGAGGCCGACGTCTTGGACGTCGAGACCGGCGTCGACGGGTAGCTCGAGCACTTGGGCGCTGCCTTCTTGACGGGCGACGACGGCGCGGTCGCCACGCCAGCCTTCTTGCCCTTGTTTGCTTTCTTGGCCATCTTGCCACCGGTCCGAAAATGGCTCTTGGCGATCCGGATACAGCCGCCCCACGTTGAAGTGAAACCACGCTGGGATTTCGACCAATCCCATCCCGGCAAAGATCGCATCCGGATAATAGGATCCGGATGCATTCTGGACTTGAGAGAAATGCGTCGACTCCGAACCTAGCCGACGACAACCAAGGCCATCGCTACGACTAAATACACGACAGGTCCATTACTTGTGTAGCGACGGCCCGCAGGGTTTTGGCGCCAAATCGAAACGGACGCTCGGGACCCAATAACCCCCCAGCCGTTCTGAAGCAACTTGCGCTCACACTCAACAAACTGGTGTGACATACGTCGTTGTGAGCTTTGTCCTTGCCGTGGGCATTTCCCTAGTCCAGTTTTAGTTGCCGATTCCCATGAACCTCTATGGCGACATGCGCCAAGAGTACTCGCTACCGTGGATGACGCGCAATTTGCCACCGCTTCGCTTTCTCATTCTGAGCTCGGCGTTAAAGATTGGCGCAACAAGGCTTTGCCTCGAGCTGGGTCAACCTCCGGCAGCTCGTTCACCACGTGCGCTTGCGGCAACCATCCGACATGCGGTCGCTGTGGCCGAGACCATTGGTGTGCGTCCGCCACACTTTTCCGACCCGCTCCAAGCCTTCGCGGAGGGACGCAAGTCGTTGGAGGTTCGCCGCAGCCGTGCCAAACGCGCCTTTTCTGGCTCCAAATTGTGCTCGTCATGGCGCTGCTTGGGAACGTGACCTTCACGCGAGCGAGTCGGGTCACGTGCCCTTGAGATTGCATCCTCGAGCCAGCTCCGTGGTTTGAGACCCCGTGCTCTTGTCGGTACCTTCGTCTCGACTGCATCGAGCTCGATGCCGACACGGTCTCAAGCGCACTCCTCTCGCCGGACATTTGGGACCCAACATCTATGTCTCAGAACCCAGTCGTTACCTCAGCGACGGCGGCGACCGCACCCATCTCCTTTAATACCAACATGCACTTGATTCTGCTACCGTAGCAAAACTAGTGCGCTGTAGGACACCATCATGCAACACGCATTCGATTTGGCCGCTGCCGTGAGAAGACCCACAGTGTGTCTCATAAGATGGTTCTGCCCGCAGACTCCAGACCCCCGACTCTGTGACTCTATGCGCAGAACGGGAGCTCCGATCGAAACACTTGTCCAGTTTGGATTGATTTGCATTATGCCGCCGCTTCGCGGGCCTCAATGTCCTGCAGCATCGCGGCCACTTCGACGACTTCGGGCAAGTCAGCGAACGTCACTTGAGCCTTCTTGGTGAGCGTCTTGAGGTACATGCGGCAGTCGTAGAGGGCGGTTTTGGAGCCGTCGTCGAGGTAGTCGTTGGCGAGGCGCAGTGCCGCCTTGCAGAGCGGCACAATGTCGTCCCGATTGGTCTCCCACCCTGCCTTTTGGAGCGCGCGGCACTCCTTCAAGCGGCACTCGCGCGCCTTCTGGGCCTGCCCGACGCCGTCCTGGTAGTGCGCGTAGACCTGCCACACCTTGGCGTCGTTGGTCACAATGGACGTGATGCGGCCGAGGAGCTTTCCGAGCTGCTTGGTATAGTTGTACTCGGACACGGGCGGCGCGACCGTCGGGATCTTGTCCTCGTCGTCGTCATCGAGGACCGCCATCGAGCCAACGTCGACTTGCGACGCATCCACCGAGTCGTCTTCGATCGTCGATGCATCATCGTCTTCACCATCCGTGCGCTTGGCCGGGTAGACAATGGCCTCGACGAGCCACGCGAGCACTTCGTGGTCGATCGGGCGCTTGTGCTTGTCGCGGAGGTCGAGGAGCATGTGCATCGCGTACATGGCGTCACCGTACCGCGCACACTCCATCGCGCAGAGGAGGAAGTTCTCCCACATCTGCCACATGTTGCGCTTCTGCTTGAGCGCCTCTTGGAAGGCCGAGAAGGCTTGGCCATAGTTCTTGAGGCGGAGGTGGATCGAGCCAATGTTGCCCCACGCTTCGCCGTCATCAGGCGAGAGCTGCACTGCGTGCGTAAAGGCCTCGAACGCCACGACCCACTGCGACATGCGCATCGCAAGGGACCCGAGGAAGAACCACGCTTGCGTGTACATGGGCTGCACCTTGGTCGCGTCCTGGAGATGCGCAATCGCGGCCGGAATGTCGCCCTGCTCGTAGAGCTTGCGCGCCCACGACCGCTTGGCGCGCGCGAATCGGCCGTTCGAGACGTTCCACGACGTCTCGTAGTGCGCGACGTCGTCGGTGATGTCGCCGAGCGAGCACCACATGAAGGGCGTCGGCGCGACCTCCAGGCGCTGGCGCACCATGGCTTCGGCGCGCTTGGGCTGGTCGAGCAGCTGGTGGCACTGCACGATTTCGTCCCACATTTCGAGCTCCTGGAAGATCTCGAGCGCGCTGTTGTAGACGCCAAGACCCAAGTAGCGCTCGGCGAGGTCGCGCTTGAGCGCATACCGCGGCGGGAAGACGAGCGAGTAAATGTGTTCCATGCGTTCGTGCGCGGGGGCCGCGTCCTGGATCATCTTGAGGGACGTCTGCGTGATCGTGAGGCGCGTCGTGTGCTGGTCGACAAGTGCTTGCATCTGAAGCACCGCACGTTCGCGTGATCGCATTGTCTCGCACTCGAGCCACGCACGCTCAAGAAGGCCCGTCGAGTAGACCATCCAGTTGTTGGGGTTGTCGAGGACGCGCGTGAGGTACGGCATCATTTGCTCGCGCGTAAGACCGTCGTTCGCGTTCGAGTTTTTGACGTCGAGGCAGAGCGCGAGCAAGATCGTTTGGTCGACGACTTGCAAGTTGGCGTTGTCGATCGCGTCTGTAAACGCAATCTTCTCGAGGAGGATGTTGTCCGGGTCGGCTTGGTCGCGCGTGATGGTGCGGTACGCAGCCTCGCCGCCCGCAATGAGCTTGTCTTCGGCCGAGAGCTCGTCGCCATCGGTCGCGTCCGATTCGCCCGTGCTGAGCCCGCCAAAGTCGACGTGGGTACTTTGGGCCGTCGCTGCCGCAAACTCGGAGCTCGTCTGCGTGTTTTCGATGCGCGACTTGGCGAGCAGCACCATCTGCGCGACTTCCTTGACCTGAAACTTGGTGCGCTTCCCCATCGAGCCCGAGAGAAGGACTTGGAGACCGGTCGTCTGCAGCGCACGGCTAAAGTCGGCGCGGCCCTTGTTCTTGACTTCGAAAAAGTGCTGGGCAAGGCCCCACTCGAGTTCGGCGCGCGCCGGCAGGTACGGCGACGAGCAGTTCGCTGCGTGGAACTGCGAAAGCGCAAACGAAAAACACAGCTGCGTCTCGGCCCAGAGCGTGTTGCTCGGCGACTTTGTGATGAGGAGGCGCTGGTGCGCAATCAGCGCCCGGCCGCACCACCAGTGGTGCGACACCATCGACCGCAGCGCCACCATGACGTCGGCGCTGATCGGGCGCTGGAATCCATTCGACGTGCGCGGCTGGCGCGTAAACTGGTCCATGGGCGTAAACTTGTTGATGCGGTCGATCGCTTCGGGATGCGACCAGTTGACAAACGACTGGAGACCGAGGTAGTGGAGGAGGCAGCGCGCGAGCTCGAGAAAGTACGGGTGCTCGCAGATGCTAAAGGGCGACTCGCCATCGACCTGGAGCGACACGATTGCGTTCGTGTGGAGACCACGCTTGGTCACATGGCGTTCGTTCGCCGGCAACAGCACGTGGCAGAGCGTGTAGAGGTCTGCGAGCTTCTCGTCTTCGATGGCCGGGCCCGTGTAGTTGAGCTGCACAAACAAGTCGAGGAGCGCGATCGCGCCAAAGAGCACCGTGTAGCCGAGCGAGAGCTTGTCGTCGGAAGCCGCGAAAAGCACTTCGAGCGCCTGGGCAATGTACGTGCACGCATGCGCCGACGCTTGCTGGCGCGCCTCCGACTGCTGGAGCTGCGAAAAAAGGTCCTGGACCGGCTGCAAGCGAAGCACGTCGGCGTACTGGCCCTTGGTGAGGAGCAAGGCCATGTTAAGGAGCGCGCGAGTGCGCTCGGACGTGGCTTGCGCGAGCAACGGCTCGATTGAGGCCGCGTTCGTCTCGAGGATCGCGACCTCGGCCTTCTGGAGCAGCTCGGCATCCGTGAGCGAGTCGTCGTCGACGACGTTGGCCATGGCGCTAGCGTCCATGCCAAAGACGGCAAAGTCGTCATCCGAGTCCGAGTCCATCTTGCTGCTGCCAATCGCGTTCAAAATTGCTGGTCAAGATGCTCAGTTCTGGAAACGGGAGGCAATCCACGCGTTTGATTGGCTCATGCGTCATAGGTCAGTTGTTTGCTGACTTTTCGTATACATTTTCTAGTACTATTGCGCGATATACCTCTAGACCACTGGCAGAGATAGCCCATCCTGCAGTGAGGTAGCCATACGTCCAAGTAGATAGACTACGCTACGAGGTCTTGGCGTCGTACAAACGTTTTGCCCACGGGAAAATCCCTGCGTCGTGAACGAGCCACTCGGCCATTATCCGACCTTTTTCGTATAAGTGCGATTTGAAATCCCAGTAAAGTACGGATCCGGACCCGCGCCGAGTTCATTTGGAAGCGGCGCCGAGCATGGCGACGGCCAACGAATTCTTTGCGCGGTCGCTCGTGGCGTATGGATCCAGCTGGTAGGATCATGGAGGTACATGCATGGGCGAGGAAGACCATGGAAGGATGATGCAGGATGGAAACGATCACGAGCATGCATGTGCTCGTCGTCGGACTCCGAAGCGTCGGCGTCGAGCTCGGTACGAAGCTCATGGCCTCCATGGAGATGCGAGTGCTGCATGTAGTCAAGAACCTCATGTTACATGGCATCCGCGACCTCACGCTCTACGACGACGCACTCGTTACGGACGACGACCTACCCACGAGCGTACGCCCATGCGCCAAGCCTGCATGGCTCAAGGAGCTGCGTAGACGTGGTATGGGCCACGGAGCATTGGGCAGAAGAGGTCGGTGGTCATCAAGGAGGCTGCGAGCGCCAAGAGCCCGTATACAACGCTACGGACGCTCTCGGGTGTCTTGACGCCAGACCTTCTCCTCCACTACCACGTACAAAGCTCGACTGCAACCTCTGCCTACGCCCAGCGTTGTAGCTCGTCCTCTTCGCGAGCGGAGGACTCTTGCGCGAGGAGATTGTCGGTCTCAACGAATTTTGTCGCGCTCAAGTCCCTCCCATTGGAACGATCGTCGTTGAGAGCCGAGGCGTCCTTGCATCCCTCTTTGTCGACTTTGGACCGTCCCACGAAGTCCTCCGCTTTATCGACCATGGATGACACGATCATATTGCTGCTTTAGGCGTGGGAAGACGACAGCTTGGAGTTTACTGTGGCTTCTCTGGACACCAGCACGGGCCTCGTGGTCGTGCGGGAGGACGTCGTCGAGCAGGTATATAGATATCATGTACGTCGCTGACGCCGACGTGTCCTGCAGCGATTGCAAATGGGCGACGTTGTCGCGTTCTCCTTTTGCACACAAGACACAAGCTCTTTACCGTGGCCGCACGCGGAACAGTGCTGCATCATACGCCTCGCATCACCATCCACCTTCTACATGGACGCTGGGCGCGGCCGACCAATCGGAGATTTGACGACGCTGCCTCGGCTCAAGCTTCGGCGCGTCCGTGGCCTGCGTCAACTAGCACACGTAGCCCTACCATTGCGTGAGGAAATCTCTCGGAAGCACCACGTTCAATGTAGAAAAGCTACCGCGAATCGATTCTCCACCCAACGCTGGTCGAGTGCCCGTGCTTTCTGAGCTCCAAAGACACTGGTACAAACACGCTACGTCTCGTCTGTGTGAGTCTGCGTGTCGTAGATCGGAGCATGCTGTTGCACTGCGTACTGCACGGCCTGTACACCTATGCGCACGTCCATGGCCAGTGGCCCGAAGCCAACAACGTGCAGCACGCCAACGAAGTGTTGAAATGTACAAGGACCTTTATCGCGGCGGTAGATACACTTGCTACTGCATGCATCGTTGACGGCAAGGTGTATAGAGCGAGAAAGGACAGTGTGCAATTCCCACGGCCCCACCGAGCGATGCTAGCATCTTAGAGCTAGCGCGTTGTGCGAGCACCGAGCTTGTACCGCTCAGCGCGACCGTCGCTGGCTTGGCGGCGCGCGAAGCCATCAAGTTTGTCGGTACGCTTTACGGCGATAGCGGTGAGTGTACGCTATAGGATAGGCCTTGGGCTTCCGTTGACCCAAGTGTGGTACTGGGATGCCACGAATGCGTTGCCACACCGCGCCGAGCTCGCCAAAGAGACCATGTTCCTTGACCATTACCGCCACCACGAGTTTCACGTCCGCGCCCTCTACGGACAAACCGCCTTGGCAAAGCTACAGAGCGCACGCATTGCTCTCGTTGGCTGCGGCGCCCTGGGCTCCGAGATCGCAAAGGTACAGCGATTGGGGCGCTTGGATCTGCATGTTTGCGGTTAGAACCTATCTTTACTTGGTGTTGGTGGCACCAACTTGGCCAAGTGCACCCTTGTTGACGGTGCCCTCGTTCAGGTGCAGTAGGATGCAATGTCTGTGCATTCAAAGCTACTTGGACAGGTTATCGACCTTGCAAGCCACGCGACTTTTGCGAGCAAGGACGTCGGTTCAAAGAAAGCGGTCTGTGTCAAGTCGGCGCTTGCGAATGACTGCAAAGTTCTTACGATCCATCTCGACCCTGCTGTCAGAAACGTCGTCGATTGCGATTCAAGGGCTTATGGACGCATGTAGCATCTCGACACTGCCTTTGATGAAGCGTTTTGGACGTCTTTTGACGTGCTAGTGTGCACCGCATCGAGTGCTCTGGTGAGCGTCAATGCCCATTGAACAGTAGTTGGCCTCACCGGTATTCTTACGTAGTTGGCAAAGTACCTCGACGAGCAGAGCTTCGTGTACAAGAAGCCATTTCTTCTTGCAACGGCCGATGCGTGGCGAGGCAGCCTCATGGCGTATGTTCCCGAGGTCACGGAGCGCTGGATTGCCCGTGAAGTGGATGCGACCTTGCCTTTGCACGTGCTCGACCAAGTGGCTGCCCAGCGATCTCGCTTCCAGAATGCGTCGATCGAGAACAACGCGGGGCTCCAGCACGCACGCGCGTTCGAGGTTCAGCGCATCGCATTCTTTGCCCAAAGCGTTCTCACGCGCCACTTTGGGTCCCATCTGGTCCATGTGCAAACCTACTGTCGCGACCGTGCCCAGAACAAGCCACTGCGATACAACCCCGACTGGCTGCAAACTACACTGGCCACGTTTGGTCGCCTCCAGTGCCTCGGGTTGACACCAAATTCGTGTCTGGATCAGGCCTTTGGGCTTTTGCAGGTGCGTTCTGGTTCGTAGGACAAAACTCATCGCGGCCATAGGCGCTGTTTGCGGAAACCAGCATCGTCTTTGATGTATCCCAGACAACCCACCTTGCGTTGCTGCATGTGACCGCTGTCCTCTTGGCACGCAACGTTCAACTGGCTCGTTGCTACGACATGATAGCTTCATCTCTCACATGCATCTTTGTCTTCTAGTTTCGCTGAATGAGATCGCAGCAGCGTCGTGGGCACCACCGGCAATGGCCTACAAGAATGACGAAGGGAGTGAAGCCAAGCACCCGTCTCTGAGCGACGTACAGGCCATGCTGGGCCGGTTGGTCATCACTCCATTCAATGCGGTCAGTCATCGATCCTTGAAACGATGACGGGAAGTGTGGAGTGTAGACGGACGACGCAAATCTTCATGTTGTCTTTGTGCAGCGCTGGTGCAACGCGATGGCGGCCACGTACGACGTTGCAGCGATCGACTTTTACACGTGCAAAGGACTGTGCGGCGTCTCGCCCCACGTCGTCTCGACTGCGTCCGTGGTCGCCGGGATCGTAACCCTGGAGCTCGTCAAGCTGGTGCTGCAAAAGGCCAACGCAGTTCGCGAAGTTACCTATGCTCCCCACACGTCCATACTTCGTTTTGAGCGTCCTGCGGCACCGCTCCAGCTCTCGTCGATCGCCCTCGAGCCGACGCGGGGCGTTGCGCTCCGCATGTGTCCCGAACAGATGACCTTGTGGTATGCAATACGCCCTTGCTTGAGCTCACTCGGGTGCAGGCGCCAATTGGTGATCCCATGCACGCTAACCCCCCGGCTGCTAACCGTGGAAGACATTGAGCGCTACCTCCAGGTACATACATGGATGTTCGACGTTGTGGAACGAGTATATTTGTAGGCAAAATACGAGGTGCATGTCGAGTGCATTGTATGGCAGCAAACGACGCTGTACCGCAGCACCGATGCTTGCAAGCGAACGCAAAGGTCAGTCTTCCAGCGCGCGTTGGAGCTAAGGTGACGTGACAGCTTGTTTGACCTCTGGCGCCTCGCGACCGGCTTGGCGCTTCGCGAGACTTTTCTCATGCTCGAGATGCGTTGCTCGGACGCAGACGGCGACGTCGTGTTGCCGCCGACCAAGCTCGTTCGGCCGCATGGGCTTTAGCTTGAGCTCTGGGTGGTACTTGACCAAAAGATCACGGACGTTCGAGTATGGATTGCTAATCGAGAGCTGGCGTGCCGAGTAGCGAGACGAGCAGCATCCGATGGCAAGGCAGAGGTACGCCACTTGGAGCGCCGCCCAGAGCTCCAAGACGATGCCAGCAAGGTCGCGGAGCACGAGCCGCAATAGCTCGTCGGACGTGATCGGAATCGGCGTGCAGAGCTGGCCTTTCGCCGCGCACTCTGCAATCGAGAGGTAGTGCACTTCGGAGATGGTATCGAACACGACCAGCGACAGCATCGCCACCAAAAAGAGGTGGCGCACGCTCGGGTGAAAGTTGGTCGAGAACCCAAACGCGGCGCCGAGCGCGCCAAGCAGCGGACGGTACAAGCTGTCGTAGAGCGGCACGTTGAGCGTCGTGCTCGGGATCGACGTGGCGTGGGAGAAGAGTGCAAACTGGCAGCCAAGGACGCCGAGGCACAGCACCCGCAGCACTTTGGTGCAGTACTTGATGAGCGTTATGTCGGGCACTTGGTTGACATTCTGTGTCGCATGCTTGCGACGCGTCGCTCGGTACGCGCAGGCGAATCCTATGAGGAAGGACGCGAGGCCGACCGAGAAGGTGGCCGCCAGCACCGACACGTTCGTGTCAAAGTCCCACATCCTGCGAGGACGGTTATCCCCACAGGCGGCCACCAAACATGCCCCGGGGCATGCAAATCCACCGTTGGACACACCGTCCCGTGACCGTGGGTTCCGAGAATCAATTGGGCATGTAGCTATTGCTGCCACACAAATCATGAGCTGCGTGCTGCACTACGGGCAGGGTTGAAGGTACCGGTACAAGGTTTAAGGCACCTCTGCTATTAGGAATAAGTACTGGAGTGCAGAAGAGAGTTGGGACCGTTAGCTGCTACTAGAGTACAAGCGGACTACAGGTGCGGCGAGATCGCGAGCATCGTGGTCCTGTCCCATCCTGTCCAACGTTTCGGGGGAGAAGCGGGGTGTGCCCCGGGGCCCGGATCGGTTTCGCACCTTCCCAAGTGCAAAGTGGCAGATTGGGATTGGCATGGGGAAGCTGCCGACGAACGTGCGCATGCTCATGCGCCAGACGACGCTGCCGCGCATCTCGACGGCGACGCCCGGCGTCCAGCGCGCGTGCATCCTCAACTTTACGCTCTCGCTCGCGGGTGCGCCCATGAGCTTTGTCTTTGCCCAGCGCTCCGAGGTCTTCTCGACACTCTTTGCCCTCTCGGGGGCGCTCTGCGTGCTCTCCGTGCTTGGCGCTGCCTTGGTACAAGCCACCATATAGATATACACGAGGCCGATGGCAATACGTAGGGCATGGTCAAGACGACACCGGCGCTCGTCCTCGCCATGCTCCTTACGATCGGTACCTGCTACGGCGTCATTTGCACGGGTGGGATGGCCATTCTATACCTTCCGTTCGTCGCGCCCGAGCTCGCAGGCTACACGGACACGCTCTACGCGCGAAGCGTGTTGTTTCAGCAAACACTCGCCGATGTACGACTGCCAGCACAAACCATTGTCGACGAGACGGACCGCCTGTATAGAAAGTGAGCCGCGAACGCGCCTACTTGATCGCGACCGGCGTTGTCCTTCTCTGCGTCGCCATAACGTCGGCGTACACGGTCCGCAAGCTGCACTTTGCGCTTGGCGAAAAGGTGGACTTCATATTATATGTTCGAGTATTCATGCATTTCTCGGTGGTGTAGCGGTCGGCTGTCACGTTTCTGCAGGTATTGCGACAGACCCAAGATCGTAGTCGTACTCGACCCGTAGGCCTTTGGAATGGGCATGATTCCGTTCTCGTTCATCCTCGTGGCAGGCGGTCAGTACATCATCTCGTCACGGACCCTCGCGACCTCGCCTTACACGGGTGTGTTGAGCGTCTCTTCTTGCATCTCACGGAATGTGTAGGCATCTTTACGTTTCTCTGCGGCATTCTGGTGCTGATTCTGGCGCTCATGGCATTCATTGGCTCTGCGTTCGAGTACCGACGGCTCCTCAATACGTTCAGCTGGTTTGCATTCATCCTCGCCATCTTCTTGCTGGCGAGTGCGATCGCGTCGCTCGCGGTCACGAGCAGCATCGAAAGTAGCATCGTTGCCACTTGGCCCACGATCCGCGTCGTCTTGCCGCCGACGCTCCAAGCGCGCTACGATCAAGGCCAGTTTGTACTGTTTGTGCAGGTACTACACCTGTCGAGGTCTTGCGTTAGCTCATGCATCGGGTAGCGCAACTTGCGTGGTGTCGCCTTCATGGCGATCATCTCGGGCGCGTTCCTCATGCTGCAAGCGCTCTCGGCCATCACACTCAACGACATTACGCATGTTGTCAAGCGCCGCCACGCCCAGGACAAGCGCTGTCAACTCGACCCGAGTCTCCACCCCGAGTTTGCTGCGCGCCGTGACGTACGTTGCCGTCTTTCCCATGTGCTGCTTGAGCCGAGAACCCTAAACCCTAGTGGCACCGCTTGTTCAAGGCCTCGAAAAAGTCGCAGCGGCTCTTTATGCGTGTCTCGTGCGCGTTTGCGATGCTCACGTTTCTCATCATCACGGTGCTCATGACGCTCACGGTCGTCTTTGCGACCCAGTGCGCGCGGCTCAGCAAAGCCGAGAACGCGACCACGCTGCCACTGGACCCGAACGCGACCCTCGTGACGCTCTCGCATTCCTTTGGCGCCGGCGCGCTCATCGTGTCGCAAGGCAACGCCTCGGCGGGCCACGTCACCTGCCAGCAAAACGCCATCAGCGTTCGTAGTGCTTTTATGGCGCTATGGAGACGGAGGCTATGTGCCGCGTGTAGGACAAGTACTTGGCGACAGCGACGTTTCAAACGGTGGCGACGTCGGTCAAGACGACGAGCGCGTTTGCGGCGTCGCCCTTGAGCAGCTCGTACTTTTTAGGCGTCGACACGTCGTGCCAGGTAGACGCCGATGCGTCAGCGCGAGTCCACCGGACGCGTGTGTAGCTCGCGGTGCTCGAGCTCGTGTTGCCGAATACGACTGCCGCACCCTTGCTGCAGCTCACGTCCTTGATGGCCGAAGTGAATGTCAACCTCCTCTCACCCAATGAGGTACTTCCCAGCAACTGAAACAAACAAACGTCCAACGGTTGTTGTAGGACATTTCATCGACGGTGCTCGTTGGTATCAATGTATCAACGGACCAAGCCAACGTCTACGTCGTTGGTGCCTTTCTTGGCGCGCAAGCACTGACGATGCGGTCCAACTCGGGCGAACTCAACGTCAGCACGATCTATGTCAACGCGACGGGTACGCTGCATGCGCAAGTAGCGTATTTGACGGTGGCGCATATCTTGTAGGTGCAAATGGAGGGAAGAAAAGCACCGTATTGGCATCCACGCTCGGCAGTGCCTCGCTGCTCAACTCGTCGTTGACTGACAGTCCGCTCGTGATCTCGACGGACGCCAGTCCCATCGTTGTCGCTCAAGTCACCTCGTACACCGCAGCATCCTCATCGGTGTAGCGTCACACGTGCGCGTAGGCAAGTGACGCGCGGATATAGCATGATGACGCTCTCGACGCAATCGGGCTCGCTTCTCCTAAGCGACGTCACGACCGATCGCATCGAGCTCCAGTCCACCTCGGGGGGCATTCAAACTGAAGCGTTGACGGCGACGGTCAGCGCTTGCAATTTTCGTGCCAGGCACTGACCGCATTCTAGGACAATGGGATCTTTCCTGGTCGTATCGATGTCGTCACGATCGGTGGCGCCGTGCGAATGCACAACACTGCTGTCGATGGCTACGTGCATATCGAGTCCAACTCGGGCGACATTTACCTCCATCTACAGGTGCGACTGGTGCATTGTGATGACAAGTTGTCCACTTTGTTATCACACCAGAGCACGTCGTTTGTTGGCTTTTACTATGCGCGGTCTGAATATGGCTCGATCACGGTGCAGAAAAGCAATTTTTCCTACGATACGCTCACCGAGCTGCCGGTACGACACGTCGATTCATACAGCAGCGTCAGAGTCAACGCGTGGTAGGCGCAAGACCCAAAGGAAGCCAACGGATTCATCAACTGTGGCACGAGCTGCAACTACCGAGGGGACATTTACATTCGCAGTCAGCACGGCAACATCAACATTGTGCTCGGGTGTGAGAACCCGACGTGCTCGTAAGACGCATCGTCTTCATATACGTGAGAGTATGTTAAGTTGCCTTCAAGTTTGTGATCCTCGTGTCAACCCTGCTAGAACCGGTACAGACACCAAGCAGGGACTTGTGTCGTAGAGAGCAAACACTTGGAGGTTGATGCAAGGAGCTGTGGGAAAATGGTTGTTCCAACGGTATGGGTTTGTCGAAAGCATTTGTACTTGTCGACTGAAACGCTCATGGAGATCACGGAAGACTTGATCAAGCGCCGGAGCAACCACTTTGACGTTGCGTGTGTGCAGCGCCTCAACCTCGCGAAAGCCGGCTTGAACAAGATAGGTAACCTCGCAGGCTGCTCGGCGCTAATCGAACTCAACCTGTCGCACAATCAGGTAGATGACGATGTCTCATCTACGGGTCTCCCACAAGGTCGTAGTTATCGAGTCTGCGGGGGCTTCCTTCGCTCTCTACTCTCCGCAGCCTCGACCTCTCCCAGAACGCACTCGCATCGATCGGTTCGTAGCTTGGTCTCTGTTGCCTCATGACAGAGCGTAGACCCTTTTCCGCTACTGCCCGCACTCGAGGAGCTACGTCTTGACGTTGCCACAGCATCTTGCAGACAGTGTTTTGATAACAGATTTTTGTTAGGGAAACCCGCTCACCAATGGTGTGGACTGGGTGTCCCTCCAGAGCAAAGTGCCACAACTGCGCCGTCTCTTTGTGCGATCGCGTGCAGCTGCCAAAAGCAGCGTGAGCGGTACGACTACAATTCGAGCTTGCAACAACGTCGCAGACAACGACGAAAGCTACCATGCGACCCTCCAGCACGCTTTCCCAAAGCTCGAATTCCTCGATGGGGAAGCCCTCGCCCTCCGCCATGTACCTCGCACAATACGCTGCGCGGTTTTCATCAAGCGTAGGTTGGCCGAGCGAACGTGTCGGCCGTGGACGCCCCCGAAGTCAACAACCTCGATAAGGAGCTCGCAGCGGCGAGCTGGGGACCACTGGACTGGACGCTCGAGCCGCAAGACGCGGGGTTTATCGACAAGTGCAAGAGACCCCTCCGCGGTACACCAGCGTTCAAATGCTCTGTGTCATGGACCCCGCATTAGCGCTTCTCCAAGAATGCGAGTGCGATCTCCACGGCGACTCCAAAGAGCTGCTGCAAAAGATGCAAGACCTCTTGAACGAATAACTGTTGCCTATAGTGTACACTGTCTTGTTGTCATCGACGACTATGGAAAGTTGGCCACGGGTGTCGGGTTCGGTTGTTCCTTGCGCAGCGCTTCGCGCTGGTTCCAAAGCCGTTCCCGTTCGACGAGCCATGCTTGGCGTAGGTCCATAATGTCCTTCTTCATCGCATCGATCTCGGCCTTGCGCTGCACGCTGGCGTCGGCGCGGGCCTTGTTGCCCATTTCGACTTGGGCGCGAAGCGACTCGATTTCGACCTGGCGCGCCTCGGCCTCAGCCATCCACTCGTCGCGCGTCAAGAGCCGATCGTGGCCAGACGAAGGAACGACTTCGACCGAGCTCGTGCTCGTGGTTTCGTACCGCCCGAGCATTTGCTTTTGCTGCTCGGGCGTGTACTCGGCCTCGTTCATCTTTTCGATCGCCTCGTCGTGTTTGCCGAGATACAAGAGACGGCTGATAATCCCACGGACCTCGCGCCCGCGTTCGGCCTGCTCCCACCCAAACCGAATCGCTGCGTGTTTATTGAGCGTCGTGCAGTCGGGTGTGAGCGACGCCGGGCCCGATGCAAATACTTCGAGGGACCAGCGCGCCGCCTCCACAGTCGTTGGCTCTGGCGGCCTGCCAAGGTCCGCAAAGGGCTTGACGGATTGGAGCTCAGCTGGAACGAGCCACTTTGTCGTATCAAAGCTGCCTTCGACAATGTACCCATCGGCGTGCGGCGGTAGCTGCATTATCTGCACGCAGTCGTAGTCGCTGGCCTTTGCCAGCGAGGCCCCCGACACCGCATCAAAGATCTCAAGCTTGAGCGCAGCCTCCGGGACAGACGATGACAGCTTGAAGCACGCGTCAACTGCAATCGGCGCGGCTCCCTTTTTTGCGTCGTCGGCGCCGTGCGGCACAAAGACGTCGCGAAAGAGGGTGTGGTACTTGTTGGGCGTGTAGACACCGGCAAACATGGAGAGCGCGAGGGGTGCGTTCACAAGCGGTCCACTGGATATCGGTCCATCGGACGCAATCAAGATCGTATACTTGGCCGGTGGCACGGCGCGTTGCGCGACGCACTCGAGCAAAACCGTAAACGCGTGCGTCGAGTCGTCGCCAAGGTCGATGTGCGCCTCGAGCAAGTGGTAGCGTGTCACTTCCCGTGTCGTGTTGTTGACAATGTGCAAGTGAAACAACGCGCCCGCCGCTTCGTCCATGAGATGCACATGGACAATGAGCCGGCGCTTGGCCGACGTGCTGGGCGCGATCGCAATGGTCGACTTGTGCACAATGTGCCACGCGTCGGCGGGCATCGCAATGTACTCACCCTCAAAGACCTCCGTGTGCATGCCGCAGGTCGTCGTGACACACTCGGGCATGCTTTGGAGGGCGACGACAACGTCACTTTCAATCTCGAGGCTGTACCCCGCGCCAAGGGTTTGCGGGTACAAGCGAAAGACATGCGTGCCCGGTCCGTGGACCTCGAACGGCAACGATACAAATGGCTTGAAGAACGGGGCAACATTGGTGCTGTCGTTGCGCTTGGCCAAGCTCAGCTGCGGGTCTTCAAGCAGCAATAGACCCCGATCTGTCACCGACGAGTCGGCCACTGGCGCCGTCTGCAACGTCACGTAGAGCGTCGTTGCGACCACATCGCTTGGCACGTTGACAATTAGAAAGTGCGGCAAGTCGTGCGGAAACGGCGCCCACGTGAACACGGTCACGTCGGTGGGCGATACGACCTGTCGCCTAGTGCAGCATGACAAGTCAGCCCTTCGCTTGTCAAGGACCGAGAGATGAGCACCATTCTTGAACGAGTTGCAGTGTATGCGTCGGGATCGTATGGAGAATCATGGACGTCATTTTGTGATACTCGAGCGTCTCGGGTGTGAACCCAAGTGTCTCGTCCGGTGCTGCGTCAAGCCGTGATGAGTAAATGTACACCGAGTACGACGGGTGGATGGATCTTATGCTCGCCAAAACGAATGCTTCGCCACACACGGCGTTGAAGCTGCGCGTCATGACCGATGCCAGCGGGCAGACCAGCACCACGTTCTAGCGTAGAACTCAGTAAAATCACGCGCCTATGGAATCCTAGCGCACCGAAAGACTCAGCGAGGGCTGCACCTCGACGTTCAAGGCAGCATCGAGCAGCGGTGTCACCTACGATGCCAGTTTGTACAGCCAACAACATAGCATGGGACGGCGAAAAGCCTGTACTTTGACAAGCTCGTCTTGGGCCTTGGCGTCTGAGAGCGTCACGTACGGACGCGATTTCCACGTTGTGAGCGCGTTGAGAATAAAGCCAATGGACAATGTTGTCGTGGACGGGCTGTTCATGTTGGGGAGAGAACCAAGCCACGCAAAGACCTTGTAGATAGCCTTGGCGAGGAGAGAGGGCCAAATCTCGGTCGGAAGCGTGCTGCTAAGAACTATGACCTTGCCGTTTTTATCGAGCGGAAGTCGGTCGTCGACTTCAACACGGCGCCACTTGCCAAGGACGTAGAGCTTGACGAGGTACTTGCCACCGGGATTGGCCACGGGCACCTTTTTCCCGCCAACGATCGACTGCGGGTAAATGTGTTCCCAGTAGTAGGGCTGGTTAGTCACGAGACGGTCCACGAGGTTGTTGATGACACGGCAGCACGAGGCGAGCGGTGGGTCGACGTACTCGCCTTCGGGCACGGTGGGTCGCACAGCGCGGTTGGGCTCAATGTCCATCATGGGAGGGGGCCCTATGCAAACATTTTGATCACATGGATGGAGTTGGTTCAAGAAGCCCAACCAAAGAGATCGATGATCGACATGGGTGTTGGGGAGGCCGAAGCTTCAAACACGGCAGCATCGCCGTCGTCACCGTCGTCCATGATGTCATCGTCGTTCAAGTCGGCGTCGGCGGCTTGCTTTTGCACCGCGAGCACCTTGAGGTACTTGATTTGCCAGTTCTCTTCGTACTCCATCGAGAGGCGCTCGCGCAACTCATTGTCGGCTAGAATACGCGCTTCTTCGGCTTCCCAACTAGACGTAGGACCTGCATACATGGCACGTTTGTGCATTGCGCTGCGTACCGGCTAATGTCATGGGCTTGCTCCGCACTCCAAAGCCGCTGAAAGTCGTACTTCCACTCGCGCTCGGCGCGAAAGCCGGCTGGCGTCGTTGTGCCCGACGCATCCCCGGGCTTGGCCAGCACCGGGTCCAGAAGCGGGTCGTACAGCACCTACCGGCGCTCTCAGAGACGCATGCAACATATATACGTACGTAGCAGTAGCGTTGGACTTTGGCATCGTCGAGCACCTTGTCGTCGACCTTTTTGGCCTGCGCCGATTTTTTGCCGCTGGATTTTGGATCCACGGCGACGGCCTTGGCCACCTGCTTGGGCGGCTCGGGTAATGGAGGCAAGTACTGCGACGGCCGCTTCCAGACCAACGACGACGTCTATTCATGCACGAGGTCATGGAAACCATCGAGAGGGAGACTTGCATCAATATGCGGAGGCAACGGGGGCAGCCCCATCGGGTCTTCATAGAGGTTGGCCGGCGAGTACCAGTTCTCCATCTCTACAGGAGATGATCATCCTCATGCATGTAGCGCATGAAGGTCGACGTACCGAGGTTCTCGGTCCACTCGAGGAAGCCGACCTTGGGCACGTCATGGAGGGTTGCCAGCGCAGGTACGTTCTCGGGGACGTTCCGTGGGGGCAGTCGCTGCTTCCTGCATGAGCCTCCGTCTTCATGCAGCTCATCTACCTCGCGCTCGCTGGCCGTCATGACGGGGCAGCCACCGTCGTCGTCGCGGCCCTTGGCGGCGCCGGCGGGCGCCGGCTTCTTCGGGGGCATCGGCAACTCGAGATCTTCCGGTTACGCTGGGCACGGTGTTCCGGATACGAAACGGTTTCCGGATCTTGTGGCAGCGGTAGTTTCGAAGCAGTCGGCGTCGATGTGGAAGCCGTCGGGGTCCATCGTGGGCAAGACGCAGGGGCTGGACGACCTGCCGCTGGTAGGCGCGGTCGCCGGCGAAGGCTCATCCTCGAGCTTTAGGCGCTGCAGCAGGACATCAATGACTTCTTGCACTTTGCCCAGAGCCGCAAGCAGCAGAAGCTCGTGCCACGTATCAACAAGTACGCAAGCGCCGATGGCCGCGATCGCACTCATGGCGCATGGCACATTAGGGTCGACTTTGCCAAGGCGATGCCAGAGTCGGACTACGCTGTGTGCTTGCAGCTCCAAGTGCTCACAAAGGAATACCAAGAGGTGCGTTAGATACATGACGTGGCAGGACAGGACGACGCCGCTATCGCATTGTAGGGCTGGCCTATCTCGGCCATGACGTCGTCGATTGCCAACATGTCGCTCTCGTCCATGTCGATGGACCGCGGCAAGTTTAGCATCGCGGTGCGGATACCAAAGGCGTATCCTGCCCAGTCGCCCGACATCTCGTGCGTCACGGGCGGCGAAGTATGAGCTTTCTTACAAAGTGATCTCAACGCGTGCATGTAGAACGTACCGGTGGAGCTCAAGCAAGGCGCCAACGTTGTGCTGCCATGGCTCCAGAACGGGTGGCCCGCCGACTACTCGCTCGTCCACTTTGCTGAAGACCTCTGCAAAGCACTCGAGGCGCCCGATAAGATTCATACGACGAGCTTTATCGCCGAGCAGCAAAAGGTCTTTCCGCTGCACATGGGGCCAGAGCACTCGACACGAACGTCGCCGACCGAGGTGCACAAAGGTAGTGGCGACCGCGTTGCCGCCGCGTTTGACCGCCGTGGCTAGAGCATGCGTCCAAGGAGGCAGCGCCTGCCAACGCGGATCTGCTCCTCTTTCCAGACTTGTATGCGCCCCCGGAGCAAAAGAAGACCAACCCGTTCGGCACCGCCGAGCGCCCGACGCAATCACCACACACGTCGCAGAAGCGACACAGTCCGCCGCCGTCGAGCTTGCCCGCGCCGCTGCCCGACGCACGCGCCGTGCCGACGCAGGATCTGCTCGACCTGCCATCGACGCCATATGCGGCACCGGGGCGGCTGAGTCCGCGCGGGAGCACGCTGTCGCCGCGGACCCCGTCGTTTGAGAACGGCTATCGCAGCAACGAGTGCTACATCAAGTGCAAGTGGAATGGCGAAGCGCGCCGATTCGCCTTCGACCGGAGTCTGAGCTTTGCGCAGCTGCAAGAGTCGATCCACCGCCTCTTCCAGATCCCATTGTCGACGACATTGACGCTGCTGTACCACGACAGGTGGAACGACTTCAAAGCCTCTCATATCTGAGTCGTCGTAGCGACGGCGACAAGTGCTTGCTCTCGTCGGACGAGGTACCTGCCTCCACACGTAGCTTGGCTGCAGCAATCGTGTAGGAGCTGCGCGCAGCGCTCTCTCACTTTCCTGACACGCTCGTGCTCCAAGTGGACAGTAGTACTGGCAACGGTGGTCCTGTCGCCAAGCATTCTGTGGGCGTAGGCAAGAGCGACGAGGCAGCCGTCGCCAAGTCGGAAAGTGCGTCGGCCGCCAAGGCGCCAGCCCCCAAGTCCGACGAGGCGACATTGCGCGAAATCAAAATCGAGGTACCTCCGTAGCAAGAGAATCGACAGCTTACAAAGAACGTAGGATGTCAAACTGGAGAAGTGCATTGGTGTCGGCTCCAGGTACGACTCCGCTGCAATGATTGCGACGACTGTGTGCGAGACACACGCATGGTAGCTGCAAGGTATACAAGGCGATCTGGCGGGGCACCGAAGTGGCCATCAAAAAGTGAGCGGGTGTATCTTGATACGTTGATAGAAATCACATCGAGTAGGTTTTCGTCGCTCAATGCAGAACAAGTCAATAAGGAGTTCAAGCACGAAGTGACCATGATGACGCACCTCGGATGCCACCCATGCATTGTCCTCTTGCTCGCTGTGTGCACGACACCGCGTAGTATCGTGTTCGAGTACCTTCCTTTCTCGCTCTTGTGCGTCGCGCTCGTACTTCGCACATGTGTCTCATGGCGGCTACTAGCGAGCAAATCAACGGGTCCCAAGACCCGACCAAGAAAATTCCGCCGTTCCCCAACACGTGGCAGAAGCGGCTGCAAATGATCGTACGGCACATCGCTATCGCATCGCACAAGGATCGTGTAGATGGACGTGGCGCGCGGCCTTCAGTTTCTGCATTCGTTCAACATTGTGCACCGCGACCTCAAGTCGCTGTACGATACGCTGTTGGAGGCACGGTTTCGATCTTGTTTGATGGTAGGAACCTTCTCATCACGGACGAAGGGCGTGTCAAGCTCGCGGGTACGTGCTGTTGCGCGTCCTTGGTCTGGGATGCGATGGACTCTAGACTTTGGCATTGCCAAGGTCGCGCTCGAGAACGAGTTTATGACGCGGTGCTGCGGCACGTACCAATGGATGGCTCCGTACGATGCAGAGACTCGTCTCGCTCTCATGCGCGCTGTAGCGAGGTGATTGTGTCGCAGACGTACTCTGTGAGCGCCGACATTTACAGTTTTGGCATCGTCATGTGGGAGATCTGCGAGGCGTCGGTCCCGTTCGCTGACACGCCAGCGGCGCTTGTCGCGATGGCCGTCATCCAAGAAAACAAGCGCCCGACCATCTCCGCCAACATCCCGACGGTACAAACTCGTATGGTGTCGACGCTTTCCACACACAAATCGGTAGCCGCTCAAGGACCTCATCACGAGCTGCTGGGACAAGGAAGCGTCGTGTCGCCCGGACGCCGCGACCATCGTCTCTGTCCTGACCAACTTTCTGCAAGCGAGCCAAGCCACCGCGTCCGGCTAACGCATCCCACAAAATATGACACGTCGACTTTGTATTTAGACTATTTGTGCGCAAACCATGTAGAGTTAGGACGATGACGGCAGGCGCGGCGGCGGCGTGGGCAGTAAGAAGCGCCGACCAGACAAGGACGCGGACGCAACGCTCCTATTCCATGGACTTGAGCGCGTGATTCCGTCATCCTAACGCACCGCTGACGATGGGAGCTGGGCGGCGTCGCGTCGGGGACAGGTCGACGGAAGCGGCGCAAGAGCGCTTCCATGGTGGACGGGTGGATGCGCCCTTCTTCTGCTGGATCCAAGGCGCGAATGAGCACCGTGATCTACACCGATGATGTCAGGAGCCATACTGAAAATATGATCCAACGTCGGTCTGGGACCATCCAAGGCCCAAGCCAAAGAGCACTTGGCGTAGGTTGTAGGCGCTCACTGCGCCATCGCCGCTGGCATTCTCCGTGCCAAAGAGCCCGAGCACATGCAGTCGATGGCTCGACATGTAGGCTTCGAGCGCGGGAATGAGCTACGAGACATGAGAGCCGACAAAACGGACGCTGCTTACGATGTGGAGGTGACTCGACGACCGCATGCACGGGCTCGACTTGGGGCGCGGGGACTGCGCGCGGATGCCAACGGGGGGTTTTGGCGCGGCCTCCACTCTACGAGCACATTTGCGACTCGAAATCGAAGCGCCGCTCTACTGTTTGGTCAGATAGAGACGACGCGAGGCTTCCACGTCGATAGCGGGGGCCACCGTATCCTAACACCATTCGTATGTACCACCTGTGCCCACGTGGTTGTTGGTACTGGCAGGCTAAACCCATTGCGCCACACAAGGGCGAGGTCGTCGGGTGCTTTGGGGGGGCGCGGGCTCGCTGCGACGACAGGCTTTTTCTACCAAACCCGTGACCGAGAAGCAAAGCAGTAGGAGCAGCTACAGCGTCGTAACACAGAATCTTCTTCATCATGACGTGGATGTTCTGGAGGTGTTCGCGTGTCTCGTGGCGCTCTTGGGACTTGCGATTTCGACTCAGTCGTTTGGCGCTATCAAAACGTAGTCGTTGTCGCTTCTTATGGAAGCAGACTGTACAAGGGGGTGGGGGTCGTATTTCGCGGTGGCAAGTGACGGCGTTGGGCTCCTATCGGGTGTGAGACGGCGCAATCGCAAAAACACTCTGCGTACGAAGCCGCGCGAGGGGCGAGAGCGGTGGTCGCGTCACCGTGCTGCCTATATGAGGCGACAGCATCGACGCTAACTAGGATACCGGAAGATACCTGCGATAGGGTTGATGCTCATGAGCTTGAGCTGGTGGTTGACCTTCTCATCGTAGATGCCATCACGGCCCCCGACGTTGCGAATGTCGTTGCGGAACGTTGGCGCCATTTCACAAGTGCTAATTCGGGGCGTCAATGTCGACGCCACGGAGTTCGAGACAGTTGCGTGACAAGGGCGCGTGGTCGACCGTGCCATCTTGGCGCCGCCATTTTGTGCACCGGTATGCATGGCGGCACCGCCAACGTGTCAAGAGACGGAAGTGGCTTCATTTTCGTTTCCATGGTGCTAAGAATGTACACCAGCCACCACCTCGTGAATGCATTCGACGGCTTTTGGCTTGACACTAATGTTGTTTGGTCAATCGAGCATTGTGTATATATTGTCTGTGCATCAAAATACGCTGCAAACGAAGCGGGACTATCGTTTATAAACAGGGTTACCACCGAAAGTGTTGTTGGTCGGCTTGGTCGTCGTCGTTGACGTGGTTGTCGTTGTCTTGCTGTTTGATCTGTCGCTGGGGCTGCGACCGCCACATGACTTGGCGGCCCTTGCGCTTTTTGGGCGCTTGCATGCTGCGTTCCATGGACTTCTTCATGCGCTCTTCGTACATTTTGGTTTGCTGCGCAATGCGCTCTTGCCGCACGCGTTCGCGGCGCTCCTTTTCCTTTTCCTTCTCGGCTTTGACGACATAGTCCTCGGGCATGTGCTCGATCGCGCTGAGCAAATCTTCGAGCCGCGCCTCAAGGTCCGTGAGCATGAAGAGCGTGTTCGGGTTCGAGTCGGCTTCGAACCCGCAGCGCTGGTACACTTCGAGGACCTTGTCGTGGAGTTCTTGCAGCATGCGCTCTTGGACGTTTTCGCCAGTCCCGGCCATGGCGCGCTGCCGTAGATGGTTGGCCTTCTCGTCTTCGGCGTTGATTTGCTCGCGGAGGTCGTCAATGTTTTGTTTGAGCACTTGGGTCTTTTTGTTCATTTTTTTCTTGGTCTCGCGGTAATTTTGCTTGAGCTCTTCGAGCGACTGCTCCGTCTCTTGACTGTTTTGAATCAAAAACAAGTTGCTTTCTTCGAGCGCTGTAAAGATGTCGAGCAGCTGCTGCGGGTTCTGAAAGTACATGGGCAGCTCTTCGCCGCTGCTCGTGGCCGCCATGTCGTCGACCGCGGGCATGGGCGGCACAGCGCTGGACGCGACCGCCGCTTTGGGTTTCTCGGCCTTTTTCTTGCTCTTGCCGTCCTTTTCGGCCGCCCGCTCGGCCGCGCGATCCCGCTCCTCTTGCTCGGCGAGCGCTCGGCCGCGGATCGCTTCCCACTCGGCCATGGCCTTGGCCTTCTTCTTCCGCAAGCGATCTTGCTGCCGCTTCTTCTTGCGCTCCATTTGCTCGGCTTCCCACTCGGGCGGCGTGAGCTCGTCGAGAAACGCCTTGTATTTCAGGCAGTCGTCGAGCTGCTCCTTGAGCTTGGACATGTCGCTTTGCACGAGCTGGATTTGCTGGTTGAGCTTTTTGATCTCCTGGACGCGGTCGGCTTTGGCTTTGGTTTCCTTCTCGGCCTTCTTGATGGCTTCGTGCGCCTTCTTGTCGTTCTCCTTGAGGAACGTGTCGAAGCGCACGGCGTCTTCCTCGAGCATGAGCTCGCTCTTCTTGAGCGCCTCTTCTTTGAGCTGCGCCTTCTCTTCGAGCTTCCGAATCTCTTCGCGCTTGGTGTCGAGCGACATCTACGGTGCGGCCATGACATGTTGTTGGTTGTCGAGGATTTCCGACCTGGACAAGGAACATTTCCCGCTTCTTCGCAATAAAGTCGGCCATGTTCTCCTTCTCCCGGCGGCGGTCGCTCGAGATGGCCGCGGTCGCCGCCGCGACGAGCCCCCGCGTCTGCTTGGACTGGGCGACGTTGACCATGTCGGGCGCCTGCACGTCAAATATATGTGAAAACGCAAGACGAGGTACAGGGACGGACGCTGTCGTCGAATTTGAACCGGCGAATGTTGCCGCGCTTGGACGAGTTGGTGAGCTTTTCGTGGATCTTGAGCCGCGCATTGCGCTCACGGTCCTCGTCCTTGCGGCGCTTGATGTCGTCGCGCATACGAAAGACCTCTTCGTCCGACGGCAGCGTGAACGGGTTGGCGCTGGACGCGCTGTCTACATTGCCCTTAGCCTCCGCAATCATCGAGAGGCGTCCAGACCATTGTTGGTCGACTCCATTCGCGCCGCGTTCGTTTCAATCAAGCGCCGACTTGTGAGCTAACTTTAGCGAAGAAGCTTTGTCCCAGTTGACGTGAGGAAATGTCGACTGACGGGATCGTGCTCTTGGATTTTACAAACCTACAATCGCGTGACTACTGTCGATGGTGATCAAGGGTACGTTTCTCATTGATACGCTGCTGCAATCTCACCGAGCACAGGTCATTATCATTTCCCAGGATATTCGAGCGTGGGTCTGATACTAGGCAAGACTTGCATCTTTTGGGACTCGGTTCAAGCGAGCCCCATCGTCTTGTCATGATGGCATTTGCCGACAGCGTCCGATCAGCAATGTCACTGTACCACGCCTCCAGTTCATCATATTAGCGCTTGGACGCTGTACGTAGTTCGAACCTACCCTCGTTCAAACAGTCTTCTCAACAGCAGCCCCACCAATGTGATCCCCAGTCTTCGCTTCCAGGGACACCGCGATGCGGCAGTGTGAGCTGGCAGAGTGGCATCACCAAAACACCATCACTCACGCTTTCAGGAATGTTGTTCGACTTGCGGAGTGTGCGAAATGGCACACAGCAAAGATGGTCATGAGTCTGGCCGAGCTGGCGCAACGCGTCCGGATGCCCCAGTGCGTCCGCTGCGACAACGGCGCGTCATCCGTCGCGAGCCTTATGGAGAAGCACATGAGCGTAGGCGGCGTCGACGTCACGTGGCCGCTCTCACCAGCGTCGCTCGCTGCGCTCTCGTCGCAGTTGGCCAACCACGCAACCGTTGTCATCGACTCGGCGGTTCCACCCGATTTTGCGGACGCCAACCAATGCCACAAGGCTGTCCATGAGCTTGTCGGCAGCACCGCCAGCAATCGCTTCGAATTTGCCCATGTGGCCATTGACAGCGTCGGGTCCGCGTTGGCGTTAACGCCAGCAACCTATCCAGCCGAGGCCTTTGCGACGCTGGTGTATTTTCTGCCGTCCGATAGTGTCGGCGGGGCCGTCACCATATCTTGTGACAGCCGGACGACAACGTATGACGCGCTTGATGGACACACCATCGCCTTCTTCAACGCCTGCGCAGTCTCGGTGGCGCCCATCGTGTCGGGTCACCGCGGCGTCGTCGTGTACCATGCCGTCTACGAGCCTACGTCGTTAGGTACGCGGCTGTTTGGCCCGCCATCGCTGCCTTCGATCGACTATCTCGAACGGGCCATCGTCAAGCACGCGGGCCAGCCGCACGTGGCGGTGGCGGCGGTGCTCGAGACACCGTGTACAGCACCGTCGTTTGGGACACTAGGAGGCCGCGACAAGGCGCTCGTGGACTGGCTGCTTGCAAAAAAACGCTTTGACGTGGCATTTGTCCGCGCAGGAGGTCGAGGCAATGCACTGGAGAATGCGGCGTTCATGCCCGAGTCGTTCCATCCGGCATGTAAGACGCCGGCCATCGTGCGAGACGCGTGCCGGGATCGGCCCCTCAAAGCGCTCATCGACCTCGACGTCGGCGCTACACTGGACGTTCCTGCCTTTCACGCGTACCTCGTCTTTTGGCCCAAAATGCTTCGCGTCTGTGTCCTTGGATTCGATCGCACGCTTCGCTTACTGGATGACGCTGTGCGTGGTGACGTGGACGACGACCTCGGGTACGGCTCGACACGTGAGCTCATTGTGGTGGCGACACGCTACTTGCTCTCGGACGTACACAAACCAAGTCTTCGCACCGACACCGTTCTCTTGACTCTGGCGTCGGCGCTCAATACCTATGGCGACGCCGTCCTCGTCAACACGTTCTTGATGAGTTGCCACTGGCGTGAATTTGACGCCATGGCGGATGAGATCGCAACTGCGGAAGCGCGTCGGTACCGAGCAACGCAGTCGCTTCTGCTCCTTCATCACTTGCGCGACACGACCAGCATGACGTTCCGCCTCGACGTGCTGTCGCGGCTCTTGGACGCCGTGCCCGAGGCGCGGCATCAGGTGCGGACGATCGCGCTGGCGTGGTGGCAGACCATGCTCCAAAAGCTGAGGGTACAAAACTACGCGCCCGATACGTCCTTGCTTGTAGATGGCATGCGTCTTGAGGCGTGCCTCGATCGTACTCTCGTCGCGCCGGAGGCCGAAGCTACATTGGCGACTCGGCTGCCGTCATCGGTCGTGGCCGCGGTGCTCTCTTTTTTGCAGCATACACCACGTCTTGTTACTGTCATGGCGCTCCATCCGCGGGGCACGCCGGCGCTTCCGGCTGCCTTGTGGGCGCTCCCGTCGACGCCGATGCATTTGCGCCACGCATACCTGGCGCTCGCCATCGACCGGTTTTGCGTCTTGGACGCCGAACACGACGCAGGTGTTGCCTACTTGGTACTCTTGACGGCCGGTACGTCGATGGATGCGACAGTGGCGCGTGCGGCGCGCAAGAAATATGCGAGCGCTGCGTTTCAAGGCACGTTGGCGGTGCTGCTGACGACAGCCCTAACCCCACACCAAGCGGTTGTCGCCAACGAATGGCGGGTCTAGTTGCCAAACTACAAGTGTTTTTTCGCAAATAATTTGTCTCGACCGACCTCATTTTGTCGTCTTATAACCCGTACGGACGTGAAAATTGTGGCGGGAAGTGAATCGATCGCCAGCGCGTCGTCCCACCCGTACACAAGCAGGCTCTGATCCAGTTCAACTGCTATCACCGAAGGCGACTCCACTTTGTTTCCCTCAAATCATCCACCGCTATTCGCTCGAAGCCGCGGCCATGCGCCAGACATTGCACCCGAGCACGCCCGCGTACCGAAAAATCTGCGGCTACTACGCACGTGGCACGATCTCGCCACCGTTCGCAATTGTGATAGTTTCGAATTCTACCGGTACATAGCGCCAGCGCTCGCGGGACCGTTCGTTGAGGTAGAGCAAGTGTGTGGAGTGGATGCTGGACTGGAGCAAAGGAGTCCAACTTCATGAGAGGACACAGCGAGCACGAAGCAAGGCGCCCGCGCCCTCGCGGAAATATCGAAGGTTTCAAGGAATCTGATTCGCCGACGCTAGCCAATGAAAATGCGTCGTCAACGGCAACTGCACCGATCTTTGGAGAAATGCTTGCGGCCTTCAACCAGGACAGTGCGGCGACTGTGCACTTTATGGCGCTTCTCTCAACGAGGCTATTGACGTGCGTCTGGTGGGATCGCACGACTGGGGCTCCAGGCATGTACCTATTAAGTGTGGGTACGAACCAGAATCTGACCCAATTGTCAGATCGCGCTCGTCCTATCAGTTGGCGCCTTCTCGGCCACTGGTCGCATTTTTCGATGCTCCGCGCACGCCTCAAGTCGACGTTGGCCGCCGTCGCCACCGAGGCGGCCCCATGCCTCCGCGACATCCCTGTCGCGCCCGAGACGGGCTTTGGTCCGTTGCGCAGCAGCTACGCTTACTTTGCTGAGAGTGACGGGTTCCGCCTGCTCTTTGAGCGCTTCCACAAGCTCCACACGTCGCTCGGCCCGATCTACCGCCTCCGCTTTATGCCGTTCCAGCCGTACACGGTCAGTATTTCGGACCCAGACGCAGCCGCCGAGATCTACCGGCACGAAGGCGCGATGCCGCAGCGCCAGACCTTTGACTTTTGGAAGCTGTACCGGGACGAGCGCAACTTGCCCGTGGGCCTCGCCAACACCAACGAGTATGCCGTGTGGAAGAAGTACCGGCTCAGTTTGGGCGCCCATTTGCTGCAGCCGCACAACGTCGGCACGTGGGTGCCGCGTGTCGACGCTGTTGCGAACGACCTCGCCGCGCGCGTCTGCGCCCAAGCGAGTGCGTCGTCGACGGGCGAGGTGCCTGTGACGCTGCTCACCAAGGCATTTGCGCTGGAAGCGGTCTCGTCGCTCGTGTTTGGGAAGCGCATGGGCTGCTTGTCGCCCGACCACTTGACGCCGATCGCTCCGACGGCCCAGGCCTTGATCAGCGCCGTTGACGGCTTCTTTGCGACGTCGCAGCAGCTCATGGCGGTCCCGCCCAAGGCGCCACTTTTTGTGTACAAGCTACTGCCGGCGTACAAGGAGCACGTCATGCACTCGGACTATATCTTCCGCTTGGGGCACGAGATGGTGCAAGAAAAGCTGGCGTCGACCGAGGTCACGGCGCCCGACTTGCTCACGATGTTTCTGCAGCGGCCCGAGCTCGACGAGACGGACGCGATCACGCAGGCGATCGAGATTCTGTTCGGCGGCGTCGATACGACGTCAATTGCACTGCTCTGGTCACTCTACTGCATTGCGACGTCGCCCCATAGCCGCGAGATCCAACTCAAAATGCGTGCCGAGGTCGAGTCGATACTGGACGGCGCCACCGAATTTGACGCGGCCGCCCACGAAAAGCTCTCGTACATTCGAGCAGTCGTCAAGGAGACCCTGCGCCTGTACCCGGCGGCTAATCCGAACCAGCGGATTCTCTCCCAGGACATGACAGTTCTCGGCTACGACATCCCGAAGGGCACGAGCGTCATGATGGCCACGTACACGATGAGCCGCGACCCCGCCGTGTTTGACGAACCCGAGATCTTCAAGCCCGAGCGCTGGATTGACCGGGACCATGCGACACCCGCCGCCCGGAAGAAGAAGGCGTACTCGACACTGCCCTTTGGCATGGGCTCGCGCAGCTGCATTGGCCGTCGCTTGGCCGAGACCGAAATTTACCTCGCTCTCGCGCACCTTGTTCGCCGCATGGAGATGCAGTGGATCCCCGAAGAGACGCACCCCAAGCCTATTTTGCAGCTCCTGCTCGTGCCCAACAAGCCGTTGACATTGCGCTTCCAGCCCTGGACTACGTAGCCTTAACCATTGCAATACAGTGTATGGATCTTGGTAGTAACCTCGGCGGGTCGTCCACGACCAGGCTCGATGGACTATGCAGTACGGTTGCCTTCATTCGAGCCAACGCAGAATTTGCTGCCAACGTATCTTGGGCCATGACCAACCTCGTTTTACCGGACATCCGGATACAAGCAAATCAACCGAGCTCGTCAAAAGGACGTTTTCAAACCGGCGACAATGGCTGACGCCGACCTCTTTGCCTATGTCCAAGGGATCATGCTTCCGCACTGCTTCAATCACAAGAGCCGAAATACGGACGCGCGAATGACCATCTGCGGTATCGATGTCGACTGGCCGCTTTCGCCCGAGCACGCGGCGGCCTTGCTGACAAGTCCGGACCAGCTACGTGTGCTGCCGCCAGCAGCCGTCACGTCCTGCGCCCATCTCAATAACGAGGAGTCGTGGAGTCAGGTTCTAGACCGACTGAAGCTGACTGACTATCGCCCCTACGACGTCGAGCTTGCGCATGTGGCTCTCGACGGCGTTGGGTCGGCGTCCGTACTTCGGGCGTTGCACGGCCCAGCACATACGTTTGCGACGCTGCTGTACTTTTGCCCGTCCGACTGCGTGGGCGGCGCCGTCACCATCACGTTCGACGACCGCACGACAACGTTCGACGCGCTCGACGGGCAGTATGTGGTCTACCTGAACACATGCACTGTCGCCGTCGCCCCCATTGTCTCTGGCACCCGCGGCGTTCTTGTGCACCATGTCGCGTACCACGCGTGGACGCACAAGGTTGCCATGGTGTGGGCACCGCCGCCGCTGCCGTCGCACGTCCAGATCGACCAAGCGATTGCGAATCAAGCCGAGGAAGAGTACTGCGCGATGCAGGTCATCCTGGAGACCCCGAGCGCATCGCCACATTTCGCCTCGCTCGGCGGCCGTGACAAGGCAGTCGTCGACTGGCTTTTAGACGCTGGCTGCTTTGACATGGCGTTCATGCGCGTCGGCGAGTACCACACGTACGTCTGGGGGAACGGCGCTGACGAGCCGACTTACCCGATCGCGCTCCTCGACGAGACGTTTCATCCGCAATGCGCGACGCCGGCGCTCGTGCAGGAAACCTGTCGGTGGCGCTCGATCGCAACGTTTCTCTACGGCGACGTGAATGCCTTCCACGAGATGGACGCGTCCCTCGCCTGCCTCGTCTTTTGGCCCAAGGCCAACCGGTTGACACTGCTCGGTCTGCCGCGGACCATCGCGCTACTGCGATCGATCTTGAGTGGTAGCCCCCAAGACGACGACAACCTCGGGTTCGAATCGCGCTCGGCGCTCTTTGCAGCTGCGACGCGCCTCTTCATCTCCGACGAACCGGGTCCGAAGCAAGATGAGCGCACGACAGAAATGCTTTTGGAGATCGCGCGTCTCCTCTACGACTATGGTGACGTGACGCTGCTCGGTCAGTTCCTTTCCGAGCGCCAGTGGGATACGCAGTACGAGGTGGCAGCGCTCGTGGCGATGGCCGTCCACCGATTTGGCCGCGCGGCCATGGACGCACCGATGCGCAACCTGCATACGCTGACGTCCGCGCGATTCCGCTACCACGTCCTTTGCCATTTGACCACATTCCTGGATGCGCAGCTGGACGCTTGGTGCTACGACCTTGCGCGCGGCTGGTGGTCAAACGCGCGCGACGCGGTGGCTTACAGATACATGCCACCGACGGAAGAAAAGCTTGTCGGCGCGCTCGAGCTCCAAGCATGGATGTGCAAGCATGCTGTCACGCCGACCACTCGCGCCCTCTTGAGGATGCGACTGCCATGCGATCTCACCGATAGCATCTGTGCATTCCTTCTCGACGTGCCACCGCTCCTGGATATTCTCATCCAGCATCCCAAGGGGGTCCGGGCGCTGCCTGCCGCCTTGTGGGCGGTTGCGCTGCCACCCGCTTTGCACAGCGCCTACGTGGCCCTCGCGATTCGTCGGTGCTGTGACGGCGACGCCAAGAACGACGCGGGGTTGGCCCACCTGCTGCTGCTCACCGCGGGCTCGAAAGCTTGCCAAGGCGTCGAGGCGGTCGCGACGCATCGGCGCACAAGCCCCCGATTCCAGCACGCGCTGCAGGCGCTGCAAGCAGCGGCGACGTCCTCTGCAGCGCAAACGGCCGTTCTCCGCCAATTCCTAACTCGCTAGTTTCGTGTCTGAGTTAAAAAGGACACTTTTTGTATAGTTGAGAGAACATAAGTTTGAAAAAGTACATTTTTGTGCAATTATGGACTCAAGGAGGAGTATAGACGCTTGTCATGGGACGCAAGAGACGAGAGGACATTATTGCTACCGAGTTGCAGGAATGTCCGAAGCTCGATGACCAATTTTGTGGGTTTGAAGCCGCATACCAGTATTGTAATATGAAGGGCAGCTTGATGTCCGGAAAAACTCCGGAAATTTCCGTGTTCCCGTGCAAACAAAAAACGACCAAGTCCGTTGGTCGGTCAGCGATCCAGCAGCAGCATGCGCTTGCGCTTCCACGTGTCCCTCGACGCGTCCAACGAGATCAGCTTCAAGGCGCTCAAGGCCACGCTAGGCGAGGACACGGCGCCGGTCGAGGCCGCGCCCACCGATGCGTCTGCGCTGCCGCACGAAGACGGGCCGCCATCCACGCCGCCACTCGTACCCGCGCGCCCGAGTCGTGGCAAGTTTAACATCATCGAGCACCTCGAGCAGCGCTATGGCCGCGGCGGGCCGCTCGACATGAAGGACACCGTCGTGCGCAAGAACGTCGACCACGACGACCTGTACGACTCGGACGACTCGTTCATCGACGACACGGACTTGCACGAGTCGATCGAGAGTACGTACTCGAAAACACAGGTCAAGACCAAGCACAGCGGCTTCTTTGTGAACGCGGGCGACCGCATCGAGACGATCAAGGAGCTCAAGGCGGCGCCGGTCGCGCGCGGTGTCGACAACGACGACGAGCCACTCCGGAAGAAGAGCAAGAAGCACGCGGAAGAGATGGACGACTGGGGCGACGAGTGGCAGCCCGGCGCCGAGGTCGACGCTGTCGTCGCCAAGTTTCGCGAGTTTGTCGCGAGCTGTACGTTCAATCTCATGTGTTCGCCTTTCACAGTCCGCATCTAGATTTTGCCGAGCACGGAACCACAAAGGCATGGCCACCGGCCTTTGACGACGGGTTCCGCGACGTCGATCGGACCGTCGTGAACGCCCACCCGCAGCGCTGGCGCGTCAACGGGTACATTACGAGTCTGATGCAATTTCTGCCCTACACCAAAACGTCACTGCGCGGCCACATGGCCCGGCTCGAAGCCCGCGACCATGCGCGCCAGGCCAAGACCGACGCCGACGACCACTTTCTCGATATGGCCAAGCTCGTACGCCGTCATTTGCCGACGTTGTCTCACGCCCAGTAGGTCGAGCCCCACAAGGTTCGCGCGGAAGAGAGCGACGTCATGTCGGTCGACGGCTTCAAAGAAGGTACACGATGGGCTTGCGTCTGCATACGTATGGGATGGTGTAGACGTCCTCAAGGACACGGCGTTGGCGGTGGCTACGTACAGCGCGGCCGCCAAGATGGAAGACTGGGTCACCAAAGAGAACGAATACCGGTACGAACGCGCGGCTCGTACAATACGTGGCACGCTCACGCTGCGTAGACAGCTCCTCAAGCAAGACGACAAGAAGCACTTGGACGAGGCCGAGACAGTGATTCTGAGCGTCCCGAAGGAGCGAAATCGGCTCTACACCAAGGTGCGTGTTTGGATGACTTGGGTGGATGTTGAAACGCTACGGTAGATGGTCGGCTGCTTTCCGACCAACTCGATCGACATGGCTGTCGTTCGGGACCTCGTCAAGCTCGGCCGGAAGGAGAGCGGTCACAGCGCGACGCCCCACGTAACGCCGCTGACGAAGAAGGCGGGTGCCACGGCAGCCAGCGCCACCGGCGCCGCCAAGAAGGTGCTCAAGACCCCCAAACCGCCCAAGGCAGCGGACGCCGACAAGGTTCCGGATGCCGCAACCAAGGCACCAGCACCGGCGCCGAAGCGGCCGGCCAAGCCCATCAAGGCGCGGCGATTCGAAGTGTGTCCTGTCTGGTCTCCGCACGACTTTATCGAGCGCAAGGTTGCGTAACTTCAGACACGCGATTTGACATAAGATTATTGCTGCAGCGAAGAGCTGCGATAGCCCCACGGGCGAAACGTGGGCGTGAGCGCACGAGGATAACCGGGATACCCCGGCTGTGCCAAGTGGCGTGGCGTTGGCGAGCGGGGAGGGCTCGGTGCTGGCGACGGCGATGGCGGCGGGGACGGCATGCCCGACACGAGAGTCTCAAAGCTGGGCGCAGAGTACGCAGGGTAACCTGGCTGCGCCACGAAGCGAGGTACCTCTGGTGGTGGCGCGGGCGCGGCGACGGGCGCTGGTGCAGGCCGCGGTGGGTCGGGCCGGCTAATGAGCTGGACGGCGATGTGCAGCTCGCCTGCGTACATGGTGCCGTAGTAGAGCGGGTACCATCGGTCGTAGAGCTGACCGACCTTCCAGTCGCGGACGCGGAAGAGGCAGGCGCCGAGCATGCCCCTCTCCAGGTCGTTCTTGTCATAGACCTCGAGCTGGAAGACGTCGGTCTCATACAGGCTGACCGTAAAGGTCATCTTGCGGTACCAGCGGGGGGCATTCCCTCCGTTCGCAGCCACGTCGGTGATCTCTCGTTGGTTGCCCAGCGTGCCCCTGCAGAAGGGCGCGAGCGGGCTGTAGTCGTCGAGGACCACGAGGTTGCGCGCGGCCGGCGCCCGGACGTCGAGCTGCAGCATTGATACGGCAAAGTGGGAATTGAATTTTAATACCATTGCACAATTCCACTTACAAACATCAAGTACACCATGGAGATTTCAGCCGAATAAAAAGGACTGCAGGGAAAATCCTTCGAAACAACGCTGTTGACGTTGCCAACAGAGAGTCGGCGAAACGACGTGCAGGGATCTAACAGCACGCAACCTATCAGGGCAGGACCACAACCGTACGCACCCCAGCTCGGACCCGATTTTGTATCGGTACGTGATGGCGATAGCCCCTTAGCGATTCCGCGAAGGTCGAGAAGGAGGCTTGCTTGCACGGATCGTTGCCGTGGAGAAATCCTTGCTCGAGGAGGGTGGCGCATTGCAACACGGGAAATTCTGCGATTTTCTCGGGAAGCCATCATGTATCCGGACGAAGAGTGTAGGTTTAAGCTCGTCGTTTGTATTGGATGGATGCTGGGTTTACCGGCAGCTGGCTAAAAAAAGTTGGCCAACGCATTTCCCATTTCCTATTTCCCAGAATGCCCGAGCTCCACGTCCGCGCGGTCTCGGCCCGCAACCTCCATGACGCCCAGACCTTTGGGAAGCAAGACCCGTACTGCAAGGTCACGGTCGGCCACCGCACCTTCAAGACGCGCGTCCACGACAATGGCGGCCGCAACCCGGTCTGGAACGACAAGTTTGTGTTTGAGGTCGCCGACATGCAGCTCTCGCAGCTCGTGATTGAGATCTGGGACAGCAACTTCACGAGCGACGACTACATTGGCACGTGCCGCCTCCCCATGAGCATCTTTGCGAGTGGTCAAGTCGTTGACCAGTGGTACCCGGTCAACTACCGCAACCAGCAGCGTGGCGAGATCAACCTCCGCGTTCAAATGCTCGGGGTCGCCGGTGCCCACGCACCGCCGGCGTACGGCCACCAACAGCCCTACGCTGCGCCACCTCCTGCCTACCAGCAGCCCGCCCAGCCGGCCTACGCGCAGCCCTCGGCGCCCGGGTACCCGAGTGCGCCGCCCGCCTATGGCCAGCCCCCCGCGTACAACGGCGGGTATGCTCAGCAACAGCAACAGCAGCAGCAGCAGCAGCAGCAGCAGATCCACCAGCAGCAACACCAACTTCAGCAGCAGCAGCAAGCGATGCAGCAGCAGACGATCCAGCAGCAGCAGATGCAGCTGCAACAACAGCAAGCCCAGCTCGCGCAGCAGCAGGCACAAATGGCCGCCCAGGCGTCGCGTCCCATGTATGCCCCGCCACCGCCGGTGTACGCTGCACCTCAACCAGTGTACGCTGCCCCGCCCCCGGTGGTGATGGCCCCGCCGCCGGTCATTGTTGGCCCGCCGCAGGTCGTCATGGGGGGCCCGGTGGTGTACGGTGCGCCGGCCCCGGTCATGTATGGTGGCGGCTATGGCTACGGTGGCGGCTACGGCGATGGCTACGACAATGGCGGCGGTGTTGTTGCCGGCGCGGCCCTCGGCTTGGCCGGCGGCGTCATCCTTGGCGCGGCCTTGAGTGACGACGGCGGCTTCTTTGATTAAGATCTAGGTAGCAATGCCTTCTAAGTAAACTACTACTATATATGACTTGGACTACGAGATACAAGGCTTAACAACCCGCAGTCGGAACATTCCAGCGTTGCGCCAGAGCTACGAGCGCGGGCAAGGTGCTCGGCGCCTGGCGCTTAGGCGTCGTTCGAGCCGACAGAGTGATACGTCCTCGCATCGTTGACGTGGCAGGTTCTGGTGCACCTTTCGATGTTGCGACTGTCGGCAGCGCGCCCGAGCTCAGCGCTGTCGCCCAGAGGCTGCGCTGCTGCCACGTTCGTGCAGCAGGAAAGGGTCGCGCCGCCGCCTCGAAATTTGCAGTCGTAACGGTGGTGGGAAGGTGTCTATTTCTATCTGCGTCATGGAGCATCGGCGGGAGGTCGCTTCCTCGGAGCTCGAGCGGAGCAACACGCGGGGCACCGATCTCTCGACGCCCGACTCGCGTCACTCGGACGACGGACTCGGCGACGACCGGCGCGACTGGGTGCACGACCCGGTGCCGCACCTCGGGTTCACGTACAAGGGCGACACCTTTTACCAGCGCGGGCTCTACACGGAAGCGCTGTTGTACCTTTCGCGGCTGCCGCGCCGAAATCTAAAGTCGCTCGCGCCGTCCATCTCGGAGCCCTCGCTCTCGGCCCGTCGCCAGTCGACGCCGTCCAAGTCCAAGCGAAAAGTGGGCATGGCCAAGCTCACGCCCGTGCGCCATGCGGACGAGTCGATCTTGCTCGCCGACGTGGGTGGCGGCGGTGGCCGCGAGCAAAAGCTCAACCGCAAGCGGCAGTGCGCGGCCGCGATCGACGCCATGGCCGCCAACCCCGTGCTGCACCCAAACCTCTTTCACGACAATGTGATCCCGAGCCTCCTCGCGCTGAGCCGGACAAAGGACCTCGCGACGTCCCGGGCGTGTGTCTCGGCCATGTGCCACCTCAGCGCCAGTGCCAAAGGCCGTGAGCTCATGCTCCAGAACGGGTGTCTCTCGCTGTTGCAGTCGATTTTGTCGATCTCGTCCGACGAGATGCTCGTGTACAACGTCTTGGCGACCGCCGCCAACCTCAGCATCGAAGACAGCTTCGAGTCCATGTTTGTCAAGGAAAAGACGCTCGAGAGCATCCTCGCCCAGCGCAAAACAGGCGAAAAGCTCGAGCGCCTCTGCTCGTTTACGCTTTTTAACTTGAGCTGCCCCACGTACACGTATCCCCGCATCACCGACGTCATTCGCGCGTTGGTTGAGCACGGTACACCGCGTCCAACCCAAGTCGTCGCTCAATGTGCTGCTAGGGCGCGTGTGCCGCGACCGACTCCTCCTCAGCCAAGCCCTCTACAACCTCTGCGTCACCAAGTCGAACCGCGTCAAAGTGATTGCGTTCCCGGATGTCTTTGAGATCCTCAACCGGTTAGTCTTGTCCGCGACCGATGCGGCTGTGCGCTCGACGGCGCTGAGCTGCGTGCACTGCCTCGCCGAGACTGAGAGCTGTCGAAAACCCCTCATCGTCAACGGCACCGTGCGGGCCGCCGTGACCGTGCTCCGGTCGACAACCGACCCGGACGACCTCCATTGCCTCTTTTCGATCTTGGATCTATTAGCGCTCGAGAGCTTGGGCTGCGAAGAAATGGCCAACGTTGGCGCGCTGAGCTCGCTCGCGCAGCTCTCGCATCTCATCTCGGACCCGTCGCTGCAGACAAGTGTATACAAGACAATCTCGCAGCTCGTGGCGCGCCAAGCCAACTTTGCGCACGTGGACGCGGCCTTTTTCGAGTTTCTGATCGCGTACAGCCACACGCAAGCGCGGACCGAGAAGCACATTTCGCACTACGTTCTCCACGCGCTCGGGTGCGTCGTCGGCTGGCACAGCAGCTTGGACGTCGGCGACTTTGTCGAGGCGCCCATGTACTTTACCAAGCTCCTGTACCATGTGCTGTACGCGCTCTTTGAAGAGCAGAGCGTCGAAGAGTACCTCCAAGCCGTGCTGTTGTACAACATGAGCTTCAACTTTGACGCGCTCGACCTCGCGCACGAAGCCATGCACCGGCTGCTGTACTTTGGCCTCCAAAGCCCCCGTGACGACGTCCACGCGCTCGCTTGCGGCACGCTCTTCAACCTCTGCGCCGAGCCGCGCTTGCACTCGCGCATCTACGAGAGCGGTGTCCTCGAAGTGCTCGTGCGGCTCTTGCCCAAACCGAGCAGTACCTGCATGTGTCTTGAGATCCTCTGCGTCCTCTTTGACCGCCAGCAGTTGTCGCCCGAGGCGTACGTGGCGCTCATCGACGCTACGTTTGGCGCGATCGTCAAGCTCTGCGACCGCGGCGACGCTGCGGTCAACGCGGGTTGTGCAGCGTGCTTTGCGCGCTTTGGCTTGATTGCACCGTGCCGCATTCGTATGGTGCAGAACGGGCTCATTGCAGCGCTCTCGCTGCTCGCGAGCGATGACAATCCCGAGACGCTCCAGCTCTGCGTGAGCTCCTACTCGCATCTGAGCTGCGACCCGAGCATTTGCCGCGAGCTCATCGAGAAGGGCATTGTGCACTCGCTCTCGAGCTTGGCCGCGGCGCCCGAAGAGGAAGTGCGACGCGCTTGCGCGATCGCGTTTTGCAATCTCTCGACAAGCGAAGACAACATTGTGACGCTTGTCAAGCACGGCGCGCTCAAAGCGCTGCTCGTCATCTCGTGCGTCAAGTCGAACGACGCGATCACACGCCGCATGTGCATGAAGGCGGTATACTACTCTTGGTCGATGCAACGAGGACAAACTGGCATGTTCATGGGGCTAGGTCATGAACCTGATGCGCTCCGAAGTCAACATTCCCGTTATGTGCCAAGATGGGCTTCCGTGGGCGTTTACGATTTTCGCCATGTCGTCCGAGCCACAGGACTTTTCGCTCTTGGCCGACGCGTTCTGCGGTCTCTCGTACTACAAGGAGTCGCGCCGCGGGCTCGCCAAGGTACTATGACATGTCACGATGACGTGTTCTCGAGCAACTATGCAGGCGTCGACGCTGCAGTGCTTTCTCGGGATTCTCCAGCGCATTTACGATCTCCCATGTGGCATCACGATGCTGCAAGGCATTTTAAACCTCCTCACCGACATTGATGTGGCGGGACCGCTGCTGCACGCGGGGCTCCTCAGCGCTCTCGACCACCTCACGAAGACGACGCGGGAAGACCAAATGCATCTCGTGGCGCAAATCCTCACCGTCACGTTTCAATGGTCCCACGACGTGCGCGTCAAGGTCCTTGTATTGATTCTTTTATGCTGTCACTGACCAAATGTGATAGTTTCTCGATGATACTGTCTACCGCATGCTCGACGTTCTTTTGCACGCCAACGACGTCAAAACCAAGCACTGCTGCGCCATCTTGCTCCACATTTGCTCGCTCGACGACGCAACCGTCCACGGGCTTCTCCTCAGCGACACGCTGCTGCCAACGGTAGTCACGCCTCCTCGATGCGCAATTGATTCAATGTATCAAGTAGATGCTCGATACGATCCGAGAAGGTCCGTGCGTCGACGTCATGCTGCTGCTCATGCGGACGTTGTACAACATTTCGTGCCGCGACGCGTTGCTCGTGCACATGTGTCAGGGCGGCCTCGTGACGGCGATCGCGTCGATCGTCGCGTCGCAGGAAGAGGCGCCGATCTCGATCGCCATGTGTGCCGCGATCATGCGCAACTTGAGCTGCGAAGCCGCGTGCCACGCGCAGCTCGTCAACGCCCACGCGACGTCGCTCTTGGTCGCGATCTTCACGACGCGGAGTGTGACCAAAGTGGCGCGGGAAGACGCGGCGATTGGCATCTGCAACCTCCTCCTCGGCCGCGTCAACTCGTCCATCATGCTCGGGCAGGGCGCGCTGGCGCCGATTCTATGGCTCTCGAGCCACGCGGGCATGGAGAGCAACGTGCTCTGTTCGGCTGTGCTACGCAAGCTCGCCATGCCACCGGGCAACATCCAGCAGCTCGTCGACGAAGGTACGTCGGCGCTTGCGGTCGGTTTGCAAATGCGAAGTAGGCGCGGTGCCGTGCATTGCGTCGCTCTTGGCGACGACGACCAACTTGTACATCAAGCGCAACTGCATCGCCAGCTTTTGCCTCCTGGCGCGCAAGCTCAGCGTCAAGCCGCTACTCGCGACAAATGGTGTCATTTCGCTGACGCTGGACCTCCTCGACGACCTCAAGCGCGTGAGCGACCACAGTGGTAAGGCGCCAATGGTGCTCAGCATCGAACGCATGAGTGTCGACTTGGTCACGACGCTGGCCGAATTTGTCCGACCAGACGTACCGGGCGAGACACACGTGACGTCGACGCTCCTCACCTTGCTCGACGGCGACGATGCGAGCGGCGGCTGCGAGTGGGAACAAGACCGGGACTTTTTGCTGCGCCACGAAGCCGGGCCGCTTCCGCTTGCGCGACCGTCGAACGCGCGCCAGCTCAAGACCGTCGACGTGCCGACGCTGCAGACAGGGTTGTACCCGGTGACGGCGCCGGGTTTCTCGGAGAGCTTTACGCTTGTCAACGCCGAGCGCGAGCGCAAAGCGATCTCGCCGCGGATTCCGACGCTGGCCGATGCCTACAAGTCGGGCTCGGAGCAGCTCGACGAGTCAATCGGGCACCTCAAGAAGCTGCTGCTCCCACCGACGACGACGACGGCGGCGGCGCGCTCAGCCGGCTGGAAAAAAGTTGCGTTGATCGAGTTTGCTTCGCGGAAAATGTTCTCGAAGCTCCGGTCGACGTTTGCGCCCATGGCACCGCCGGTGCCGCTTGTTGTCGCGCACACCGAGTGGCTCGAGAGCGGTCGACCGAAGAGCGACGTGACGGTCGTCGCGTCATCTTACGCCGTGTCGCAGCACACGATTGCGGCGTCGCCGATGCGGACTACGCCCGCGTCAGGTCGACGACGCGTTCTTTCGCCCGTGCACCATGCCGCCTCTCCCGAGGGTAGTGATGGCGTTCGTTAAGCTTCAAGGCATTGGTCGAGTCCTGCGTTTTGGTTGGTTTGCACTTTTAGTATCAATGTGTCAAGTCAAAGAACGTTACACCGATGACGTGGCGCGTCCAGCGGCCATTTCGCCTCCGGACGAGAACACAAGACAACATGTTGATCATGATTAGGACGACACGAGATACAACATATAGAAAGTGGTCACTGACGTAGCACGATCCTCCTACCGGTTCCTCAAGCAGAGGGTGGCTACCATGGCGTCATGCGCAGTACGAGGGGCTTGTCGGGCGTGAGTGCGAGCTGCACGATCGGCTCCGGGTGGTCGACGCCGGGGGCGACCTCGAAGCGCATCGTTCGCACCATGTGGGCGAGCAATAGGTAGTGCTCCGTCTCGGCGAGGCGCCGGCCCGCGCAGCTCCGCGCGCCCATGCCAAACGGCAGTGTCGCGTACGCAGCCTTCTTGCGGTCGGCGGCGCTTTTCGCTTCGCGGCCGAGCCAGCGCTCGGGCACAAACGTGTCTGGCTCGGCAAAGACGCTGCGATCGCGGCTCATGGCGTAGATGGGCATGAGGACTTGGGTGCCCTTTGGCACGCTGTACCCGAGAAGCGTCGTGTCATCGTGCATGACGCGCATCGACGTGCTAAAGACGGGGTAGAGCCGCAGCGCCTCCTTGACACACGCCCGCACGAGCGGCAGTTTGGACAAGGCGTCTTTATCCAGCTGCGTCTTGTCGCCCATGGCCGCAGTTACTTCGTCGCGGAGCTGGCGCTGGAGATCTAGTGCGTCGTGCGAAGTCGCGATCGCATACAGCGTCCAGAGAATGCCTTGGGACGTCGTGTCGACGCCGGCGAAGAGGAGGTCGATGCACTGCGTAATGGCCTCGCGCTCCGTGAGCTCGGGGCGCAACAGGAACGCTGTGAGCAAGTCGGGCGCGGTCGCTTCGGTCGACGCGAGCTTCTCGGTCATGAGCTCAAACCCAATCTCAAAAATGACGTTCGCGTGGCCGACATGGCGCCAAAACGCCGGAAAGAGCCAAAACAAGATGGGTGGCATCGACGGCGGAAGCGTGTTGAGCGCCTGCGTCGTCTCGAAAAAGCCAACCACCGCGTTGATGAAGCGCTGCGCGGCCGGCGTGATCGGCGTCAAGTGGTCGGCCGACAAGCAGCCCATGCGCTTCCCAAAAAGGACCGAGCTCACCGACTCGAGCGTATACGCCTTGAGCGTGTGCGTCACATCCACGTCGCGAGTGGGCGACGCCGCGGCTTCGCGCTCGAAGCGCGTCGTGACATCTTGGGCGATCGCGTCGATCCGCGGCAGCCACGGGCCAATGTTGCGCGGCTGCAGCAAGTGGTCGCTCAAGCTCGACCGCATCTTCTTCCAGATCGCATAGTCGTTGGTCGTGACGGTCGTGCGCGGCCACTGCTTGATTTGCCGATAGTACTCCCACACGGGCACGGCGCCACGCAGCGGCACGGGTCCTTCGTTCCGGAAGAGCTGCGCGATCACGTCGAGGTCCGTGACGCTCACCATGCGCGGCCCGAACGGCACAAAGCGCACGCGCAGAATGGGCCCGATCGTGTCGTGAAGCGCACGGAGGTGCTTGAAGAGTACTTGGAAGCCGCCGCCCTTGGTAAAGTACATCATGCTCGAGCGCAGGGGGCCGACGCCGGTCTCGGGCGCGTTGGGGATCGCGGTCACCGGCTTGGGCGCGGCGAGAGTCGACTTGAGGCGAAGGCAGCTGCGCAACATGCTGGAAATTCGCAAATGCACAGAACGCATCGAGGCCAAACGAGACGAAGAGAGGGCGACGACTGCGAGATTCGGATGGTCGTGCCATCTGGCATTGAAGTGCGCTCTGCGGCTGCCACGTCACCCTCCCAAGGCGACAGGCGTTCGCCACCAACGCGAAGAATGCCATGCGAGCGCGGTATGTTGCAGGATGAAGACAAGCCATAACTGCAACGTCGCCATTGCCGTGCGAGCGAGCGCTGGAGCTTCATGGAGGCTCGTTTTGTCAAGTGGTGATGCTTCGTGTACCGTAGAAAACCGACCTGACATAGCTACTCGGAGCGACCGAGGCAGCCGAACTAGCTCCAAACTGAGCCGAGAGTGGCTCTGTCCCAGAGAAGAACGAGCTCGAAGCAGCGGTAATGCTTGGTATTTTCGATCAGAAGTATGTACACTGGCGTCGTAGGCGTCCGAGCGGTGGGCCAAAGGCGCTGCGTTCTTGTACTATCAGAACGGATGGAGTGGCGGCCCGTTTGGTGCTGTGGAGCGCTGCAACTCGTGTTTACCGAGCCATCGAGTGTACGTCGGCTGCCTGCCCATCCCGATCTGTCATGATATGTGTCCACTCAAACGTGCATGAGTTCAGTGGTTCCGCAGCTGGTTAGACGCTCAGAACAGCTCGCGGCTACTCGCCTGGATGACGACCATCACCGCACGTGGCAGCGACCGATCGCACGCAGCTGACCCAGCGTCTCGTCGTCACCATCGAGAGAGGTGCGTCGACGATGATGACGGCCACGAAGCATGGCCTCGCTGGGGTTGCAGTGGTGTAGTACGTTCGACAAGAACCGCCGGATAGCGCTCGCAATGTGTGGCGGTGCTGGTAGTTGCAGCATGCTTGTTGGAGCTCCTTCAATATCCTGCCGTAGCTCGCTCGACTACGTTGGACCGACAGTCACATTGGCGGTGGTCGACATTCATCTTCCACAGATGCGTCCAACCTCACATTTTGTTCAGCTGTTTTCTAAACTGGGGATAGGGTTTTGTCTAGATACAACTACAATGTACGTACTGAGGACCGCGAGGACAAAGTCGGCAGCGTAACCCATGGATGGTCGTGCAGCATTTACGCTAGCTCGCGGCTACCAACGAAGCGACCATACGCTGCATCGGTGCTGTCATCAAGCTCCTGTTCGCTTTTTTCAACTCAACGCATGGCACGTTGCGGGTCGTACTTCGTGGCGCCCCTTTGTCTAGTCGGTGGATTTCAGCTGCGTAAGCGGAAGGCACAGGGTTCAGTCCCCGCTGGCGCAGGCCCTTTTCCGTCGCCGTCCATGAAAAGGTATTCTCCTCGCATTGTAAATGCGTCCAACATGTTTCTCCCTAACGTTAGGGTGGCAGCGCGCAATTCTTCATAGGCAAAGGTGCAGCAGCAGCAGCAGTCAAGCCGAGGACCGCTTCGGCAGGCCAGGCACATGAACTTGTGTGGTGAAGGGCGCGATGCTCCCTCGTAAAGGGCCAGCCGTTGCGGGACTCGGGGCGGCGCTGCTGCTGCTTCTCTTTTTGCCAACGTTGCCCTAACCACTTTATCCTATCCGGGCGTATCTTAATCACGAAAGGTACGAGACTCGAGGGCAGCATGCGAGTGGGAAGGTACGCACATACACGAACATGGATGAAACTAGGCCGAGCTTTGTCGTCAACCACTGTGACCGTTGGTCGCATTCAGTGGTGGGGCACCGGGTGTGAGCCTGGCCCACGTCAACACCACTAGGCCGGGACAAGGCGATGTGTGTTTGCATGTTTAGTCCTACAGCAGAAGCCCGTTGATGTGAGACTGTACAGCCTTTGGCAGCAGTCAGTAGACGTAGCTTAGCTGCCATTTTCTGTTCTTCTTTGTAGTACACTAGCCGGTGTTTAGGGAGTACGGCCTCCCTCTGTCTGGTGTTTCACGTTCTGGTTGTTGCCAGGAGCGGAATCGGTCACACCGACATGGCATTTCGCCCTGGGTACATGTACTGCATGGAGTGCACGTACATTTCATGGATGTACCCCGCGAACACCTTTAAAGAAAAGCTAGAGCTCTAAGCTAGATGTACCCAGCGAACACCTTTGAAGAAAAGCTATTATAGCCTAGAGCTTTATCATCCAGGTATTGGCACGACTCGTTACGACAGGCACATGTCCTTTCTGGCAAACGTTCTGGGCCGTTTGTACGCTCACAATCTGGATGGCGCCAAATATTACTCACGCTTCAAGAGTGCCGGTAGTGGCGCGTCCATCGTCGCCTTGGCAGATGTGCGATAGCACGAGGGCTCTCGCCTGCTTTCATGACCAAATCGGTCGTCTCGACTGCTTCCAGCCCGCAAGATTCGACGATCGAGACCATGGCGTGCGTCCAACACATCGATTTCGCGTCCGCAACCTCAAGCGTACCGTGTACTCGTACATTGGATGAGTGTTGAGGCTCAGTTTTCGATCGTGTCTCTGCAGCGCACTCGATACGCGAGATGCTGCGCCAATCTGCTGGTCGCCGCGCCAAGTCGACGGCCGCGCGCGCCTGGGACGACATCCCGACCGCGCCCGAGTACGGCTTCGGGCCGTTCAAGTCGAGTGGTCTCTACTTCATCCGCAACAATGGACTCCGCGTCACGTACGAGCGCTTCCAGACCCTCCACCGCGAGCTCGGCCCGATCTTCAAGCTGCGATTCGCGCCGTTCACACCGTACCTTGTCTCGGTCGCCGACCCAGAAGCGACCGCGCTCGTGTGTCGCACCGAAGGCGCGATGCCGCAGCGCCACCTCTTTCCTGCGTGGACCCTGTACCGGCAGCAGCGGCAGTGGCCCATGGCGACCTCCAACACCAACGTATTTGCCGAGTGGAAAAAGTCCCGGGCGAGCATGAGCGAGAACTTGCTACAAATGCACAATGTACCCGCGTGGATCGGGCGCATCGACGACGTCGCCAAGGATGTCGTTGCGCGTATTGCGACCGAAGCGCAACACGGGGCGCCGGTTGCCGTCACCAACATCATGAAGGCGTTTGCACTCGAAGCGGTCTCGTCGCTCGTCTTTGGGAAGCGCATGGGCTGCTTGTCGCCAGACCCGTCGACGCCGATCCCGCCGGCCGCCCAAGCGTTCATCGACGCTGTCGACGGCTTCTTTGACACGACGCAGCAGCTGCACATCATCCCGCCCGAGGTGCCCACGTGGATCTACCCGTACGTACCCGCGTACCGCGCCCACGCGGCCCACTGCGACTACATCTTTGACCTTGGCTATCAGCTCATGCGCGACAAGATCGCGTGCACCGACGCCTCGCCCGAGCCGGACCTCCTCAGCACCTTTCTGCAGCGACCTGAGCTCGACGAGCGCGAAGCCATTAGCCTCGCGATTGACGTGCTCTTTGCCGGCGTCGACACGACGGGCAATACGCTGCTCTGGACCATGTACTGCCTCGCGACCGCTCCAAACGGCCGCGAGATGCAAGCGCGCATCCGCGACGAGATTGGGTCGGGCCCCATGGACGAAGCCGCCCTCACTCGTCTCTCGTACTTGCGCGCTTGTGTGAAAGAGACGCTGCGGCTATACCCGTCCGCGACGCCCAACCAGCGCTACGCTGGCGACGACGTGACGCTCGCCGGGTACCAAGTTCCAAAAGGCACGAGTGTGCTCATGGCCACGTACACAATGAGCCGGGACCCCGACATCTTTGAGCACCCCGAGGTGTTTGCGCCCGAGCGCTGGATGGACCGCGAGAAGAAGGACGCGGACAACCGCAAGCAGCAAGCGTACTCGACGCTGCCGTTTGGCATTGGTGCGCGCAGCTGCGTGGGCCGACGCCTTGCTGAGACCGAAATGTACCTGCTTCTGGCGCACCTCTTGCGCGAGATGGAGATTCAGTGGATCCCCAACGAGGCGCACCCCAAAGGCATTCTGCGCCTTCTCATCGTGCCCGACAAGCCGCTCTCGTTCCGCTTTCAGCCGTGGTCGTCGTAACCATAAATGCAGTACTCTTCAAAGCGACGTGGTTGGTTGAACAAAATCGTCACAGATGTCGATACTAGCCCTTTCCTAGGGATAGGTTTGTGACCCCAAACTAGTCCCTGACGCGCAACTGACCAGCACTCGATCGTGTATCTTCGACGGCCCAGCATCGTGATGGATGCTCGAATGCTGCGTCCAACGCCATTCGTTGGTATACTGACGCACCCATGCTGTGTGGCATGCATGCTCATGTGCCCAGCTCACCGTGACCACGTTCATTAGGGTAGGTGTTCAATGGTTCTGTGAAAGAGAGGACGCTTCGGTCGTGGAAGCGATGTCGATATACGAGTACGAGTACACACCAAGTGCCTCTTGAGTGCACCCTCCATGCGACAAATGGTATACATTCGAAGGTGAAACAAGCAAAATGGTGTATATTGTGGAAGTTACTACTCTATCTCTTTTGGTGGTTGACAAAGCGGAGCGCGAGCACCGCGAGGATGCGGAAAAACACGATGCAGCCGAGCACGACGACAATGTCGAGGAGCGCGTCGTCGTAGTACATCTCGTACGTGTGTTCCACGTACTCCTTGACGCTGACGCTACTCGCGTTCATCTGCTGGAGAATACTCGGCGGCACGTTCTTCATCGTCTGGCACCCGAGCTGCGTCTTGTCGCCCGTGCATTTGGCAAATGTTTGCGACGTCAGAATTGCCATCGAGTACTTGGGCGGCACGATCGTGTAGAGCCAGCGGTACCCACTCGGGATGTTGGACGCGGTGGGCGTGAAGCCCATGAAGAGGAAGAAGATCGAGTTGAGGAGGATGCCGATGAGCGCGGCGACTTCCACCGACGGCATCGCGTACGCCATGAGCTGGCCGAGGTAGACGTTCATCAAGACGAGGAGCGAGAGGTTGAAGCCGTAAAAGACGCACGCGCCCACCGACTCGTTCAGGCCCACGAACGGGTAGTAGATGATCGTGAAGAGAAACGTCGAGACAAACACGTACGGGATCTCGGCGAGCGTCGACCCGACAAAGTACCAGAGCGCGTTGTACGTCTGTGCCGCGCGCTCGCGGTAGAAGGACGCGCGCTCTTCGCCGGCGAGCGGAATGACGCTGTTGAACGAGATCATGCCGACGAAGAGCGACGTCATGAAGACCATGCCGACACCACCGGTCGCGCCCGAGAACGTCGTGTAGTCGACACCGCGGTAGACAAGCCCAAAGAGGATTGCGAGGAAGACCGAGATGAAGAGTCGCGTGTTGTTGTACGACGGCGTGCGCCAGTACATGCGGAAGAAGCGCTGCGTGAGGTACTTGAACTGCGTCAGCGAAGACGCGGCGCGCTTCTTGGCAAACGTGAGCTCGGGCAGCGACGGGTGCACGTTGGCGTGGATCGCAAGCGCCTCGGCGAGGTACCGGCGCTCGACCGAGTCGTTGAAGATCTGGACGTAGTCCTTCGGGTGGGCGTTCTTGGCCTCGACACCGGCGCCAATGACCTCGAGCATCCACGTCGCGGGGTTGGCGCCCGGAAGGAGCGGCGGCGTGTTGGGAATCGCCTTGAAATACTCGATCAGGTGATTCGCATGGGTGCCGAGGTCGCCAAAGAAGACGGTCTCGCCGCCGCGCTTGAGAAGAAGGAGCGAGTCAAACATCTCAAACACTTCGGTCGACGGCTGGTGAATCGTGCAGACGACCGTGCGACCTGTCGACGCGATCTTGCGAATACCCGTCATGATGATCTTGGCCGAGCGCGCATCAAGACCGGACGTCGGCTCATCCAAGAAGAGCACGGACGGCGACGCCGCCAGCTCGACACCGATCGTCAAGCGCTTCATCTGCTCGACCGACGCGCCGCGAATGATCTTGTCGCCGAGGCTCTTCATGTCCAAAATGTCCAAGCACTCTTCGGCAAACGCGAGCTTCTCGGCCGCAGGAATCTCGTCCGACTGGCGGAGCATGGCGCTGAACTGGAACGCCTCGCGGAACGTCGCGCTCTCGCTGTGGATGTCCATCTGCTCGCAGTAGCCGGTCGACCGGCGGATCGCTATGTCCGTGGCCGGGTACCCGTTGAGAAGGATCTTGCCTTCGATCTTGCCGCCCGTCTTGCGACCGGCAATGACGTCCATCAACGTCGTTTTGCCTGCGCCGGAGGAGCCCATGAGCGCAGTGATCGTGCCCGGGAGCGCGTAGCCGTTGATGCCCTTGAGCAGCTTCAGATCGGGCTCGCCTTTCGTTGGGTTGGGCACCGAGTACCAGAGGTCTTCAAAGGCCAGCGTCACCGGCACCGACGCGCGCTGGGCTGCTTCGTGAACGTTGACAACCGCGTGCTGCGGCGTCTTGGGCGGCTCGGCGTACGCGCTCTCGGCCTTGTTGCCGTCCGTGTCACGGAGCATCTCGTCTTCGTCTTCGTTGACGACGATAGTGTGCTCGGCGGGGTCGTACTGGATGTACTCGAGCGCCAAGTACGCGAGGAACATGAAGAAGAAGTAGCTGGCGGCCAGAAAGAAGACGCCGTACCAGATCCACGCCGTGTCCGTCTTGACGCCGTACTGCTTGAGCTGCGAGTTGCCAAAGTTGTCGCCCGTGCGCTTGCAGTAGTCGATGCCCTTGTACTCGCAGATCTGAAACTCGGACGCCGAGTACTGGTTGATGGCCAAGGCGCGAATGCACCACGCGAGCGGGTCGATCCAGTGGATCCACACAAAGTAGTCGGGCATGTCGTCGGCCGACATGATAAAGCCCGCAAAGAGCACGTAAAAGAGCACGGAGACCATCGAGACGGGCTCAGCGACATGCAGATTCGGAGCGATCGAGGCGAGAAAGAAGAACCACGTCGTGAACGCGAGGTTGGTCACGAAGAGCACGAGAAGGTACGTCAGGAACGACCCGACGTTCGAGGTGAAGCCCGTGACCCAGTACATGACGGCGCCAAAGATCACCGTCTCCAGAAACGCAAACGGTATTTGGGTCGTGCACTGCGCTAAAATGAACGACGAGGTCCGGAAAAAGTTGGCGCGCTTTTGCTTGTAAAAGATCTCGCGCGCTTCGACGTGGGCCGGGATCGTCGGAATTTGGCCGAGCGCGAGGAACATGACGGTCGTGAAGATGACACCGAGCACGGTGATGACTTGGTCCGAGTCGACTTGGTAGAACGACGTCGAGTAGAGGAAGCCCATGACGACGACCATGACCATGCGACTGATGACAAACTCCTTGTTACGGAGAAAGACCGTCACTTGGCGCTGGACGAGCGCCTTCGTGCTCTTCCCAAACGGCACGTGGTACTCGGGCAGCGATCCAATGTGGTGCGTAGCGTCCTGGACGAGCAGCGGGTGCGGCGGGGCCGAGAGGTGGCCCATCATGTGCGCGTAGATGGACGACTCGGTAAAGACCGACGCGTACTCGCTCGGGAAGCGGGGCGCGGTCGCCAGCCGAGACGACACGAGGTACTGGTCCTGCTCGGGCGTACCAAGGTCGAGCAAGAAGTCGGCGACATCGCGGTGCGGCGGGCATTTGAAGCCGAGCGACTCGAAGTACGCCAAGCACGTGGCGCGCGGGCCATGGTACATGACATGGCCTTCGTTGAGGAGGAGGACGTCGTCGAACAGGTTGTAGACTTCGGGCGACGGCTGCAACAGCGCAATCACGATCGTCTTCTTGAGCGACGCAGCCATGCCTTTCTGGGCCTTGACAATGTCGTAGGTTGCCGCCGAGTCCAAGCCCGTGCTGATCTCGTCCATGAACGACACCATCTTCATGCCAAACTCCATCTCGCCGACGGTCACACGCTTGCGCTCACCGCCCGAGACACCGCGGAGCATGCCGTTGCCGACGATCGTGTCTTCGCAGATCTTGAGGCCCATTTGACGCGTCACAATGTCGGGAAAGACGGCAAAGAGCGCGGTAATGACTGCTTGCGCCTGCGCGTTCTCTTCCGGCGTCCCGTTCGTTAGCGAGTCGAGTATGCGCTGGGGCACGACCGCGCCGCCGCTGCACTCGTGTGCAAACTGCAGCGTCTCCTTGACCGTCAGTGTCGGGTAGTGAAAGTCGCGCTGGCTAATGTACGACGCAAACTGCGGCAGCTTGGGCCCCAGCGCGGCCGACGGCGTCCCGTTGAACGTGACCTCGCCACCGACCGAGATGTTTTTCGTGAGGAGGAAGCGACCGGAGAGGATCTTCATGAGCGACGACTTGCCCGAGCCCGGCTGGCCGAGCACGAGCGTCGTTGTGCTCGGCTTGAAGACGCCGCTCATCGGGTGCAGAATGTCTTTGCGGATCGACCGCTTGGCGCTGAAGAGGCCCATGACCCCCTTCTTGACTTCGTTGACCAGCGTCGGAAGCTCGCTACCGTTCTTGGTGGCCACGATCACGTCCGCGGCGATCGCGAGGTCCTTGAAGCGAATCTCGAGCTGCGGCATGTCCTTCCCGAGCGACGACTGAAGCTGGTTGGCGAGCGACGCATGGAAGGCGTCCGAGCCATCTTGGAGGAACGCGTCGGCAGATTGCGGAGCTGGTGCCATGCTGGAAGGTAGCAAATTGCGTTATGAGCTTCGGTTTTATGCAAATTTCTTGCAAGCACCAACACACGCGACGATGCTTTCGTGGACCACGAACGAGACTTGTCGCCATCAAGCATCGGATTAGGTGATAAAGCCCCATGCCGTCGACGCATGTCGCGGTATCCGGCCGTTTTTGGCCGTATCCGGACGCGAATCAAGCGTATCCGGACAGCAGAGTGATGGTTTTGACGCGCGTGCACGAGTTGCGTCATCGGGGCGAATGGCACGAGAGGTCGAGCGTAACGTAAACGTGCCACTGCATTGATGAGCCGAAAGAGCTACGACCGATCTGCTAATAACGCGCAAATTGAGAAACATATACTCGTATGCAGAGGACCGACTACCGTACCGGTATGATTTCTTAGTTGACGCCGTGGTCAGCTAGCGTCATAGCCCCGCGTCGCGAGTCAACCGGTCAACACCAAGAGGAGCTGTGCAGCGTCCAGACTTGACGCTGCGATGGCATGTTGGGGCCCGCGTCAAAGCATGACCACGACGCAGGGCTACGTAGAAGGATGCATATGCCAAGTAGCATTGTCTCGGCGTGGGCAATGGTTTGA